CAGATTGTTCTCTGCTGCTACTACACGTGATCGCGCCGGCACCTATGGCCGGGGTAACTAGTAGACACTACCATATGCACAGCCAAGGCCATCACCCCCAGGGATAATACACACACCAAGCCCCCGAATGCGTCGTTCTTCTTAACTATCGTTTGCTTTTGTGTTCAACCATCCGGGTCATCTTTCCTCCTCAGCCTATCCCGACTCCTCCTTTCTCCCCCGTCATCTACCGTCCCCGTCGGGGCATGCCACGTCCGCGGCCTCCTCCAAGGGCCCGCTGGGCAGCACCCGGCGGCAGGCCTCGTGTTGGTGCCTGGGCTTGGGCCGACTCTTCGTTCTCTGCGTGGGAAAAGAAAATTGCCCCGGTCAGTCTAACGGAAACTATGGGGTTTAGGGGTTCAACTAGGTTGCTGGGTACTCACTAATAGTCTCGTCCACGCTCAAGATCAAGCATGCGGCCTCCACAGCCGCCTGGATGGCGTTCACCTTGACCAGGCTGGGCTCCCACACAAACGCGACCATGTTGTCCCGGACGCCCTCGTGATCAAAGTCCACACCCGCCCAGGTGTTGCCCTTGCGGTGCTCCACCCGCAGCCGGTTCAAAATGTCTGTCGCATCGAAGCCGGCGTTATCGCACAGCTGACGAGGGATCACCTCGAGAGCCTTGGCAAACGCCTTGACAACTGCCTGCTGCTTGTGGGGCACGTTGCGGTCCGCGAAGCCGTGCATGAAGCTCGACAGTTCCATCTCAGTAGCACCACCACCAGCGACGATGGTAGTGTGGCGGAGAGCGCGCTTGACAATCATGATAGCGTCGTGCAGACTGCGCTCGACTTCGGCGATGAACTGCTCCGCTCCACCACGCAGCACCAGTGTGCAGGTCTTGGCTGCGGGGCACTCAGAGAAGAGGTTGAAGCGCTCACCACCGATCTGGCGCTCCTCGAACGTGCCGCAGGTACCCAGGTGACGTTCCTGGATGTCGCTGCAGGTCGACTGCGTGGCCGCACCGGTCGCCTGGCAAACCCGGTCCATATCATCGGTCGCAACACGACCAGCGCAGAAGATGTCCCGATCCGCAAAGTACCTGTAGACAAAGAAACAGAATTTAGCACGTAAACCGATCATCTAAAGTTCCACAGGGAAACATACTGTGTAGCCAAATCACCAATGGGCAGCTTGCTGAGAACAACCTTGGCGCCGGTCTTGTAGATAGCCTCAAGCTTGTTGTAGATGATCTGCCACTCGGCATCGACGATAGCCTGGTACTCCGACACATGTTCGACGCGCACCTCGGCGTTGTCCTTCTCACTCTTCAGCTCCAGCTCGACGTTCAGGCAGACGATCTTCGGGTCCTTGAAGTACTTGGGCTGTTGTTCGAAACCGGCATAGGAGAAGGTCTTCTTGAAGGCGACACCGTTGACGAAAAGGGAATCCTGCAGACCACCACCGGTCACCCGCTTCACACCGATCAGCTTCTCGTTGAGGTCATCCTGGTCGAGCGACAGCACGGCGTCAACCACCACTAGAGTATTCAGTCAGCATCCGGGTCCAAAACCACATGCCACAATATACAGAAGCCCCTTACTCTTGGTGAAGAAGTCCGAGTTCCGCTTGATCAGCTTGCTGTTCATCGCCGTTCCGGCCAGGCGGCGTAGCGTCTCGACCTTCTTTTCCTCGCTTCCCGCAGCATCAATCATGTCGATGGCGATCTCCTTGATCTTGTTGACGGCCATGGCACTGCCCCTCCGTAGACCCTTGACGATCGTCTGTGCACTGACACCCTGCTCGACAAGTTCGCGGACTTCCTTCAGAATTTCACCTGCGAGGACGACGACCGACGTTGTTCCATCGCCCACTTCAGCATCTTGAGAGCGGGCAATGTCCGTGAGAATGCGGGCAGCGGGGTGAACGATATCCAGAAGCTAAATCAAAAGATAATCAGTGAACCCGTGCAATAAAAGAAAGAAATGTATCCAGCGGTGCTGGGAGGTGATATCCGATAGACGCACCTTCATCACTGTGGCTCCATCGTTGGTGATGGTCTGCTTGCCGTTGCCGTCCACCAGCAACAGGTCCCCTCCATAGGGACCGAGTGTGCTCTTGATCGTGGATTGCACAGCAACACAGGCATTGATGTTGGAGATAATCTGACCCTTGCCCTGAGAGGTATCCGTGCCTAATGATGACGAAACATCAACAGAGTCAGCATTCTTCAGCGATACACACAGATGGGACGCAATGCAATGCGGGCGGGTGACGGACCCTCCTTGAGCACGATGATCGTGGGTGCTTGGCCGGCGAAGGCCATTTTGAAGAGATTATTTCAGGGAGGAAGGGCGGAGAATAGTGGGGTAAGTGAGGCAGAGGACAAGGAACAGAAGAAAGATGCGATCGTGGCCCTGAATGTCCCAGCTGGTCGGGGGTCAATAACGCTCTTGACCAAAATTTCCCCGAGCTTCTTTGGGATCGAAACTCCCAGCGCTGAGGCGGTGACCAATCATGCCGCGCCCCGCAGCCCTACCTACTCCCCCTCGATGCCTCCTCGCTCAGGGGACCTTGGATCTAGTTTTTTAATTACATTATAGCAACTTCCTCTATATCTCTTTCTTCTCCGTATATATGGGCTACTTGCTCCTGGGGGATGGCATGGTTGTCCCATGTTCCTGGAGCCGCTCATCTTCTGCTCATACAAACCCCCACCAGATCTCGATATAATGGTGCTTTTGTCGTATTCTCTTTTTATAGGATTTAAGCTGGGTGTTTCTATGACATGTCCTTTTGCAGAAGGTTCAACATGATGTGCGTTTTACATGATATCGTAAAGCGTTCTCTTTTCATCGGAGAATTCTCCATTTTATATGTTGGTGGTTGGCCATTGAAGTATATATTGCCAAACAGTGTATGTTTTTTAAGTTGTGTACCTGACGGTACTATTTCCAAGAGATTTTTGCCAGTAGAAGATTAACTAGATACCAGAACTAATACGTCTCGTCTTCTGAATATACATCGATTCTCAGAGCCGAGAGAAGCATTGCCTATAGTATCTCCACAATGTTGACTATGACAAGAACGCCAAGACACAAAGTGGTAGCCTTGCAGAACAGGAGAATAGAGACGGAAAAAGGGTATAAAGAGCAGCAACCGAGAAGACTTATTTTTGCTGGACTAGTCATATTCACTGGCATTGGATGTGGTTTCCTGCCCGCATGTTCGGCTAGGGGAACAACGCATGTTTAGCGCGTGGGATTCGAAATGACATTTTAATATCAACAGATTTCAGATTCTGGGCGCATAAGTACCATATCCCACAGTCACGCGAGTCGCTTGGGTTGGTGCAAGGTATTATGAAGAGACATAGAGTAGACTTCCAGAACAGCGAGAAGCAGTGCATGACCGAGATTAACTAACTAAATGGGCTCAGCTGGAGGGGCACAGCTGAGGTCGATCATCTAGCCCATAATCTGCGAATAGTCCGCCGATCAACCCAATTATTTGAGCAATTAATATATTCGTTATGCCTTAAGTGACGACACACGGTATCTAGTGTGCAGGTCCAGCCCCCAAGTCTCAAGCAGATGCAATGGCGACGACCCTGGCTGTCTGCTGGCCATTTACAGTCACAATACCCTTGATCACAATGGAGCATGATGAGTTGCGATCGCTAAACACGTTCTAGAACTAGAGCCGGAAAATTTGTGTGGAGGAATATATACGTACCTATGACCAAAGCATGGAAGCAAAACAATAGCATGTTGCCTCAGCTTGCTGATGATTGTTAATGCGGTAATAGTAGACCATTATCCTTTACATGATCCTTAACGGCAATGGCTATGATTCATGCATTAATATATAATAAAGGCATCTTTATCCTAGCCCCAATCGGCGGGACGTTTGCCACCAGGAATTGTTGTTTGGGGGATTTTGCATGCTAGGTTGCTTAGTCCAAAACCCATGCGAATTAGTCGACATATCGATTATTTACTGACTCTTAGAGAGTCACACCATCGTTTTTCTCAAAGATGTTATTAGTCAGAATCAAATAATACTCTTGTATTGACAAGGCCTTCGAATAGGCAATCTGAGCTTCATATGAGATATTCTTGTTGCTCTTGTTGGCTGCAACATACAATATGAACCAGACATGGGCAACAAGTGCCCACAATCATAAGGACCTCTGGATATGAGTGAGTAACCCACTGACTAGTCAGATACTGAGATTAGCCTTGTCAACATGAACATGGCTTGTAAACTGTCCTGTATAGCATACATTCATTATACTCCCCGAGAACCATGGAGGGTGGCGTACAGAGCCCCGATGGCTTGCCTGAGGAGCTTCGTTGCCCCCAGAAAGTATAACAATAAATGGTAAAAGCTAATGAAGAGCAGTTGTTTCACCAGATCAAACCTACCCTGAATATCATATGCAGAGATGTCAGAAATCAACCAAACAGGCCATCACCATTGCCTGGAACTTCTGGAGGGCAACATGGCTGAAAAATATGCAAAAATCACTAATTTTATGTATGGCATTGATTCAACTGAAGGACAGCTTCCTGAGGCCAGTCATCCGGAAATTTTGACAATCAGACCTTCCTGATGAGGGAAGGGGGCTCTGGTCTAATGCTGCTATTTCCAGGCGAGAGTTTTGCGACCAATCAATATTTCCTGCATCAGGATGCTGTGGTTATCACAATGCCCTAGGCTTCTACCATGTCCATTTTTTAGTACCTCCTAGTCAATCGGATCATTCAGTCATTGCCAGTTCGATAAAGTGGATGTCCACTGATCAGGTGATCTAGGCACGTGGTCGATGCATTCGGTTGCTCTCCCACCTTTCATGCCTCTTCGTAACTCCTGGTGGACTACAGGCATTATCAGAATACAATCAGTGGCATCATATTAATCTTGAATGTCATCGTTTTATCGATTTCCAGAGGTCTCTACTTGAGCTGCTCATTCAATATTCTACACATAGCTCCTTTGTAGGCATCATCGCAGGCATGACAACCGCGGATCTGCCTCAGTATTACGCAAATACTTTGACCCCACTAGATATAAACAAACGGTCCTTGGTGAACGCCCTCAAGGAACTACAAGTTGCTGTTAGTCGTGGGGCTAGTCTACTGCAAGAGAGTTGTCCTCCTCAGAACGACTGGGGGGCGACCTACGACACGGGCTGTTACGTGGGATTTCCAGGTATATTCACAATCACATCTTCGCTAGACGTCGCCTAATAAAGTTTGCTGCGTCAGGGATTGCGCTTGCCTTCCTTCGACTGGACCATCAGGTTAATGCGCTGAGCAGCCAAGACGTTGGACTTCCCCTTGACTTTCGCAGGCTTGCAGATGAGCGGATCCTACCACACGGGCCAGATGTGCCATTCTCGCCCGAAAGAGTATCTCCCTTTGGTTCATCCAGCGTGCTAGTGGGGCCCTTGATGCGGATTCTTGCATCTGCACAACCAGGCGCATCGATTTCTGAGGCCGATATTGAATGTCTCCGGAATGTTGTGCAAGTGGCCCTCAGCAATAGCCATATGCTGCCCCATGGTGATCGGCTGATTGGTACCGACGAAGTCTTGTATGGTCGGGCAGGAGTCCTGTGGGTTGTACTCAGTATCAGAGCCCACAGGTATGACGAGCAAACTACGGGCCTTCTGGCGTCCGTCTTTAAAACCGTCCCAAAGCTTGTCGATGCGATTATTGAAGGAGGACTCCAAGGCAGAAAAGACTACACAAAGAAATATGGGGAGAAAGATGCGTTGCCATTGATGTGGCACTGGCATGAAGACCGGTACGGTCTTGGAGCGTAAGTATTCATTACAATACCCAATGCTGTGCCGAGCAGCATAATGCCGGTTCTGACATTCTGGTTAGTGTACATGGAATGTGTAAGTTAGGCTCATACGAGGAGACACCTATGACTTGCATTGCTGACAACTTATAGCCGGCATAATTGCAGCTCTCCTTGCCTGCAACCCAGAGGAGCTTAACGACGGTGCTTCGCGCAATTACTTGCCCCTGATAGCGGATACTATCTCAAAACTCTGCAAGATATGCATATTTCGTAACGGTCATCTCCCAACGAACCTTCCTGACCGTGGGCCTTCGTCCCGTCGCTCCTCTCCCCTTGTCCAAATTTGTCATGGTAGTCCTGGCATCCTAACACTTATGGCAAGCGCCAGAAGGAACATACCCCTAACATCCAACTTCTGGCAGCCCGAGTGGGATATGGCAATTCGACTGGCAAGCGAGAGGGTTTGGGAGGAAGGGCTACTTTCTAAAGGTGGCGGGATCTGTCATGGTATCACCGGTAATGCATGGTCACTGTTACTTCTCCACGACAGCTTTCAGTACGATAAGAAAGAGATGGAGACCGCTAAACGCAACTATATGGGACGGACGCAAACCACCAATACGACAGCAGTGGAAAGCGGACTTACCGGTGACTATTTCTTGTCAAGAGCGCTGTCGCTCATGCTGCATGCACGGGAGACTCCTCCTTACCATAACCCGACGTCGCCGGCTTCTAACATCTATCGAATGCCTGATCATCCATTCTCCCTCACAGAAGGTCTGGCAGGCGTTGTCTGTGCGTGGGCAGATGCATGTGTGACTGTGCAGATGAGACTCCGAGACATGCTTCTCCGGGAGAAATGGCCGGACAGTGGTTCATCTTTGAAGGCAGACCCAACATTTCAAGACCTTGAAACTTTGCGGTTAGGGATCCCGACCCTTGCCTACCACCGAGCTGCGGTGTTGCCTTAGAATGAAGATGTGAAATGCGACAATAAATTGATTGAGCCAAAGGTGATGGGTAAGACAGCAATGACGGCGGTGTATCTGGAAAACCCGCATATATGTCACCTAAGCACAAGGAAAATATTGGCTTCAAGATCCAAGGAAAAACAGGATGCCAAAAACACCAAGCGCCACGCTGATAAAACGAAGGTATCATCGCAATACGATGGAAGGTTAAAGTCGTGTCATGTCAGTCATACAGCCGCAGCTTAGAAAAGTGTAAACCCCGAGCGATACATGGGCGGCTGACCCGGGATCTCAGTTCTGTACTCGACGCGTTTGGGCAAGTAATCCCCATGTGGTGCTTCCACAGCGACCCTCCATCGACGCCAGCAGTTTGACAGCTGGTGGTGTCTGTCCCCGCAGAATGTACAGTGCATCCGCACCGGACGTTGAACAGGCTGACTATAGCTCCGATCCCTTGTGGATTGCTCCTGCTCGCGGCGCATCTGTTCAATCACGTAGTCATTGATCTCCTCTTGACTCGGTCTCTTAGTGTGCCCCCGGACGCTTCCGCTGCGATTACGGAGCCGCTCATCGCGATTCATCTGTCGGACGACAAACGCGTTGATTTCGTCTTGCGTGACAGCGTGGGAATCACCCGGGGATCTAGATGACGGTGTGACATCTAACCTGGAAGTACCATTGTCGCTCCATACAGGCCTTCCCCGCCGCTTACGGATCCTCTCATGCTCCACGGCCAAGTCGGTTAGCTCTTGAAAGGTTATCTGGTCCGCCGGATTCGGGGTGTTCATTCGACGATCCCGCAGCATGGCAGAGGCCCAGTCACACCACTCAGGGCATTCCTTGAGCTTTGTGAGAAAAAGCAGGTTGATCTGCGAATCGGGGATATAGGAGTCCTCGTCGATATAAGCGAGCCCTTCTCGGACCGCTTGAATAAGTGCGATGAAGTCGACGATCGTGTCGTACTTGGTAGGATCAAGGTCGAGGGATTCCCCGACTTGGTGAATCCTGCGAATGTTCCGCTGCCAGGCCTCCATTGTGGCCTATGGAGCAGAGGGAAGAGAAGATGGGGGGATGAAAAGAGGCCAGTCGGACGAAGCGCTTCTGTCGGCGACGTTTTATTTGCCGGCGCGTGTTTGGCTGCTTGCTGCCGGAGCGGGGGATGACGTCAGAAACTGCGGCGCTCCGTCTAGTAGTCGCTGAGTCGCCGACGGCCTTATCTTCTTCTTGCCATGAGGGTTAATCGTTTATCTGACCCTGGCACTCTCGCAGGAGACCATCCCTTCAGCTGCTGCCAAATAATTTCTGAGTATGGCATTTTCTTGGCTTTATACATCGTTCGAACACTTCCCCGCCCCATCACGTCCTGTGGTGGCAGTGCCCGACGCCCGTCAGCAGTCCAGCACACTGGAGCAGTGGAGCACACTTGAGGGGCCGGTTTTTCTTAGCTCCGTGGCACAAACAACCAGTCCAGATGGCTAACCACCCCCTTCTTTCCCTCGATGCATTGCAACAGGACGGCCCCTGATATATTATTAGCCTTCCCTGGGTGAAGGCCCAAGCCCATACTAGCCTGGTGAACGCTGCACCACGTACGATTGTGACGATGGATATTGTGCCGCCATCCTACCAAACCGCCACAACCAGAGACGCATGGTCGATTATAGCTCAGTATATTCCTTCAAGCGACCTCTGTGCCGCAGTACTGGTGTGTCGGAAATGGCATGGCCTCTTCATGCCATTTCTGTGGGGGGATCCTGCCTCTCACTTCGGAACTGACAACGATGCAGTTTATGGTAATGACCCCCAACGATGTTGATTTAAAAGGACCATTAGGTGCTGACGTGGGTTCTTTCTTCCCCTTAGTTGCCCTGACAAGGTTCAGGAGGACGCTAAAGTATGCCCGCCTTGAGGTGCGGATGCTCACCCACACGCTGCACCTGCCGCCTGCTCTCTCCGAGATCTATGGGGGTCCACGACCCGAGTGGTTAAGGGAGATTCTGGAATCTCTACCTTGTCTCCAATCTCTGATGGTTTCGAAGCTGCCATTCTTTGACCACAATGCCATGACCGCTCTAAAAGGATGCGGCACGCCTGGTGAAACCGACGCAGCTTCCCAGACCTATAATGTCCGTCTACTGCTGGCGGACAGGGAGCCCAACGCAACATCACAAGGTATTGCGGAGACATTACTACGCTTTCCCGGGTTAACCTATCTCGATCTTTCCTACACCACCCCTGCGCGGGACCGCATAGTCCTGTCTTCGCTATCGCAGTTGGAACATCTCCAAGTACTCAAACTACGAGGTATCGGTCTAAAAGACAATGACGCAGAATTTCTAGCCAATGCCATTGAACGTAGAGTTCGTTTCCTGGATCTGCGCAATAACTTTCTTACTGACATGTCTATACGATCATTATTGCAAGCATCCTTCTTACCCCCAGGTGCAGAGGATGGCCCACGGAGAGGACCGTCTGGATCCCCTATGCATTCGCCGCATTCTAGACCCCTGATCTCCAACCGGAAGTTTCTTAGAAACCCTCCTCTGGATGAGCAAGTTTTGAAGGCTTTAACACAACCACTGACAGGCCGCTCTTGGGTTGAAGACCTACCACAGGCAGGTATAACACACCTCTATATAGCGGACAATCCAATCTCAGTGGAAGGAGCTGCAAGTCTTTTGGCATCATCTCGTCTATATGCTCTGGACGTGGGGACCGTTGACACTGTCGAGTCTATTAGCAGGATGGAGTATTCCCTCAATTCGCCCCAGGATGACCCCCACGAGCTTCCTGGTGCTGAGAAGTTAATACCCATCCTGGGCACCACTGCCAGAGAGAATCTTACGTATCTGAGAGCCCATCATGCCATTTGTACGGTTGACGGGCCCTCAAGGGAGACTGCAACCTTGGATATGCTGCTTCCGGAGCTTTCAGGCGGGATTGAGAGTGAAGTACCTCGAGAAGCGGAGTTAGGTACAAACCACGAAATTTATGAGTTACCATCAAATGAGGCTGCTGTTTTTGAGCTTCCCGGCACACCAGTCCCGCAACCGTCGAACTGGTATTCTCGGTCTAGCGAGAGTGGTAGGAAGCCCACTATCTATGAAGACAATCCGCTACCCGAGCGGCGACGAGGCTCTGTTTTCGCCCCCGAGGTAGTCGAGACAGATCGAGCTAATGATGAAGCCAGGCTGGGCGACACTCACGCCACTATCTCTTCATCTCGCTTGCCTCATGGCATCTCAATTTCAAGCATCTCGAGTATTCCCAGCATTACGCTGGATTCCGTGGGTTCAATTCCGCAATGCTCTTCTCCCCTATCAGCAGAAGATCCTCGGGCCCTGAAAATCCAAGAACTGCTGGCAAAACGGCCGAAAAGTCTTCCTCGACGTGACAGCAAAGGGAACTATTTTCCATACCTGCATCCCTCTCATGTTCCCCATCTTGAGACATTGGTTTTGACCGACGTCCCTTCCCACGTCCTTGCGAATTCGCCGATCTTGACGTCGTTAATCCGATTCATAACCGCCTGCTCAAATGAAGCATTACTTGCAACTCTCCAAGCGGGATCGGACTATTCACTTCCTCCCGGTCGGGCTCGAGCCAGAGCTGAACAAGAACGCGTCAGGTCTCTGTTCGCTCTACGCCGCTTGGTGCTAGAGATCACACCCACTGTTCAGACCAACAAATTGTCCAGATGGACACCATCCAGCTACCGGACAGGAGCTTCGAAGTCAAGTACCGGGGACCGAGATTCTGAAAACCTGTGGTCGGCAGCAATAGGCGACTTCAGCTTTTTTGGGGAAGAGGAATGCGGGGTGCCCGATGCCTATTCAGGGAAATACTTCCCTATGGCTGCTTTGAACGAGAAGGTGACATTGATACCAGATGATGATGATTCTGGCCGCACAGGGGTTTCGGAGACAGATATGGCTTCTTCACCAAGTATGCTTCATACAAGTCACCTCTCTTCGCAACCCAACTCTTTTGACCCCGCAACTACGCCTAGGGGCATGCGCTCGCATAGCCCATTCCAAGGCCAAGGTGGGGACTCAGGGGCGTCGCGGGAGGAAATACCGGATGTTGATCTCGTCGCCGAGCTGGCGTCCTTCCGACGCACTAAGAAGGCAGAGTACGAAAACATGCTGAGGGGCAACCGAAGAAGGCGTGACACTATCAGTACCGTGTCCTCTCGCTTCTCCCCTTCTGTGTCGTCATCCCAAACGTTCTCGCCGTCGCCGAGTTTGAACACACTGACGGCGTCACCTGCGCCATTTATATCCATTGCGCACTACTTGGAGGGCCACTGGAAAGGGGAAGTGAAGATTGTCCGGAACGCAGCGCCGAAGGGACGAAGTGGGGTGGTAGACATGTATGGGAATTATTTTGAAAAGGGTTATTTATACCCTTGACGGAGCATCTAGAACGCCGACATCAGCCATGACCGGCCTAATACCCAATAGTTACCAATTACGAGGGATGTCATTGACATCTTGAAACGACGTGACTACCGAAGGCCTTGCGAATGTGATGGGATCATGTCATTCCATTTTTCATTCATAAATCTAATCGAATTCCCTTCGATGCCATGGTAAGTCGAGGACATCAACACCCGGCCTGCACAAAAGGAGCCACGGAGCTTCAAGTGAAAGAAGCGATCCCCAGAGGTCTGTTCGATTCCTTTCTGTTTACCTTTGTGCGGGACACCCGAAGCTTAGAATTTCGTTGTTTGTTTTTGATATAGATTTCGTCTCCTGCCCACAGGCAAAACCAGTAAACCTTTTTCAACCCCGAAACTGAAACCCGTTCATTCCATTTAATCCGTGTAAACAAGTCTGTTCAACAACACAAAAGAAAAATATAAAGAAGCAACAATTAAGGCCCCTAAACTAATTCCATTTTCTTTCTCTTTTGGTTATTCCTTCCTTACATAGCCTTGGCGGCCTGAGGGGGGTTCAGCTTCTTGCCATCCTTGTTGTACCTGATACGAGGAGGGGGAGCACGGTTGCGGCGACCTTCGCGGGAACGGACACTGGAGAACAGGTCAGCTTTTGGCTTCTTATTTCTCAGGGGTAGTTTTGTGATGATGGTCGTGTTCATCATCTAACGGGTGGTGAGATTGGGTGGGTCGCGTACCGAACGATCTTGCCGTGGATGGCGCAGGAGACACAGTACTGCAGCTTCAGGTACATCTTGGGGACGGCGTAGTCGGTGAAGACGGAAGCGTCCGAGATATCACCTGTAAATTGGAAGGAACACGAGTCAGTCCGGAATTGTCATGGTTTCACGGAATTGGTCGAAGCCCGTTCATTCGTGCGTCGCGCTGTCGCCATTTTCCTTCCCTCTCTCTTTCATGCCTTGGTCGACCATAGCCCACTTCAATTCGTCGCACACACATCCCCACTTCCCAGCTCTTTTCGGAACGAACGACAGACAGCGCGCGGACGGATTCGGGTAACTCAGATCAATGATGGAGGATCGTGGAACGTACGGATGGCAGCGGACTCAACCATGTTGCGGATGGTGAATCTCTTGATGGCCTTGTCCTTGGGGGTGCAGCGAGCGCAGTTGGAGCAGCGCACGGGCTTGACGTGGCCGCGGCCGTTCTTGTTACGACCGCTGTAGACTGGTTAGTTTTTGACATTTTGATTTGCTGACTTCATGTTTCGCTTGAATTTCGCGGTTGTTCTTGCTTTCGATCATTCTACCCCAACACAACACACTGTACGGTAGCTGGGCCTGTTCTCCGGCAAGTATATGGCGGTCCCGTCGGTGTCATATTTTAGGTGTGCGTAGATGTATATAGGGCATGGATGGGTGGGATAGGAAGGGGTTCGGTCTTACTTGTTCGCCCTCTTCTTGACCATCTTGACGGATTTCTCTGCAGCGACAGGTCAGAGAATGTGAGTCAGGGATAGGGGATGGGAGGTTTGTTGCGTACTTGGCTGTCGGGTTTGGTTGTCGTAAAGGCTCCGGAGACGCTCTCGGGATGAGGTTGTGTCGGGTTTGTGTGGTAGCCCTATGCCCTTAAGCGAGCTGGGTCACGGGATGAGTGGCCTCAGGTTGCAAGGGTGGAAGTAGACACCTGAGGCAGCAGAGGGGGGGTCGTGGAAAGTGGGAAGTGGGAAGTGGGAAGTGGGCTGCGGAGAGTGGCCTGACCGCCTGCCTTGGAGGCTCAGACTAGGAATTGGATGATCCATTCACGTGCCATGACTGAAAACGGTCTAGTGGATAGCTCCTTCCCGACCCAAAGTTACGGTACACCAATACGGTATTCTGTTTACTCAGGCGGCGGGCAGCAAAGCCGGCGAATTGAGGGGGCGGCTGTATCTAAGTGGTTCCCCCGTCCCCGTCTGCCTCTCCCTGAAACCCGTCATTAACCAGCAAATAGTTCGGCCAGGCTAAACCTCTTGGGAACCCCCTGGTTGCCGTATCTTTCTCGTCCGGTCTTCCAGATCAGTCGTGTTGTGTCTCTCTTCCTCATCCTTATCCTTGCGTGGCGTGTCTCTATTCATCCCGCTTCTCAGGCCTCGTTTGTCCCTCACGGGTGTCTCCAGTCCACCGCTCCGTGGCATTCTCCGCTCTCTCTTGACCGGTTCGTGAAACACAGACCTGCCAGCCTACCAGGTCCGCCATTCCGGTTCGGCGCCATGTCATCCACACCCACTTTTAAAGGAACCATTAGCCACAAGACTGTCGGTAGAGGCAGGCTGCCCGACTTTGACAGTCACATTCCTCGTCCTCGCCCCGAGACTTCCTCCACGACTCACACCCCCCAGACTGCCTCCAGTGATATTGGTAGTTCCACCATGAGTGCCGCCAGCAGCCGTCAGAGGCAAAACCAGTCCAAGCGCGATGAGGTATGGCACGCTTTTCCCCGTTCGGCTTCCAACAGCTCCAGTCGAAAAGGAGGTGAACAAAAAAAAATCTAAAAACCCATTGGCGAAAATTTGAACCCTTCTGTTGAAGCCATGATCACTCAGTGCATGCCATTGACTCTTCTAACACCCTCTAATAGGCTATTCGACGAAAATTGGAGGCCGACCTCAACAAAAAGAGACATGTCCCGGCACGGGCAAACCGCTCCCGCAAAGCTCCCCCCGGCACCGTCCTCGCATTGAAACCCAGCCAGGCCCTCCAGATCAAGCCCATCACCTCCATTGCCGAAGCCGCCCAATTGATGGCCGCTAAGAGGGAGGACTGCGTGCTTGTGACGGACGATGATGATCGGATCGCTGGTATCTTCACCGCTAAGGACCTCGCGTTCCGCGTGGTCGGCGCGGGCTTGAAGGCTCGCGAAATCACCGTGGCCGAGATTATGACCAAGAACCCTCTATGCGCGAGAACGGATACCAGTGCCACCGATGCTCTCGACCTCATGGTCCGGAAAGGCTTCAGACATTTGCCGGTTATGGACGAGAACCAGGATATCTCGGGTGTCCTCGATATCACAAAGTGCTTCTACGATGCGATGGAAAAGTTGGAGCGTGCGTACAGCTCCTCTCGGAAACTTTACGATGCGTTGGAGGGTGTCCAAACCGAACTCGGTTCCAGCCAGCCCCAACAGATCATTCAGTACGTAGAGGCGCTACGAAGCAAGATGTCCGGCCCGACGCTCGAGTCTGTCTTGGACGGCATGCCCCCGACCACGGTCTCTGTGCGCACAACTGTTCGAGATGCGGCGGCCCTGATGAAGGAACACCATACCACTGCCCTGCTCGTGCAGGACCAGGGATCCATCACCGGTATCTTCACTAGCAAAGATATCGTGCTGCGTGTTATTGCTCCCGGACTCGACCCCGCGACCTGCAGTGTCGTCCGTGTGATGACCCCTCACCCCGATTTTGCTCCCAGCAACATGAGTATCCAAGCTGCGCTCCGGAAGATGCACGGTCAGTAGCCCCGCTTATGCCTACCCTTCTGGACAGAAGCAACTGACCCTGGAATGGTTAGACGGACACTACCTGAACCTGCCCGTGATGAACGATGCGGGTGAGATTGTTGGCATGGTGGATGTGCTCAAGCTTACATACGCCACCCTGGAACAGGTCAGTACCAACATACTCTCATTGAAGGTTCAAGGAACCAGTCTGACGTGGGCCAGATCAATACCATGCAATCTCATGATGACGAGGGCCCGGCATGGAACAAGTTTTGGCTGTCGATGGACCACGAGTCCGATTCCATGGTCTCTGGAAGCCAGCAGCCCGCGCAGCGGTCAGTACTTAGCCCTGAGTCTCCCAAGGCTAGTTATGACGCCCGAGACAGCGTTCTTCCGAACGAATCCGCTTCTCACCATGGCGGAGACGAGCACTCTGAATACCACGTGGATTCGCATCACGCCGAGCACATCCAGTTCCCATTTAAGTTCAAGGCTCCCAGCGGCCGCGTGCACCGCGTGAACGTCGTTCCCTCTGCCGGCATTGCCGAGCTGGTTGCTCAGGTCTCCGCCAAGCTGGGCCCTGAGGTGGAGGCTATCGGAGGTTCCCCCAATTGCGATGAGGGCAAGCTCAGCAACACGGGCTACGCTCTAAGCTACATGGACAACGAGGGCGACACCGTGTCGATTACCACTGACCAAGATCTGGCCGACGCAGTGAGTCTGGCCCGTAAATCGAATCGGGACAAGGTCGATCTCTTCGTCCACGACCCTACGCAGCCTCCCATTCCTGCTACCGTCGAGCCCCAGCCGGCCCCCTCCCGGCCTGTCGAGGAGAGAAGCCCCGTTTCAGAGGACCAATCCGAGGAGGAGCCCCTGGTGACGAAGCCGCGAGCCCAGTCCTTCCCTGCACACCAACCCGAGGAGCCATTTATCGCCGGTGTGCCTAACGAGTTGCTACTTCCGGGAGCAATTGTGACTCTGGCAGCCGTCATTGCGGGAGTGTTCATCCTGAGCCGGGCCACTTCTCGGTGAGCCGTGGTCACGATTAACCAAGCCCGCACGTTTGTATCTATTTCCTTGTTCGACGTCTCCTTTCCGTGTCATATATCTGTACCCCCAAGAGCGTTTCGTTTGGTCGAGTTTTGTGACTTTTCTCATTTATATTGGTTAATCTCCTACCTGTGCTGGTGGTCCAGTCCTAATCCTGCATGTCTTTGTTCGGATACCGTTGTGTTAGTGAAAGCGTAGGGTTGCAATTGCATGTATGACTCTCTTTCGGCTAGGGCGCACATGGCGATGGTGATGGTGATAGTGATGGTGATGAATTGGGGCTTTAGGATATGGTAATAAACATGATCAATTCAGATAGATTAAGGTACCTGGACAACTGCCGAATCCTGCCGATGCCTGACTGCCTGGCTGCCTGGGAGACTTACCGGAAGAGGGCTAGTGCGGCGGGCTTGGCGGGCTGGAAATTTCGGGGGGAATTTTGGGTTTTCTTATTGGGGCCTCAGGACGAGGACGTGAAAGATTATCGAACTTCGCTCCCAAGAAAACCCCCTCCCTCCCTCAGCATCTATCGCTCTCGCTCTATCTTTGTCCACGGGCGCCCCTCCCTCCCCTCCTGTTCGCCCGCAGCTCCGTGTCCGGCTGCGATGCTGAGCTTGCCCTTCACCCGTACTGGTCTTGATTAACTCAACTTGTGGTTCCTCCTTCTCTTTCTTTTTCCCGTTCATTGATTGACCTGTCTGGTTGGTGCCCATAGATACCGCCTCCCCCTCGAACCGGTCAACTTATTTCTTCCCCCACCAAACAATTTCTCAAGGGCCAAAAAAAGTCCCTTTCACCAACCAACCCCCACATCCAACTCCCCGGGTTCACCGCTGAACCCGTGTCTCTCGTCACCGCGATTTTGGTGGTCTTCAGGTCGGGTTGATTGTTCGCGTTTGAGCCGTCAAAATGTCCCTGTTACCTCCCGAGGTCCACTCGGCGCTCTCGCAGCTGCTGCGCGCGCTGTCCACCCCCGACAACACGATCCGTGCCCAGGCGGAAGAGCAGTTGAATAATGACTGGATCCAGGGTCGTCCCGACGTCCTGTTGATGGGCCTGGCCGAGCAGATCCAGGGTGCGGAGGATGTGCTAGTAAGTGTCCTACTAGGAACCCCCCCCCGGTGGGCCCTTGAAGCGTGGTCCAAGACATCACAGACCGGTCCTACAGACCACGGCGTTATTGCCAGACCGGTGGCTCCAAGCTTCCTCACGTCCGTGTTCTCATCATTGAATCTTTCCAGACACGTTCCTTTTCCGCCGTCCTCTTCAGAAGAATCGCAACCAAGACACGAAAAGACCCCGTCTCGAATGAAGCTAAGGAGCTTTTCTCGACTCTCACCGGAGAACAAAGATTGATCATCCGTCAGAAGCTGGTGACTTGCTTGACGAATGAGTCAGTCACAGATACCCGCAAGAAGATCGGCGATGCCGTGGCCGAGATTGCCAGACAGTACACCGATAATGGTATGAACCGTGGAGGACCCTCACGCGTGGTGAACCTTGTCAATCTGATTGTTACGGCTTAGGCGACCAATGGCCCGAACTTCTGGGCGTTCTCTTCCAAGCCAGCCAGTCCCCCGACGCCGGCCTGCGGGAGGCCGCCTTCCGCATCTTCAACACCACCCCTGGGATCATCGAGAAGCCCCATGAGGAGGCCGTTGTTGGAGTGTTCAGCAAGGGATTCAAGGATGATGTCGTCTCCGTATGTCGACCCCTGGTGTTTAGGCCCAAGCAGTTGTTGACCGGCGTGTGTACAGGTCCGCATTGCCGCCATGGAGGCCTTCGCTTCGTTCTTCCGCTCGATCGCCAAGAAGTCTCAGACCAAGTTCTTCTCGCTCATGCCCGACCTGCTTAACATCCTGCCTCCATTGAAGGAATCGACCGAGAGCGACGAGCTCTCTTCCGCCTTCTTGTCCCTCATCGAGTTGGCGGAAATCTGCCCGAAGATGTTCAAGAGCATGTTCAACAACCTGGTCACGTTCAGCATTAGCGTGATTGCGGACAAGGATCTCAGCGACCAGGTCCGCCAAAATTCTCTGGAGCTGATGGCCACATTTGCCGACTATGCGCCCTCGATGTGCAAGAAGAACTCCGAGTTCGCCCAGCAGATGGTGACCCAGTGTCTCAGCTTGATGACTGATATCGGCGTTGACGACGAAGATGCTTCCGAGTGGAATGCATCGGAGGATGTATGTGTTGTCCCCTGTTCTTCACGGCTGCCTGTGTGCTGACATTTATCAGCTTGATCTGGAGGAAAGCGATCTCAACCACGTGGCAGGTGAACAATGCATGGACCGCCTGGCCAACAAGCTTGGCGGCCAGATCATCCTCCCCGCGACCTTTGCTTGGATACCCCGTATGATGTCGTCTTCTGCCTGGCGGGATCGCCATGCGGCTCTGATGGCCATCTCCGCCATCTCGGAGGGCTGCCGCGATCTGATGGTCGGCGAACTGGACCAGGTGTTGCGACTGGTCGTGCCCGCCCTGCAAGACCCCCACCCGCGCGTGCGATATGCCGGGTGCAACGCTCTCGGCCAGATGAGCACCGATTTCGCCGGTACCATGCAAGAGAAGTACCACGCGGTGGTCCTGACCAACATCATCCCCGTGCTTAACAGCACCGAGCCCCGCGTCCAGGCACACGCGGCCGCGGCCCTGGTCAACTTCTGCGAGGAGGCTGAGAGAAAGGTGCTGGAACCGTACCTGGGTGATCTCCTGCAGCACCTGCTGCTGCTGCTGCGCAGCCCGAAGCGCTACGTGCAGGAGCAGGCTCTTTCGACGATTGCTACAATCGCTGACTCGGCCGAAAACGCCTTTGAGCAGTACTATGATACCCTGATGCCCTTGCTGTTCAACGTCTTGAAGGAGGAACAGTCCAAAGAGTATCGCCTGCTTCGCGCGAAGGCAATGGAGTGTGCTACGCTGATTGCTCTGGCTGTCGGCAAGGAGAAGATGGGCCAGGACGCGCTGAACCTGGTGCAGCTGCTGGGCAACATTCAGCAGAACATTGTCGATGCGGACGACCCGCAGTCGCAGTACCTGCTCCACTGCTGGGGCCGCATGTGCCGGGTGCTCGGCCAGGACTTTGTGCCTTATCTTCCTGGGGTGATGCCGCCCCTGTTGACGGTTGCGGCCGCCAAGGCCGATATCCAGCTGCTGGACGACGAGGACCAGATCGACCAGGTCGAGCAGGACGAGGGTTGGGAGCTGGTGCCTCTGAAGGGCAAGATCATTGGTATCAAGACCAGCGCGTTGGAGGACAAGAACACTGCCATCGAGCTGATCACAATCTACGCTCAGATCTTGGAGGCTGCTTTCGAACCGTATGTGCTGGAGACGATGGAGAAGATCGCGGTCCCTGGATTGGCATTCTTCTTCCACGACCCTGTGCGGGTGTCGTCTGCTAAGCTAATTCCCCAGCTCCTGAATTCTTACAAAAAGGCCCACGGAGACCAGTCGGCTGGATTCGCTGGCATCTGGAACAAGGTGGCGGAGAAGATTATCGAAGTGCTGAGCGCGGAGCCCACTGTGGACACTCTGGCGGAGATGTATCAATGCTTCTACGAGTCAGTGGAGGTGGTGGGCCAGAACTGTCTGTCCCAACAACACATGCAGGCGTTTATCGAGTCGGCCAAGTCGACGCTGGAGGACTACCAGCTCCGGGTGAAGGCGCGTCTCGAGGACCGGGCGGAGGCGGACGACGGCGAGGACGACAACCTCGACTACGAGTACGCGGTTGAGGATGACCAGAACCTGCTCAGCGACATGAACAAGGCGTTTCATACGATCTTCAAGAACCAGGGCACGACATTCCTGCCGGCGTGGGAGCAGCTGATGGCCTTCTACGATGCCTTCATCAGCAGCCAGGACCCAACGCAGCGGCAATGGGCGTTGTGTATCATGGACGACGTGCTCGAGTTTTGCGGACCCGAGTCATGGAACTACAAGGATCACATCATGCAGCCGCTGGCGGCGGGCCTGCAGGATCCTAACGCGGCGAACCGGCAAGCGGCTGCGTACGGCGTGGGCGTGGCGGCGCAGAAGGGCGGCGCAGCATGGGGCGACTTTGTGGCGGCCAGCATCCCCAGCCTCTTCCAGGTGACGCAGATCAACCAGGCACGCAGCGAGGAGCACGTCTTCGCAACAGAGAACGCATCGGCCAGTATCGCCAAGATCCTGCACTACAACGCCAGCAAGGTGCAGAATGCGACGGAGATTGTGGCCAACTGGATCGGCACTCTGCCGATCACGTTTGACGAGGAGGCGGCCCCGTACGCCTACTCCTTCCTTGCACAACTAATCGACCAGTGAGTATTCCTTCCCCCTTCTCACATTTCTTATCATACTAACCTGCTCCAGACAAAACCCGGTGGTGCTGTCCAACGCGGATAAGGTGTTCGGACACATCGTGGCGGCGCTGGAGGCCGAGACACTGCAAGGGCAGACAGCCGCGCGGGTGGCCACGTCGGCGAAGCAGCTGGTCGCCGCGACTGGGTTGAATGCCGAGCAGATCCTGGCGGGAGTTAACCCGGACAACCAGGCAGCGGTGCGCAGCTACTTCCAATGAGGGAATGGACTGGAAACTACGCTTTGGCATGAGTTGAATGAGAATTGCAATGACAACAATAACAAGGATATGGACTGTCGGGTTTCTTTTTCCGGTGTATAGCGGTTTCATGATGCGGCCGTAGTCAGGACCATAATAAGCCGTACATACATGCATACATACACTACCTATGATTACCACACACACACACACACACACACACACACACACACACACCGTACATAAAGAGAAAAAAAAGGGAGAAGGCTCATTCCACCACCATCTCCAAAATCTCCAGTACCTGCTCCTTCTCGACCAATGGCACTGGATTCGTCCGACACCATCGATCGCGCAGACTATTCTCCGCCAGTCCGTCCAGCTTGTCCCGCCCCACTCCGACTTCTTTTAATGTCCGCGGTAGCCCTAGTTCCCGGATGATGACATCAAGCACGTCTCCTAGGTCTGCCTCTTCCACACCACCATTGGTATCCTTCCCGGGGTACCATCGCTTCACCACCTCCATCACTCCCTCCTGTCGGAGTAGGAACCCACGTAACCGATCCTGGCGCTCGTTGTTGGCCTTTTTCTTGGCGTTGTATTTGCATACTGCGGGGAGGAGGATACATGATGTTTCGCCGTGGGGTACGCCGAGGGGGCCGAGCTACAAATTTTTTCAATCGTTAGTATATTCCTTTGCTTTCCTCTTTTTCACAGGAGAATGAATAGAAGGGATGAGTACCTGATGCCCAATCCCATGACTCCCCCCCAACTGTACCCTTCCCCTCGAACAAGCAGCCATAGCATCCACAGAACCCAAAGCACAATCCAACCTCGCCCCTAACCCTGTCTCCCCCTCTCCATCGATTTTACATCTGAGTAACCCCGGAACCAACAGCCCCAACGCATGCAAGGCCAATTGATCTGTTTCGGACGTCATGCCTTTCATCGCACAATACGTTTCCACGCAGTGATCAATAGCACGGATGCCTGTGCCGAGCCAGATGCGTGCCGGGGTGGTGCGGGTTAGGGTTGGATCGAGAATGATGAGTTCGGGTCCTCGCGTCGGGGATTGGAAGGAGTGTTTTTGGGGGGCAGAGGTGGAGGAAGTGTCGTTGGTGGCGCCGGCAAAGGGGGAGTATTCGCCGGCTGAGAGGGAGGTGGGGATGGAGAGGATGGGGATTGTTGGGGTATGGATGTTGGGGTTTGGAGAGGGGGTATCGGGGGGCGGGGTGGTGGTGAGGGTTAAGAGGGCATGGGGAGTGAGGGCGTCGTTGGAGAGGGCCTGTGATTGTTTTGTTAGTTTTTGGCTTGATATGTAGCTTGGGGTTGGTGTTTGTAGGGTGGGTTGGGTTGAGATTAGTGATCGGATAGAAGAGGATGAAATGAGGGCAAGAAAAGGAAGGATAATACCAATGCTATGACTTTCGCTGCATCCGTCAGACTCCCCCCACCCAGGGTAATCAGTAGATCCGCCTCCGCAGCTTTGGCTTCATGCACAATCTCCAACACCTCGGACCACATCGTGTGGCTTTTCATCCCGATGCGCGTGCCCACGACTTTATCCTGGCCCAGGGCGGTTGTGAGGCGATCTAAAGCATCGGTATTGCGGGCCAGTGACTCCGAGCAGAGGATGTAAATGCGCGACGCCTGAAAGAGGTCAGTGACGTGGTGAGCGGCGGCATCGGGGAAGGGGATGCCGTAGGAGAGGAGCGGCCGGGGACGGTCGGCGAAGGCGGGACGGAGGGTTTGGGTCATTGTTTGATGGTTGAAGGGATATATACATGAGCTAAGTGGGAGGAATAAGGAGGAAGGAGTAAAAGAGGAGGGGTCTGGGAGAACGGGGAGTAGTTATAGGCTGAGATAAGTATAAGTGATCACTGTATAGTACTAATAGTACGTACTAATAGTACTGTACTAGAAAGAAGTGGAGGGCATGTGGGATGTGGGGCGGGCGGGGCGGAGCGGAGTGATGTCATTCTGTCATCCTTCCAGGCCGGCAGGGATCGCTTCAGGTTTCCGCAAAGTTTCATCAGCAAATTTCCAGCAAAGTTTCAGCAAAGTTCAATTCATTCCATTCCCTCACACTACTCCTTAGCAACTCCAAACGCCGTCCAAAAAAAGCCGGGGTCCCCAGAATACAAGATCCTCCCGCCAACCTCATTAGTACAGTTAAATGATCTCCCATCCCTCATCTATCCCGTCCGGTCCTCCTCGTCCACCGCTGCCCGCAACTCCCACACAATGTCGTAGCATTCCGCCAGTAGCGCATTCACGCTTCCTTGCCCTTCGGGGATGTCGCTACCCACGTAGAATTTTCCGTCCACGCGCATGTTGTCAATCGAATTGAGCTGCGATTGTTAGCGAACCCCCAGAATGTCAACGCAGGAACCAACCTTCATGCTGTACGGGTAGAGTTCGCGCGAATTCGACACGCCCCCCGATTCCTGCACCTCTAGCAGGCATTTTCGCAGTGTCTGTAGCTGGTTGTATACCGGCAAGAGCGCCTCCGACACCGGTTCTGACGAGATCAACAGCGCATAGATGTACCCATAGCTCCGCCGGATCAGGTACAGTAATGTCTACAGCCAGTCAGCACAAGTCACTAACCCCGTGGGAATACCAACCCGCTGCGCGTGAATGTCCGCCGCATTGTCCTCCGCATCCACAAAGTTGCCGTTCACGCGCGCCTCGTCAATCCGGTCCAGTTTCCGCTGGTAGCCAAACAAATCCGTCTCACGGAGCGACCAGGCCTGTGTCACGGCAAGCCGGTCCAGCTGGTTGCGGATCTCAATCAGCCGGTCGTACTGCTCCTTGAAACGCTCGTCGATCTTCCCTTGTCTGCGACAATTAGCACGATATCTCCATTGCGCAGGCATCCCAGCATACCGCTCCAGGACAAGCTCAGTCCAGATCCAACACCGTTCCTTCAGCAGCAAGACGTCTTCCTGGGCGCCAGGGAGTGGCGCGCCCTCGGCATTCACAAATTTCCCGTCCTTCATTCCGTCCTCAAGCTTCTTCAACTGGGTACGAAGCCCATTGACCTCAAAAGAAGAAAACTACCAGAGTCAGCATGCGCGATCCCACAGGCAAAGACACACTACCTTGGAGCGCGTATTAACAGCCGAGGTCGACCGCAAGATAGACACCAGCGTCTCATGTGTAGCCGCCAGTTCCGGGCCTAGCTTGGCCAGTCCACTCTGCAACTTTTCCAACAGCAATTGGCATTTCTCCAGGCGGCTTTCGAGCAGGGTAATCAGGGCGGGTGAGTAGGCTTGGCGGCATCGTTCGAGGGTTTCGTTCATGTTCGCAAGGGTTTTGGTGATCGAGATCAGGTCTTTGGAGCTGTAGAAGCCGGCCTCTTCAAGGTGATCGAGAAGACGCTGGGCGGGTTAGTATGCGACGGGGGCACTCGAGACAGTATGCATACCTGGACAGTTGTCGCAAGGGAATACCTGAATTGGCGCAATACCTTGTCAGTACGATTCATTCGATCTAGACGGGAGCACCACATACACCGCGGGTGCTTCGTTGTTCCGACCGACCGTCAGAAAAAGCAGTGAGATGAGCTGGAAACAATCATCGAGAACATAGTCCACTGCAGCGACACCCAAGTCAGCTGGTCATCCATGGCAAACATTAATACACAGGCCCACTCGGTGCTAACGTCGGTTATGTGCTCGCCGGCGGTCCTGTTCCTTGCGCGCGGCATTGAGCTTCTCCACCTCGGCCACTACCTCTTCATATAGGGGAAGGACGTCGCGGGACTTGATATACGAGGACTTGTCCTGCTTGAGCAAGAGAAGCGCATCCCGAGTGCGCAGCAGACGCTCGAGGATTGGCTGCTCTCTCGGATCCAGCGGGGCGGGGACGGCGGGGGAGTCCATAGCTGGTGGGAGGGAGTAGAGGGGGGGCGGATGCGGATGAGGCGGAATTTCAGAAGAGTGGCGACTGGAACTGGAGAAAGGGGGAGACAAGCAGGCCAGGTGAAAAGAAAAGGGCAACGGTCGCAAAGTAGGCCATGGACGGAGGAGAGACGAAGGAGGGCGGAGGTATCAGGCGATGATGGCATCGCCGCGCGACCTGGCCCGAAAGGGACTAGCGCGTGGTCACGGGCGAGGGGCGGCGGCGCTAGGCCGCAAGAGGAGCAGCCCTAAGCGAGGGCTTCTGCGGCGCTCAACACACAACTTCCGCTCGGGGCAAAGCGTTAGTCACTCACCGTCCGACTCGACCAGGCCGTTACAAAAAAGTCTCCCGTCCTCCTCTTCCTCTCTTTATCCCCATCCCTCTCGAGACTCCAGTCCAGTCAACCCCCCGTCGACCATCATGTCTACTGCCGAGCTCGCCTGCTCCTACGCCGCCCTCATCCTTGCGGATGACGGCCTCGAGGTCTCCGTACGTATTCATCCTTGATCACCTGGGTTGGAAGGCATGGCAGGGTGCAAGGAAAGGGACAAATCAGTTGTCGCGAAAGAGGTGGAACCGATAATGCAGGCGAAAAAAATAATAGAAGGAAATCAATGATGGGATATTCAACGATTGCAGGGATGGAATATTTTCAGGCACAGAATCAGTTAGGCTAATGATGGATTTCGTGCATCACAGGCCGAGAAGATCCAGACTCTCCTGTCTGCCGCCAAGGTTCCCGAGGTTGAGCCCATCTGGACTTCCATCTTCGCCAAGGTAAATTGATCCGTCCAGTTTCGCAACATCCAGTTCATACCACGCGATCGCGATTCGATCGACCATCACCACTCTGGCCCACTCAAAGACTTACGCGTCGATTTCCACAGGCTCTCGAGGGCAAGGACATCAAGGACCTCCTGACCAACGTTGGTTCCGCTGGCTCTGCCGCTGCCGCCCCCGCTGCCGGTGGTGCTGCCGCTGCTGCCCCCGCCGAGGCTGCTGCTGAGGAGAAGGAAGAAGGTACGGATAACCATCCCTGCGGATTGAATGGAGGGACAACGAAGGAATGCGGATGTCGGGTTGCTAACTTCTTGCAGAGAAGGAGGAGTCCGACGAGGACATGGGCTTCGGTCTTTTCGACTAAGCGTCTTCAACCATTCGGGTTCCTATTTTCCTTTTTTTCCTCGTTTCCTTGCTACCTCATTTTCGCCCCTCGCATTTCTTGTACCTGATAGTACGCGACCGCACGAAGACCAAAAAGGGAAAATCAAAAGAAAGAATGAACGGACAAGGACATCCGTTGGGACTGGGCGCTCTGCTCGCATGATGGGCTCCGTCGTGACAGAGGTACTGGACCGGATGCCGCTAGGATTCCGGCCGTGGGAATGTCTACCTTGTACAGGTCGGGGGCGAGATCGGTTTGGCCGTCTTCGGCTCCGTGTCTGATGTTGTTGTGCTTGTTGCTAGTACTCGAGCTTAGGTGCCCAGCTCTCATGCAATGTCTGTCATGCGACCATGAGCAAACTCGTTCTATACCGCAGTAATTCGTAGGCGGATCATACCGTCCGAGACAGTAGGTAAAGTAGAGGTCAAATTATACTATACTGTACACGCCACATGTCTGCACGAATCTCAACAGACTCCGAACGACATCACACCAACGATCAATATCAATTATCAACATCAATATCAATATCCACCCCGCAATGCAAGCAATCAAGAACTTTTAGACAAAGATCCGCCGGACCCATACAGTACAACCCCAGGTCGTAGATGACACGCTAAGCCACCAGCAAATCACAAATCACAAGACAATGTAACAATGAAGGAATGCACGACGACGCGCTACACGGCCGGCGTCACCGTGTCCCGAGTCGCGTACAGTCGAAACTGCACGAAAATAGTAACATCCTCAACCATGGTGCCGAGCGAGCCAATCAACCACGGCACATTGGTCACGATATAGTTCTTTTCCGTGGAGTGGCAGATGATCTATACGTATTCAGTCAGTCTCGACTTATAGTAGAAATGGTGTAAATAGAATGACTTACTCCCGCGCCGTAGGTAAGATTACCCAAAAGCGAGAGAATGAAGAAGAGTAACGAGAGACCTGCACGCGTTAGCTTCACAACGTACCATAAAACAACACAATTATACATACCCTCACACGACTTATCGCAATAATTTTTGTAAATCTGCGGGAGACGCGCTCTACAACCCCCTTCATTAGCCCAACCCACCAAGATATAGGAAAGAAGAACATACCCAAGATAACAAACCGCACTAATATACCCCAACACCATCGCCCCAGGAGCCATATCCACGCCCCCATCGACCTCTTCAACCGGCGCAGGCTTCCACACTCCGGTGCGCCACGCCATCGTCCACCCCGCCATCCCAATTACACAAATTCCCAACACGCTGCTGAAATTCCTCACCCACGCCTTGCGCCCTACATCATTCTCCTCCACAATCTTCGCCAACATATCATCTTCATCCGCGTCCGCGTCCGCGCCCGCGCGGCGCCCGACATCGCTAAATCGTCGGCCCAGAAGCGGCGTCGTCGGATCCGGTGCATCAGCAACGGAGGATCGACGACGAGATATTGTCCCACTGGACGAGCGTCGCGCATTACGCGCCTTGTAGTACAGACATTGTCCGATGAGCACCCCGTCCGCGATACAGAAGTATACAGCGATGGCGACAATGACGGGGACGAGACCGGCCCAGGCACCTCCGATCAGATTGGTGATATCGCCGATAAACCAGACGAAGAGGAAGAGGAGGGAGATAGCTTCTGCGTTGCCATTGCGGTAGTTTTCGATTAGTTGAGGGACCTTGGGTTAACCTGTTAGTTTGTGTGGTTTGGGTAGATAATGCATCCATGGGTCTGAGGGCAAGGCCATACTAGGAGGAAGATCCAGCAGGTGAGAGATATCGAGCCCAGGAGGCCGGAAGCAGCTTCGCGGGTTGTGAGAGGGACGGTATCGGCATTGCTGCTGGCTGCTGACCAGAGGGTCGACATTTTGGTATGAGGTTGCTGGTGAAGAGAGGGCGACGACTCTTTGTCTGTCTATGACGGGGAGATAAGGACCGCCGGCTTTTTTATTCACAATCCCTTGCGGGCCGGGCGCATGAGGTCACGGGGAGAGGTCGCGATAAGGATGGGGGGATCGGTTCGGGGAGGAGGTCAGCTGGGGGAAAGTCTTGGATCCGGTGGTTGCAAAAAACTCAGTGTGGAATGTGTAGGGACCGCGAAGGAATGAAGCTATTAACAAGCGACTGAGTCAACGACTAACTAATGAACTAGAATACATTGGCGCATCGCTGCGGGTGGATCCGGCCGTATGCTTTTGACTAAGCTGCCTGCTGCGCCGCGGACTCATTGTGCCTTATCAGTCTGGTCTGGTTTCCCTATCAAGGGCTTGGGGGTTTGTTGGTGAAGGTGGGTTGGGTGGTTTTGGGGGCTCTCTGAGGTGGGTTGTTGGCAGGGCTGCGAGGCTGCGAGGCTGCGATGCGTGCAATCCATGCAATCCATGCAGGGGTTCCCTGGTACTACATAGTGATAGGTGGTACATCTTGTACACCGTTCAGATGGCATTGAAAATCATGTCATTCCTATGATTTGCTTTTGCATTCATCCATCCATTTTGCTGCCGCTAACACGCTATCTAGAAATCTATCTACATGACAACAGAACGGCCCACAGTAGATACTTACACCTTCCACTATGCAGATAAACCCCGGGTATCAAGCGTCATCTTCGTCATATTGGAGCAGCTGGAGCTCGTCGTCCAGCATGGCGACCGCCATGTCGCCCATTGCCTCCCGGATCGGCCCCTGCAGCAACCGGTTGCGCTCCGACTCCGGCTGGATAGATTCCAGGGCGTCCACATACTCCGTCAACGGCGAATAGTCGAGAACATCGCCCCAGTTCCCGCGGTCGACCCCGTACTGCTGGAGGAATGCTTCCAGCGTGTGCATTCCGTCGTTTAGCAGCCACTGTTCGAGGAGTGGTTGCTGGTCACCGCTCGGGTGTACCGGGGCACGGTTTTCCTCAGCCTCAGCCTCCGGGGGGACGTCGTCTCCCTGCACCTCCTCCCCATCACGCTGGAACCGAGGGAAGTGAATGGCCCCATTATTCAACTGGTCAAGAAGGTCCCGTAGCCATTGCGGCCGCCCGACGTCCGGCACCTGCGACAAGTAGGATGGAGTGGGGTCGGACTGCTGGCGATAAGCTTCCGACTCGTACGGAGGGAGGGGATCGGAGGAGGAAATGCGCCCAGCGACAAAGCGTCCCGGAAGGTGCGTCGTGACTCGAGGGACATCGGACAGCACTACGTGGCGCGCAATATCTAGCGTGATCTCCGGGGGTTCAACAGGCTCTTCTTCGTCGGGAAGCGTGTCGGCCACTTCCACAATCAAAGAAACCGCTTCCGGGGTGTTCCAGAGGTCCTTGGCGCGCGTAATGTAGAGTTCGGTCAACAGTTCATGGGCATCCGTGGGTGGCATCTTGCCCCAGATTTTCTTCGGCATAGGCTGGATGTCGAGCTCTTGCGCCAACTTGCAAAAAACCCACGGATAGCGTGACATGGCCTGACGTAGCTGTTCGCGGCATTCCTTGGGCTTGTTCAGTCGGAGATACGCCAGCGCGAGCGAACATTGGATGTTGGGAAGGGATTCCCATGCCTTGCTCAGCCGCGTCTGTGTGCATAGCTCCACAAAATGGGAGTACTCTCGGCCGCGAAGGGCCAGGTGATCGATCAGGAGCCGGACACAGTAGGGGTCAGTCTCGTTGAGACTCAGTAGTAGCTTCGCCCATTCATACGCTGTCCGCCAAGTACCCTTCATCCCAAGATTAGCAATATACCGCCAGCCAACCAGCCACAGCTCGCGGTTCTCCATGTGCACAAAGTCAAGCTTAGCCTGGCCTTGCTTCAGAAGGTTCCCGAACGATGAATGGGCGGAACGTCCGATGTTGAACAATGCACGCTCGAGTAGGTCGGCGGAAACCGCGTGATCACCCTGGTGCTTCGCGATTTCTGACACCTGGAGAAGAGTGGAGATATGGTAGGGGTTGTATTGCAGGAGATGAATCATTCTTTGGGGGTCCATCGACTCTACGCACATGTCGAATTGTCTCTGTATGTCCGTATACGCAGTGTTGTGAAGAATCTTGTAGAGGGTAGAGCCGTCCGGCAGTTTCTCGGTGAGTTCCATCCCAAGACCGCCACTGGGAGACCGGGGCCATTCATCCTTGCCCTGCATGAGGACGTTTCGCCGTTGCGTCGCGCCTGCCAGGCTCTGGCCCCGACTAGCAGGACTGTACCGTCCCGCCAAAGCCTGGCCTAGATCTAGCGTCTCTTGGATTCGGTCTCTCCGACGGCCTGACCCAGTGTCTTGGTCGAAGTTCTCCAACACCACATTTCCAAACAACTTGCGCATTTCGTTCGTCGCATTCAGGAACCTAGGATCAATGGCGAGAAGCACTTCCGGGGTTTTCGGGAACGAGGCATCGCGGCCACTTTCTGCAACGGCGTGTTTAGGGTCGACGGCCAGGTCTTTCAGCGCTTGGTCGAGTTCATCCAACTTCTTAGACTTAGTCTTCGGTGCAGCAGGAGTAGCCTCAGATTTGGCAGCCAGCTTCTTCTTCTTGTTCTTCTTCTTCTTCTTTCCCGAGCCCGCTGGCTTTGCGGGCACGGGAATATCTTCCTTTGGTTGAGTCACCGGCTCTGGCGTCTTGGTCTCGGCCTCTACCTCCTTCCCCTCTGCCTCGTTTTCGGATTCCTGCTCGTATTCATCGTCTTCATCATCCATTGAGTTGAGAAGATCGAAGGCGTTCAACTTCGGCTTTGACGGGCGAGACACCGGCTCCTCTTCGCTCGAGTCGTCATTTTCCTCGGCCTGCAGTGATGCCAGCTGCAGCTCTTGTTCGCGCTGCTTCTGCAGCTTGCGGAGTGCGCGGGAGGACATTCAGGAGTTGGTGGTCGATACAAATCAGCCGCAAAGTAGTCCGGACGGATCTCATGAAGATCACCAGGAACGGGGCGCAATGGGAGATCGGGATAACGGAATAAGAAAAGAAGAATCAAAGAAGCCCGCGCGCGGGGAATGACGACACTGCCGAGAGGGGCTTAGCGGGTATGGCTGTACTGTCAGACATGGTTTCATACCAGCCGGAAAGATACCGTTTGGTATATCAAGTACTCCGTATCACATGACGCAATGGCGGCGAGTTCCCGTGGCACCGTTGGCTGGATGGTTGCCTCCACCGCATCTCGCTGTCGGTTGGAGATAGCCCGTTGTTTCTCCAGATCCAGAATCTGAGAGTTGTCAGGACACCCCCGGCTCAAATACGTCTCTCTCTCCGCCGGCCCAATGCGTCGCGCGGCCTTTCAAGCTCTCCGTACTGCCCGTCGCGTGCCAGCATGGAAAGTCATCGGTAGGAAACCGTGCGCCGTGTCCTTCTCTAGCAGTCGGAGTCTCGGTCTACGTCCCTCCTCTTCGGGCAAGCATCCTTCATACCTCCCCGCCTCTCTCCACTCGTCCATGCATCTTCGAAACTTCTCGCTCGCTGTCATTTCGACCGTCGTCGCCTCAGGCGCCTGGTACGCTTATCAGGGCAACGCCGGCCAGGCGCTGAACGCTACCTCGTCGCAGCTACGCTCTTATGCCACTGTCCACGCCGAAGCCCCTGCGGAGTCCACTCGCCGTGCGCTGCTCGTGGATAATGATCAGTTCTTTACCGCCCCCCTTACTGGAGACCAGCCTTTGTCCAAGCACACAGACGATTCCGACCGCCGAGTCCTCGAAATGTTGACCCCGGAGCAGGCCACACAAAAGCTCAGGAAGAACGAGGAGTCATATTTGGTGAACCGAGGCAAGGGAGTGGTCCGCTACGATATCGTTCAGGTTCCGAGCAATTCTCCGATCGAGGATGATCATGCCGAGAAGATCATCGAGGTGCCATCCTCCCTGGCTGCAGCCAACGAAGGCGAAGCCAAATGTGATTGGATGTTCTGGGCCGTGTTCGATGGCCATTCGTGAGTCTTCACAGTCCCCTGCAAGAGTTTTTGCTCACTAACCATCTCTCAGCGGCTGGACGACGTCGGCCAAGCTGCGCAACGTTCTTATATCCTATGTCGCCCGAGAGTTGAACTCAACCTACAAAGCTGCGGCCGCAGACCCTTCCCTACTGACCCCGTCGTCCGGCGCCGTGGATGCTGCGATCAAGCAAGGTTTCACCCGTCTAGACGACGAAATCGTGCACAGCAGCGTTGAGAAGGTGCTCAAGTCCAACTCGCGCCGGGTCGCCGCCGAGATGCTTGCGCCTGCTCTTTCCGGATCCTGCGCTCTCCTTGCTTTTTATGACTCTCAGTCTAAAGACCTGAAGGTCGCTGTCGCAGGTGACTCCAGAGCTGTGCTGGGCCGTCGTAGTGCAAATGGTAAATGGTCAGCAACGCCCCTCTCCGAAGACCAGACTGGCGGAACTCCATCTGAGATGAAGCGTCTGCGGGAGGAGCATCCCGGCGAGCCCAACGTTGTTCGCAACGGACGGATCCTTGGGCAGCTGGAACCCAGCCGGTCCTTCGGAGATGCATTCTACAAGTGGAGCAAGGAAACGCAGGACAAGATTAAGCGCCAGTTCTTTGGTCGCACTCCCCACCCCCTGTTGAAGACTCCTCCGTACGTGACTGCCGAGCCGATCATCACTACCACCAAGATGGACCCCGGCAGCGGTGACTTCCTTGTCCTTGCTACCGACGGGCTCTGGGAGATGTTGAGCAACGAGGAAGTGGTCGGGCTTGTCGGCCAGTGGGTCGAGCAGCAGCGTGTCGGCACCGGCGCTAGCAACAAGACCTGGCTGAAGAGCTTGTTTGGCTTTGGAGAAAAAGAACTCCCTGTGGAAGCACGCAAGGCAACCGACTCTGAAGGCCAACGCCGCCCGATCCGCCAGCAGCAGTATGACATCGCCGGCGTGGCCAGTCGCTTCACCGTCGAGGACAACAATGCCGCAACCCACCTGGTTCGCAACGCCATGGGAGGAAAGGACAAGGAAATGGTTTCCGCTTTGCTGACTCTCCCGAGCCCTTATTCCCGCCGATACCGGTAAGCTTCCCTCACCCAAGTAAATCCTCCCCTGACTAACACCATCCCAGTGACGATGTCACCGTCGAAGTGATCTTCTTCGGCGAAGGTCCAGACACGCGCACCGTCACCGTCAATGAAGAGGCTAGCGCGTCCGAGAACGTCAAAGCGAAGCTGTAGCTGTATCCGCAACTGCCCAGTCTCCTTCCGCACAGCAAGGCATTATCGGCGCAAAAAAGACGCAAAGAAAAGATGATTTCATGATATTTGGATTTGGATTTTCATTTCTTTCTCTTGGCTTCCATCGTTTCTTCTCCTATCTCGAAATGGGCAGTGGGCTGGCGTTTTTTCTTATTTCGTGCAGGCCTGAGATGGTGATTTCTGAGTGTGCATTGGCATTGAAGTACACATAGAAATGCTACATAGTCTCTATTCAGTTGGGACAGAAACTGCAATTGTTGGATTTGGAGTGATATAGTAGACTTAGAAGGCTCCTTATATTATTATGAGACACTAATGGTACAGGTAGGTAGATGTGGGGTAGGATGTCCACTGCCATGCTCGCTGTCAAACAGTGCCTCCATTTCTATACAGTCGGCAGAGTGGATGGAGCTATGCCAAGTGAGGTACCTGAAGCAGATCTGGTCCAGAGCAATGTATCCCAATCCAGAGTCCATCAGACCCGACGGATTGGAGTAAGACCGGTTTTTATAAACAGTTCAGTCTTGGGCTATAGATAAACAACTGGACATGGCATGAACTGACCCCATCAGACAATCAAAGGGAGAGTGGTGCATTCCTTTCATCCAGCGCTAGGTATATATTTACCTGTAATCGCCATTCGAGACGTGCCTGGAATCTCGCAGCTGACCAAGGCGCGCGTCAACGGGCCGGGATGCTATGCTCCCCGGCATCCGTGGATCCATACTCGCCCACTGTTGGATGTCGCATACTCCACTTATCCGGCCGATCCGCGCCTCACTGCTTCGTGGGCGGAAGTGTTTCCTTTCCGGGCATTTTGTACATCATATATTTTTGCTGCCATGCGGGCAATGGCTTGGCTGGAACCAGGATCCGGTCTAGGATAAAGGTCTGCATTGTGGCGATGTTCGTACTAGTTACCCAATAGATCATCAATGCCGTGGGCATCTCCGACACAAAGGACGACAGTCCCACATTCAAGGCCAGCACCTGAACGAAGATCCGTAATCCTCGAAACGTAACTTGTTTGTACATCTCCAACTTGGGCAAATCGGCCATATTCTTTAGAGGCTTAGTCTTCCACCCCAGATGAACATTGAGCAGGATTGACAGTGACAGCGCCAGGGGCAGCATCCCCGTCGGATCTCCCGCCAAGAGATCGGGGAACCAGAGAGCACCCTCCGTGGCGAGCGAGGGCTCGATCGCCAGGGTGGTCGCAGGATCTGCGGACTCGGGCCTAATCAACGATAGAAGCCAGGGCACTAGACCACCGGTATTGCCCGACATGGCGCGGAGGCTTTCCATGATGGAGATCCAGATGGGCAATTGCACGAAGTTCATTGGTTTCCAGAACCGAGGGATTTTCAGACCACGGTGTACGCTTCGCTTTTTGACGAGGAATTCCCGCATGACAGCCTGTCTTTGTGCCGGAGAAGGTGGTGTCCTGTCTCTGTCGGAAAAGATACGACTCTTAATATGATGATGCCACGCGAGGGTGAGTGGGATCGCATCCCGTTCGCGAAGGGCTTGGACCTTGGTGTAGATTTGTAGGGGCATAGCCACGGACGTTCGGACGAGCAGAGCACTCAATGGGATGGATAGGGCCCATGGCAGATGGGAGATATCGTGGACAGCGTGGAGGTAGGTGGAGGATAGTTGCAGGGCTTCGTTGATTAAGGGCGCAGGTCGGGTTGGATGAAAATGCCGGACGTGCTGGAAAGCCGCCGTTTTGCGTGCGGGATGCGACAGCCGGAAGGCCCGCATGTTGACGAGCAATTGAAGAATTGGTTAAGGGTTATCGATTGACAAATAAGTATATACAAGAAGGGGAAAAGAAACTACCGAACGCTCGAACAAGGGGCAATACCTCAACCTCGCGGCACCGGAGCCGATCAGAGCAGACAGGCAGACGGAGATGGTGAGGATGCCGGATGGCTGGACGAAAACCAAATGTCACGTGATGTAAACACCTCACGTGGTGATAACCCCATATGATACATACGATACATACGATACAAGCGGTATGTATCGTATAACTCGTATATCGTATGTATGTATGTCTGTATGGATGGATGGTATGACGCGGTCCCTATCGATAAGAGTCTCCGCCGACGACCCGCTTCTTCTTCGCTTCTTCTTGTTCGTCTGGCCTCAACCTCCACGCTGGCCAATTCTTCTTTTCCGCTTCCCCATCCACTTGCCATGTCCGCAGTTGTCTCTCGCTAGCCATGATGCTGCTTATACTCAAGTCAATTCTCACCCTGCTCGCTCTCCTCGCGACCTGTGTGCTGCTTCCCCAGCTACCCCTGGGTCTTCTCCGCCTAGTTCTCCGCGGTGTTGGCTGGGTGGTCCTGAAGCGCACCCGCTCTCGCCGCGACTATATCGTCTCGCGCGTCCGGGCTGACGAGGAGGAATATTCAGCCCGTACAAAGCCTGCCTCTGCAACGGCTTCTGGTGAGGATGAGGACTGGGAGAAAGTCGACACGTCCAGCTCCAGCTCCGGAACAGCTGGCAACAACGGAAACGAGGAGTGGGATGGCATCATCGGTTTCTTCCATCCGTTCTGGTAAGGAACCTTTGCCCTTGTCTGAGATCCCACGCTGACCACTCTTACCTGTACAGTAATGCAGGCGGAGGCGGAGAACGTGTCCTCTGGGAGGCTGTGAGAGCAACCCAGAAGCGCTGGCCCAAGGCCATCTGCGCCATCTACACGGGCGACCATGAGGTCAACAAAGCAGCCATGCTGGACAGAGTCCAAGTACATCATTCATCCATCCATCGAATCTGTTCCTTACTACATACTGACATCCCTAGAACCGCTTCAACATCCACCTCCACTCCCCCACCGTCGTACTCCTCTACCTCACCACCCGCAAATACGTCGTCAGCAGCATGTACCCCTACATGACTCTTCTCGGCCAGTCCCTGGGCTCCCTCATCGTTGCCTACGACGCCTTCAACCTCCTCGTCCCGGATGTGTTCGTCGACACAATGGGCTATGCCTTCACCCTCGCCTTCAGCAAGCTCCTCTTCCCCTCCGTCCCGACCGCCGCTTACGTGCACTACCCAACCATCTCCACCGACATGCTCCAGTCCTTGGACGACCAGACCGGCCTGCAAGGTGTCAACTCCGGCGCCGGCAAAGGCTTCAAGGGCCAGGTCAAGCGCAAATACTGGATCGCGTTCGCCAAACTGTACGGCTGGGTCGGCGGCCACGTCGACGTCGTCATGTGCAACTCCTCCTGGACATCGGCGCACATCCGCACTATCTGGGGTCCCGCCCGACAGACCAACACCTACAAAGACCCAACCGTGATCTTTCCGCCCACGGCCGTCTCCGAACTCGAGTCCACCATTACCGTGACCCCCGAGACCGAAAACACCCGCCAACCGCTCATCCTGTACATCGCCCAGTTCCGCCCGGAAAAGAACCACCCCCTCCTCCTCCGCTCGTTTGCGCGCTTCCTCCAGGAGCGCCGAAAGCGCCAGGGCGAAACCTCAGACCCGGAAACGGAACCCAAACTCGTCCTCATCGGCTCCGTCCGCCACGCCAGCCCCGACGAGACCCACATTTACAACCTCCGACTTCTGGCCCACGAACTCCGCATCCGCGATCACACCACCTTCCTCTGCGACGCCAGCTGGCCCACCGTTCTCGACCATCTCGCCACCGCCTCCATCGGCGTTAACGCCATGTGGAACGAACACTTCGGTATCTGCGTCGTCGAATACCAAGCTGCCGGTTTAATCAGCGTCGTCCACGACTCGGGCGGTCCCCGCGAAGACATCGTCATCGACCTCGGTGACGGCGCAACGGGTTTCCGCGCCTCCACAGAGGAAGAGTTCGCTGCTGCCTTCGAGGCCGCACTCGCCCTCCCAGCAGAAGAGAAGGTCGCTATGCGCCTGCGAGCTCGCAAGTCCGCCCTAAGATTCACCGAAGAAGAGTTCTCACTCAAGTGGATTGGAGAGATTGAGAAGTTGGTACGACTGTAGTCGGTGGGGTTTCCTTCTCCCCTTCTCCGTCCTTCCTTCTTTCTTTGCTTTCATTGGCGTTTTGTCTGCATGGTTGGTATGTTTATCTACGAAGAAAGAAATATACTCTACTATTTTTTCCTGCTTGAACTCTAGGGACTGTAGGGTATCTTATTGTAGTGTTGGCTGTTTAATTGAGAGTTCGCTTGGGTTGGCGGGGGAAAGGAGAGGGGGGGATGTTATAGTAGGTACGCAGGGTACAATGAGGAGGGGTAGAGATGTTCTTTCATCCGTTGTACCTAGTCTGCGGAGTCGTCAAACGACTACACTAGTCCCAGTCAGTAATAGATGAGAGCTAGATATTACTAGCTGTTACTAGTGTCGATCCGACTAGAGTAGTAGTAGTGCAGGGAAATGGAATATACTATTGGAATGATAAAGAGGAACAAATTACCCTCATGGTTAACCAAAATCAAAGCCACACATAGCATGCACTCAAATGGATATATCCCAACGCAAATACCATTTCCTCGGGTACCTTGCACACGAAACAGATGGAGCATCTTCCATGGGTATGAAGTCAAAGTTCTTCGTAATCACATAACAAAATGGCTGGGCAGGCCGGTTGGGAATAGGGCAGAAAAGGAAACGCGAATCGAAGATCATCAGTATCTGAACGAAAGTGAACCCGCCGGCATTGGGCAACCACCAATCCTCCTGTATCTCAACGCCAAAGCCCTTTCTATCTAAAATCGAAATCATGCCGAACCGTGCACCCGTTCCGTGCACCCGTTGGCTCGGATTCCTGTTGGATTGAAAATATCACCTTCCAATAGAAAGAATGGAATGAAAGAAAAAAAAATGATAAGTGGAATGCCAAAAAAAAAGGGAAAATAACAAAAAAGGATGGGTCATGAAAGCGATGGCAGGCAGACCCGGGCTGAAAGATAAAAAATGATGGGAAAAGAGAAAGAGAAAGATAGAAAGTTAGGACTCTAAATGCCGTGAAAAGTGTCATGCCCTCCAATCGGTTTCTCGGTAGCCAGATTCTGCAGGGTTAACCCCTAGCATTTGGCCGGGGTTGTTCACATCATATATATTGCCCTGGCCACCTCCGTAGCCCCCGCTGATGCCGGAGACACTACTGAGACCAGATTCGTCATCGTCAAACCCAAATTCTCCGCCGGAGCTCGCATCAAAGCTGCTACGTCCTCCTATGTCGCTGTGTTCGTCTGCACTGGCAGCTATCTGGTCCCATTGCAGGTTCTGCAGCGCTGGGTATTGTGCCAACAACGCGGCAGGAAGAACGAAATTGCCTGTGTGTTGGCCATCCATCCCAGGCACCATCAATGGAGGTGGAATTGGCTGCAGATGTTGTTGCTGATCCATCATCGAGCGCTCCCGCTCCTGTGATTCTTCGTCCAGCAACGGCTTGATGCAGATCCGACCAGCTTCGGACCGGAAATGACGGCCCAAAGCATCTGCTCGAGCGAACCGCCGGCCACATCCCCACTGTCCTCCCCGGGACAGGTCGCCTCGGCAGACAAACTTCTTCTCGCCCGAATGCAACCCTTCGTGACGCTTCCGATCATGCTGTCGAGCAAAAGCTTTCCCACAGACAGTGCACACGAACGGCCGTTCATCGGTGTGGGTCCGTAGATGAGAACGTAGGTTGTAGGCCCGTGTAAAGCGCTTGGGGCACAGATGGCACTGGAACGTGGCAGGATGTTTCTGAACACGTTTCGAGTCATTGAGACTGGCTCCAGGTCTCTGGGGATCTGCAAGGCCAAGGATGTAATTACGGCTATCGATCGATGATGTCGACAAACGCCGGCCAGACCGCGAGGGAGATGGCTCACGGGAGCTGGGGTTGCTGTGTGGTTGTCGCCCCATGGAATCAAAGGGCGACAGCGACCGCGGCGACGGAGGGACAAATGGTTCCAGACTAGTCGAGGTAGAAGATGACCGCGCGCGAGAAGCTGGGTGGGCGTACGGGTCTGACTTACTGCGCATGCGGGAGCCTAACAAACTCAAGGTTAGCATCGTCCAAAAACCGTTAGGCCTGAGCTAAAAGAAATCGAGTAGGAGCAACTTACGCATGGCGACAGGCGGGCTCAGCGAGTCCAGGTCCGCGGCCGGCTTAGCCTGCGGGAGATTCAAATTTCTGGACGGGGGAGCGAATTCCACGTTAATGGATGGGGGCGCCATTTGCGATGCCTGGCCCATGTCTCCAAGGCCTGGGTTTCCTTGAGCTACCATATCCCCATAGATGTCGGTCGGCGGGGTGGGGTATTGCATATTCACTGCTGGAGGAGAAATATATGGCACGTTGGGGATCATATCCGCGCTCTGCTGGGGCATCAACTGCGGCGAAATATACGGACTATGGGCGGGGCTGATGCCCGGCTGTGGGTGTTGCTGCTGACCCTCGGACAGGGTGAAGGATTCGATGCCGAGGGCATTGTCGTAGAGGCCGGGATCATTCTGGGGCGCTAGGAGCGGAGAGGGGTTGTTGTCCACGCCATCGAAGGACTCATGCTGCGACATGTATGGGGACGGGGCGGCGGACGATACCTCGGACACCTCCGAGGGGGCTCGTCGATGGCCCTGAAAGGCGGAATTGGCCATTACCGCTTGCCAATCCGTATGCACATTACCCGTCATGTAGGCGGCGGTGGCGGGGTCCAAGGAGGTATGCCTAGAGTGTTGCGGGGTGTAGTAAGTCCCGGGGGTGGAGCTCGGCGGCGACATGGGTCCAGGAGAGGAGTGATGATAGCGATCTTGGGGGGAGATTGGGGACATCTGCGGGGAGGCCGAAGGGTGAGGGGAGGGTATCTGGCTGATCAGGTCGGCTGGGTTGATAGCCTGGCTGCCCGGTCGGGACTGGCCGTGAACCTGGGGATCAAGCAGCAGCGGGGAGTCGTAATCCGGGGCCGCCGTGCTGTTTGGGCTGGGGTTCTGGTAGAGCGCAAAGTCGAAATCGGACGGGTTCGAATTCAACAGATTGGAGAAGTTCTCGTCCGGTGGTTGCTGCTGCGATTGCTGCAAGGATAGTCCCGTCGACTGGTCAAGTTGAGGGACTAAGCCAGCATCGAAGGAGTGTGGGAGCTGAAGGCCGTGCGAGTAGGTCGGGTCGGTCGGGGCCAACGTCTGCGCGGCGGAGGGTGCGGAGAGATAACCAGCGGGGTTGTAGCCGTAGGATTCGGAGGCGCCAGGATGGGAGGGGTTGTAGGAAGCAGTGGTATAAGGAGCAGTGGTCGACGCGACCGAAATATCCAAGGTCAAGCCAGTGGAGGGATCGTTATAAGGGCTGACGCTGCGGCTCTTCATCCCACCCGGAGATTGCCCCGAGTCCTGGAGGGTCTCCTGGGCTGCCATGACGAGAGGTTCCCAAAAATAGACACCACGCGACGCAAGGCTGAGGGCAGGTGAATGCAAGGTCTGTTCAATCTGACAGCCAACGCAGGAGCTGATGGAACGCGGGGATGCGCGAGTGAGACGTGCCGAAGGAGGGAGGGTTGGGTGGGCGGGTTGGCTGTGGACGAGGAGGGGGGGGGGGGAAGTCGAGTAATTAGTGGATGACGGCGTCGGCCAATTCAGGTACGCAATGGTGACTCAGTCGGAACTCAAGCTGTTATTCGCGTGCAAGAAGGTGGACACGAGCAATCGGGTAGGGAAAGGGGGAAAGAGAGGGAGAACAAAAAGCAGCAGAGGAGGGCGTTGCAATTCAGCCTCGTGGCGCAGGCATCAGCGGTCGGTCTGGAGGGGAAGGTTTCACATTCTCGGGGCGCCAGAAGCGCCGGGGAAGATGCTGGGAGGGTCGATCCTCGGCCGCTAGTCAGGGAGGACGAGAAGGATGCAGGTAATACTGGAAGTGCAGGTGAGGATGAGGATGAGGATGAGGACGGGGATGGAGAAGAGGGAGGGAGGAATGATGCTGATGAAGAGGAAGGAGGAAGACGAGAAGTGGAAGTCCGACGACGGCGCCTGGATGCCTGATTCCCCCGGCACGTGCAGTCGAATCGCCTGATATCCTCAACCCTACGACCAGTAGGTACTTAGAAGTCGTTACTGCTATGCCTATTTATTAGGAGATCCCCATTGGAGGTTGCCTAAGTAGACACCAGGGAGATTGACCCCCCTGGTACGGATAGAATAATAATAGCATCGCGGGTTCTGCTCATCCATTGGAATCGACAGAGAAATCTGTCTGTCGCCGCGGTTGATCGGCCAGCATCTGACAAGGCAGACTGCAGGATCCACCGCGAAAGTGCTTCCAGGATGAAAGGGGGGCCTGGGACTCGGGATTGGAACGGTGGAACCAAAACCGTTGGCGTAGCCTACAGACACTCAAAGAGAGAGAGACGGAGAGAGGAAGGGAGAGAGAGCCTACTATCCCCGTCTTGAGAGACCTTGATAGACCTTGATAGGGTGATCCATCATGGAAGGGGGAGCAGCCCAAAACCCAAACCCAAACAAACCCAATAATGCCAATGAGGGAGGATGATCTAATCGGGCAGGAGATAGATGGTGGATAAAAATAGCCCCTTCTTCCCCAGGCCGTATCGCATGCATGGAGTCTATCGAAAAGACAAAGTACCAAGTAGGTAGATAGTGATACTGTGATAGAGGTTTAATCATGACTCGACCGCCTGCAGCATCGATTGCCAGCGCCATGCCCTAATCCGCAGCGCAGCCAACAAGCCATCCAAGAATCCAGCTTTCCCCCCACCTCCCACCTCCCCTCGACATCCTGCGAGCCGAAGCATCGGCAGAAGTCATTATTAGATTATGAGGTATTCAAACCACCGATCCTCGTATTCCCGATTGTGCGACAATAATCCCCCTCCCTCCAATAACCGTGCGTCCGGGCGGTGGGTATCCCTAATTCCCTATCCCTGACCCTCGAGACTCGAGACTCTCTCGAGTCAGCCTCACGCATCAAGAGCCCGGACACCCCTGTCTCCGTGTCTCGTAAGCTCTGTGCTTTAATTTCCTGCCCTGATTAGCCGCCGTGTACTCCGTAATCTGCTTGTCGAATCGCTGATCCTGGCCTGGTTTCCGGCGCGACTAAGCATCGGATCGCTGGTGCACAGCCACCCAGCTGACTACAGGCCCATGGTTCACACAGGCTTTCGACAAGTAGGCGGCCCGGTAGTTTCTTTTCTGGCGGGTCTACTTTTTTCCAATCGGAAACTTTCTCTACGGATGACAGCTACCTCGAGCCTTCTTCTACAGGATGTAGAGTCGTCGAGTCTTGAGAGCAAAAGAGTCCCGATGTACACACACGCTAAAATACACTACCGATATACAGAATCTTTTAGCACAGAGCTCAAAGGTCTTCAAACACAGTGACGCTCTCCAACACCTCATCGGTATTCACGTCCACCATCAGGTTGTCCGCACAGCTGGAACCCAAGGCCGCATTGCCTACCCAGGCCGGCTCCCAATAATAAATGCCCAAGCCATCGGTGACGTCCGCCACCACATCGGCCAGTTTTTCCAAAAACTCTTCCTGTCCCGCGGCAGAGAAAGGAATCGAGCTCAGATCCGAGGGGAAGTCATAGGCCGGGTCTGGGCATGACACGGGCCAGTTGGTCTCAACTACAACCACCGGCTTGGAGTAAGTCGATTGCATGTTACTCAGACTGGTCTGCAGCGCCGACAGGCTCGCGTCCGAGTTGTAGAATGGGTAGTACGAGACGCCCATCAGGTCGAAATCCGACGACACCAACGAGCCCGTGGCGAGGACGGTGCTGTAGAAGTATTCTTGTTCTTCCCAGTCCCAACCATTGTCCAGGTGGATCATGATCTTTGGTGTTGTGGTCTGGTCCGAGTCCTTCACACCCCAGGCTCCCGAGTGCAGCAGCTTAGCGATGTTGTCGTAGTCAGGAGTCTTCCCCAGCGGCCAGAGAAGTCCGCTCGAGATCTCGTTGCCAATGGAAACAATCTCCAGGTCGATGTCATTCTCCGCGAACGTATTGCAAACTTCAAGCGTGTAGTTATACAGTTGCCAGGTGAGCGTGTCGATATCTGTGGTTGACCAACCGGTAGGGGTAGTCTATCTCCTGTGTCAGTGCCCGTTTCCTTGCGCTTTCCCTCAGCCCGGTGGAACTTACCTGGTCACTTGGGTCTGCCCATGTATCACTCAGATGCAAGTCCAAGTAGATGCTCATGCCTGCAGCCTTGACACGCTTGGCCAGCTCCAGGTTGTAGTCGAGGTCATACGATCCATCGCTGGGGTTCACCCACAACCGCTGTCGGATCGAGTTGACTCCATTGTTGGCCAGGATGGTCTCCAGAGCCTGGGTGTCGCCGTCCAAGTTCTTGTAGCTGATGCCAGCCTCTTCTTCAATGATGAGGGAAGAGATATCTGCCCCGCGGTACGTCAGGGCGGCGCCGCTGAGAAGAGGCAGCGAAGCGAGGAGGAGAGAGTAGATCATGATGACGGTCGTAGTCAATGATCCAGGAACCGCGATCTGATAGAGCGCCAGAGCTGATCGAAGCCGGCATCAGCGCTCGCTTTATGGCCGTCTGCTGGCCCCTTGAAGCCATGTCCACCGGGTCCATCCTGGAAATGGCACGGAGACAGAGGAGGATGAAGTCGGCCCATGTAGATTAAACACCACCGGAATTCTCTCCGGGTTTAATCAAAGCCGGACGGCAGTGAACGGTAGGCGACCATTGCGAGACACCAAGCGTTTCAATATGCCCGAGCCATTGGTGGAGGAACCTGACACCGTCTGTGCAGATCGGCCGTGTGGCACGTCCGAGCCCTCGTCTGGCACCCCCGTTTACGTACTCCGGACCGCATCTCCATCCCTAAGCGAGGATGCGCCGGAAATAGTCTGCGCATTCCACCCACCAACTCAAGGTCAGATGTTCGCCGCCACCGGGGCATTTGGCAGACTGCCACATACGGCACCTCCGAGGAATCGGCGGTCGGGACTCTCCGGAAGTAGGTAGTAATATCATCTAAGAGACGCTCTCGGGCCCTTCTACTGACTCGTCATCTGCTCGGTCGGTTTCACCTTTTTCTCCCTCCCCAAGGGGGAGCGGGTGACATGACCCGCTTTTCCATGGCATGGCATGGCATGGGCAGCCGAGGGGACAGGCGCACCCAGTGATTCGTTGGATGAGTCTCTCTCTGTATTGTTGTTCTCTTCAACTTTCGTCTTTCGACTCTCTCGGTCTCTCTCTTTGTCCCCTTGGTCATCAACATCATGTCAATCCAGGCCCAACCCACCCAGCAAAGCCAGACACCATCCGCGCTGCCACCAGCTATCCAAAAGAAAAGAAAAGGCAGGTGCGGTGTATATCCTGATCCTCTCCCAAAGCAACATTACATACAGGAAATCACAGACCCCAAACCCAATGCATCGAACAGACCCGATATATATAGACGCAGGAGGAAGCAGATACCAGCTAGGAGAAACCCCGGCGTCATCCGCATGCAAGCAAACACAGCAAAGGGAAACAGAAAGAAGAAGGCCGAATATGAACGTGCCGCCAATGCAAATATATGTACAAGCAATGTATCTGTATCTCAACAGATCTGGAACCCTAAGGAAGTTCCCTGTATGCCAGCAAAGGGACGCAACAAGCCGGAACGAAAGAAAGGGGGGCGAAGAAGCAAAAGACCCCCCTTCAGAAATTGACTAAATGATATACACGCAAGAATTAGACCTTAACGAGAAAAGGAGGAAGAAATAACGAAAAGCCGTATAAACAGCTCCTGAAAGTGACGGATGAAGACCGTGGTGTTGGTGTCATCATAGGTAAAGAGAATCAAACGCAACATCATGTAACGGTCGTGAAGGAAACTTTTGATGTTCCCTGCCTGCATGGCTACAACTACAAGACGCCCCAGAAACGGCAAGCGTGCGTTGTATCATGACTTTGGCTGTCCCGCACGAATGATTGGCTTCTGAGGGGTTGCCCTCTTTTTGCCAATAACAAGGCCCTCGTCTTCAGACTCGTCCTCGGAATCATCTTCGTCATCACAATAGTAGCGACATTCGTCATCTTCTGCTGGGCGCGATGGACTAGGACGCCGGGCCTTGACGGTCTCGCCAGTACGAAGGATGGAAGGAACCTGAGCCGCTGATTCGGCATCCTTTTCCTTGAAGCCTGCCTCACCAGAGAGCGACGACGCGCCTGAAATCACAGATGGGATGCTGGGGTGAGAGGTGCTCTGGGACATGCCGCTAGTATATTCGTCAATTGACGACGAAGAGATAGTAGCAGCCGACGGCGGTGATGTCGTCAGTCCTCCTGAAAGAGGATCGCCGGAAGAATGGTCATTCATCGAGTCTGAGGCTGGCGGGTGAGTCTCTGCCCGCGGGTTTGAAAAGTCACCATGGCACGGCTCGTGCTCTCCTCGGGAGATATAATCTCCAGTAATGGTCGGCCCGATCTCGCTCCGCCTCTTCCTTAGCAATGCCTCCTTGGTTAGGTGGAATTGCTCGGGAGAATGCTTGCCTGGAGGCTGGTAGGATCGGTTTCGCCGATGGCTTGAGATCCCTGAGAGGGAGCCATCCGGAGGAGTCAAAAGCGGCTCCTCGTTCGACAGCAAGTTGCAATGCTGCATTTGACCCACAGCGGATGCGACACTCAAAGCCAGACTGGGCTCGGAGTGGTGGTCACCATCCAGAGACACGGTCTCACCCGAGATAGACCGATCGGAACGCCATTCTCCAGGTTGAAGGCCCCTCGCAAGCCGGCGGCTCGCGCCGCCAAAAAGACCACCGACGTTCGTAGTCCCAGGCGTTTCTACACGGACAGGAGTGCCAGCACTCTGTGGTGCTGGTGGTTTCTTGTGATCGGATGGCTTTAGGGTCTTTGCGGATTCGGCGGTGGACAATGTGGACGCTGCACGTTCCGGAGGGTCGGGGCGCGAAGTCTGATCGTGCGATGGGACGGAGTCCGGCTGGGCGAAGTAACTGGTCTGATCATCACGACCCACGGGGCTTGCGGTCACACTCTGCGAGAGAGGATGCTCGCCCTCCCTGGGCAGTCGGAGAGAACGGGGAAATTCCTCGTCCCCTCTGAGACTGTGTCGCCGACTATCCCAAAGGTATTTCCCAAAGGCGGTGCTGCCCGTAGTTGAAGAAGAATCGGCCGACGGAGCATTGCTGGGAGTCCGCTTGCGACCATCCTTCTCCTTAGACCTTCCGGTCAGATAGTTAGACCATTTGGCGACATTGGATCGCACGCGCTGAATGAACGGCACTTTGCTGACGGCGGTGGTCACTTCTTCGGTTGACACCTCAATCCTTTTCCCCTTGCTTTGGTAGCCCGGATCAGTCTCTTCCACCCAGGCTCTAGGATTAGGAAGGCCATGTAGAACCCAAGGATGATGTTTGATCTCCTTCACGGTGATACGTTTAACCGGGTCCTTGGTCAGCAGACGCTTAAGCAGGTCATATAGTTCGTCGTCGATGTCTTCGTACACCAGCTCATCTTCCATCCGCTTGCTGCTGTCGTCATAGCGAGGCCATTGACTGACGGTTTCGGGGTCATCTTCCACGGGCTGTAGTCGCTTTCGCGGGATGAAGACTTCCTTTTTCACGATAGTCTGGAACATGCTGTATTCATCGTCGGAAACGAAAGGTAGGCGCCCGAAGATCATACCATAGAGGGTTACACCAAGAGACCAAACGTCGATAGCGCCGGTGATCCGAGGGGCTGCGCCAAGAGAATCCACAAAATCATCGCCTGTGTAGCACAGCTCTGGGGCATAGAAAGCTGGTGTCCCGACGGTTTTGGACAGCTCGCGAGCATCATCCAGCTCGGTAGCATCCGTCTCCTCCACTTGCTCTTCTTCCTCGTCTCTGATGGGTCGCCCCAAATACGACACACCAAAGTCAGAAATCTTCACACGATAGTTGCTGGTCAGTAGAAGGTTGGCGGGTTTGATGTCACGGTGGATAATGCCTTGGTAATGAAGATATTCAAGGCCGAGCAACGAGTCTCGAAAGGCGTTGCGCGCTTCATTGAAAGTCAAGCAAGGCACGTAAGACATATCGTCGTCGTCATTGAACCATTCTGGTTCGGAAGGCGCATAACCAAAGCTGCTTGACGCGGTACTAAACCGTCTTTCAAACGAGTAATCTGCATAGGCGCCGTACATACTGCCTTCCACGGCAGCCAGTGCGGAGTCATGGCCTGATGCATAGGAATGGCTCGGGGAGGATTGGGCATCATCGTTACTCATGATGGAGCGACTGGGGATGCGCGCAATCATGCCCTCGGGTTCGACGTCCTCGTCATCCGACTCTGCACCATGCTCTAGACTCCAAGCAGGAATCGGGGCTTCTTGTGCATATGCTGCCTGCGCTTGACGTCGTTCGCGCGCCTTCTCGCGCTGACGACGGAGATGCTGAGCGGTTTTTACATACTGTTGATTTTCCTCCAAGAACGAGGGTGTCTCGGGAATGCCCGCCCTTTCACGCTCCAGACGGCGCTTATCGACGTGCACGATCTCCCGCAGTCCTCTCTTGCGCCAGATAATCTCTCCATTTTCGACATACTCGAGGACAATGTAGACCTTTTGGCGATTCGGATCATCGATGACTTCCAACAAACTGACCACATTGGGGTGCCGTGCTTTCTTTAAGATGGCGACTTCCTTCTTAACCTTATCCTCGGGGTTTCCAAGTTTTCCGAGGCGACGGCGCTTTGAGTACCGCTGAACGATCTTGATTGCCACTTTCTGCCGGGTCGTAACATGGCGGCCGAGCTTCACCTTCCCATGTTCACCGCGCCCGAGCTCCTCGAGGATCTCATACTGGTTGATAAGCTTGTTTCCGGTCACAAGGTCTCGATCCACCTCAGCAGTATGAGTCCTGTCGCAAAGATGCTTAGTCAGAGATCCGATCATACTTGATTGCGCCGAGAGGGTTGATGGGGTTAGAAGTGATATCTGACTTACTCCTTAGGGGGCTGGAGGTGCGTCGGGTGAAGATACGGACTACTGATGCGGCCTTCGTCGTCAGACCCAAACGGAGTCGTCGACCGAGGGCTTCTGATAGAAAACAGGCCCGGACTGGACAGGGGAGTGTTCCCCGCTGTACGTGAAGGACGCGACGGCGCGAACTTTGTCGCCTCAGTCCGTGACGGGTAAGAACTGCGGGAGCGTAGGAATGGAGGTTGGTAGGTGGGGTGGATCTGAGATTGAAGGACGGCGTAAGACTGATCAGGATAGACGGGGTACTCTGCGGCGTGAGTCTCGGAGTGGCCCAGGTGGGAGATCCTCCGAGAGGAGATGGAGCTCCGGCCAAGAGCGCTATGATCCGACCGAGCATCGACGACAATGTCTTCGTTTAATGCTTGAAGGGAGCTCGAAGACGTGCGGGTCGAGGGTGACCTCGAGGTACTGGAGGAATGGTATAGATGGGGAAACGGGTGTCGAAGAGACGTTTGGCCATCTGTGAAATCGTTTGGCAAGGGGAGTTTCGCGTTTGGTGGCTTAGTGACAGTCTGCCTGGCATCTGCCTCCGTTGGCGCCGGGGACGAGAAGTCCTCAATAGACTTGTCCGAACTCCGCCTGCGCACATGGTCTGATGCCTGGCCATTTCGGGCAGCCAAACTGATAGGTTCCTCCAGGCCAGGAACTGAAGGAGGACGGTCCATTTTCATATCTTTGATTCAGCGAAGACTCTCCGAGTTGCAACTGCGCATTCTCCCCTTTCCGGGCCTGGTCTAGTATCCTTCGCCTATATCCCTTTGCGTATTATATGGTTCCTTCTCCGGACCTATGGGTCTTCCCAAGGAATCACTCAATTCAGGGCGAGCCGACGTGAAGCTCTGATGGTGCGCACGAGTGGATCGGCATTACTCTCGGAGCTTGACTCGGAGAAGAGCAATGAAAGCCATGCGGGTCAACCTGGGGAGGAACCGTGTACCGGACAACGGTGGTAGCAAGACCGATATTTGAGCGACCGACCTGCTACAGCGCCAGGTTGCAGCCGATGGTCGATAGTTGCGCCCGGGGATCCGCGGAGGGAGCTGGGTTGGGAGCCGGGGATGTTCGCAGATCGGTCGGAGAAGAGATCCTTGAGAACGGGGTTGGACCAAAGGCCAAGAGAGTGTCTAGATATAGTAACAGAAAGACACGATGGTGTAGTATCCGCTATATAGTGAGGGGGTTTCCGTCCGAAGTCATGAAGAAAAAGGGCAAATAATTATACTGGCGACGGAATGAATTAAAAGAGGTAAAAAAGAGGGGGTAGTTATCCGCAGGTATTGAAAAGTAGGAGACGGAAAAGCAAGGAGGAAACAGAGAAATGGAGAAAAAAGAGAAGAAGAGAGGAAGGGGGGATTAAGAAAAGTGGTCGGTGGTGTTGGAAGGAAAAGGGACAGAGATGGGAGAAGGAGGAGGAAGAGGGAGAGGAAGAGAGAAAACGATGTGATGGTGGTTCGTCAGTAATGAATAATGGGAGGAGTGCTCAGGGTGGTGTTCACGGCGGCGGGCGGCAGAGGGTCAGGCAGGCTTTTGTCAGGCGGGAGGGACTGGGAGGGACTGGGAAGATGGGAAGGAGGGGGAAATAGCAATAAGAACAGCACACCAGCGAGTCCCTTGAGACTTGAGGAGGGAAGTACAGTGGTTTACAATACCCGATGGGGAGTCATAACTGGGGTCGAGAGCAAAGTAATGACGGGGGCCCAGAAAATACTACTGAGGTACCGTACGGCGTACCGACCTCGAGGGGGGCCCGATGGAAACGTAGGGAGATTCTGGATCCAATAGCCGGCCGGTGGGGATGTTGAGACTTGAGACTGGAGCCAGCCCTCCTCCTCCAGTCCAGTTCTCCCGCTTCCACTAGCATCATAATGGAATTATTGACTTCATCGACAATCCCCTAGTGCCCTGAGAGATAATCAATCAGTCGCTAATCTTATTCTTCCGGTCATTATTGTGGCCACTACTATAGTGGTGGACAATAAGGACACTGCCCGCCAGTGAGTGGACGGCCATGCCGTGACAAGCCATCTCGGCCGGCCATCCGGGCTTCCTTGGCAGTGGTTGGGACCCTCCATCCCATGGGCACCACTTAGTGTCCATGCCGGCAACGGGAGAGGAGGAGGATCCTCTTTAGCTACCTATCTACTCCGTAGTAGTATCTAGTTATCTCCATCGGAAGAGGGGCAAAATGGAGGGTGCATCTTAGGCTGAATTCTACCTTAGCTTCATTCTTGTTCCTTGTTAGGGTGTGTCTACCGTTCATGAGACAGTTGGTTGCCGACTATTTTATCTACTGCATTAGAGCCTTTCATTATTGTGTAGATAGGTAAACTATCTGAACCCTTGTTCCAGCAATATGTACTATGTACGGAGTAGAGACAGAAGAATCAAATGTATTTTCGAAAAGGATAAATAATAATAAAAAATGAAAAAAAAGGCGTTCCATCAAACTCCAACGCTGTGTTGACCCGTGGCGCCCATCTAACACAGTATTATCTATTATCGTGGGCCCGTCTTACGTAGGGGACTTTTTCTCCGGCCATTTATTGTCAGCGAGTCATGGCTCTCCCCCAATCCACCCCTTGCTGTTCCCGTCATCCTATCGCGGAGGTTTGTCGTGCCTGAACGAATCCTTCGTGTCACTCGACGAGGTTGATTATGGTTTCTTCATACTTGGCTCACTACGATACCTATCTATCTAGTACCGACTAAGTAGACTATCTACGCCCATGATTAGCCCTACAAGTTCTATCGATATCGAACTTATCGAGGCGGTAATCTGTGTCGTCACTGACACCTGTCAGTTCGGCCAGCGAGCGAGTCCGGCATCGATCTGGATCTGTTGTTCCGTGGGTCCAAGGAGGTCTATCCCCAACTCTCTTCCAAGTTCCGCCCCATCCTAGTTCGACAGAGAAATCCATTCTAGTATCTTCCAGTCTGATCCGTGAATGCTCAGCCTGGAGCATCAACCACCATGTAATTCTGATCGACCGACACTTGAGCACCCATGTTTCTCTGGCACCTGTCTGAGCCCCCTATAGGCCACGATCATTCTGCCTCCTGGACTAGTAGTTAGATAATAATGTTTGACTGCGGCTTCATCCTCCAATCGAGATGCAGCATCCGCCTTTTAGCTCGGCGCGAAGAGCTTGGGCGAAGAGGTCTGTGTTCTCCCCGAATCCAAGCTCGCAGCCACACGAGCACTTGCTGGAGAACCGCTGTTGGGTGCCTGCCCGAAGAGGCAAGAGCGAGGCCGGCGCAGACAGAGAATCTCGTCGAAAACCGCCGGCGAGCCATCAATAGAATTTCCATCCAGTGCCTCCACCCTGGGAGAACCGGTTGCTCCACACCTGCGCAAGGCCTCGGTCGGTCTTTAATTTGGGTGTGTCTAGCTCTTGACCCTGGGTCTGGAACGGCTGGTTATCCATCCCAGGGTTCGATTCTATACAGACGGCCCAAAGGCGGGCGCACGGCCATTGGAGCCATGCCTGTAAGAGTGGCCCGGCTCCGATGCAGGAGGCCATAGGCATCTCCAACCCACTCGCAAATAAACATTGTTGGCCCATTAGAGGTGGGAGACCGTCAAGGATTTCCTGCCTCTGATTTGCTCATGCATAGCAGCCTGATTCGCTCCACGAGGAGTGGCTGCTTTAGCGGCAATCCGCCTTCTCCCGCCCGTCTGGCATGGAACCCATTGTTGTTGATTGATTGCAACTTTTTTCCATCGTCAAAATTCCGGTGGTCCATGGACTATAGAAGGCGCCTTTATGGGTCTTGGAAAGTGAAAATCTATCTATTGGGATATCTTCCTTGGTCCGTGGCCAGCCAGGACTTTGGCCGCGAGGCGGGAGGGGAATGCTTGGGCCGACCATTGGACGCATGGTAGCATTCTCGAGATACCTCAGATTAGTCTGGTCTCAGAGTAAGCTAGTGTGAAATCCTCTGAGGCACCTTATTGGTCCTCGGGACGCACTGCAGGCATGCATCTTCATTCTTGCATTCTCATCGGGCTCCTTTGATTCCATTCGGTCATTGGCCCGTTACCGACGTCATCGGGGCCCAATGCTGGTATGCTACATACATTAGACGCCCTGAGCATCTCTCTCGGAGCTTATCTAATGGGTGTAGTGCGAGGATTTTTCGGAACTGTATAGACATACCATTTCTTGGCATGTCATATACATTATGCGCGCCGCCCTATGGGGGTATCCAGTGCGGTTGATTAGTTGCCAAGGTGCTCCCATCTAATCCGTGCCTGGGTGAGCACCTTGACACACCCTTGTGCGCTAGGCCAGTGCAGTGATCTGCGTCTGCCTGTTTATCCATTGCTAAGTACCTAGCGCCCCGGTGTCGCGTTTTTGACAGTGAGGGGTAGTTCACTAGGCAAGCGAAAGGATTATCGTGCTACATCCCATGACTGGGATCTGGCTCCCACTCTAGTACAGACTGAAACCACACCTCGTGGATAATGAGCTTTGCCCTCTGTATCTCTCGCTTATTGATCGGGGTGGGGAGGGGGTGTAGCTGTTAGCCCGTTCTCCAGGTCTTAACTTGCCGTCAGCGCGGGGTACATGGCCCTTTACTTTGACAAATCTGACCCATATTGGTTTTCGAGGCCGTTGCAGTGGGTATTCGCACGGCCGTGGGGGGGGGGGGGTTGGCTAGGACGTTTGAAATCTATGTATATGTTTGTCGATCTCGTGGCTAATGAATGCGCAGGTTGATATTTGCCCCATGGATCTCCGGTGTCATGTCCAGCTGGATCGGCAAGACCATGCCGGTCTTGCATGTCTACTTACTGGGTATGTCGATATGCGTCGGCTGCGATTTCATCGCAATGACAGTACGGCGTCTTCTCCATGTTTGCCTGAAACCATGACCTATGGGGACAAGTTTATACCGACACAGGTTTATCTTTGGATAACTTGGATAAAGTCATCTGAACCTGGGGATTATATGTCACCCAGAGGGGCATTACGGTACTTTCAAAGGTGGCGGTTGTGAGCAATGCCTTATCACCTGGACTCTTTCCACATCGGGCAACGCTGTGTGAAGATATCCTGTCGTGCAACCATCTACTATTAACCGTCTTTGTCCTTGTGCTACTTGGCTGGCATATACAGGCCAGGGGATGGTGCACGTGTGGGATTATTGTGGACACGGTGGTATAGAACAGTTGTACTACCAACCTATACCCTGCCGTTCTCGGACCCCTGGAGATATATACACAGGCCAGTTGTCGAGATGCTAATCCACCCGTACTAAACCTTCACCACATGTCGTAGTCGGTTCCAAACTGACAACCAAGACTAAGAGATTCGAGCCTTTATCACTGCCCCGCAACACAGGACACCAACTGTATTGTTACGCAACACCATGCTTAGTTTACCCCTAAGACAAGAAGGTCGTAGCCCCTACGCCAAGCTAACCTGGTTGAGTATTTGAGTTTTAGTACCTTATATACTTAACACTTAGTGCTTTTATCATAACAACAGGTGCTGTGGTCTAGTGGTATGACGTCACGTTGTGGCCGTGCCAGCCCCGGTTCGATTCCGGGCAGCGCCAATCACAAATAGCTTTTTGCCTTTTTTTTCCCCCTTCTTCTCATTCTTCATCCAGATATCCATACCCCACTCGCCAGATATGGATATCTCCGCCCTAAATCATATATAAAGCTATACACTAAACAGCTTCTCAGACACAAAAAAGTAATCAATACCAGCACCACCACCCTCAACAAACATTCCAGTCCAACCAACCCCCCCCCCCCCAAATAGTCTCATCAAGGCAATTCCTAATCCAGTATCCTGCATACGCTCCAACCACAATGACTGGTCCTTGTACCCTCAACCAAGCTTTTTAGTGTCCTCTGTATACGGGAATGCACATAACCAGATTGGATGTTGGGGTGTTATGGACATGAGACATTATTACTGTAGGTGACAGTACGGGTTAGTTTGCGACTAGATAACTAGTTGGCTGGGGGTGTCATCCCCGGGGGTGTCTTGCCAAGTAACTAGCTACCAAGTTAGTTGAACTAGCCATGGCTGCAGCTGGGTGTCTCATACGTAATTAACTAGCTTATAGTATGTAAGTGGATGATAAGAGTCTTGGGAGGGTTAAGGAATACGCCTGCAGACAGTATAGATACTGTACTCTGTAGTACCCTGGTTACGACAAATCCAAGCTGGATGCATGGGTGGATGGATATGTTACTCTGGGCAAGTCACGGAGCATCCCATCCATTATATCCCGTCCTCAATTTTTTTTTTACTGTAGTAGCGCTCTGCTTCTCTCGGGAACCTGTAGGCTGTCATCTCGTCATAGATAATATGTTTGACTTCGACCTGCATAGTATATAAATGAATATAGTTACCTAGACCCAGATAAATACGAAGTGAACCTCCCCGTATCATGGAGATTTCTCCCTTGCATACCACTCTTCCAGGTGAATCTCAGTCAGAACCAATCAGAAAGGAAACGGATACGAACCTGCCTCGGATACAAATGAGACGTGGATGCCCGGGCGTGTCGGTTGCAACTCTACTTACCTACCTATATCAAGCCACCATTATTCGGGATGACAGTACTCCGGGTATATGTATACTAGTAAGTTACCTAGCATGTGCTTAGTTGTGGGCGGCATGTATTGTGCCGTGTGCCGGGATAGATATTATTGAATATGATACTGCCTTGCTCATTGCCTGGATAGGAAATTGAAATGATAAGATTGGGCAAATCTATGCATGAGCTATAACTCGGGTATAAAGTTAGCGTTGCGTCGGGTGCATTAGGAGGAAGAACAGGGGTGATAATATCTAGGATTATTAATGAGTGCATTGTGGCGTTAATGCCGGGGTGGTCTTTTTATTAGGTGGTTGCGCCATTCAGGAAGATGTATTGTGGTTGGTTCCGTTGCTCTTGACCCCATCAGTGTGGCATTATATAAGATGACTGGTATTCTAATAAGGTTCCTGACTGGGATGGAATTAACCGGAGGTGACGGTGACATGAGCTATCCATCTCGGAGCTGAAGTCGCAATCCAGCTACGGATGACAGCGCCACGGCGCAGTTGTCGGTCAGCCGTTCTCCGGCTGTCAATGGAGAGATCAGCATACTCTAGATATCCAGCTGCCTCCATCGTGCTGATCTGTGATATGCCATTAGCTGCTGGATGGTCAAGCTAGCTCTTTATCAGGACTATTGTTTGCTTTGCCTGCAGCTCGGCCATACATACCGAGACCCCACGGTGATATAGACCTTGAATCTATACTGGGGAGCCCTCGTTATCCAAAAACGGTGTCTGTAATATCTGACTCTGGCCAGCTCAATCAGTGCTGTCGATCTCTCATTCGCGCGGCAAGAGAGTTCCTACACCCCTCTGAACCCAATGAAAACAACAGAGGCCGATGTACAGCACAACACCAGATAAAGACACTTACATGTCATAAACAACTTGGATTGGTTGATGTTATGATGCATAACCGGACCGGGTCTAAGCGGCAGAGGCTGTAGCCTAATGTAAGTAACCAATGTAGTGGTGCCCATGTATACACTGCGCGTCCATTGATACAGCAATACCATAACTCTTCGCTCAGATGTGCACATGGCAAGTAGGCATGTTGGATGCGGCCCGAGTACGCGCATTTGGACACCGGAGTCCCCAGAATTGGTCAGCTTGGTGAGCAGCTTTGCGCACAACATGTCATGAACACAGCGTCGAGTTGAGGAGACCGAATGAGCCGCCAGAATCGCATGCTCAATACAAAACATAGCCATAAGGTTCACTGCAGCGCCTCAGGTGATAGGCACAGCTATAGTGGCAATAACTTTCACCTGCGCACAAGTCAACAGATAGGTAGCTGCAGCGAGCCCTTTTGGAGGCTATTGATCCAGCAAAACCCAGACCTAGCGCGTTACTAACCTTGGCAAGGCCTGTGGCGTCCAAGCAGAAATGGTGTTTGAAGCAGGATATGGGAAGTATAGTTCTAGCTCGGACATCTGAAGGCTGCCTCCGAGGTCAGGTGTCGCAGAATGGCGATGTAGAATCCCGAGTTGCAATAGACTTCTCGTTTCCAAAGCCCGAACCGAGTGTTTCCGAGACGCCCTGGTCTTTGCTTATTCTTCATGTATTGCTATTGGCCCCCAAGAGACGGTCACTGCATTGGTCATGCATGCTAACTGCTTCGACCGGGAGGGCGCAATCTTGCTGATCCCCAACTCCAACACCAACTGTAACAGGGGGTACGAGCACTGTTTGATTGGCTCACCGTGCTCCTCGCCACCACCCCTGAGCCTTGGATGTGTTGGCTTTACGTAGCAGATGAGCTTGGGGTTGTTTTCGTACCGGTGAGCCCGTCAGGAGACAGCCTCATGGCAGGACACGGCCTGTGCGGGTCTAATGAGACCCGTGGGATGTGCCTGTGCATGGATCCTCTGTGCGTATTGAGACGAGAAGAGTATCTATCAGCTGTAATCCATAGGTTGGGTTGCGGAACTCGCCACGGAGATCGGCCTGACCTCGTCAAGGGCTGATCAGTCCGGTCGAATATCAAACAATGTTGATGCTGGCGACCAGTGAGAGGACGTCTGAGCGCGAGGAAGACCGTGCAGATCCGGGCGACAGTCCAATGTGGACTGGCAGTGGGCGCACTGACTCATGGTGGCCAAATAGATCTTGCAGTATCAGCATCGGCATCAGCACCAGCCTTTATCCGGAGGAAAGTCAGGCCAGCCTCACCGGACCTTGATCCAGAGTTCGACGTAAGGCGGTGGTTGTTGAATAATAATGGGTCGGACTTGGGTGGTGGTGGTTTCTTCGGCGGTTGGACGACTGACGAGCCCCGCCATGGGCCCCACGAGGATGAGACCGCTAAGGCCCGGCTAAGGCGTGCGTCTCCAGTTCGGCATCACTTTCTTGAATTCACATGAAAGTCGCCGGACCCGGGCCTTGGTTTATGGTTAGTTAATTAACGGGGAGATAATCCTGGCAGGATCTTGGCCTGGTTGCTCCGGGCTGGGAGCAGTTGGCAGGCCAACGGAGATGAGGTTCCTGGGTGGCCCCACACCCACTACTATCAAGTTCGGCGGATTGTCGGTTTGCTGCCTGCCAGTCCGATGTTTGTTGATGATGCTGTGATGCTGTTGCTCCTGCTTTGAGGTCCAGTCCATGAAGAAAGAACCCCCATTACAGTTGATGATAGCCTGGAGGATACCAATGCCAACATACCAGCCGGTTTCCCCCCTCCCCAATGTACACAGTACATAGTAGATAGATACTAGACAGATAGCTCCCTGTAACCGTTGAACTAGACGATCGCCGTGTTTCAGTTTCTCCACATGGTCAGGCTGCTGCATGCCACACATCATCCACGGGCACCTGTCATCCATCCACGATCCCTCATTCTGGTTCCTTCACCAGCTATCTAGGTCTATCGATAAGAGATCCCCCCTCAACGGTCATCGAAATGTCCGGCCAACAGCATCATCAATTCTACCTAGCAGGGATTCTGCTCCGACGCGCGTGTTTGCATGGATGCAGTGCCTCGCCCCCCTTCACGTTGCCAGTGCAACCGCCCGTGTTGACGGCGCAATCATCGTCGCAGCCCCTCAGCAATTCCAGGCCTCCGCTTCAGACTGGACAAGGCTTGGGAGGGTCCGCTAGCCATGACGATGGCCTTAATCAAATCTTCCACCCGGAGACTCCAGATCATCTAGAATCGGGCCCGATCGGCCGTGATTGGGATCTTGCCTGTTGACGATTTCTTTTTCCCTGTCAATATCACCTCATCACTTGTGCAGTTCTTCACACCATCACCTCAGACTCCAGCTTGAGATTGCCCTGTCAACTTCAAGGAACCACTTTGTCTTGTCCTTCCTGATAGTTCTCAACGCGACTCTCCATGTCGGCCGGTCTGGCCTCCAGACGCGCCTTTTAAGTCGTGCTAGCGAGCCAAGATCGACGGCTTCTCTAGATGCAGTGCGATTCGTCCCAGACCGCCGCATTCTGTTGACGCCCCTCGAAGCTCTTGCCGGCCCTCATGGATGTATGTCTCCTGCGAACACACGGAATGCGTAGGGCTGTTGGCGCCCCTGTGGTGTCAACACTCCTTATCCTCCTGCTTTTGGTCGTTCCCACTTTCACGGCAGTCCCATACGCTCCTTCACAGCTCCTCTACTCCTCAAACAGCATTGGCTCCTTTGCCTACCTCTTGCAGACCACTGGTACTAGCCAGGATGCTTCTACCGAGTTCATCACGTGGAATGTGTCAGGGCAAATCAATACTGCGAGCCCCAGCTACAATATTCTGATGGACCCATTGCCGTTTCAACTTGACGAAAAATCGCCCGCCTTTGTGTCTGTAATCGATCAGCATGGAGTGATCAAGATGTTTGTAGGCAACTGCCAGAAAGCCCTGGACAAGGCGGGGATGTGGCAGTTTACGCCCGACACCAACAGCTCCACTGGCGATGGAGTGTGGGAGAAGCTCACTGTGATGGAAAGCAGTACAGGCGCCAGTGTGGATGGGCCGAATTACCTCTCTGCGGGCTTTGCATATGCGGCCACCAATACCTCCGACAGCTCCGTCTACGCCTTTGGGGGCATGTGCCCTTTCTCGAATGCCTCGGAAACAGATTGGATAGCTGCCGCCAATTACTCCCAGTCCATGATAGTCCTTGAACCGTCGGGCTCCGGTAGGATTGATTCCTATGACGCTTCAACCACCGGTATTCGAGCACCGCCTATTGCAGAGGCTGGCTTCACAATCACTCCATTGCAGGCCACCTATGCATATTCATCGAGTGGTGAGGTGCGTCAGCAACAGGACTTCCTTCTGATCGGTGGCCAAACCCAGGAGGCATTTATCAACATGTCGCAGCTGGCGGTTTTCTCTCTTCCCCAGAATAGCTGGAGCTTTGTGACGGTCGATACCGCATCTGCTCCCTACAAGACCGAGCTCGCTGCGCGGGGAGTTTCCACGGCAGAACCGAGGTCAGGACACACGGCAGTTCTTTCCCCGGATGGAAGCAAGGTCATAGTGTACGGGGGCTGGGTCGGTAATACTAGCGTCGCTGCTCAACCGCAGCTAGTTATACTAGAGCTGGGAGAGACCTACGGAGGCTCCGGTGACTGGTCTTGGAGCATACTGTCTACCGAAGAAACTGAAATCGCAGGAGGGGGTGGGCTTTACGGACATGGAGCAACAATGCTACCTGGAGGCGTTATGATGGTTGCAGGTGGGTACAGCATACCGCATTCATCATCGTTGTCGACATCGAAACGTTCAGCCACGCCGTCTCAGCCCAACACGCAGGTCTATCTGTACAATGTTACTTCAGAGAAATGGGTTTCGTCCTACCAAAACCCCGATTCCATTGTCATCCGGCAGCATTCATCCGGTTCTGGGTCGACAGCATGGAAGACCGGGCTTGGAGTTGGAGTCGGACTGGGAGTCCCCGTTGTCGCTGGCATCGCCATCCTCATATTCTTCCTCTCGCGGAGGCGCCAAAAGCGCCGTTCGCGAGATCGGGAGCTTCGAAAGCTAGCTCTGGGCGCTGAAAGAGCCCACTTCTGGGGTCGGGATGAGCCTGTCATGGCGAGTAGTATTCGCAAGCCTGCTATGCAAGAGGCGGACGTGAACAATGACTACCCTTGGACCGCCAATCGTGGATTTGGCCGGTCATCTATCTGGCGCGATAAAGGAGACGCAGTCGCAGAAAGGACTGGTCTGCTTGGGGATACCCTCAATCCCACAACCACAGGCCGTTCTGGCTTGAGCGCGAGGATGTATCGACCGCCCACACAATACAGCGAGTACCGGAGAAGCGACGCCACTGGCGATATTCATCCAATCGACGAGCGGGAGGAAGACGAAGCGAAAGACGCAGGGAGAATAGTCACCCAGGAAACGATTGATACCTTTAGGGAGTCGACGTTCTTAACTCCTCTGAGCACGACCGTGTGCGGAGAATCGTACACTACTGGCTCGGCTGAACCATCTGACTATATAGCTGGAATCGGCTTCGACAGAGACCTGCCGTCTTCTCCGGACAGGGACGGCCGGACATCATCCAACCTCTCTGACTCTTCGGCGTCGGCCAAATCGATGCATCAATCCCGTATAATCAACTTCAGCTACACCTCGAGCCAACCAAGCAGCGGGCGCCAGTCACCCCAGAAAATCGCCTCTATGTCTGCCCTCAGTCGAGAACCAACCCGGAGCCGAGCGAATAGTGCGGCACTCTCATTCGAAAAACGCTACTCCTCTGATTCCTACTCTACCGCTCAAACTACCCTCTCCCAGAGACAAGCCGAAGGCGAGCACCTCCTTCGCGAGGATCCCGAATCTTCCTCTCCGCTCGATCTTTTTCCCAAACCCACCACCTTCCCCAAGCAAAGAGCATCCGAATGGATCGGCAGCAATGTCCGCAGAGTCCTCTCTCTGACTCGAAGACGCCCCACAACGGACCCAGACCCGACTACGGCACCCCTAGCCTCCGGCATCGACCGAAGAAGCATCCTCCTCGCTCCCACCCCTGCCTCAGGATACGGACTCCCGCGCCGCTCCGTAAGCGCATCGGCCGAACTCTTCAGACACAAACAAGGAGCCAGAGACTGGGGCGCGGGAAACCGACTCTCACGTAATATCGAGTCCCAGGTTCGTTACTCTCGAGACGACTCCGCGCTACACGGATTCCTAGACCTCGGCCCAGACAGTGACGAAGACTGGGACGTGGAAGGAGCTGCCGAAGGCCGCCGCGTCCAGGTAACCTTCACTGTACCAAAAGAGAAACTCCGCGTCGTCAATGCCACAGCAGGCGAACTGGATAACTTCTCCGAAAAGTCTGTCAGCAGAAGCAATAGCGATGCTGCCAAGTGAGCTGTGCTTACCTTCTTCCTTTCTTGTGACCTTTTTTGGGTGAATGAATAGGATGGGTGTCTGTGGCGATGGTTGCAGTTGTGTTGATACATACCCATATACATACATACTGGGTTTCTAAGTTTTGGCTGTTGATACGATACTCCATTCGTTACGTGTTGATTTTGATGTCAAGTTTATAGTGTTTTTTCCCCCTTCGTTTCTTGTCTTATGTGGTTCGATTGGGATGATGATGACGATGATTCCGATGAAGGAATTGTGGATTTACGAGCTACGAGTGGAATGAATGAAAATGATCAGGCTGATCCAATATCCCATAGTCCCATGATCAATGATTGAGTTGCGTAGCTGGTGTGTATCTCGTTTTAGTTCTGCTGCAATGCTCCTAGACTAGATTAGTAGGCAGGACGAATGAGCTCGGCCATCTCTACTCCTATTGGTAGTATGTACTAGGTAGATTGTTCTATAACCTTGGCGTGCTACAATACGTATGACAGAGTAGCTAACACCGTGAAAGATGAAAGAAGGCTCGTCTGTTGTCATGTATATATATGTGTGTATGTATGCCATGACGGACATGGAACGCCAGCGCGATTTTGAGAAACAACTAACAAACAAACAAACCCGAGATCTATACCACCAATCCAGAAGTGATATACCAATAAGATCATTAAGTGTTGAACATGAATGAATATGAACATGAACATGGACATGACGTCACTGTATTCTAACCCGCATGCATGGTGCCCAAACAAGAAAAAATTTTAACCCAAACCCCAAGCCTCGTGCATGTGCAGCTTATGCGTGGTTGGCGCCCAGAGTGGGACGAGTGGGCACGGTGTTGGGCAACGGAGGCAGGAGGGTCTTGGCGCTCTCGCGGGCGTACTGAGCCATGAGGGCGTCCATAACGACCAGGGCGGACATGGCTTCGACAATGGGGACGGCGCGGGGAGTGACGCAGGGGTCGTGGCGACCCTTAGCCTCGAGGATACCCTCGCCGAAGTCGTAGGTAGCGGTGGTCTGGGCCTGGCCAATGGTGGCCGGGGGCTTGAAGGCGATGCGGAAGTAGATGTCGGCACCGTTGGAGATACCACCCTGGATACCACCAGAGTTGTTGGTCTTGGTGGTGAGGCGTTGCTTGGTAGTGGTGTTGGGGCCGAGCTGGGTCTCGACGTCGGTGACGACGAAGGGGTCGTTGTGGATGGAGCCGGGGACTTCGCAGCCGCCGAAACCGGAGCCGATCTCGAAGCCCTTAGTGGCAGGGATGCTGAGCATAGCGTGGGCGAGCTTGGCCTCGAGCTTGTCGAAGCAAGGTTCACCCAGACCGACGGGGACGTTACGGATCACGCAGGTCACGGTACCACCAATGCTGTCGTGGTTGTCACGGAACTGCTCAATCACCTTGGTCATGCGTGCAGCGGCCTCCGCGTTCGGACAGCGGCTGGGCGCGAACTCGTCGACAGTGGTGCGAGTGATGGTCTTGAGCAGGTTCAAATATTCAGGGTTGGTCGAGGCGGTGGGGTGCTCGGGAGTAGGGGGGAAGAGGTGTTCATTGCCGACGGAGGAGACGAAGGCGACAATCTCAACGCCGTGCGACAGGCGAAGGTACTTTTCGGCGATGGCGCCGGCAGCGACACGACCTGACAGTGGGGAAGGTTATGTTAATGGAATGTTTGTGGGGACAATCGGCCTGAAGCAATCCACTCACCGATGGTCTCACGGGCACTGCTGCGGCCACCACCGCTGCTAGCCTTGACACCGTACTTCTCGAGGTAGGTCAAGTCGGCGTGACTGGGGCGGGGGTACAGGTCCATCGTGCTGCCACCGTAATCCTTGGGCCTCTGGTCCTCATTGCGCACCATCATGCCAATGGGAGTGCCCAGGGTAACTCCAAACTCCGTGCCGGACTGGATCTCGACGCGATCCTTCTCATTCCGAGGAGTGGTCAGAGCGCTCTGACCAGGGCGTCTCCGAGTCATCTGGGGCTGGATGTCGTCTTCGGTGAGCTCCATTCCTGGCGGGCAGCCATCGACGATGCAGCCGACGGAGCGGCAGTGCGATTCACCATAGCTGGAGGGAAGAGGGCGGGTTAGTCTGAGGACAAGTGTGGGGTGCGATGTTCACCATGCTAGAATGGTCTGACTCAGAGGAGGAGGACGTACGTGGTGACCCGGAAGTAATCACCCCACGTCGACATGGCGGGCGGTCAATTTGGGGGGGATGTGGAAGGGGGCGACTTGTCGCAAGAGAATAGAAAGATAGTTGGAGGGAAAGGATGAGGGAGAGCGGCGGAGACAAGAAGACAGGCGTGAGAGGAGGAGAAAAGTAAGCGAGGGGCAGTGCGGGCGGGAGAAAAGTGAAGGTCTGGAGGCGGCGATCGCGTGCGGCAGTTGCTCCGTAGCTCCCGGAGAGCCCATTGGCCAATCACGAATCTCGCTGGGGTTCTGCAGGCTTTCCCATCGATGATGTATTTATTTATCGCTCTTTATCAATCTGCAAGCAATCGGCATCAGCATGAATGGTCTCCCAATGCATCCCTTCCCCCGAGCCTCCCGCTGGCTGTCTTCGCCCCGAATCCTCAATCCGCGCATTACTAAGGCGCTGCCCTCCATCGCCGTGCGGTGGAATTCTTCCTTCTCCGCCGACCAGTTCGCCCAGCTCGCCAGTCGTCAATCCTCCAAGCACCAAATCTACCAGTCCCTCTCCACCGACCCCTACGTGAACCTCTCCATCGAACACTTCCTTCTAGAACATGCCCCGGCCGACTCGAGTATCCTCTTCCTATATATCAACAGACCATGCGTTGTGATTGGGCGGAATCAGAACCCGTGGCTCGAGACCAATCTCCGGGTGCTACACAATGATCGCGGCGCCGCGGACAACAACACCGAAGATGCGCTCTACGTCCGGCGACGCTCTGGCGGTGGTGCCGTCTTTCACGATGAAGGCAACCTCAACTACAGCGTCATCTCCCCCCGAACTACCTTTACGCGAAATAAGCATGCGGAGATGGTCGTGCGTGCATTGCACCGCGTCGGAGCCACCAACACCAGCGTCAATGACCGCCACGATATTGTCATGTCCCTCGACGGCGCGTCTGCCGGTGAACAGAGCCCTCAACCACGAAAAGTTTCCGGCTCTGCTTTCAAGCTAACGAGATACCGCGCGCTTCACCACGGCACTTGTCTGCTCGATTCGCCCAACATCAACATCATCGGTTCGTTTCTACGGTCGCCAGCACGGGACTATATCAAGGCCAAGGGGGTTGAGAGCGTGCGGTCTCCCGTGGCGAATGTGTCGTCCGTGTTCGTCGACGCATCCATCCCGTTTGGGATCCAGGATGTGATCGCTAGTATAATGGGAGAGTTTGCTGGGCTGTACCAGGTTGGCCCAGATGCTGTGCGTCGCGCGCAACGTGCCTACGTTCATGACCCAGAGCTATATGCGGGAGACGACTGGGTGGTTGGAGCCGTGGGAGAAGCTCAAGGCTACGAAGAACCGGAGATTAAGAAAGGGATTGATGAATTACGGGTGAGTTATCCTTGTACTCTGACCATGAATCGTACTGATGTGAGATGGAATTGGACAGTCGTTGGAATGGAAATACACTCAGACGCCCCAATTCCTCTTCTCAACATACCCGGTCGAGGAGGATAGTCGTGAACGACCGGCCCTTCCACCGTCTTTGCCACCCTCGGTAAGATTTACCCTTCTCTGGCGTCATTGCGTACAGTAGTATGCTGACCTATGTCAGACACGCGTTTTCCTACGCCTCAAACACGGAGCGATTATCGAGAGTCACATCTCAATGTCGCCCGACTCCTCCATAGCCTCGGAGCAGGCAGTCCGCGTGCATGAGGCGCTAAAGGGACGTAGACTTCATGAGATCCAGCCGACCCAGTGGCAGGAAGTCTTATACGAACAGTTGGGGGCGGAGGAAGAAGCAAGCAGCGTTGAAGAACTTGCCCGGTTCATTGCGACCAAGCTTGGTTGGGTATAGATTACGAGGTTCGTAAGACCCCTGCCTAGATCTCCGAAGGACATGTATAATAGATTGCTGTACGGAGTATAGTTACTAGGTATGCTACGTGTAAGAGAAGCGGGATCGACCCCCGTGACCTGGCATCTCGTGGTCACCCTCCTCCTCTCACTCCTCCTCCTCCACGGTCTCTTTTCTCCCTGCAACCAACCATGGTTTTCTTTCTTCATTTCGGGATCCTTCAGACCGAAATTAACCACCGCCCCGCAATGACGATCAGGGTCCTGCTATGTGGACTTCGGAGGCTTCCCCAGGCGCAGAACCATCACCCATTGATTGCTGCCTGTTGCCTATGGCAGGTGGGCTGCCGATGTTCTTGCCGATGCTGTTGATGCGACCTTCCTCGGGGGAACGAGGCAGCGACCTCGGTGTAATTATCGACGAGGCCAGCAATATCGCACAATATGACAAATCATCCTCAGAAAAGCCAAGTGCTGAGCCTGCGCGGCGAGTTCTTGGTATGCGGGGAGACTTGCCGCACCATCAGATGAAGAAAGAGGATGGAAAATGGATGCAGAAGGTATTTCAGGAAATTGGGGTCCTGGTATCGCAGCAACTGCCCATGGCAATTCAGCAGCTAGTCCGTTTTCCCCCCCTATCCCAACCCATGGCTTTGTCAATCTCTCAGGCATTCTTTGAACATCATCGCTCTGCCCTTGGTATAGGAGAGTCGACTCCCCGAATATCCTGGAAATTCCAAGGAAACGTGTCGGATTGGGAGCAAACCGCCTACAACCTCGAGATCAAACGAGTGGGACAAGTCCCGGATATCTTACGCGTCAATTCCTCCGACTCGGTGCTTGTCCCATGGCCCAGCCCCCCCCTGACATCTGGTGAGGAGGCAACGGTCCGCGTGCAATCAATCGGGCACCAGGGCCAGTCCACTACGCCCTGGTCCGACCCTGTCACAGTTGAACCAGGCCTTCTAAGTCCGGAGGATTGGCACGGTGCGGCGGCCATCGTGTCTGACCGGCCGACGGAGGTCAACCAGACGCATCGACCCATTTACTTCCGCAAGGACTTCATGCTAGACGAGCCCCACGCTTCCGCGCGACTTTATGTCATAGCGCTGGGGCTGTATGAAGCGCACATAAATGGGCGTCGTGTCGGAGATCATGTCCTGGCTCCCGGGTGGCAGTCCTTTACCTATCGTCATGAGTACAATACCTACGACGTGACAGAGTTGTTGCGGTCAGGTGCGAACACAATCGGCGTCACAGTGGGAGAGGGTTGGTATTCTGGTCGCCTGGGCTTTGATGGGGGACAGCGTAATATTTATGGGGACACCCTTGGCTTGCTAAGCTTGCTCGTCATCACACAGCCAGACGGTAGTAAGACATACATTCCCACCGATCATACCTGGCAATCAGGAACAGGTCCGATCATCACCTCCGAAATCTATGATGGCGAGAGATACGACTCACGACTGGAGCAGAAGGGCTGGGCAGAACCAGGATTCAATAGCACTGACTGGCTTGGTGTCCATGAAGTATCATTTCCAAAGGAGAGACTAGCTGCCCCAGATGCTCCCCCGGTTCGACGGGTCGAAGAGCACAAGCTTAAAGACGTTTTCCTTAGCGCTTCAGGCAAGACAGTCCTGGATTTTGGTCAGAACCTGGTAGGGTGGCTGTGGATCCGCGTGAAAGGTCCGAGGGGTCAAACGATCAAATTTCTCCATACTGAGGGTGCGCAATACCTTGTTTCTCAAAGGCTGTCTGGCTAACCCTCCGTAGTTATGGAGAACGGCGAGGTCGCAACACGCCCCCTCAGAGAAGCCAAGGCAACCGATCACTTCACCCTCACTGGCGACGGCGTACAGGAATGGGAACCCTCCTTCACGTTTCATGGGTTCCGCTACGTGCAAGTTGATGGCTGCCAGACGATATCACGCCCCTAAACCAGGACTCAATCACGGCCGTTGTGGTGCACACGGACATGGAACAAACAGGGTTTTTCGAGTGCTCGAATCCGCTCATTACTAAACTCCACGAGAACATCCTCTGGAGCATGCGGGGGAACTTCCTGAGCATCCCAACCGACTGTCCGCAGCGTGACGAACGGCTAGGCTGGACAGGCGACATCAACGCCTTCTCCCGTACGGCCAACTTCCTCTACGACACCGCCGGGTTCCTACGAAGCTGGCTCAAGGACGCCTACTCTGAGCAGCAGAACAACTCCTGTAAGTACTGATCGCATTCTATCCCATCCCACCAACTTCTCCCAACCCAGCTAACCATCATTAGACGCACCCCCCTACGTGATCCCCAACATCCTTGGCCAAGCTCCTCCCACCTCAATCTGGGGCGACAGCATCATCGCCGTCCCCTGGCAACTATACCAAACCTACGGCGACAAAGTCATGCTCCGCGAGCAATACCCCGGCCAAGGACTGGATCGACAAAGGTGTCTCCCGCAACGAAGTTGGCCTCTGGAACCGCTCCACCTCCCAATTCGGTGACTGGCTCGACCCCCAGGCACCTGCCGACTCCCCTGGTGATGCCACAACGAACAAATACCTCGTTTCCGACGCCTACCTCATCCATAGCACCGAGCTCCTAGCCAACATCTCCTCTATCCTTTCCTTAGACTCCCAAGCCACCAACTATACACACTCCCACAAAAACCTCACCAACGCATTCCAACAAGCATGGCTTTCCCCCAACGGCACCGTCGCCAACGAAACCCAAACTGGTCTCGCCCTCCCTCTCTACTTCTCCCTCTTTCCCACCCTCTCTCAATCCTTCTCCACCGCCATCCGTCTAGTCAACACCATCAAAGCCAACGTCTACAAAGTCGGAACCGGCTTCGCCGGCACCCTTACTAAATACGGCGCCTCCTCCACCTTCTACCAGATGCTTCTCCAGACCGACGTCCCCTCCTGGCTCTACCAAGTCCGCATGAACGGCACCACCACCTGGGAACGCTGGGACAGCATGCTCCCCAATGGAACCATCAACCCGGGCTCCATGACCTCCTTCAACCACTACTCCGTCGGTTCCGTGGGCAGTTGGATCCACGCCGTCATCGGTGGCCTGACTCCTGCCGAACCAGGGTGGCGGGAGTTCAACGTGGACGTGATTCCCGGCGGAGAGTTACGAAATGCGTCGACCCGTTTCTTGAGTCCGTATGGCGAGATCTCAACCAAATGGTGGTTGGAGGACTATGAGCCCGGCAGTACCACCTGCAACAATACCTCGGCAGATTCCCTGTTTCGCCTCGTCGTCCAGGTTCCGCCCAATTCGTATGCTACAGTTCGGTTGCCTGGTGGGATTGGGGAGGGGAGGAGGGTTGGATCGGGGGTTTATGAGTTTGAAGTGCCGTGTTTGACGGTGAATTAATACGTGTATGCATGCAGGTAGGCATGTACGTATATGTGAGAAAGGAAAGGGGTGAGTCAGTAACCATACGCTGTATCTTTCCGTATATTCAAAAGTAGGGGAATCACACTTGTTCGGTCATTAGTCGTAAATCGTATATTCTACCTCCTATGTACAAAGTCCGAACACCCGAAATAAAATCCCTTAGCCAAGGTATACGATCCCACCACCGTATGCGATCCGCGTATTAACAATCTAATACAAGCAATAACTACCCCAACTCCTCTAGTGCAAGCGCTGAAAGGCGCACTCGAAAATGCGAATATAGTACTATGACAAAACAAGACAAGGCAAAGGACGGCTATTTCAAGCCCCGGGTCGGGAACCGACGCAGTCCGTCCCCTCTCTGGCGCTTCGTCTGACTTCGGGTGACTCGGCGGGAGGAGGGCCCATCATCTAGACTTAATCCCCCGATCCCCGGCCCCAGCTCGGATCGTTTGGGCGAGAACAGCGCCTCGCTAGCGGCCTGTCCGTAGCGGATGTTTCGGATTGTGTTGTTCGTAGCGGTGGTTGCGGTCGTGACGGTGGTCTCGGTGTCTGAGTCGCAATCATAGAAATCGGAAGCGTCGGATTCGTGTCCTTTCAAAGTATTAAGACTGAAACTGTGGTCCTTGCTGAAGGCCCCGTCGTACGGGGAGGGTGCGAGTGAGTAGTATGGTTCGGGTGACTGCGTCGAGAAGCTGGAGCTGGGGACAGTAGAAGAGAAGGAGAGAGGCGGCACGGAGCTGTGAGAGTTGAACGACTGGAGCAGAGGCTGGCTGTTGGTCGCTGTCGGAGGGGCATTTCCAGCGGCATGACCATTCGATGGCTCACTATGCTCCGGCTGTTGTGACTGACCAGCACTGCTAGCCCTAGCTATGTTGTATAGTGATAGCAGACCCAACGCTTCCTGGGCCGCCATGAAGACCAAAAGCAATTGGCCATATCTGTCAAAATATTGACGCTCAAAAGAAACGCGCGGAAGGTTTCCCCCGATATGAACGGCTGCCACAAGCTCTGCGAAGTAGACAAGGATTTCCATACCGTTCCACTGCGCTATAGGTTGCTTCAGGGCCTCCAAAAGGGCGAAGCCAGCAATCAGGCTAGCGCTACCCAAGGAGGCAACCTCGACGTAGTTTCCAGGGATCGAAAAGTGTTCGTACTGTGAGAGAAACCAGGCAGCGAGCGAGACAAGCAGCAGACCCAGTCGGAGATACTGGAACACAAAATAGCCGTGCAAGTCGGTAGAATCGCGAGATCGGGAGTTGGAGGTCTGATGACGTGCCTGCCAGGTGGTGTCCTCTTCATCCTCAGGCGACTTGATGGTGAAGGTTCGATCAAATAGGCTCTCAAGTCCGGTCGTAGCAGCGTGGTCGCTCAATGGGAAGAACTTGGGCGGTGCAAAGACGGTGTCTGAGTTGTTCGGATTTCGTTGCCACGGGCTGGACTGTGTAGGTGTGCGATGGAATGGATTACGTTCCACAACTTGCTCGATGGGTTTCGGACGTTGAGCGGGTTGGTTGCGCAGGTTCCACGCGGGTGGCTGCGGCGCAGGAGGCACGGATCCATAGAAAGGCATCGGCCCCTCAAGAACGGACTTTTGGTCCCTCTGATGGACGCTGACAGTCGGCGCGATTTGGTGCTGCACAGAAGGAGTCCAGTCCATGTCATCCGATTCGGGAGGTGGTGTGAGAACGTGTGTGTCTTCCAGAGCTGCCCGCGGGGTGGTCGCCCTTGGGGTGGCCAACTTCTCCAGAGGAAAGCGAGAGGTGCGCTGGCGGAGATCGGAATTCGGTGTTGAAAAGACTTGCCTTCTACTTGTACTGGGTGGAGGAGATGCTTCGGTTCTGCGGTTTGGTGTGGGCGCGGGGGTGTCATCGGTCCATACTACCAATGGGCGGGTATCGTAGCGCACTATGCGCCGAGAGACCAGAACAGACTGAGGCAGAGTTAGCACGCTCATTCATGGGAGATACACTGTCCGGCCAGCTTACCAGAATCGTGAAGAAGATCATGAAAAGATGCAAGGTAGGCGGCAGGTCTAGTGGTAGACCACTTGACGACGGGTCCCTTAGGACACCCCAGAAAGCGCATCGCACCACCATAACAATGAGCTGCACCTGGTAGTATTCGCCTAGTCCAACGAAGCGACCGCCTCGTCCTTCCACCCTCAGCCTCAATTTTGGATTCCACCATATAGACAGAATACCCGCGATCAGAGCAAGGCCGGCGTACGGTGCCAGATCGATTGAGCAAGAACTCGGTACAAGGCGCGTCTCAACCACCTGACGCACACAAGACACAATAGAGGGCGACATCGAGGGAGCATCCGGATCTTGGAGCGGTTCGTGTTCTTCAACCTTTAAAGCACTCCACACGTTCCAGCCAAGTTGGCCGGTGACACTAATCCAGTGACCCAGGCCACCGGCCAAGGCCAGTAGATTCCTCCAATTCCATCGGCGTGCTTGCCTCGCCGCCCTCCCAGCTTTACTCCGATCCATCATACGCCTCAAGTGATCTGACTTGGCCTCATATCCTGCCTGACGAATGCGCTGCTTCACTCTGGGTTCGCACTTGACGCACACCTGCGGATACCGCTCCTCGAGGTTCTTGCGAAATTTGGGATATTCCTTCTCATAAGCGCCGTAGTTCGGATCATCGGATGATGGGAAATAAGACGCCAATGTGCTAGTGAAGAGGTGTTGGTTGCGGAGACACTGGGCGCAAAACAAGCTGGAGGCTGTGAAGTCGGTGGACTCGAAGGGCGGGCTGGATCCTCCGGGGCCGTAGACGTCTGGATTGGTTTCGGCAGCCGGGGGGTCTGTTATTTCGCCTTTCTATCCAGCCGGAATCATCCAGGCAATCAGTACGTAACTTCGTGTGACATTAGCGAAACATGTTCAATGCAGGACCTACCTCATCCAGATAATTGACGGCCTCGCAATGTTTGCAGCACCATTTGCGGGCGGTATCGCCGCCAGACAGGGCTGAGCGGCGCCCGCAATAAAAGCATTTCAATCGCTTAGCGAAAAGGGGAGCCATCTCAGGTTGGGTCGGTGGACATGGATGGCGGAGACAATAAGGACGAGGTGATATGAGATGAAAAACGGGGGGGAAGCAAGAGGAAGGAGTTAAGACAACAACACCAAAATAATCGCCGAGAGCAGCACAGACCACGTGCCTGGGCATCTATCGCCCAGAGACCCAAACCAATCACCCCTAACAACCACCCTCATTCACTGATCGCTCCTCAAAGAATCGGCAAAGCAATGGGCTTCCATTGGTTGGAGCTGGTGGTAGGAAGGTTCGGTCCGTTGACGCGCTGGCAGCGCATGACACTATGAATCTCAGGACTCCAAATTGGAAGCGTATAGATGGTCATGTGACCGCAAAATGGGGGATGGCAGCATGGCAGCATGGCAGCTGGCATTTATCAACGCCCCTCTGCAATGCAACTTCCGGCTTGCTGCATTGCGAGAGGCCCAAAAAGAGGCGATCTCGGTTGTTGACCTGCTTCCTTTCTTTTCTTTTGTATCTAGATGACTAAATCGATGCATACATGTGCTTGCATATTCGACATCTACACCTGCCACATCCCCAGCAACACATCGTCGCATTCTCAATTCAAACCCTCCACCACCTCTCACTCCCATGGAGTCATGGCTATCGTGGACTAGCCTTTTCTGGGCTGCCACTTTTGTTACTATGGCCTGCCTATCCACAATCATTGTATGAGATAAACCGCAGCCTATTTCCCCTATGCAACAAGGACTAATACATCTACTTATCTCTAGACCTTCATGTATGCGCTCGCCAAATCCCAAAACAGCCAAGTCCCCCAATGGCGCTCGCGAAACACGCCCATCCATCTCCTCATTGTCCTCGGTAGCGGTGGACACACGGCCGAGATGTTCTCCATGCTGCGGCGCATGAAATTAGATCCCTCCAAGTTCACTCATCGAACCTACGTCGTGAGCTCTGGGGACAACTTCAGCGCGACCAAAGCCGTCGAGTTCGAAACCACGGATCTGCGAAAAAAGATCAACACCAATGGGGAAACCACAGCGACAGGCTCCTACAGCATCGTCACAGTGCCGCGCGCACGTCGTGTACATCAATCCTTCCTGACTGCGCCCTTTTCCACCATCCAATCTTTCTGGTCCTGTCTTCTGGTGCTACGTGGCCTCCATCCGGATCAACAGTCACTCGTATCTTCGCGCTTACCCTCGCCGTATCCCGACATCATCCTCACCAATGGCCCCGCCACAGCGGTCTGCGTTGTCCTGGCCGCTAGATTGCTGCGACTGTGGTTCTTCCTGTGCGGTGTCTTTTCCGTCGGGCGCGGAACTAAGTCGGGTACGTCAGCGCCGAGCGACTTTCAACTGCGGACCATTTTTGTCGAATCGTGGGCTCGAGTGAAAACCTTGAGTCTCTCGGGTAAGCTCCTGCTGCCTTTTGCAGACCGATTTCTCGTCCAGTGGCCCGGATTGGAGGGGAAGAAGGCCTGGCCCGGAATGAAGGAGACGGAATACGTCGGTCCACTCGTGGATTGAATGATCCTCGACGACTCTGCGACTTTTCTACTTCATTGTGTGTTGCGTTTTCGATTCCCTGTATCAGTGCAGCGTACATGATACCCCGAAATAATTTCCAATCAATTACCAATTCTTTCTTCCACTATGCTGTAGATACTAGATAATACCGGACAGATAGGCGGGCCCTCCATCAAGCATCGGGCGATCCGCCGGCGGGACCACATCGAGGGGCCGACCCGAGGTAAGTATGAGCAGGCATTCTCCCTCGACGGTCTGCATTATCCCTAAACCCCCAAGTAGATCATAGTTAGATACGAACTCCGAAAGGGTACTAGAAACCGAGCTGCCTTTGTTTGCAGGACCCGGCTCCTGGTGGTGGTGGTGGTGAGGTGCAGGTGCTTGTGACACAGTGGTTCCGACAACGGATGACTCCTGCATCTGGAGCGAGTAGATCAGAAAGTATTGGCAATTTGATGAGCGTCGCAGATTAAGCTCCGACTGACCCCGCTTCGTCTGAACTCTTAAGGATTTGGTGTCCTCGGCTTAACCCCAGACCCAACCTGTTCTTCTCGGTATCTTCCCATCTCGGACAGCACGATGTATTCTTTGCGCAATCGCTCGGCTCTGATTACGGGTGGCTCACGGTATGTTTCTCGCGGCTTTTGACGTCGGCCCTTCTCTCATGAGTGACTAGGGGACTGGGTGCTCTTGTAGCCCGGAAATATGCCGCCGAGGGCTGCAATGTCGCTATTAACTATGCCTCAAGTAAGGACGATGCAGACAACCTGGCTGCGGAGATTCGGGAGAAATACAAGGTCAATGCCATTACTATACAAGGTGTACGTTTTCCCTATCCCTTTTCACTCACGGAACGCTGGGCTGATATCGTGCTTTCATTAAATTAGGATGCCGGCCGTCAAAGTGACTGCGTCAACGCCGTCAAGACAACCATACAGCAGTTGGGCGGACTGGATATCGTTGTTTCCAACGCAGTGAGTCGCTAGCGTTCACTATCCTGGCTTGCGCTGGCAGCCAAGGCAGAATATCTGATCGCTGGCCAGGGTTGGACCAAAATAACCAAGTTCGGAGACTTGGACGCCATGGACAACGAGGACTGGGATAAAGTAGGGTTTTTAATGAAAAGCACTTCCTAAGGGGGTTGCAACTGGTTAGCCAGGCTAACACGTCGCTTAGTGCTGGTCAGTCAACGTCAAGGGCCATCTTTATCTTTTCAAGGCAGCACTTCCCACATTCAACGCCAATCCTGAGGGTGGCGTGTTCCTCTTGACCTCGTCTATTGCGGTAAGTCCTCGGCCAAGGTTGGGGGTCAGATTGGGCTCATATGTTGATCTGTAAAACAGGCTGTTACGCCGACTGGGAGCAGCTTGCCATATGCCGTCACCAAAGCCGGAGGTAGGCCGACCATAACGACCAAGAATTCGTTTTGCTAATGTCAACAACAGGGCTGCACCTGGTAAAGTGCCTCGCACAGACCCAAGGTAGTAAGATCCGTGTGAATGCGGTCCTGCCTGGCCTTCTCTTGACCGAATGGGTAAGTAGCTCAGTTACAGTCATGATCAAGCTCCGTCGCGGCAGAGCTAATGTAGTCGCAGGGCCAGCGCTTTTCTCCTGAAGCAATCGAGAAATGGACGGCAAGCACATCCCTCAAGAAAGCGGTGGGTCTGTTTTGATCTCAGAACAACTTCCACATGCTAACGGAGTCATAACTAGCCCGACCTGGAGGACACTGCCAATGTATATGTCATGCTTGCTCAGAACACATCTATGACTGGGCAATCAATACAGATCGGTGAGTGCCCTGGATATTGTGGTCTACGGCAAAACTAATCCCCCAGATTCCGGTTTCTCTTTCAGGTAGAACAAGCCCAAACCCCATGCGAAGGAGACTCAGGGCTATGGCGCCGGGCATTGGAATAGGGTGGTATTAAGAGTGCTAATGACTGGTATCATGATGTTAGCAATATAGAACAAATAATGGCTTGCTTTTAATCACCAGATCCCTATACTAGAGGGTTGTAGAACGGTGTATACCCCACATCACCCGAGTAAAATGTGCGATCGCCAACCATCCGGGCCTTCAGAGCGGCCCTAAGAGCGTCGGAATTTTGTTCTCCTTCCACCTTCATCTTGTGCACCTTGACGAGCTTCCCATCCTGCGTGAACACATAGACGCTCTTCCCCTTCGTTGACTCGATTGGATGCGTGCCATCCACGAACGGCAAGCCTGGGACAATGGCGAACTTGCCACTGCCATTGAGCGGCGACACTTCTTCGAATTCTGTGAATATTATCCGCCGATGTTGAAAAGAAGGGCTTTCATTAGAAGTGTTGCTGGCGACTAGGGCCTTACTCCAGAGCGGACCCAACACACGATTTCTTCGGCTGAGCTCCGACCACGACCAGTTTGACCAATCTATATGCCGGTCCTCCGGCTTGATTTTGGCTGCGTGAATCAATGGCCCGTCCCCTTCAGGCGATTTCCAGCATGCATCCTGCACGGGGGGCACGAACAATCCCTCCCGGATACCTTCAACCAGGATGTCTGCGCCCTTGGGACAAACGAGATCCAGTAAATCGGATACTGTGCACGAGTCGGGATTTGGGATATCGAAACCAGGGGCCGGAGTCTGTGCTAGTATAGTACCGTGGTCGAAATGCTTGAGATGTAGCGTCTGAAGAGTGACTCCAGTCTGAGATCTACCGGCCAATAAAGTGTGATGTAGCGGTGCGGGGCCCCGGAAGCTGAAATCGTTTTGTTAGTGAGGTTCGTTTGTGGTTCGTGGGGTAATCGAGTCGATTGCGTACTCGGGAAGCAGCGAAGGGTGAACATTTAGACCCCCATACTTTGCGCCATTGAGAAGTCGTGGAGGGACGAACAGTCCAAATGAGACGGCGACAATCAAGTTTATAGGACCTCCAGGTAGTATAGGTGGCTAGCAGCGTCAACAGGCGTTCGTTGCAGGTATCAATGGCTATCAGTTACCGTCCAGCCTCTAAAGGTATCGATCTCATGGATCGGGAGAGACAAGTCCGTTGCGGCCGCTTTGATCGGAACTGTTGATAACCAAAGATCAGCTGCATGATTGCCCGCCGGGGTTCATTGACTAATTACCCTCACGGATTTTCTTGAGTCCCCTTCCAACCTTTTTGCCAGGTCTGCAGACAACGTCGATTGAGGCAATCCGATCCGGTCGCTTCACATGTTCTTTATGGAGAGCTTTCAAGGAAGCTATGCTGAACTCATCGGATCCGCAAAAGAGGATACGAAGCGGCTCGTAGGTCTTGGTCGCCAGATACCGATGTGACCAGGATGGGAAGAAGCTGGCTCGTCTGTAGGCACAAAGAGCGCCAGGCCCTCGTGAGAAAAACATGGCCTGCAATTGACGGCGACGGAAGAATGGCAGCAGCTCCGTACGCTCCGGCAAGTTCGCCGACCTCCCACCTCCACCACGTGATGTCACCGCCGCCCACTCCAGCTCAACCGGCGACGATGAATTGTCCCTTCGACAACTGCGCTGCTTCACCGTGAGCCCGAGCTCACGGGTCCATGGTGCAATGCCGGAGAACGATCCGGCTTCGGTGATTCCCGCGCAACTGTCGTTCCTTGCCATATACAACCCCCGTCTTGGTCCGACCGACGAAACAATCCGCGACCAGGTCGTCTTCTACACATCTAGGTCGGCTCGATCGCGCCGACGTGAAGGTTCGGTGGTGGGAGATGGTGACCAGGATTCCAAGGATCAGTGGAATGAGAGGTTGCGCCAGATAGGATTGGCCCAGGGCATGGTTGGCTTCGCCAGGTGGGAATCGCTATACAACCACTGTACCTCTATCCGTGCTGAACTGGGCACCTAGGAACTTTTCACAAGGGAAAGCAGTGGACTATGTCGAAACCGAGAAGTCGCAGATTATATCACACGAGTTGGAGAAGGACTGGTGGATCCAAGCCGTAGGTGGCCCTGTGCCAGGGCGTGCCATCGATAGCTACTGAGCTTGTTACAGTCTATCGACCTAACTCGCCTCCCACTCGATCCAGCTAGCGTATCTTCTTCCCAGCGCGATGCTTCAGCTCCTTCTTTTGGCTATTCTTCTAGGGAGATGTCCCCTCCTCACCTCCTGATACAGCAGCTGCGTCGAGCCCACTCTGCCTTCCTCCTTCACCAGGATACTACACTCGACGCCCTATACAGTCGTGTGGACAGGCCCACATTTTGTGGTCTTATCGACAATTTCTGGTGGAGGTTCGCGTGGAGCTGGGAGGTCCTGCTGAGCGGAAACCCCGCTGTTGACATATATAACGGCATCAAGCTCTCTGCTGGAGGCGAACTTGGCATCGGCGTTGGCGAAGAAGAGTGGGGAAGCGGAGAGAGAGAAGTTCTGGAGGACTTTGTCGCTCGGACAGAGGGCCTACTAGACTTGGTTGTCTCTCGATTTGGTGACCCTCGCCCACCTATTGAGAACCTAGCAGCAGGAAACAGGCCTTGGGATCCACTGGCCAGAGGCACCGATGAGGACCAATGGCTCGGCTTAGGAGCCTGTCCTAGGCCTGCAGATGGGGTCGTATTCTCAGGTGTAGGGGCAGTCTCAAGACCATCCCTGCTGCGAATCTCTCATTGGATGGAATCGATCTATAGATATGGCATCGACGCATACGGAGTGGGCGAAGACCCAACCTCATCACGGCGTCGAAAGCGGCGAAGGAAGCAACGTGGCAGATTGGCTGGAAGAGATTCCAGTAAGCAACCTGCTTCCATGACAGGCCATCAGGCTGCAGCTCCCGATCGCCCGTTCTCTCCAGGTATACCACCTCCCCTCGTGATAGGAACCGCCGAGTCTTCGCAGGCTCCACAAGAGTCGAGTCCACATACGAGTGGCGAGAGCTCCCCGGCAAGAAGTGATCGCGGGAGTGATTGGATAGGCTTCAGAACCGAGACGTTTGTGAAGTATCTTACGCTTGGCTATGGCTCATCCTGGGGGCTTTCTTCTGGAACAGCCAGTCCACACCCTCGAGCCGAAGCGTTAAAACGAGGAGACAGGCCGCCCTCTCCAAGTAAACAGACGGACTCACCCGCGGATGCCCAGGAGACCATGGACGAAGACATGCCCCAGTCCAACGATAGCAGAAAGCCTCAGAATCATGGGAGATTTCTCATTGGCTTGCATTCTGATACTGACGATCAAGGCAAGAACACACAGGAATGGGCTGGTATAACGGATGACCAAGCCGGCGTATCAAAGGATATTATCAAGCAAAGAGTATTGCATGTTCATTTAGCAGAACTCTCGGAACAGAATCCAACAGGTAGGGGATTCACGCGCGCGATTGGGCTGTCCATGGCTAATCTCAGTCGTGTTCAAGGCTCGGTAAAACTGCAAGCAGTGGTTTACATAGTATGCCCTCTTCTATAGTTCCTGGTTATACCGTAGGCGCTAACGATGTTATAGCATCAACCATTCATGTACACATTTCTGTTCGATCCCTCAGCACCGGCTCTGTCCGACTCGTCGTTATACTACAGCATCAGCCACCAATTAAGCCCACTCCACAAGCCCCTCAGCAACTCAACTTCACCCATCACAGCAGCCATGCGCATTGCCATGTCTGACAATGCTCTCGACATCAACAAGCGATTCTCCGGCAAGAGTCAGCCAGTCTACAACTTAGTCTATGACCAGACTAACTTGACAATCCGTTCCTCGATCCCGAACATACCAGACCTTGGGTACTCCATCAACGAGCCCCGGGATCCGGCCACACACCCATGGTCTCGAGTTGAGAGCCTCAATATCCACCACCGACTCTTAAGCACCCACCTCGAAACCCGCTCCCGACCCCTGGAGGTCGAAAGGACCTGCAAGACCAGCCGCGGCTGGTGGATTGTCTGGATCCGAATGTCCGAACCCCCTCGACAAGATCAAGAAAGCACGAACTCCAACGCCAGCATCCACACCACCGATGCCCACCAGGAAGCATTTCTCATCCGCAGATCAAGTGACTCCGTCTCCCCGTCTGGACATGCACGCAGCAGTAGCGGCACTCGGTTCTTCCGTGATCTGGGCGGGGCTTCATCCCCCGGGTTACAGGCGTCGCGCACTGACACAGGACCAGGGAAACTTGTTGAAGGGCTGGGCCTGGACGCAAGACGATATATTGAGAATCTGCTCAGTTTGAATAGATGATGTGACATATATGTGACCAGTATAGAAGATCATACCATTTGCAAGTTTTCTACTTCTTCTAAGCTCAAAAATCATACTACCAACGACATGAACAAGACAGTAAGCAAGACTGCACCCAACGAAGACCACACCAACACCACAAGTAAATAACTCCCCCCAATCCTCGATATACGCTAATATCATCAGGTCACTAGCCGATCATATATAACCGTGCACAGTGCTACTTGTCGCCCATTAAACCGACGACACCTTTCCCGGATAACTCCTAGTACTAAGTAAGAACTAGTGGATATACAAACTCCTAACCCACCAACATGAACTATACGAACCAAACAGTAGAATTTCAACTAAACCAACAAACAACCACAAAAATAAGTGACACACGTATAGATACATACAACTAGATACTCCCATAGTTAATATAAGACCCCACACGGTGAGCCAATCAATTATCTTTTGAACCATCGCGGGATTCTAGATAGCTTTTCTAAGGGGCAGAGTGCGTGCCCCTGGATACTTACCCAATACCATACAAGCCGTATGTAAGAAGTCGTTACATATTTACATACTTACACATATAGGCAGCAAGTAAAGCCATTTGGTCGCCATTGTCCACGTAAGTAAGTTTCTTTTTTTATAGATATTCAAAAGATGCCAATTCTGTTCGGTCGGACGTATCTATGCTATGGGATTTTCCATAAATAGGTGGGATTAGTAGGATCAAAGCAGTGGTGACTTACGTCTCTCCTATCTAGTTCGGCTAGTGTTACTATCAATAGACACTATCAGTGAATGCATCCCCTGGACCTGCTGCCCCCCCCTTCTGCTGGCTGTCACTCACCATGGGGTTTGCTATTTTCGGGAAGTATACGTACCACCCCGCGAAAACTGTAATTTGACAAGCTGCATTGGATGCTATATGCGAGGGTACTTCTGGGAAGTCAAATACGTAGCATATACGCAGGGACAAAGTGAATTATTAGACAGCAACCTAATAGGCGTACTAGATATTCCTCATGTCTGCTGGTCGACCGCTGCGTAGGACATAGACATGCAGAGCAGGGTGACTGGATTAACTGCAGGACATGGAGGAGAAACCAAGCCAACGACAATTCCATGCATTCTCTTTAACCGAAACAGGGGAAACAGAAATGGTGATAAGACTGTGCTGGGGGAAATCCGAAGGAGCAGGAATCGCTGATTCCCGGCTTTCTTGACCAGACCTTTCCGAAAGAATTGACTGATGGGACGCACGCGAGATGGACACAATCCGCAGTTGCTCAATTCCGATATGCACTACTCGAGGTAGTGAGGACGTCTGCTCCCGAAGCAACCTGGCGCCCTTCTTGCCAGTGATCGAGAACCGCCCCGTAGGCGCCTATGGAGAGCTGAAACAGATAAGAAAACCCACAAGGTTATGAAGACAACGCCTCCCTAGAAAATCAAATCAAGTCTGCAAAATAAGAAAGTCGACCAACTGCATAGCCAGATAATCCCATGAAGCTCATGTGCCCGTGATTGAACATTATCCACACTCGCATCCGGGCACATCTTGGAACACGCCAACGGAATAACCCCCTCTTAATAGATAATAAGACCAAATGTTCGAGACGCTTATCCGTTCATATAATCTCCGCATGAAACAGACCTTTTGCGAAGGAGAGAAAACTAGTTTACAGGATAGTGCACTTCTTCTTGCTCTTGTGGGTCTTGGTCAAGAGCGCAGCCCGGGTGGCAGCCTCGAAGACCTCACGGACACCCTCGTTGGTGCGCGCAGAGCACTCGAGGTACTTGTAAGCACCGATCTTCTTGCGAACCTCCTCACCCTAATCGCACATTAGCCGTCATTCAAGGGATTGCATGCAGACATCGGCTGGAGTCACATACCTGCTCAGGGGTAACCGGCTTCTGGGAGGTCTTGTGAAGTTCTTCGATGGTCTTGGGGTCGTGACGAAGATCCATCTTGCATCCGACAAGGATGATAGGGAGGCCCTGGCAGAAATGGAGGACCTCGGAAATCCACTGTTAAACATGTTAGTGATCCAAACGGCACATCTCCTTAACAGAAGGATGATCTCTATCCTCGTCCATGCGCCCGCTGAGGAGGCCGGGGATGTGGCGATAAACTAACCTTCTCCTGAACGTTGTCGAGAGAGTCAGGGGAGTCAACGGCGAAGCAAATCAGGATGACATGGGAGTCAGGGTATGAGAGAGGACGGAGACGGTCATAATCTTCCTGACCAGCCGTATCCCAAAGAGCGAGCTCAACATGCTTTCCATCGACCTCGACATCGGCGACGTAGTTTTCGAACACGGTGGGGACGTAGACCTAAGACGTATCTCGGTCAGCTTAACGGGGCCGATGTACTTGACTGAAAGGCTGGCCAGATATCTCGGGGCGAGCATGGTGCAACGGTATCAGGGATCATGTAAGGAGGGTTGGTGGATGCTAACCTCAGGGAAGGTGCCCTTGGAGAAGACACTGGTTGCGAAAGAGGAGTCAGTACACTGTTGGGTTCCCTACCAGACGTAGAATGAGGAAGGGGAGGGGGAGGAAGAGACTCACATCAACAGACAAGTCTTACCACAGGCACCGTCACCAACGATGACAAGCTTGCGGCGGATTTCAGCCATCTTGCGAGCGTGGACGATTAGCAAAGGATGCAGAGGAAAATAAGACGGCTAGAAATAAAAGATGGGAGGGAAGGAGTGGCCAACGACAGCGAGCGAGAAGAGAAGCTGTTGCAGGAGCGGATGGATGGGGGTTGGATGGGGGAAGTTGAGGGTAGAGAAAGGGACAAGTCAGGCGCCCGAGGAAAAGGGTTATCACGTACGGTGCAGGGGAGTAGGCGCAACGGGCGCGGGCTAAAATATTCAGGGAGGGCAGGGCCAGGTGAATGGGCGAGCCAAGAGTTTCCAGGAATAAACCCAAAAGACAAGAAAGAGTTTACGAGAAGAAACTAGGGTGGTGGAAAAGGCCCCAGGAAGACAGGAAGAAGAAGAAGAAGAAGGGGAGGAGAGGAAGAAGGAGGGTTGATAGAGAGAGACAATGCTGAGTGCTTGCTGCTGCTGCTGCTGCTGCTGCTGCTGCGTATGGGTCAGTTATCGGCGGTTGGCCCCAGGGCTGGCTTTTGGCTCCTTGGTTTGGGCGAGGTTCTTCCCCGTCCTTTCAGGTGAGTTGCTGAGGCTCCCTCCCCTGCTCCCAGGTTGACTAAGGAACCAGACCAACCAAGATTAGAAGGGCTGAAACGGTTGGCAAGCGACATTCGGCCCAGCCCCATCGGGGTGAAAAAAAAGCTACCTATGTGGCTGTGAATCAATGCTATTTCTTTTCTTTTCATTTCATTTATTTCATCTCAAAGATTATTTCCCTCCCTTTTATTTTTTTTTTTTTTTCCATTTGCCCCATTCGATCCTTTTCCCTTCACAAGTATTGGGTATACCTGGGAGTGACGTGATCTGCTTGCCAGTTTCCTACATTGTTGATACGGTACGTAGATACTCAGATACAATCCGAATGGCTCGTATCTACCCCATTGGAAACACCCAGCAGAGCCAACCAGATGGGGCTGGTTGGTAAACCTTGCCAGACCTCTTTGCTCCATTTAGACGGAGTATCGTCTCCTTTTCTCTACCTCCTTTTGCTTCGCTCGTGACCAAGGTCCTACTACGTGCAATGATGCTGCTTACTTAGCTGCCTAGTTGGTTTGCCTTCATTCCCGTCAAAGCCACCGTGGCTGAAGGTTAAGTGACAGAGTATGGTAAGAATCATAAACGGTACCAATACCGCTTACGTATTTTCCTGGGCCGTGTTTACAACTATGTATTTCTCAGGCATTCAGGCCAGAAAAGGTTCAATCTCTCTTCCCCCGAGGTCGAGCTCCTTTCCTATTTTAGACCCAGCTTATCCGGTCCGTTTCGGCTCCAGGGCAGAAGTTGGCGGTCGCGTTGCCTTGACACTGTGGTTTTCCCCCGAAAGAGCTGGATGGTGTCGAATGATAAACAGTCTCAAGGGACACACAGAATTCCAGGCCATGGTCGATTTGGTTCTGGATAGTAAACCCCGTTCTAGAGCTGCAATACAAGAAAGTCCGGCGACACCATACGGAGTAGTTACCGTCGCCATAGTCTGGGAGAGCCTAGAAGCTTGTGGGCGCCCCGGAGACTCGGAGTTGTCGGGTGTGGCTCTATACTTCTGATAATTGGCGGTGGCCCCTGGTTGTCTAGGTAGTACTCTTAGTCCGGAGTAGGTAGGCTGTTATTTCCTCGATCCTGTGCGCTATCTAGGTAGACAACAGGGTAATGAAGTCTAGGTCTGGATTCTGTAGCACATATATACTCCATACATAAGTTTTTTGGAGGCCAAGTGGTTCATTGATTTGCCGTTCTACTTCTTGGGACAGGCAACCCCGCTTGATTCACCTCGTATGCAGATCGAGTGACACTGTGCTACACTACAAACAGAACACTTTGTCCAAAAAGATAACATCATACCCTGCAGCTGAAGTTGACTGTATTAGAGAGATGTCTAGAGGATTGTATCTACGGAGTACCTAGTAGCCTATCTAGTAGCCAAGGACGGCGACCCTGCAGTTCGCTATCTATCTCCATGCTGATTCGCTCCATTGCGGAGGCCCCGACGGTCTGAGACTCATAAGTTAATGGACACACAGTACTGTCTGCATTGATGATCAAGCCCAGCTAGACACCGGTCAGATTATCATTCGTCAGCTCATCGCCAGCATAAGTAATTGGGTATTAGGCATGACTGGGGAAGGCTGGAATAAATTAGGAATTAGTTACTCCGTTTTTAGAGAGGAATGACAGACAGACCATCGACTCGGCACCTGTCGGACCTTCCGAGGGAGATTATACTGAGCCTGAAAGGTAAGTATCAAGGTACCTACGTACCTCTGCTGCGGTATGAGTAATTTTCCCAGATCGGCCAGGGGTTCCATGGACGCTTCCTTCAATTATCTACCGACAGCAAAAGATACGTGGCGGTGCAATTGATCGGCCATGCTTCTTACCCAACATGGTCGGGCTGTCGATTTCTCCAATGCAAACGTCATCATCGACTGGAACCAGGCAACTCCTTATTTTCCGGGGCCTTAAGTAGGCCATGATATGATGATACACACAAGGTAAAGAGGATAACGGAGCGTATTTGCGCCAATCGACATAGCCAGAAGTCAAGTGAAGTGGTCGTGTCCGCGCTTGAGACCTAGCAAACGGCGTGATTGGCGATTTGTATGCGGAGGTACGAAGATTGACTCTGCGAGCCCGCGGCCGAGACGGTCTACCTACTCATACGGAGAGAGGCCTTCCGCACCCTCCGACTTTAATCCTGCGGGAAAGACAGCCATAGATAACCTGGCAAAGCCTTGCAGGTCCAGGTGCAGTAAGAGGGCAGTCTTCGTGCGCCGATGGGGTAACTACATTATTCTCTCTGCTCTATGAGTCAGTTTCTCCTCCCAATAACTCACGGTTGTTGGTCCATTCCTTTACAAGGCCAGCTTGGCAGGCTGTTGTTCTGTCTGACCGAACCTGCTTACCGACATTGTCAGATGCTGCTTCAACCCCAATGGCGGACTGAAACTTTCGGCAGTGGTCAGACACAACCGGGGACGCCAGCCTCATGCTAAGCCAGGTAGGTACATAGGTCCGTTGACCTCTGTCTTGCCGTAGCTCTATTGCAACAAAACCCACTATCATCCATAAACTATGGATTGACGTCGAGGGGTACGAATTTATATTACTATTGTGATGGGCGTGAATGCTACCTGAGGTAACTTATCCGTATGTTGTGCTCCTCAGAGGAACGAAAAACCTTGTACCTTATGAAACAAGTCATCATGCCGGAGGTCCCTGCGTTGGCTCACTGACACTCAACCAAATCAGGCTAGGATACTAAGCATGTACCTGCTAGATGCTAGAAACAGTACATTATTGCCTGCTCCTCACGGCTGCTTGGAAACAGATAACTACCTTCATTATGCCTATATAAGGATTCCTGCCATGTTCTGGAGGTCTGAGCTTATAAAGTGTCACTTAATTACCTTCCCAAAGTCCCCTGAGTCATCTATCATGATTCAGCAGAGGTGGCTAAAGTTATTGGAGATCATGCTGATCTCTCATCTACAATATTGCCTAGAAATCAAGATGATCTATTTTATTTTAATGCCCATACCCTTTGCTTTCTTGATACACAAGATAGGCTGATAACATTAAAACCCATGCAGTGCAGTGTAGTGATGCTGTGCCATATCTATATCATCTACTCAGAACGAAGATGGCGCATTTCACTTACTTCCATAAGGGATATCATTATGTTTTACTGCAATCGATCTACAGGTGCTGCACTGCTTCACAACATTAAGTTAAAGTACAGGGATTTGCAGAACAGGTTGGGTTCCCTCAGCTTCTATAAGTATACTTACAGCCCCATCAATAGAACTCAAGGTATTCTTAATAGTATTGCTCAACACGAACGCACCGTATAAATAACTATACCTCCTACATAGGATTAGCAATGTAATCATTCTGGGAGAACATACCGGAACATTCTATAAGTTATGGATATATAGTTACACAGGGAGCTATCAAAATTTATACCCCATTATATTAAAGTCTGGACATCAGTTCACCTAGATACTACACCATTTTGATCACAGGAACTTATCAACCATGCAGGCACACGTTGAGGCTCCATCACCATGGCCTGATTTCCTTAGGAGCGGCTGCTACTAGGAACACCCCTGATTGATTGATGGCTTAAAGAATGAATTGTCCCTGAGAAATTATGAAAAGCTCCAAGGTAGTGGAAAGATGACACAGTCCCAGTAGAGGTCATGTTGGTTTTGGTTCAGCGTGGTGCATAGTTCCGAAGCATGGTTCCCCATTGGCTCTTCATAGTTCAAGTCACGTGCGCGAGCCAGGGCCGCAATTTTCCCTCCCGAGCATCTCCCCAGGCCTTCTGGTGATTCCGCGGGAACAGTCGGCCATTGCTGGTACCGCAGTATCCAAGATGCAGAAGGTCATTCGAAGGACCGCCCTGGCGCGGAACCAGGCCCAGCGGAAAGTTATCCGAGCGACCAAATCAGCTCAACGCGAGGACCTCAAGGACACTCTAAGGCAGCGGTTTGCCTATAATCGTCTGGAGATCGATAACCTCCGCGCGGAGAGACAGCGACGCCGCGAGGACTGGCTGCGTGGGCCCTTGGCGCCCCAGCGCGATGCTGGTCTTGAAGGAAGGCAATTCGGCGCTTTGAGCCCACAGGCAATGAACCCTCCGTCCGTCCCCGAGCACCTGCGGAGGAAATACATCAACATTGCCCCCGGTGACCGGGTATGCATCATGAAGGGAAAGGACAAGGGCAAGATCAACGAGGTGACTCGGGTGGATGCGAGCACCGAAACCGTTGTGGTTAAGGATCTCAACATGGTATGCCTCCTGCCTGTGGAGTGACTCTCGTTCCATCTACTGACTCTTGGTTCTCAACAGGCCGATGTGCACTTTCCCGACTGGCTGAACGAACAGTATGGAAACTCGACTCCCTTCCAGTCAGTCAGCATCCCTCTATCCATTGACGACGTCCGCCTCGTCGTCGCTCTCGATGATCCGGATACCGGCTCAACGCGAGATGTATTGGTCGAACATGTTCGCGGAGGGGAACCTTTCCTCGAACGGGCATACGGTACCGATACTCCCCGACACACCAGATATATCGCCGGTGAAGACATCGAGATCCCATGGCCCCGAAGTGACCCCACAGAGTTGAAGGACGAAGAGTGGGATACGCTCCGCATGGAGGTCGAGACGCCGACCTGGATGCCGTCGCTGCATTATGCCCCATTCCCTCCCAGCGTCCTGGATGAGCTCCGCAACAAATTCTCGAAGTACCGAACGAGACACGACGTGGACTGGGTGGAAGCTAAGAAGATGGAGGACTACAGGAGGGAATATCTTCAAAGCCGGTCTTTGTTGACACCCAAGGGCGAATTTATGGAGATGCTCAAGGCCAAGAGGCAGGAGCGCCAGAACGCACGAAAGGATGCTGAGGGGAACTTCATCCTGGATGATCAGACGGTCGGATTCATTGAGAACTTCATGAAGCAGAAAGCGACCAAGAAAGCCTAATTGCCTGCTGGAATCTCATATGGTGTCTGAAGTGGGCGAGTGAGCCTGGGTCTTTTCTGTTTTCTTTCCGAGTTCTTTTAATTGGGTGTACACAATTATACTACTGTAGCATAGAATATGAATGTATAAGATCAATCTGCTCCTGCGCCGATTTGTAGGTCCCCCGATTACAAGAGAACTGGATGTTGGAGCGACCGGAGCCCAATCTTTGCGGACTGCGTTGCCCCAATTGCGTTTGGGATTATGAATGCGCGCGCCCACGGGTCGACAGGGCCGCCAGGGGAGGTCTGCAGCTACTCTTTCATTTGCTACCTACTTACTTTCTTCATCCATCCGATCCGCGTCCCCGTTTTCCTGCCTGTCCATCCCCCCCAATCCCCGAATTCAGCTACTCTTTCTTCCATGCGACCTCAACCGTCTTGACTTCCACTGATTATATATACCGAGTGTTGTTGGGGTGGTCACCTCTCGCAGCATGGCTTTTGCCACGATCAACTCATCGGTGCCGGCCAAGATTCCGGCCATTGAGGACGCCTTTGCCGCCGAGCCAGCACTCAAGAAACGGGTTTACGATGCGATCGGTGCGTACGGGTCGCTCAGGACGACAAGCTACATTAACCTCACAACCCCATACAATAGTCAGAATGACCAACTGACGTCCATCCCACAAACAGCACATACCCCGCAACATGTACCTCTTTTCGAAGACATCGCTAAATATACCTCCAGCCTGCTGGCCAGGACTGCAACCGGCCCCGTTCGGCCTGTGGAGGTTGTCAGCGACGGCCCGGCTCTGAAGAAACGGAAGCTACAAAATGGAGATGCTACAAATACCCAGTCCTCGGGCGATGTGAAAGCCGACACACCACTGCTATTCTACATGCAGGATGTTTCCTTTGCTGTTCCCCAGCGAAAGAAGCTAACGCTTGAGGTCACCGCCGGCCACGGGTTCCTACGGGCGAGGAACCAGACCTCGAAGGAGGTGGAATTTGGTATACAATTGGACAAGATACGTAAGTCCAGGATGCGGTGTCGGGACCGGTCAACGCTAACAGTGTTTTGTTGGATGTGAATAGAGCATGTCTTGTGCCTTCCCGTCCCCGAGAAGAATCAGCGACAATTCAATTTCTGCATTATTCCCCAGTACGCGGACGGAGTTAACTCACCACCGGAAGGTGTAACTGCTCCCGAAGCCATTGTGTGGACAGTCGCCGACGGCCCTCCCAAAGCGGCATTCTCAGGCGATGGGAAACAGCTTGGAACGAATAATGATGAGACTACGGACAAAATTGTTCAACGAGTGTTGAACGACAATCTGTCGCAGACTAAGGTTGTGCGCCCGGATGAGCGACAGTTTGTGAGCGCTATGCCCGAGGCTCATCGCAAGGGGGAGAAGGCCTACCACGTCAAGGCCTTCCGCGGGAGTAAAGAAGGTATCGTCATATGCATCATGCTCTTTCGCTAGGGTTCAAAACTAATTGATGTCTTACTGCAGGTTACCTTTTCCTTCTCTCTACGGGAATACTCTTCGGGTTCAAGAAACCATTGGTCTTCTTTGCCTTCGAAAACGTTGACTCAATTTCATACACGTCTGTGCTGCAGCGAACCTTCAACCTTAACGTCGTGGCTCGACCTACGTCAAGCGATGAGACGCAGGAGTTTGAGTTTTCTATGATTGACCAAGCAGACTTTGCCGGAATTGATGAGTATATCAAGAAACATGGTCTGCAGGATGCCAGCCTCGCTGAAGCGCGGCGTGCAAAGCGATACAACGTCAATGGTGCTAAGGCAGAAGATGATGCTGCTGCTGTCAATGAGGAAAGGGGCGCTGAAGGGGAAAGTGAACTACAAAAAGCCCAACGCGAGCTCGAAGACCAAGAGGATGAGGACGAGGAGGATTATGATCCTGGCAGCGACAGCGACAGTGACGGAAGCGGCTCTAGCAGTGATGACGATGACGATCAGGATGAAGAGGGCGACATGGAAGAGGACGACGAAGAAGAAGAGGGAGAAGAGGACCGAGACCTGGTGGCACAGGAACTCGGCAGTGAAGCCGAAGATGTTCCTGCGGAGGAGTTGTGAGAGACCGCCTTTTATGACTGTTGTTGTATGAATAGGTGATTGCTGCTACCGTCACACCAACACTCTGTGTATGGTGATGTGTATCCGACAATCGCGTGGCTAAGACATTGTACTGGTGACCAGCCTGTTACACTACATCAGGCCCCTCAAAAGGATGAATTTTGGGGGAAAGTTCAGGGCAGGCCATGCTCCCGCATTATCTAGCATACGCGCCTGTAGTTCTGTAGAGTTTGACGAGGCTTCCCACGTCTGATGTACTGGGTTGGGGACGAGGATCCGTTTCAAGGCTGCATGGAGTCCGTTTCAACTTGGCAAGCATTGCAAGCCAATGGAAAAGGACAAATCCATGCACAGGCATCCAGTGGGCGGTGGGTCATGGACGTGTCAGATGCGTCTAAAATGGAGGTGCCACTGGTGGATGTGCCACCTACCTAAGTACGGATTGCCGGATGCCAGGTTGCACGGCGTATTCTAGTATCTAGTTGCACTCCAGGCTCCATGGGGTCTGTTCTTTCAAATTTCAATGAGTTCAGTCAAGTCCGACCCTGATGACCGGTTACTCCTTCGAGAAGGCTTGTATCCATCGTCCCCTCCCAATTGGGGGGTTCTGAAGCACCCTTGTACTATCGGGGCCCCCAAATTCGCTCCGAAACCTACCAATGAAATAATCTCGTAGACAACTCGATAATGAGAACACTAAGGGGGACTACTCTGGAAAGGGTGGGGTAGACTCCTCCTGGGCCTCAGGTACTTACTTGTATGTCATTGGTAGGAACCAGGTCAGTACAGTATCATACCGACCACCATACCGTACCTACCTACTAGTATACCTACTACTAGTAGTGGTAGTAACTACTAATACCTACTACTAGGTACGATTTGAAGTAGCTCGATTGGTTGCCCTGAGCGTCCAGTTGGGTTGCAGACTGGTCAGGGGCAGTGCCAGCTCAGCGCAGGTACCTCCAGCAGCGTCTAGCACATACTTAAGGCTTAAGCAGTCCGCAGTACCTCACTAGTTGCCAGATTAGAGTGGTTAGCGGTTAGGAGCTGACAGTCTGTCACCGTCGGCTACGGGGCGTTGTTTTAGCTGGGTTGACAGCTGCGATTCCTCGCCATTATTGGTAGAAAGGAAATGGTACGGAGTAAGTACTTAGTAGTGTCTGCCTCAGGGTGACTACTATTTACTACGCCATCCTGCGGGCGGCCCCTCGGTCTCCTGGGTACCTAAGTGATTCTGTCCCGATTCGAATTCTGATCGAGGAGCGGACGCTGCCATGGGAATTGGATTTATTGGACTCCTGATCGGATAAACGATCCATACTACTAGGTGGTAGGTTTGTCGGCATGTGTCTGAGAGCTCCCTCGGGCAGGTTCAGTTCAGCAGGTAGGTAATACCGAGTAAAATGATATCCCTGCCAGGTACCCGGCATTACGATACCAGGCTCAAACCAGCTAGACCATGCGGGCATTTCATCCATCATTCCACGGCCAAGGGTATTATTGAGGAAAGTATAGTTAGTTACAACTGACCTGGTTAGTCACCGTAGTAACTGACGGAGCCTCGAGGTCAATGTGCGGTATTCGAATGACACAGACACAGAATGGATGGATCCCTTACACCATGAACCCCCGGGGTTCCATGTTCTCCTTGGGTTGTTGGAACTTTAACACCGCCAGCCCCATGTGGCACCGAAGGTACCAAGGTAACAATCATACCATAGTGACAACAATCCGAATCAATTATAGAAGATAGATAGGTGCAGAGCCCTTCAATTTCATGGCTTCCATCTGGCCAGAACCCACTGCTGGCGTCTAGTAGATAGTGCCCGCTTTCAACCGTTCATCGCCCAACAGGCTGAGCGCTAGAGGCCGCTAGTGAGTCCCTGGGCCAGGGCGATTCCGAGTCGAGGATAAAATTTGGGAGGCAAATAAGCGCAATTGAGGTCTGCGATTGGATTTCATTGGCCCCAATCTTAGAGTCAAACTTTTTTTGCCCTCGATCAACAGTCCCAATCCTTGTAGATAAACACTGGGTCACCTGAATGATCCCTCGATAGACACAGTAGGAACTCGTAGGTATCTAGGAGGTATGTGGGATTGAAGGACTGATGAATGCATGGCGCCCTCCGGATGTCTCAGTGTAATCAGGTACCATACCCGTATTCCCGATTACCGCCCTTCATCCCCTATCGACGGGGCCTCCGCCGGCTCAAATGGCCTGCGCTACTCCGTAGTCGATACCAGATACCCGATGTTACTGTACGGAAAGAAAACCGGGCAGAGCGCCCCATTGAAGGGCGTCATCGGGACGATACATACGGCCGTCCCGTCATGACCTGACCAAACCCAGTGAAGGACCAGACCCGACAAGACCAGACCAACTCTGCCTCATCCAACCATCGCCTCTCTCTCGTCTCTCTCTTGCTCTCGCTCTCCCTCCTCTGCTCTCCTCTTCCTCTTCTTTTGCTCCTCCTGCTCTCCGCCTCATTTTTCCTTTTTTTCCTTTATTCCTTCCCCGTAGGCAGGTCGTAGCAGTTGCAGTTCATGCCACTGGCGTGTTCGCTGCTCACCTAGGTCCTCTCTACCCACTTCTCCCTCCCGTCCCCAATCCTCCTCTCTTCTTTCCCTTCTCTCTCTCGCCTGTCTCCGTCTCCTTCGTCGGCGCCTCAATTCTACATCTACCACTGCCTGCCCAGTGCGTTTTGTCGTACTGCCACGCGGTTGGTCAGTAGTAGGGGAATTTTCCTTCCTTATTTTTTTCTTCCCCCCCTTCTCGATTAATTCCTTTTCCTAAAACCGAACATTTTATTCCTCGTCCCCTTTCCGACGAGCGCACCCTTAACTGTCAGCCTGCAGCCCCCTCAAAGCTGCCGGCCCCCCGGAATACCCTGTTCTTCCCTCCCGTCACCCTTCTTGCCAACGCCGTCCAAGGGTGCACCCTATTGTCCCCCTCAAAATTCACCGGTGCGATTGTTCGAGCGGCTGTCTACTCGCTGTCTGCGGCTTCCGATTCGTTGTCCGTCCTGGGTTCCGTGATATCTACACGCTGGAGTGCTTTTTCATGAATGGTTCGCATTGATAACCATCGGGCTTCCTGTAAGACCCCGGTCGCCTCCTCCCTCCCTCTCCCCAAGAGCAACCATTAGTACCGCTTCTTTGGTCATTCGTTCCCTTGGTCGACCATTCTGACCGATTTGTCAGGCTAGTCTCACGTGTAATCGCCGTTGATCGAGTCCCCTGAACCTAACCCCCTCTTGTCAAGTCTGCGGTCTCTCGACGTCACCCCCCCCTCCCCCCCCCGACTTCGGCAATCATGGCATCCTCATCATCCAATGTCGTCGGTGTTCATTATCGAGTGGGAAAGAAGATTGGCGAAGGATCGTTCGGTGTGATCTTCGAGGGAACGAACCTGTTGAACAATCAGCAGGTGGCGATCAAATTCGTACGTGAAATTCCGATGGGACGGGTATGCGGTTCGCCATACTAATGGTACTAGGAACCACGCAAGAGTGATGCACCACAACTCCGCGATGAGTATCGGACATACAAGATTCTGGTCGGATGCCGTGAGTATACCCCAAGGGCGATTGTATGGAAAGGGGCCTTTGATCTGACTGGTTGCAGCTGGCATTCCCAATGTCTACTACTTCGGGCAAGAGGGTCTGCATAATATCCTGGTCATCGACTTGCTCGGCCCCAGTCTTGAAGACCTCTTCGATCACTGCAACCGACGATTCTCGATCAAGACAGTTGTTATGGTCGCTAAGCAGATGGTGAGTACCCCGATCGCTGATTGGTGATGTGTTATTCTTCCTAACTTGCATTAAAGCTTTCCCGAGTCCAAACGATCCACGAGAAGAACCTGATATATCGTGACATCAAGCCCGATAACTTCCTTATTGGTCGCCCGAACACCAAGGCTGCTAATGTTATCCACGTTGTTGATTTCGGCATGGCCAAGCAGTACAGAGATCCCAAGACCAAGCAGCATATCCCTTATCGCGAGCGGAAGTCGCTGTCCGGCACAGCCCGCTACATGAGTATCAACACCCATCTGGGACGAGAACAATCGCGACGTGATGACCTCGAGGCTCTGGGACACGTCTTCCTGTACTTCCTGAGAGGTGGCCTTCCCTGGCAGGGTCTCAAGGCCGCGACCAACAAGCAGAAGTATGAAAAGATTGGAGAGAAGAAGCAGACTACCGCGATCAAGGACTTGTGCGATGGATTCCCAGGTGATTACTGACTGTGTCTTGTCCATCATCAGCCTCCAGAGCGTGCTGACCAGAGATTCTAGAAGAATTCACGAAGTACCTAACTTACGTTCGCAATCTCGGTTTTGAGGACACCCCCGACTACGACTATCTCCGGGACCTCTTGACACAGGCTCTCAAGAACGCTGGCGACGTCGAGGATGGAGAGTATGACTGGATGAAGCTCAACAACGGAAGAGGATGGGAGTACAAGTCGTACTCGTCTCAGCAGCATCTCCACAATAACGCCCTTCCCAACACATCTGCCCGGGAACTTCACGCACAGCAGCTTCGCGGCAGTCGGCCGGGCGTGACCGCCGACCGTTTAAACGCCGCGCAGCCCCCGCCTCCATCTCCGGCCAAGCCCGGGGCTGGGAAGACGCGCGACCGGCCAAGCGTCTCCGGCGGGATGCCGCCAAAGCGTCAGAGCGGGGGCCTGGATGCCACGCCGACAGCGTCGACTCAAGCACAGTTTCAGAACTCGAACGCCAACATCCCAGGTCATCTGGGAAGCCCTACGAACCCGACGAAGAACAGCCAACAAGGCCAAGGTGCTCCGGGCAACAATGAGCCGCAGCCCACATTCGTCCAGAAATTGATGAAAGCGCTTTGCTGCGGTAGGTGATTCAATACCCGAACCTGTCCCGGCTCCCATACTTATCCGGGTTTCCAGGTTGATACAAGGCTGAGCGTGGAATCATTGTAATTCTACATAATATCCTGGTCATGTTGGCTTCTCGACTTTCTTTCGTTATTTCTTGTCTTCAACATACTTGGGAGGTTTGAAAGGCAGCATGCGATTATACTGTGTTATAACCCGGGAACTCTCCCCATCCCATTGTATCTTACGTGTTCGGGCTCGCCAACGCTGCTGCTGCTGCTGGCCGGTGAACACGGTGTGGGCTTTGGGGGGCGCGGATATATTGTTCTTTTCCTTATTTGTGTCATCCATGGGTCTCGGATCATGAGCACCTGGCTCACACCCGCCTGCTTTCGCTATCTCTAATCCGCCAAGGCACCCTCGGCTCGAAATGCGTCGGCCTTCGATCGAACCGACTCTCCCTCGTCTTTCTCATCATCACCCTCGTCCTCTTCAACACTCTTTTATGGTGCTACGGCTCAAAACGGCGAACCTGATCAGTCCTGCTTGTGTCATTGCATTTCTTTCCTCTCTTCCTCTTATTTCCTTCGTCCCGCATTCCCGGCACGAGCCATTTAATACTAGAGTTCCGTCTTGTGTCAGAGTACATGATCAGTGCCTCGAACCTCTTACCTTTCCTCCTCGACCCGCCGCTGACATTTACCGCCCTCCTACTGCGTCGGGCCTTTGTGGCTGGTTCTTTCGATGGTAATTTTAATGATGTGGCAGAAGGGCGTTTGGCATTTGGTGGAAGTCCTCGCGTGTCGTCCGGGCAGACGCTGATTTACACAGCATTTTTAGCATCTAAATGTTTGAATATGCGCCCTTGTGGAATGCGTGTGCAGGACCAATGAGTCCATCGGTCAAGGAGTTCATGCGATAGCGGCCTGTGGCTGTTTCTTTCCCCCCTTTTTCTCTTCTTTTCTTCTCTATCTTCTCTCTGTCGGGTCGCTTCCACACGGATTTGCAAGGAATCATTCGGATGTAGCCGTGTGTTCTGTTGGATTTGTACTTGTCCCTATCATGTTGTTTGCCGTTGTCAGTTCCAAAAACAGTTGATTCACCAGACGCACCTGGTTCTTTTTCATCTTTCTCTTCGTCTGCTCGGCCGCGTCGGGCGGGTGACTGCCGGGTGAGCAGTAAACCGCGGCCATGTACTATGTACGAGGCGTTTACGTTGCGCAGTCTGCAATGGGTGCTATATACATTCAAGCGGTGTGACGGGGGGAAGAGCGTGTGCGTTGGCCATGCCTGTGGACTGGAGTCCAGGCTTGATCCTTTCTGCTGAACGACGACGACCTCAGGATCCGTAGAGTAATCCGGCCGGGGTCAGACCTCCCTCTCTCTCCTACCTAATTCATAGATAGAGCTCTAATACGAACCGTCTACCAATCAGAACCAACGCACAGTCTCCAAACTCCATAGGGCAGCAGAACATCCCTACCATTCCATTAAGACTGTTATTTATTAACCTTCGCCAAGATCAAACGAGATCCCTGCATCCTCGCCGTCCGACTTACGCCACGACATCAGCCCTCTGGGCCACACGCACGCACGCACACACGCGGCGCCAACGAGCTAGCTATCTAGCTAACCCTGAAGGAAATAGAACCGGGAGCTGTCATTGGAAGCACGTCCCGGGATGATCGATGATCGGGGGGGGATCCGAGCGCGAATGCAAATGAGGAGAATAAGCGGGTGAGGAGGGATGAGGGATGCCTGTTTGCTTGGCACTATATAAGCGTGGTGTGTTTGCTAACATGGAGATACTAAATAGATGGGAGAAGCGGAGCGGGGATGGTGTGTGTAGTAGTAAGACTGTAGTTTACTATTTGTATCGGCGTGTGTGTGTGGTTCTACTCACTACGTGGTATACAAAGAGGTATATGGAGGATTGGTAGAGGTATTTATTGGTTGTTTGGGTGTCATGTCATGTCATGTCATGATGTTTGTTGGTGTTTAATCTATAGGGCTAGACAAGACAGGAATGTGACACAGTCGGGAAGGAGTTGATTAAAGATCCATGGGTGTGACGGGTTGGTGGTTGGCATGGCATGGCATGGCATGGCATGAGATAGGTGAGTAACTCTCGTCTCCTTCTGTATTTTGTCTTGGCTGCTTGGCCTGGGGGAGGGATTATGTGGGAGGGTTTGCCTTCTTGGGATGTTTGCATGAGGTGCATAGTGATACCTATAAGGAGATGGGGTAGATAGGGTGGTGAGATCGGCGGCAATGGATGCTGTCATATTGCAGAGGGAGTCCGGATGGGATGATCATAAGGAGTAGTAGATAGTAGTACAGTAGTATTATAGTAGACTGTATAGGATAGTACTATTCAATTAATTATTATTATCATCATCATCATCATCCAACAGCCAAGCTCCACCGCCGGTCTAGACCCAAAGTGGGATGGGCCAATTCGGGTCCGGAATCGAATCGGAGTTGCAGTTCCCACTTGCGGTTTCAGATTAACGGAGCCTGGCTGCGAGTGGCATCAGGCCACTTCGTCATTCTTCACACTTCTCGGCTCCGTCGTTGGGCTGATTGCCAAGCTATATCACCGGCTCCCTATGATGATCCGACTGCACCATGTACATACATAGTATGGAGTAGTAAGTAGGGCATATTAATTCTATACTACTCCGGAGTCCCTGGGGTTGCAGACTCGGGACTGCAGAGATCCCTTCCATGCGGTGGCTGATCGCGTCACGTCTGGCGTTGCGGCAGTGTGTATTGCCGACCACGGAGAAATTGTGGAGCTGGATTGGAGGTCCCCTTCGTACTCGTAGTGAGAAGGTTACTACTATGTAGTACGATGATTCAGATTCAGAGATGACTATCATTCCAACTTCCAAGGATCCCAAGATCACTAGGTAGCTAGCCACCTGCTCGTCGTCCCCTCGGTTGACTCCGAACCCCGTCCGGATGTAGAGTATGTAGGGAGGAAGTACGATGTAGGTACAATAAGATGGCATAGGGCTCTAGCCAGTAGCCAGTAGCCAGTAGCCAGTAGCCAGTAGCCAGTAGCCACCGATGTACTCCGTAGGAAAACCGACCGAAGAACCTGCCAGGCAAGCATCCATGACATTGACAGCTGGCCGAAACGTGGCTTCGTGGCGGTCTCGAGCTTCTTAGCAATTGAGGCCGTACACGTGGTCGACGGGTCCTTGGCAGAGCGCGAAATACGATGCGTCAATTGGACAAGTTGCTGTACTAGATAGTAGATACTATGTATACGGTGTAGGTATCTAGCTCTGAAAGGTGCATCTGCAGGTGGCCCTTGTTCGCATCCTACTTATGCATGGGAAAAGGAAGCTATCTAGCTCTCTTTACCTTGACAAGTGAGGCGAACGAATCCCCACATTGTTGCGAGTAAATACTCTGCACTCCGTAGCTTCAACAGCACATTGAGTTTGAGTTTCTGTTTCTGGTGGTAGCTAGCTGGCCTGGCCATACCTACATAGTACACAGGATGCGAACTTAGTCATTGGGATTTGATATTTGATACCTGACTTTCCCTATCAGCCCCGTTTCTACCTTGGAGGTTTCGGTGTGCGGGTGGTGCCGCCAACCTTGTTAGGTAGTACATAGTACATACTACTAGTACTTACTACTATAGTACAGCCTGTGGAGGGGCCGGGTACCGTCGCTCATCCGCGGAATGAAGATGTGGTTAGGTAATCGCCACCAGGACAACAAAGATGCTCAATTTTGGTCTGCCGAATGTCGATGGCGTCGCCGAAGGTTGATAAGACGACCCGAACTGGAGACAAATGGTAGCGAGCCACTAGCCTGACGAGTAAGTTCAGCACTTTGATAAGCCTCTTCAGCTGCTTTGCCACTCCCTCCTTCTCTCCTATCCTATCTACTTCTCGTCCGGTCGGTCCCTACCTGCCTTATCATCAGCCCGGACGGAGCAAGTCGGGGCATTCTGCCACTTTAGTCAATGGCTGTGCCACTTCATCGCGGAATATTTTCTACTCTTGTTTTTTTTTTTGCCCTTCCCCCCTTTCTTTCTTTCTTTCGCTTGTTCGGGTGATGTGTGTGGTCTGTTACATTTATAGAGTGGCGTTGTGCAAAATCCTTCCATCGTTCATTCCATGATCAATCTAGAATCCACAAAGAAAAAAGGAAAAGAGAAGAAAAAAAAAAAACTTCTGCGTCAACGACTGACAGCCGGGTTGTTTGATCAGTTGATGTGACTGGCACTGGCTGCACTGCGCCGTGGCACATGAAGACAGGCAATGAACGTTGATAAGTAAAGCCAATTAGTCAACATGACTCAGGTATGACTGCCCTACGATGGGTTCGAGATGATGCAGCACGTACACAGTACTCTGTAGGCAAACAGATAGGCAGTAAAGTTATCAGGACCATAGTCTGCGTCGTATCTAGGTGTCACTCGACCCTGAAGGCCGATGCCCGTGGGATACTTGATGATCTGCAAACGGGAATCGTACAGCAGGCGCATGACGTGATTGAGGTGTGGCTTGTTGAACGATGGACGGTAACCTAAAATCCCTCCCTTCTGCACCCTGTATAGATTTATAAGCTAGGATTGTTGATGATGGCGATATCAAGGAGGCGCAGATCTTGTACGCCCCTTGGAGTCTTCGTCTGCCGTGCCACTCCATGGAACCTTCTGTATGGCTTCTTTCATGTGCTGACGTAGTCCCCTTCTGCTGAGCCGGACCAAGTGGTAGTAGGTAGCACGACAACATCCGATCCACGCAACCCCCCCTGCAAGTCTGCAACGGTGTCTATGCCATTCTAGAACATAGTCAAGGAGCAATGAACTAACCCCGACGCCACTCTGAAGGACACCTAAGAGCTAGGCCACAGATCAATTTTAGTCTCTAGTAGACTACCTATAGGCATAGCTAGTAATAACTTATATACTACTACCTATGAAGTATGAACAGTACCTGCAGGCCAGAGGGGACTTGCCTAACAGGGTAAAGCGAAGGAGAACAGAACAACTCCAACAAATCCAACAAATCCAACGATATTCCCCCATTCGCGCCAAGGTCTTGCAAGACCATCTCCACTGCCGCTAACAAGCTTCTCGGCGGTCCATGTCCATGTCCACCAGATAAAGAAAAGCATTGCACCTCGTGAGCACGGCGTGCCAGGCGCCAGGCCCAAACAGGAATCACGTTGCTCAGCGATTTCCTCCGGGATTGGCCCATCCATGCCCCTCAATGCGAGGTTGGTTGTGCGTGGGTGTATGTGTGGGGTGGGGTCGTACCACCAATCCGTGGCGTTATGAGGACCCCCGGGGCTGGCTGGAATTCTGTGGGAATAAGCCAATTGATGATAATGCCACACACACCCTTCTTGCTTTCTGGCCCACTCAACAAGCCACTGTTTCTTCGGCGTGGCTACTAGGTAGGTACTAGTACTGACTGGCCAGTTCGACAGTGTACGGGCGGGCCGAAAAGCCCCCCGGGTCCCAGTGCCATCTCATTAGTGGACGTCGCAAGGGTCGGGCTGGTCTCCCTTACACAGTACACAGTACACAGTACTCCGTAGTCCGTACACTGTTCACGACTGGGGCAAACCAGCATTCCTCGAAATTTCTTTGCGCCTTCCTTCGTGTTCTGGAAAATGCAAGAGACTAAAAAAAAAAACAAAAAACCAAAATTCTTTGTCGGCTGGTCTCCCGACAACGGCTGCGACGATGAATCATATCCAAATCTGGCACTAAACCCACGATCACGATGGAGGATGTGTTCCCCTCAACCACACGGTGACACATACACCCACTCTGCATGCCTGCAGGCCCTTGCAGACGCGTTTAAGGAGGGCAACTACCTCCAGAGTCCGGACAAGGGTCTGGACTGGTAATACCACGCCGTCAAGCAGTTCCGCCCCCAGGATTGGACATTACACATGGTGTGGATGGGGTTGACGCCCTCCTGAGTCCTGGGTAATAATCGGAGTGGGCGCTCAAACTCAAAGCTAATGGCGGTTAGCACGATGGTCTAATCGTCTAAGTTCTAACACCACTACCTATCTAGTATCTACTACCTATCTAAGTACCCATGCTATCATGCTATGACTATTCCAGCGTAGTACGGCGCTACTACCCCATAACTCAAGCAGCTTGACTCCGCGATTGACTCCGCGAGACCAGTAGTGTTGTTGCTAGCCCCAGGACTAAATAGCGATGCTGGAGACTGGAGTTTCTTTGTCTGCAAACCCCCCCCCCCCCCCCCCCAATCGGCTTGCAGATCCACCCACCACTAGTACTGCTGCACCGTAGATACTAGGTAGATAGGTAGGTGTTTGAACTTTGAAACCGGCCGACCAGCATGCTCGCTGCAGCTAAGTAATGGTAGGTAGGTAGGTTCGAAATCGTTCGAATACTGCTCCGTCCTCTTCAAGAGGTTCGAACGCTCCACTACTTACTTACCTACAAGCTCTGTCTGTCTGCTCGGAAGGACATCTTCCCCCTCACAAATGTATCCCTTTCCTCCCCTTACCTTGGGCTGCACAGCCTGCTTGGCATCCTGTAGATCCTGCGTCAGCTTGGCCAATCAATGCGGGGTGGCCGCTCTGCACGACCACCGTCAGGCCGTCGTGCGCCATGAATCAGTTCATTATTACTGCCAGTCGAGGGGCTGGCCGGAGACTTGTTCTCCGACTCCGGATTGGTACAGCTGGTATTCCGTATCGTATCGGGGGGCGGTACCATGGTGTCTATCTACCTATCTAACAGTAGATAGGTAGTAGTACTCCATACCTATGAAGACAATGCCCGGAGGACTCCGAACGGACCAGGGAGATGTTCTTTGTGTCGCCATTCCGGTGTACTGGACAAGGTTCTTCTAGCCATGTGTCTGGTGGATGTGACAACACATCGGGGCTGGGCTAATGTATCCCAGCAACCACCTGGGCAGCTCCCTCGTCTGGCATTGGCAGGGCGTCAATGCAATCCATCTTGCCTTGTCCTGGTACATAGTACATCCACGACCTGCTACGGTGACCGGAAAGATCAGGTACAGGTACGCCGCAGCCAAGTCCTTACTATTCCGTAGAATCCCTTCTGCAATCAAGTCCAGACTGCCGCATATTATTATTTTTACGAGCCCAGTTGCCACCCCAAACCACATCAGGCAATCAACTGGCGCAGAGCTTTGCATTGGACTCAGACGCCGTCTCCATACAAAAGCTGCAAGAGATCCGGTTCCTGGGCGTCTAACGAGTTTTGCATCTTGATTTCTAATTTTATTTGATCCTACTCCTACTGCTGGAGGGCGCGTCTGACCACTTTCACCAGCATCAAATACCGCAGACATACATAAACTTACGCTTGCCTGCAACCTACATAAGCTCCGCTATCTATCATCTTTTATCAGCCCTGAGCGATTTATCCTCGTTTCTGCTGCACCGTTGGGTCATATTGGCATTGAACGCGCGTTTTGGCGACCACCCCTTGCTGCCGGTCACCTTCTACAGATATTCTGTTGCGGCACGTCGCATTCAATTGACGCATGGTGAGTGAGCGACATCGGTCCCTCCATTTTCTTTTTCTTTTTTTTTACTATTCTATATTCTTTTTTTTTTTTCCTTTTTGTTCTCGCTCTTTCGCGCCCTGCTTTTTGTGTTGCTGTTGTATTCCCCCCCCCATTGCCCTTGTCATATTTTTGCTCGCTCCACTCGGTTGTTTCAACTGCAATCCATGATGGTTGTTGATTGAGGATCGATCGATCGATCGACCGGCCTCGACAATCCCTTCAGACTTCAGAGGCTTAGGGCAATGATGGCATACAAAGCCAAGGCAGACGGCCCCCGAGTCATTCAAGAGAGAGAAACAAGCGCCCGGCTCCACAACGGCCGGTTTTATTTTCCACCTCCCTCTTGGACAACGCCGACTCGCAGGGGCGGCGGCAGCACAACCACCACGACCTTACGACGACGAGCGACCCAACGCTACTGCGTTACTATGGGCTCCACCCCTCGACCTTTTGGGACTTGGGATTACTTCATCGGCGGAGATCCATCGCGCGTCCTGGTGATCCATTCAGGCCCAGCGACGGAACCCGATTTCCATTCATGATCTCCACCCCGGGGCTTCCAGATCCTTTTTGGGTTGCAACTTTGCGAGTCACTCACTGTCTAGTGTCTGAGGCATGCCTTAGGGCCTATGACGTGATTCACTTACTGGTCGGGTGAAGGGCAGGAGGGTATCTAGCTGCGTAGTCCTTCTAGAAAGTCTGTCGGGGGCCGTTCTTTATCAGTGGAATCTTTTTCCTCCTTGGCTCAGCCTTCTGTCGTTCTTTTTCTCCCCTTTTTTCTCCCTTTTTCTTCCTTTTTTTCTATTTTCGATTTTCCGTTTACTTCCGATCCAGAAGAAAAGGAAGGGAAAAGGAAAAGGAAAAGGAAAAAGAAGAAACGGGAAAGAACAAACAAAGGAACGCCCCTCCTCCAGTGACAGTTTTCTTTTTCTTTCTTATTTGGGTGGTATTATCCACCAGCGCCTCTCAGTGGCTCCCTGGGCCCCGCCGAGGTTGGCCTGATAGGCCGCGGCTCTTCTGGGTACGATCGACCGGGAAGTCTCGTCGGCGGTGATTCGTGGTGGGCAGGCAACAGTCCCTTGGGTCGACTCCTTCGGTCATCCAGAGAATCCACTGCTAGCCAACGTGGAAGCGCTCTGGACTGGCTCTGCTGGTCCGGTCGGCGCGTGTGAGTAAATCTTGGGCCGCCGGTTGTGCCTGTGGGCCAGTAATCCACTCCAATCCACTCCATTTTCCACGGCACCCCCATCCCCTCCCCTCCAGACGCCTTCTGCGCTCCCTTCAATTGAGGTTTAGGTCCCATCGCATCCCCTCCCCCCGGGTGCTCGACGCTTCCGTGCAGGTTTTGAGAACTCTGCCTCTGAAGGGGTCCTGATCGGCATCACCTCTCCACCCACTGGCCGGCCTGCCTTGTTTCCTCTCTTCTATTTGAATACTATCCACCCCAGTCTGCCATTCGTCTTGTCCTTCCGTGGCGTCATTTAACCTGTACACGGCTCTTTCTTTTTCTTTTTTATTTTTTTATTATATTTTTTCTCCTCCTCTGCTGTGCCTGGCCTTAAACTCGTCTCTTATTATTATTATTAACCGTTTTTTTACTTTTGTCCCCAAATTTCCAGTTTCCTCCTCACCACCACCACCACCCCCGTCTTCTTTAACCCTTCTGGAAACCGCTGCTGCTGCCTATACCCTTGCCGCGGGACATCGACTAATCAATCCTTTGTCCACCCAGCGACTCAGCAAGCAGATCTCCTTCCGCTCACAAACTGAGATCCTTCACCTTATCGTCTGCTGCTCCAGTCTCGCCTCGCCTTACTCTTTTCCCCGCTCAGTGCCGCCTCACCTCTGCGCTGTCTCTCGTTCCGCTCCTCCCCATCTCCCATCTGAAACACGGCTTCTCAGCAACGAGTCTGGCCTTTCTCCGAGACCCGGCGTTCTCGGCCATCATTACTCGTCGTGCTGCTCGTCCCTAGTTGGGCATCTTTGTCGACCCTGGCGAAACACTGTTCCCACTGTCTGGGGTGTCTTGGAGGATTTCGAGGAGGTCCCAGGGGCTTCACTACACCCGCGCCGTATCCCAGTGACCGACGCACGCTATACGCGATGCTCAAAAAGAAGACCTTGCATCCGCCCATACTCTTCCGACATCATACTCCCAGCACAACGCCTGAGCTCTCTCCCACGACTTCCTCATCGGACAGCGAGTCGGACGAGGACATGGACCCCTCCGGTTCGCGTCCGTTGAGCTTGACGGTTCCGGGTGCATTCTGTCCTATGCGACCCTCGTTAGATGAGGTGCTGGCCAACACTGCACCTGCACCATACACCCTCGGCGCCTTCATGGCTTATCTCTCACAGAATCATTGTCTGGAGACTCTGGAGTTCACCCTTGAAGCCAAGCGGTACCGGGAAACTTACGATGCACTGAGCCACCAGATGAACGAATTGCCAATCGTCTCCGATTGCCCCGAAAGCCAGCATCTGCAGATGCTTTGGCAGCGATTGTTGACTGCGTACATCTTGCCCGGATCGCCGCGTGAGATCAATGTCTCTAGCGAGGTTCGCGATGATATTCTTCGGCACACAAACTTTTCCACCCCCCCCTGTCCTGATTCCCTCAACACTGCTGTCAAACTCGTCCACGATTTGATGGAAGAATCGATCTTTCTGCCATTCCTCAACGCCCATGCCTCGACCGCTCACGTGTTGCCGCTATCGGAGCCGTTATTCTCACACGAGGATGATATCACGGTCGTCTCGAATTCGAGTTTTGACGAACATACAGCCAACCGCGGCCGGTCGAAGAGGAGGCGGCAGTCACCCCAGTCTTCCAAAGACATGGGATCCCCGGTGTCCGTCGGTTCTCCGTCCAGCCATTCCGGCCGCTCTAATTTCTCATTGAGTGCAATGACTTCTATGGGAAAGGTGGGCCATCGGACTTCGGGCCAAGCCTCCAGCACTAGCGGAGATTCCGGGTCCGGAGCCTTGACCGACGACTCCGGAAGCTTGCAGTCGAGCGCGAGCGCTGGTGAACCGATGACGCCGCCGACAACGCCGCCTTCCAGTGACCCCCACTGCATGCACCTGGCCCACAGCCCGAAGCGCACCGACAACCCATGGAAGAAGATGGGGCTAAAGTTGGGGTTTAAAAAGCGATCGGGCCATGGAGGCTCTGGAAACCAACATTTCAAATTGTCTGGTATGGATGAATGACTGGCCGTCCCCAGACGGCAAACAGCCATCTCACCAGCAACTTCTAACCCTATCTGGCAGGGCATCAAAACTCTGATGTCCCTTCTCACTCACAAACCTTCCTCGCTCTCTATCCTCACAGGACAGCCAATATTGGCATCCTGATTTTACTCTTCTCACCGCACCGCACCGGCTAGGCCGCATGATCGGATCTGCATACCCGATACCGCATTTATGATTGATCTTTCGGTTATTGAGCGAATATGTCGCATTGACGCATTGGATACGAGTGGACGGTGTAATGCATGTGCATTCTGATTTACTTTTTACTGTGGAAGCATTTACCGGCGTTCTGTCATTTTTTGTCTCCTTTTCCCTCGAAGCAAGCGACCAAGCGTGCATCATTCCATTTGTCATCACAAAACATAGACTGGGTTCAAAACGGGGTAGTTGGGAGGCTGTTCATTACGGCGTCGGTGTATCCATATTGATGTTTCGAATGGGGGGTTGAGTCGCATTCTGTTGATGTGCATAGGGATCTTCCCCTTCACCAGTTTTCCTTTTCATGTTATGACTATGATTGCATTTTTGGGATGGCATTTACTACCCACTTTCTTCTTTCCATGTCTTAGCTAGCATTGCATTAGCATTAGCATTGGCATCGCTGTGTACCGGTCAATAGATACCCATGGTTTGGATGCTTGTCAATCTCTCTGGAAGAGCTTATGCGTAGAACGTCTCGTTTGTCGTATCATCACGGCCACTGGCTGTTGAAACCTGATTCTTTAACTTCAGCCACTTTTTTCCCCTTCGTTCACCAAGAACGAGTGAACCTGCAGCACCAGATTATACCATTAATTATTAACGCTCGCACTCACACACTCTGATAGGGGTGAGAGTTACACGACGATTCTCCGCCCGGATCTAGTCTCCAAAGCAGCAACACTCAAGTCCCAGCCTTTCTCGGTCAATGCAGTAACATACCGACCGAACCTCCCGTCATCATTCAGGAAATCCAATGTCCGTTCCAGAACATTTATGATACCCTCAACGTCAAATTCGTCTGAAGATGATTTCGACAAATCCCTTGCAGCTACTAAGGCATGTGCCCAGGCCTTTAGCTGGGATTGGGCTGTACTGGTGTTCTTCAGAAGGATGTTCGCATGCCAGGTACGGAGTTTCCGATTGGTGAGGTAGAGGATGTAGTGCTCTTCGCTGAAGAGAGAGATGAGATGCGGCATTGGGATGGGGGTTTGGAGGGATTCTGTGCTGGTTGATATGGAGAAGGAGGAGGAGGCGATGAATTGTTGGAGGGAGATGCCTATCCGGCAATAACCCAGTGTTTGGGAGGAGGGCGTGGGCGTTGTTTTTGTTGTTAGGAACCAGCGGAGGATACCGTCAGTTTCAAAGATTTTCTCTTGACTGGCGACTTGGGCTGGGGTTAGAGTCTTCCAGGGAGAGGGGGAATATTGTTCGGTGGGTTCGGGGTGCGTGAGATGGGTGAGTTCTGAATCGGAATTTAAAATGGTTGACAAGACGATGTTTGCTCGTTGTCTGTTGAGACTGGTCATTTGGACGGAGCGGACAGCTGCATAGTTCAGACTGAGGTGAAGGGCAAGGAGCATTAAGAGGGAAATCCAAGTCGCGGCGAAACTGGTAACACGAGAGACTACTAAAGAGCCAACCTGCATAGTATTGATGAGTTCCTTCCGTGGATGGGTTGCAAATGGCAGGCAGCAGTTGACTTACGAGCATCCCAATCAGTGATATGATTGTCTCTTGTGATGAGTCTTTCTGTTGATATGGGATTAGCCTTCTCGTCCTGGGGGTAGGGCTGCATGATCATCCACTTACGGCATTGACCTCGGCGAGGTTCCCCCATCGAGAGAAATGCGCACTCAGACTCGCCTTGGAACTTCCACCAGCTACTCCGCATAGAGCTCGTAGGACACCGGCCGTGCTGAGTATGATGACTCGGGGGGCTCCTGCTGGGATCATGGGCGATAGACAGTCCAAGATCATTGCCAGATCGTTGAAGACATCTGCCGCAAGTCGGTACATCTTGCATTCTGGTTCGAGAGCGGTGCCGACCCGGTGTGCGAAGAGAATTGTGGCGATCCGGCCAGAAGTGTCTTGGAGAATATGCAGCAATAGGGCTGAAGTTGGAGAGGCATCGGCGTTGCCGACTCCGACGCCTTAAGAGGTGTTAATTGGATATCTTGCGGATGAGGTCGTCGAGGGAATATAGAGTATTCACCGACCTTGCAGTACGGCTCTTGACGATAAGAGACCGGCAATGGAGCTGCTGAAGGCTTGGAGGGAGTCCTTCGTGAATTGGTTGTTTAGTATGGTATAAGGAGCCCGACGACGCTTTGGGATGATGTGCTTAATGCATTCTACATACAAAGAATTGATACCTGCGTGGCTTAGTAAAGTTAAACGCTGGGAGGATAGTTGGGCAGTGTCTTACGGCGCATAATCGTCCGTGACACTATGGGGATACCCAGCAGGAAGGAAGACGTCAACCAGGAAGTCTAGAAGGGCCTTTGAAGACCAAGATGCCGAGGCGCTAGAGGGAGCATGCTGGAATGTCAATGATTAGCTACCAGCAATGCTACTACAGTCTAATGCATTCAATTGGGATATGAGAATGTCGTCACTTACCGCTACGTCCACGCGTCCCCAACGCTCGCCATGCTTCTTCTCATGGGTGAGATGTGCAGGGCCCGCTGCGGGCTCGGAGTAGATGTAGGTCGCCGTAGGATGGTTAACCTCATCGACTTCGGTGAGGGTGATAGCGGCGCTGTCCCTGTTGAGTGCCATTCTTTGACGCGTGTCCTCCGGACCCTGTCAGGAGCTCTCTTAAGGAGATGAGGATGAGATTGATAGGGGAAAGGAGATGACAGTTGCGTGGCCGCAGTTGACGCTAAGGCCGCGGGCACGTGTCACGCTGTCAGCGGTAATACCGAGGGGGGGGACCCTCGGTCTACTACATTCTACAATATACTACACCCCATACGGGAAACCATTTCCAGCATGTCTTCGGTCAAACCCGATTGATTCGATTCAAGGTCTCCTCAAGTCCCAGTACAAGACAAGGAACCTTCGGAAAAAAACAAAGCACCCACAAATCAAGGGTAGTCCAGCATCCAGCAGACTTTTGAATCAAACATCTATGCAGAGAAATCTTCGCAGATCTCGTCATGCCCCAGCCAGACAACAAGAGAGTATCAATCATGTGTCGCGCGCCCCAAGTAAAGAAAATCTAAACCGCTAAACACCAAGCAACCACCAGCGCCATGTCCGAATAGAGAAACAGTAAAGAAATAAAAGAAGAGCAGGGACGGAGGCAGCTCCTGGTTGGACAATTCCAACAAACGACCCATCACCAGTATGCGACGGTGCTTCCGACCCTGAATTATTGTACCATTCAAGTTCAGATGGTGCGCGACGAGCCGGGCCCCACAGCACCCCCGTTACTCCATGGTTGAACTGGGAGAACAACGGATGCGACAGCACCAAAGCAATGGTCGTACGCTACCTTAACGTGATAGTATTCATGAACCGCCAAATCCGTGACCGCTATCGTTGAGTCGTCCCTCGTTGAGTAACACTTTAAGGGATCTAAGCGCACAGGCTGGCACCACCGGTCTCAATGGCCTCAATCTCGGCCTCGGACCATGGCAGGCGGTGGAATCGAGAAGGGAGCTCGTCACGGTCGAAAAATTCGCCCTGCTTGGGCTGGATAGGGCCCAGAGAGGCACCCGAGTTGCGGCCGATGCCCTGAGAAAAAGAAGCACGGCCAAGGGGCCCGTGCTGCTGAGCCTTGGAACGGTAGGCGGCGAAGGAATCCGGAAGGACTCCCGAGGGAGAAGCGGGGTGAGGGCGGGGGGAGTGGTCAACGGACTCTGGAGACGGACATGTTAGACAAAGGATCTGGAGATTATGCACGGGGTAGAATACATACGAGGCATGGAACGGCGGCCGATGAACCGGATGAGGGGAGTGCGGACAGCGTTACTCAAAGCAAAGGTGGCACGCATTTTGAATGGTGGTAGTGGTGGTGGTAAAGTAGATGGAGTTATAGATTATAGGGCGATCGTGGGGATTGAGTGCGAGAGGAATTCGAACAATCCGTGGGAGTCCGACGCGACCGAATTAGGCAACTAATAAGGTTGGTAGGCGAAGTAGGGGCAAAGGAAGCTTGTAGGCAGACAATTCTCCACGACAAGGGACTCAAGAAGCCTATATATTGGAAAAGAAGGAAGCAACGACTGTACAGAAGGCTGTCTGGACTGAGGGAATGGAGATGAGGGAAAGAGGAGGAGGAGGAGAGGAAAAAGCCGACGGACGAGGGTCGGAGCGGAAGCGAGGGTGTGGGTTTTGATAAGCAGCTGGTGGTATGGAGTAATACGGGTTATTAACGAGAACCCGCCGCCGGAATCAATGGCCCGAGCTGGCTTTCCGTACCAAAACGCCCAAAGAGGAGAAACTGTGGGATGATTGCCTACGCTTTCTGGGCTTTTGTGGCATGATCAGACCAGTTGGATGACTAGCCGATCTCCAATTCGATAGCCACACATTTCTTCCCCATCTTCTCCAAATCAGATAGAGGGATTGAGTCGATTGACACCTGGCGAAGACCCGATCCTTGCCCAAACCCGCATTCCCGGTGAAGGAGACCCGTGCCTGACTGGACAGTGAGCTGGATAAGCTGGGGGGACCTGCGTTGGTGGTGTCCTCTAATCGCCTTCGTCCCGTTGCACTGTGCAATCACTGCAGCCCTCCCCCTCCCCCTCCTCTCCCCTCATTCGTAGCATTTTCCGGAGGACGCGTTGTGTCAGCGGCACCAGTGTAACACCTCTTATCTCTAGGTAATAGGTATCGTCTGAGCGTCTGGAGTAGCCTGACGTGATCTGCCTCCTATCTATCTACATTTCTAATAGTACATAGCACCCACCTACTCCGTACTTCCTGCCCTACCTATCCCCCCCAGGCTCCTAGTAGATAGTGCCTACTATGTACCTGCTACCTACCGACTGTACTTACGTACTTGCGTTCCTTCCGGAATTCGGTCCCCGCAGATTCCAAGGGCGCTTTCTTTTTCCCTCCCTCTCTTGGCAGGCTTACGTAACCTGTAAACCCCAAACAGGAAATTTCGGAATCGAGGGCTTATTGATGAGATAGAGTTTAGTCTTGTGGTTAACTTTTTTGTTTTAATTTTTTCTTCCCTCCTCTGGAAGTTGGCCCCCTCTTCCAAAACTCTGGTTCTACCTAGCTGCCTCCCTGATCGCGTGACATCACATGATTGTTATCACTGCATTTCTGTTCTCCCCACGCGTTTTCGCCGCACGGCGACAGTAGTACTAGTACCATACGGCCATATTACCGGCCGGAGTCGAGTGGACACTCGGAGCCAGTCTCCGACCCGGCTTCACCCGTGGCTTGCCTGGTTTTGCCGTGTGTTCCTCCCAGCTGGCCGGAGCTAGCTAGCTACAGACAGGCTCGAACGACCCTGACTTCTATTCTTATTCGTCTCGCCTCCCACCCCGGTTCCCTCTCCTGTGATTATGCATGAGCTTTTGCTCTTCGCCTCGGTCCCCGCTCACCAGCATCATGAGCTCCTCCAACAGCTGGCCGGGTTGACGGCCATGCAACCCCGTCACCGCTTGGAAAGGCGTCTAATCTTCAAGGCCTACCGCAAACCCGGCTTGATGAACACCCGGGTCGGGGCCAGTCAAGATCTACAGGGTCTCGAATTGCAGCGCCTCAATAAAATGCTCAATGGAGGCATGTTCTACACCCAAGTGGTCGGGCCCGTAGCCGAGGCCAACTTTGGCGCGAAGCCTTCTTCGTCCGGAGATGCACATGTCTCTACGTCCGGGTTGGAGGAACAGTCATCGTCGCCATACAGCTATGAGGACCAACCTTGGAAACTTGAATTTAGAGACATCCCCGAGGCAGGCACCCGATCCGCGGTAACTACTCGGCTGATGGCCAGTGCAACTCTGCCCAAAGGTGATATCACGGCTCCCATGAATGCCTGGGGTTATAGGTTAGTAGCATCCCGTGCTCATAGACAGATAGCCCTGTGATGTTTTGATTGGCTCCAAGAGGCTGACAATCCGGGTCCAGCTTTATTACCGAGTACGTGGTGGAGGGCGATGTCTTTGTCCTAAACGACATCGTTATCTTCCTACACCGTGTCCTGCTCTACCCGACTGGGGTGCAAGAATCACATGGACCTCGACGGCAGCTGCCTGCTTATCGGCAGCTCTCACCGCTGGAACGGACCGGGAGCTATGTCCTGCAAGCCGCTATCACTGTCCAGGACGGCGGAAACCAAGAGATGATGAGGACGGCTTCGCAACACTTATTCGGGCTTCGCGAGCAGCTCAAGTCAGCCGTTCGTCTGGAACAGGCGGATCGACTCTCTCTTGACACTCGGGCGAAGTAATGATGCATTAGTGCGCTTCTCTTTAACAATGCTATATACCCCGGAGCATATGGCTCCCAGTAGATGATGCTTTCGCAATTCCAAATCTGTTCCAAGGAGCCTACGTAAAAGTGAACACAGTATTTCTTACCTGAATAACAATCCCTGGGCCCAAAAATGAAACAGCTAGACCATGGTGTTGCAATTCTGGTATACCACTCACCATGGGCGATAAACCGCCTAATTAAGCATGTGACTTCGCGAAGGTCGAGGCGCGCGTCGGCGCGTCGGCTTCCGCTCTCGAGTCCCGAATCACCCTGGCTATTCCATCACAGCCAATTCCTTTCCAAGCTGCTTTCGAGGCTATCAGCACCCCGCGGGAACCCTCCAAAATTTTCTTCAGACTTCAATCATTCAGGATGGCCGGCGCTGGGGGCACAAAACGCACGGCGTCCCCCACTCGAGCTATATCGCCGCCCCCACTTAAGAGAAAGATCGAGTCTACTGTCACTAGTGAGAGATTCCTACATCCTCATCATTCTTTTATTTGATGCCGTGAGGCTTACAACCTGTTTAGAAAAGGCCGTATCCTCCTTCTTTACTCCGGTATCCCAAAAGAAGCCCGAACAGATCACCTGGCGGGTTATCAACAACAGTGCTGTCATTGGCAAATATATCTCGGAACCGGGCCATAAACAAAGAACAGAGAAGCCCAGGATTGCTGCATTTGACCTGGTGAGTGTATGATGAGACGGCGAAGTGAGAATATGACGTACTATAACACGAGCTCGAGACTAATTGGATGTTTGCACCTAGGATTCGACGCTCGTCTCGACAGCCTCAGGAAATACATTCCCTAGGAACTCATCGGACTGGAAGTGGTGGCATGCTACGGTACCATCGAAGCTCAAAGAGTTGAATGAGAATGGGTATGTATCTATATTCCATCAATGGTCAAACCGTCTGGACGACTAGATATTGACGAAATCTCATCTTCGCAGGTACTACGTGGTGGTCGTGACGAATCAGAAGAAGATCAGTCTCAAAAAGGATCTCAAAGGGGGCCAAAGTGACTCCAAAAGTCTCACCAATTTCAAGGAGAGAGTGATGGCCGTCATGATGCAACTTGACATCCCGCTGAGTGTCTACGCGGCTACAGAAGATGATGGATACAGGAAACCGAGGACAGGCCTTTGGAATGAGATGCTGGATGACTACGACTTTGATGTGGCAGGAGTCAATCTACCCGGGTCCATTTTTGTTGGGGACGCTGCTGGACGGCCGAACGACCATTCCCATGTAGACCGGTAAGGCTGACCACTTCACGAAGGACGAAATCGGGGGATCTATACGCTAACTGCGGTGCCAGTGGATTTTCTATTAACATAAAAGTACCATTCAAGACACCCGAAGAATTTTTCCTCAACGCTGAACCAGAGCCAACCGTGGAACCGTTCGACCCGAGTATGTACCTGCAAGCAGAGTCCAGCGACGATGGTGAGTCTTATTGCACGGTGTGATTGCGAATTGGCCAAGAGAGTAGCCTATTAATAACTGGCTTTGATCTGTTTAGTGACTCCGCCTTTCTCTCGCCAGAGCCCTCTTGAGCTGGTGGTGTTCAGCGGCAGCCCTGGAGCCGGCAAGTCATCGTTTTACTGGGACTACCTGGAACCACTTAAATACGAGCGAGTCAACCAAGACCTTCTCAAGACGGTGGGTATTCAAGCCCAACATGCCTTTTGCTGCCAAGGCCAAGGATGGCAGAGTATCGTAAGATCACTTGGCTAACCAACCAGTTACAACAGCGTCCTAAATGCATCAAAGTGGCCAAGGAACACCTTGCAGCTGGAAGATCCGTGGTTGTCGGTACGTAAACGATATCCTTTCCCCAAAGGTCAACCCTTGCATATTACTCCGACGTTCTACAACGTCCTCTTTGCCGGATCCAAGTCCAGCCCACTCCCACCCTAGCCCGCATTACAATCCATCCCCCCTCCCCAGAGTTATCAAATGCCATACGGAGTACCCTCGATAAGACCGCTGATCCCTTCTCATCCGCACAGACAATACAAACGCGGACCCCGAAACCAGAGCCCACTGGGTCGAAGTCGCAAAGGAGTTTCACGTCCCGATCCGCTGTATCTACTTTACTGCTTCCCCGGCCCTATGCCGGCATAATAATGCGGTCCGTGCCGCAAACCAAACCCTGGTAAGTCCGTGCGTGTTGCCGCGCGCGCATCATGTGTGCACTGCATCCCCTTGTCCTTCCACCCTTTCATCGCATCTCCATGTCCTCCTGCCCTGTTCTTCCCCTCGAGGTTATACTATCCCACCCTTCACCGATCACCCGACGTCACACGTGTAATCACGACCAACACATACATCTACTAACCACATCCACCTACCCACCTTTCCAGAACCCTGAGTCCCGAACGCTCCTTCCTGGAATCGCCTTTGGGGATTTCCTGCGTCGATTCAAGGAGCCCTCAATAGACGAAGGCTTCAAGGATATTATCCGGGTAGAATTCCAGTTCCGCGGGGACCAAGAAGCCAAGCGGCTGTGGGGACAGTACTGGGTGTGAGATTGGGGAGGAAGGTGCGAAGGGGGGGCAAGGTTCGCACGAGTCATGATAGGGACTACTTGCTTGCTGCCTAAGTAGTCAACTATGGGTTCAGATGCAGAGGCGGGCCGGCTGGCTGGCTGACGCAGAGATGGATCTGCTACAGTTGGGGATGCGCGGTCCGGATTACTCAATTCGTTGAATAGATGATACCAAAGATGGAACTTTCCCACGCATGCATCAGGCAACTTGTCTGACCTGACCCTTGGGATGGGTAACTGGAGTTGAGCACAAAAGTACACTGCATATGCATGTGGGCAGCAAGGGTGGTAACCATAATTATTCTTGGAGTTGCTGGATGAGGTAGTTAGGTACGTAGGTGGGTCTAATCTCTATCTATATACACATGTACAGAATAAAACATGCAAATGGGAAACACTTTTGCGAGGGCATCAACGATTCTAGGTATGAGGTACAGTGGGCCATAAATTTCAGTGGAATAATGAACCATGCCTTGGGGTATAAGACAGAACGGAACACCAGTAGCGCCCTTGCAATGGTCTCTTTTCTTTTCGCTTAGCAACCCAGCCACGTTTCCACAATCTCTTTCATAACTTGTCTGCTTTAAGCCCCTTCTCCCCCTGTCGTAAATCCATACACTCTTTCCAGTCCTTCGACGCGCGTCCGCCAAGGACAATGATTTAAGGATTACATCACTGGAAGGGAGAACACAAAGAAAATGCTGGGCAGAGGGAGGAGATGGAACATATGTAGGGGGAATCAAACATTAAGGAACGGACTGCACGCTGCGAGTCAGTAGTCGCAGGCGCAAAGGTCATCAGTCATCATTATTCGATCACAGATCATAAACAAAGAAAAATAAGAGATGAAGGGAAAAAAAACCCCCGTCAAGACATGTAAACTGTAGGAGAGGCATAAGTCGTCACACGCTGAAACAGTCGTTCGAGAGGCGTATAAATCATAAGATGTTGTACATCGTGAGCCTCCGATGGTTGGTCTATCGTCATAAGTAGTTGTTCCCATGCTGGTGGCATGGGGAAGAATCAGGACCGTATAACGAGATCCTGGAAGAACTTGACAAAGTTGCGCTTCAACGAACGGCTGCGACACAGTCCAGATCCGTTCGCGGCAGGCCCAATTTTCATCGGACCCACAATCTCCCCGTCGCCCAATTCGGGGAACTTGTCATCGTGAAGGCGTGGGATCTTGACCGGGTCACATGGGCCACAGTGGGATTTCATCAAACTCAGCCGGGGTCCTTCCGTCACCTCCAACTCGGATAGCATGGATTCATGATAGCGTCTCCATTCGCGGTTGATAGACTCCCACTTTTCCTCCGTGAGCTTGTAGATCGTAGAGGTGACCCCATAATGTTCACCGGTCCGAACGAGATGCCGGGTGAAGTTGCACTGAGCAAGGTCCCAGTTGGTGCGCAACTGTCGAAACGACATTAGGTCGCAAATCTCCGGCACATATGGCTCAGGCTGAATAGTGAAATTCGCATGGCCAAGCTTATTCGCCCACTCATCATTTGGGTCGGAGAGCGTGAAAGGAGGAGCATCGCCCGAGACAGTCCGCACTGTGCTGGCTCGCGGGCGGTTGAACGATGCGACAGACGGCTTGGAGGAGAGCGGTGGTGAGGGCAAGCCCGCCAATCGCAAGTCCGTGATGGCGCTGCAGACAATTGGGCTGTCATCCGTCATATCGGCTACGGAAGGCGATTGCAATGGCGAATGGACGCGGGACGCGGTCGGGTACGAGGGCTGGTCACCCATGAAAGGCGGTAGCAGCGGGGTTGTCGCATGAGGGGCCGAATCCTCCTGGCCGTGCCGGTTCGCTTTGACGATGTCGATAGGTTGCGTGCCGGCCTCGGAAATGGCCTCCTCAAAGATGGTTCTTGCTGGGGATGGGGGGATTTGAATAGAGTTGACACGAGTGAAGGAGCCCGTGGTGGGACTAGCCATAGCCGATGATGCTGAGTTGGTGCGGGAACGCAGCTGTGGTGTGAATACATCTGCACTGTCTGGGCCATCGGAGGCACGTTTGGACTTCCAGCGGGTGGAGATGGTGGAGATGCGGGAGCCGATGCGTGAAAGGCCCCGAGCGGAAATACTGTCGGAGCGTCGATTCCTAGGCGAATGGGCGAGATCCATACCGGCATCCGTGAGATCGTAGCTGTCAGAAGCATCAAAAGAAGCGAAATACGAATCTTCCACGACCGACAGCCCCTGGTCAAAGTGTTCTGTAGAATCGGTTTTGTCAGGAAAACTCTAGAAGAAAGCCGGAGAATAAAGCAGAGATGGCACGGGGCTGGGAGCAAGGGTAAGTACGTACGGAAATAATCCTCCTCGAGATCCCTGGGCTGGGCTCCACAGGGTTCTTCCTTCACTCCTGTCAAGGGATTCCGAGACGAGCTTTCCATGGAGTTGCCGTGTCCCGGGGATGAAACCAGGGACGAAACCGAACTGGAAAAACGCGTGTGGCCCTTGGCGGAAAAGAGAGACACGGCGGGTGAAACGGGCGTGGAGGAGGTGGTGGTCCAGGGCGACGGAGGCAGGCGAGACGAGGGGGACGACTCCGCCATGGTTTCAAAACTATCGCGCCGCCTGGTATCTAGAAACTGGGAGGGTTTTAACATGGTGGGCGAGACAGGCCTACTGGCGAGGTCCGGCTGGCGGTGACTGGGTGCGCGCAGATGGAGAGGCTTCCACTTCACGTGCCGGAACAGGGCGAAATGGACGTGAGGAGGAACAACGCGAAACGCAGGGGAGGAGGCGATGGAGTCAATTTGAAGGCGGATGGCACATCATCCGGTGATCGATTGATTGCCCAGACCGGCGCAGCTTTTTTGTTTGTTTGAGCTCCCGAGAAAAGGCGGTTCAATGAAATGAGGGGACAGAAAAAAAGGAAAGAAGATCGATCGGACCAAAGAGACACCACGAGCCCGAGCAGTGTCTTTATTGTCAGGAAAGACCGATGTGAAAAACGACGTGGCGTGGCGGTGGGATCGAACGATCGCCTCGCAGCGACAGAAAGCAACGACAGGCTCTGGAAGAAGGCGCGACTGACGGACTGACGGACTGACGGACTGACGGACTGACTGGCTGAAGCTGACGCTGACTGATGGAATTGATTGACAGACTGACAGGCTTGGCCCGGATTGAAGAAGTACGGCCTGCCTGAAGGAAGGAGATGGCTGCGAACCCGTCGGCGCAGGCAGGGCAGAGCAGGGCAGGCAAGACGTGGAGCCTGTCGGAGGACGCAGTCGCCGGACAACTGGCCGGGGTTCGTGAGGCCCAAAGGACGGCTGACAGCTCAGTGGGCTGCAGTCAATCGGAGGCCGTTGGTGCGATGCGATACGGTGAGGTTACAGAATCCGAGTCACGGGGGGAGGAGAGAGGAGAAAGGAGGGAGGAGGAAGGAGGAAGGAAGAGAAGAGAGAAGAGAGAAGAGAGAAAGAATGGAGAGCAGCGAGAGCGAAGGAGATGAGAGAGATGGATGGAGGTGGTGATGAGGGGGCGAGAGGAGGGGAAAGAAGAGGAGGAACAAAAAAAGAGGAGATGAAAGATGGATGGGGAGCACAGACAATATCCCAGAGTCAAGAATGCTGCTTCATGAATGAACGAATGAATGATTGAATGAATATTATTATTATTGTTATTGTTGTTGTTATTTGTTAGGTATTCTACACAGCGCGATGGGATGAAAATCCTCTTGTGATACTTGAGACCTGACCGATTAGGCCGGCTTTTATTTTTTGACATGAATCTTTTTCTGCCTTTGCCCCAGTCGATCCATTGGATCTCCCAAGGCTTTCCCCATCGTCACTGGCTCTCTCTTCATCGGAGCTATCGAAGCCTGTCTACGGGCTCCATAATTACCCTACACAGTCCCGACCCAACAACCTGACAGGCCAGTTTAGGGCTGCTGTCCATGGGCCAAAAAAAAAAAAAAGAAAATAGAAAAAAGCAAAAAGGCAAAAATTTTTAAGAGGGAACAAGACACAGCCTGAAACCATCACTAAAATTCAATCACTCCTAGCCAGTGAGCCACACTCGGGGAGATCGTCGGGTTCACATCACTAACCCAGACAATCCGTGGCTAGGGAACCATGGATCGGGTATTGCTTTCTTGCTCTGCCATGGATCGCAGTTGTTCTTTGGGCTTCGATGGTCATCGTGGGTCGGAGAAGACACGCGGTCGAATGACTACTCCGGGGCACTCGCCAATCCTACTACATACTAGTACCAGTAATCCGTGAGAAGCTCGGTAACAGGCCGGATGGGATGGTCCGGACAAGAATGGATCAAATAATCTGGTTGGGTGTGTCAGGGTTCCCTCATATCGGTTTCAACGGCTGCATATCGACCGTCTCCAACAGCAAGCGACTCAGCGAGAATCATAATGGAGACGGCTAGAGGAGCCGGGCGAACAAGGGAACCTAGAGAGCAGTGGGGACTGGAGAGAGGTTGTCTAGACTCTGACCGACTCGACTGGTCCAACACAGAAACCCCATCGGATAGACAGAGCTCCAGTGGCTGGTGGATTCCTCGGCCTCTGTAGTGCTGTGCAACCCACCTCCATCGTCATCGTCATTCCTCTTCAGGGACCCAGAAAGGGCACCCGAAAGTACGACGACCTATCATCCGCCCTCTCTCACACGACCTTTGACATCGGACCAGTCCCGACGGAACAGCAGGTGGGAGGAAGGGGGAGGGGGGCGAACGGCAGGGGGGGGATGGGGGATATTTTGCAGTGGCCGGAGCTGTCGTGCCTCTATCCGTTGGGGGGGTACAAGGTGGATTGGGAATGTCGTGGTGACACCGTCTGGCACTGGACCCGTGCCAGGGTCTTGGGATGTCCTCTGTCTTCGGCGTTCGCTTCCTGGTCCGATTCTTGTCTTCGGTCGCTAGAGTACGGAGTAGACAACGCAAATAGTACTACTCCATACGGCGGACCTCATAGGAGGAATGATATCTATTGAGTATCGACCGGTGTCGACGTCAGATCCACATGGTCCAGCGCCAACCGACCGGAACCTTGCCTCCCTGACCTCCGGTTCCCCATCCTTGGTTCAGACTGGCTCGACCGGATCAAGAATGCCATTTGAACGGGTGGAAGACCGGCGCTGTTCCGCGGATAACTCCAACGGTAAGGGATCTTGGCGCCATGCTTCTTGACGGTCGGCATTACAGTAGATAGTAGGAAGATACTGTCTTCGCTGCTGGGTCGGCGATGGACGACAATAATGGATGATGATCGGTCAAAAAGTCCTGCGAGGGCATCCAGAATTCCAGATACGTCATTTCACCCGATGCTGGGGATTCCCGGTGAGGGCTGGGTTACTGGAAACTGGAAGCTGGAAACCGGAAACCGGAAATCCCATGGCTCACTGCTGTCGTCAAAACTGCCGACTGCAGAAGTTAATTCGACTGATCGTCTCTACTCCGTACAGTCTACACAGTACGTATACGGTATATCTACGGTACACGTTACACGTATTTCCCCCCCCTTCCGAGCCCGGAGTCTGTACGTCACAATGTCGGAGGCACTTTACGTTTCATCATACGGTCTATGGTTCCAGCAGGATCACCACCGTTTCTATGATCTCTATCTAGATAATAGTAGTATCTATATATCTATCGACTCCATATCTATGCATGCATTAGATATTCCAGGAACATCGGCCATGAACTCCGTCGTGCTGCAACAAATCCGAAATGGCGTGACCAGACACTAACCACAACGGGCAGGTCCAGACTGACTCAATCCAGCTTATTCCTGCCTGCACCTTCAGGCATCACTTCCCCCTTTGGGTCTAGCTCCATCGCCATCTCCATCGCCATCAACAGCCTCCTCACCTTCAAGACCAGCACCACCACGATCCCTCCCAATGTTTCCCTTCGTCCAGCCAATTGGCCTCATTTCTCCCCACAGGGAATGCGTCAGACCCTTTCCGACCATTTTTTGACTCCCAGAACCATGAAATTTTCCATCGCCCTGCTTGTAACCGTCGGCTTAGCCTCGGCTGCACCCCCGCAGACTCCATTGTCCCTCTCCTCCACCCCATCGGACATCATTGATGCCTCTCCCTTCCTCTCCTTCCACCGTGACCTTGTTCAGATCCCTTCTGTCTCTGGTAACGAGACCGCCGTGGGATCGTTCGTCGCCGACTTCCTCGAATCTCACAACTTCACCGTCATCAAACAGCCCGTGCCCCCGTCTTCCCATGGCAATACCGATCGCTTCAATATCTTTGCCTATCCATCCGCCTCCCTCTCCAAGGATCGACCAGAAATTCTCTTAACTAGCCACATCGATACCGTGCCCCCCTTCATCCCCTACTCCCTCCATGATGACGCCGACAGCAACAGCGATGTCCTCATCGCCGGCCGTGGCACAGTAGACGCCAAAGCCAGCGTCGCTGCCCAAGTCTTCGCCGTCCTCGACATCCTCCGCGCCGACCCAACCGCAAATCTAGGCCTCCTGTTCGTCGTTGACGAAGAAGTCGGCGGTTTGGGCATGCGCGTCTTCTCCGAGTCACCCCTCAACCCCTCCCCCTCGCCCTTCCATACCGTCATCTTCGGCGAACCCACCGAACTAGCCCTCGTCGCAGGCCACAAAGGCATGCTTGAGTTTCCGCTTATCGCGAAAGGCAAAGCCGCTCACTCAGGCTACCCCTGGCTCGGTCAGAGTGCCATTTCAGCGATCCTGCCCGCATTGTCCCGCGTCGATATTCTGGGCAACATCCCCGCAGAGGAGGGTGGTCTCCCCTCTAGCGACAAGTACGGTCGTACTACCGTGAACATCGGGCGCGTGGATGCCGGCGTTGCAGCGAACGTGGTACCCGCGTCTGCATCTGCGGAGGTCGCGGTTCGTTTAGCATCGGGGACGCCCGATGAGGCGCGGGACATCATCGCGCGTGCGGTGAAGAATTCTACCGGCGACAACGAGCATGTGTACTGCGATTTTGCGGCCCGCAGCGCGGGTTATCCTCCCCAGGATTTGGATACCGATGTATCCGGGTTTGAGGTCATCACGGTGAACTATGCGACCGATGTGCCGAACTTGAAAGTCTCCGAGGGAGTCAAGCGGTATCTGTATGGGCCCGGGAGCATCCATGTTGCGCATGGTGATCATGAGGCCATCACCGTCGGTCAGCTGGGGGAGGCGATTAGCGGGTATAAGCGGTTGATTGAGGCTGCTATTCAGCGGACTCGTGTGAATTAGCTGGTCGTGATACGTGATGCATAATGAACATGATAGTATGTTTTACTTCGCTATGTACCTGTATTCATAAACTATCAGGCTTAGAATAGATAGTAGCAAGAGCAGTCGCCTGAGAGATGATAGGTAGTGTGCTATACAAAACCGTACAGACATCCAACCAGACGTCATAATGACGCAGAAACAAATATAGCACATAGTTGAATTAAACCAAGTCCCTGCCTCGGATAAGCAACAGTATGAATGCAGGTCGGAAACTCTATATCCAATGCAAAGTATATATACTTAGATAAAGAAAACCATGAGCAAGCAACATTCGATTCGATTCGACAAATCCAAAAAAAGTAGGTAGATAAAGGAGAATTATACAGATGCCCCCTCCTCTGTCTGGCTATTTGTTCGACTCTTCCTCGTCCAACCTGTTTTCAGCTCCCCGGTCGGCTTAAAACGGGGGAGGGGATGTGCCTCCGTGTTGAACACATACTCCTCCAGGGAGATGAAGTCCCGGTCCGAGAATAGGAGGTAGAAGTATTTGAGCGTTTCTGCCATCCAGAAACTCTCCATGTTGTCCCGCATAAGGGGGGGAGTGTCATCCGCATTCGAGAGGGAGGTGAAACCGGTGATTTTCTGGGGTGTTGGGGCTTGGGCGTCTTTGCTGGTGTCCTTGTCTTGAACGATTTCCTCGGCAGGAATGTCCTCGACTACGGCAGTGTGCTTGATGAAGGACTTGAACATCTCCCAGCCCCAGTGGCGGTAGATCTCGTCTCCAGTGATGCGGTACATGTAGAAGAGGGATTCGACAGTCTCGGGGCGCTGGAGATTGTGGCGATCCTGTTTGTGAATGTCGAGATCATCACGCCATTTTGTGGTCAGGTCGCCGAGGGGATAGAGAGATTTGGAGAGCAGAGGGAGTTCGCCAGAGTGGGACTGCTGGCCTTGAGCAGATTTAGCAATGGTCGAGTCTGGGTACATGTCTGATTCCATCACGCGAGGATCATCCACCCTGAAGTAGGTGATTTCCGGTGCAAGGCCAGTCTTGGTGACCAGGTATGTTGCCCAGCAGGTCTTGGTAAGTTCCCGAGCAAGGAGGATTTCTTCTTCCTGACGCTGGCCCCAATCGGGCGACTTTCTTGCCTCGGAAAGAGGGCGTCCACCGGTCGCTGCGAGAGCGATGGTGCCTGGGTAGAAGCATACTAGATGATCCATCTTGGGAGAGAGTACTCCGTCCAGACCGTTCGGACGTTCACCCAGAACAGTCAATTGAGCATTCTGCGTGTAGGTGATTAGATGCTTGCGGACGCCGACGAGGGACTCATCCCACATCTTCTTGTACACCGGTTCCTGTTCCTGAGTCTGAAGGTACTGTTTGATGAGATACTCTGGATGATCGAAAGTCAGCGGATCATTTGATTATTCCAACTAGGAGCCATTTGGATCCATACCGTAGTATGAGTCGCCCCTGCTACCCAGACGGATGTTGTCGCCTTTGAACTCGCCGGTCTCTGGGTATACATAGATTGGGAGCAGACCATCTTCCATCTTCTGGTCGTCCACAACCTCCATTACCTTCTCTACGGCTTGCCAGTACTCCGCCTCGCCCGTCAATTTGGCCAAATATTTGAACTCCAACTGCAAGGTCGTGGCCTCAGCAGTAGACGAGGCGCCGCCATCCGCGTACGAGGGGATTCCCTCCGATTTGTTGAGATTGATACTTGCGTAAGGAATTCCAGTGCCAGATTCGAACGCGCCCAGTAGTCGATCGGCAAGATCGGTGGCCTTTTCGATATACAAATCCTCTCCCGGCGAGCCTGCATCATCATCGGTGATCGGGGCCAGATCGGGATAGGTGGCGGAGAGATGGTGTGCGGAAAGTAGACCACCCAGCATACGAATGGTGGTTTCAAAGGTGTTCACATCGTGATCCTGGTTGTACTGCAATGAGTTGTGGATCCAGCTGCGGGCATGTTGCACTCGCGACGTCAGGTTCATAATCATCAACGTGTCCAGCGCATCAACTATTATCCACCCCATTCCCCCGGCAATCATATGTCGCCCACTTTTGGCAATCGGGTGGTACTCATCGTAACCTATTCACCAGAGGACAGAGGCACCGTCAGTTATCAACCGCAGAAAAGCAGAGTCTTTCCAGGCACATACCCCACGCATTAGTGGCATACCCATCCCAGCTCACAATGAAGGCGTCGCGTACCTTCTCCCTCCTTGCAGCCCAGTCGATCTTGTTCTTTGGCGAGCTACCGTCGTATGCTGGTTCCGACTCCTCAAAACTTTGCACCCACTTCCAGAGCTCGGCGCCCTTCTCCCCGTCCGGCGTCTTCCACTCCGGCTGGCCAGAGCCCGAGTAGTACCACAGACAGAGCAGAGCAAACAGACATAGTCCGCTATAAATGATCCTCCTCCGTCTGGCTCTCGGACCAGTGCGCCGGGGTGCAAAATATGGTTTGTCCTTGTACATGGGGAGGGTACGGTCGCCGGAGAGAGGATTATTCAGGGTGTTGGAGATGCCAGCAGGGGGAGAAAACCCATACCCAGGCAGCCCGTTGGTCCCGGGGCTTCGACTAGCACGCCAGTAGTTGTTCTGGAAAGGTTGCTGAGACATAAATGGGGACTTGTCCCGAGGGGCCTGAAAAGACATGACCACCACTGCCAAGCTTCTACTACTATATCTGTCCTCTACCGCAGGAGAACCAGCACGCGCGCTCTAGGTCCGAGAAGGCAGACGACTTGTAAGATTTGGCATAGGTGCAGTGTCGGTCTCGGTCTCAGATTGAGGTTGGTGATCGAAGAAGAACTCGTCTCGCACCTCAACTGATTACAGTATACTCGATGTTCCTCGGTAGGTAGGTGGTAGTCTAGGGTAATCCAACCAGTAGGTCTCGCCAGGGCTCTAAAGGCTTGATAAGGCTCTGAGTTTAGCAAAACCCCATTCAGATGTCAGTCAAAAACCCGGGGATCATTTCAGTGATAGGGAGATGTCAAAATGAATCGCAAGGTTACCGATCAAGTTAGCAGCCCACTCGATATGCCGCGTTTTGGTGGTCGGTCGCAATCGGTCTGTTGATCCGGCGGACGTCGCCCGATGCACCATAGAGGCCCCGGATGGATATTATTGAACAGGTGTCAGGATGAAACTAGCATTATATAAAGGGAGGAAGCCCATTAGCATGGACGCGTGTAAACCCATGGGGTGCTTAGCTCACGCTGTCCTCACTGCCCTGCCCAGCCCAGCCCATCCCATGGATGCCGATCCCTGGCCTCGGCCTTGGCGTCAATGTGGCGCAAGAGGTTTATCCAGCTCGCTGGTCCGGTCTTAGATAGTTCAGGTGTTATGAGTGATGCAGGGCCGTCAATGAAGCTTGAACTCAGCTCTATCCGAAGATGCACAAAACATTTACCCGGTCAGGGTCCCATGCCAGGGTCCATGCACCGTCTTCCTAGTATGTGGGGAAGCCTCCTTCAATTGGCCTCAAACTCATAGACCTTACGTATGGACGAGCATTATTGATGCAGTGTTTGTGTACATTAGATGGGCATAGGCAGATGGGCTTGATGTGGTAAAGACATGGAAGAATAGCTTTCCAGATCACGGCTAATTCTCAAGTATTCAATCGTGGGAAACTACAACTTCGTGTACTCCAGCTTGCCCTCCAGTTTCTTCGCCTCAGCCACCTTGCGGACTGCTCTGTTAAAGTCATCTTGGTTGACAGCGTCACGGTAATCCTTGATGGCAAATAGACCGCTGTCTCCATGTTAGTTATCAATCATCATGTGCAATCAGAGAATCAAGGGGGAAAGTGTAAAGTAAAGAAGAGAAAAGAGACATACGCTTCTGTGACGACATTGCGAAGATCAGCACCGTTGAGTCCGTCGCTCATCTTGACCACACTTTCAAAGTCTATCTCGCCATCCAGTTGAACGGTGCTGGAGTGAATCTTCAAGATCTCCAGACGACCGACTTCGTTGGGCAGAGGGATCTCGATCTTCCGGTCGAGACGACCGGCCCGCAGAAGAGCAGGGTCAAGCGTGTCGGGTCGATTCGTAGCCATGATGATCTTCGTCTTCCCCAGGTAATCAAAACCATCCAGCTGATTGAGAAGCTCCATCAGCGTCCGCTGGATTTCTCGGTCCGCAGAGGTACCCTCGGAGAAACGTCTTCCACCGATAGCGTCGATTTCGTCCATGAAGATGATACATGGCTCGTGCTCTTTGGCGTATCCGAACATCTCTCTTATTAATCGTGCGGATTCACCGATGTACTTGTCAACGATAGCAGATGAGACAACTGGGAAACAGTCAGCAACACTGGCCTATCTAATCCCATGCCAAACTTGAACATGCATACCTTTCAAGAAGTTGGTCTCCATTGAGCTTGCCACTGCTCGTGCCAACAATGTCTTTCCCGTACCAGGAGGACCGTAGAGCAACACACCCTTGGGCGGCTTAATGCCCACTCTCTGGAAAAGCTCGGGATTCTTGAGCGGCAACTCGATCACCTCTCGGAGCTCGCGGATCTGTTCGTTCAGACCACCAATGCCTGCAAAGTTGACCTGGCCCGGGTCTTCCAGCGACATGTTGTATACCAACGGATCAACCTCTCTTGGAAGCATCCGCATTATAGTAAGTGTGGTCATATCGAGGGCAACACGGGTTCCCTGCTTTAGTTTGGATTTATCGACCTTCGAGCGGCAACCGACGACATATCGGGGACCAGATGATGCCTTGACAATGACTGATTTAGGTCAGCCATCGCACCGCCAAAAGAAGCACCTTTTCTTAAATGTAACACTGGTGAGGTTTGAGAATATACATACATCTCTCCTCGTCCAGCTGCTTCAACACTTCTCCGATGATCTGGCCGACACTTTGCAGGGCCTTGATGTTTTCTTCGGAGATATCGAACTCCCTTTGCAGATCTTTGATGCCCATACGAAGGGACTTGAGCTTAGATTCCCATTCACGGAGCTCGAGCAGACTCCTCTTGTAATCTTCGAGCGCCTGCTCTCTCTCCGGATCGCTGGCGCCGTTCATGATGTTAAGGCAATCAGGGAGACCGAAAAGTGAACCGGAGTTGGAAGTATCCCCAGGGCTTTGAAAGTATGTTATGATAGCCCGGCAGTGTAGAGGTGTAGAGGGGTCGATAAGGGGATAGGTTGGTTGATGGTATCTGGTCTTACTGCCCCCAGCTCGGAGAGCTGTCGAGGAGCTCACAGCAGCCACCGGGTAATCGCGATCACATGACCCTGATGCATGACAATGACATAATCACGTGTATTAGCTATCTACTGCCTGGAAGATCAGGCTGAAAGATTGGTAGCCGCAGTATCTATTATCCGGAAGTGGCTCAGGCATCAAGGTGTCGAATGACAGCCGACATTTTCGAGATTACGCAATGGAAGCTTCCAGGCCAGAAGAGATGATGTTTCCCCATTGGGGGGCAACACTCAATAATGCATGTTGGAATATTTTGTCACACGATGCACCTACCAGACTAATTGGTCATGGGTTCTGCGGCTAGATGGGACAGGAAGGGGGGGGGGGTAGACCCTAGATAGATCGAGATGGAGGGGTTATGTGGCCGACCTACAGATGGCATTTGGGATGCCTGTCACCGGCATCATACATTATTAGATAGCCGTGGCCCAGGACGGGAACTACACAGGACTACAGGAGGGCAACCCCGTCCTCAGTAGCAACACCCGCCTTACCCCGAGGGAATGCGGAAGATCTCGCTGGGGAGCGTCGCAGCAGACGCAGCTTCAGCCAGCGAGAGCAGCGAGAGCAGCGACAGTTGCTGGCAGCCCCACCATTCCCTTGGAAAGATTCGGAGGACGAGACCGTGAGCTTTCCGGGGGCAGGCCTTGGGCTAGATTACAAGAACCAGGTCTTCCTTGTTGTTTATTATTATCATTGACTACCTACTTCTTCTCCTTCTGTGCCATTGACATTGAACATACTTGTCAAGCCTTTAGATACTTACCTAGTACAGTTCCCTTCCCAAAGGACCTGTAAGTGAGTCTTCCCAACAACAGTCTTCTTCCCCCCCCCCAAAGCTGCGAGTCATGACCCCGCCATCATCCCACCGTTCACCCCTCCGTCCCTCCATCCCTCCGTCCCTCCATTCATCCATTCCCTGTCTCATCGCCATCCTTGGTATCCTCACATCATAAGGTCAGCAGCACCCATGCGATTGATCCACTCTGATTTGCACCGGGAGGATTGATCATCATTGGAAACGGCTGTGCCGAGTCTGGTTCATTAATTGATCGGACCTCTCCACCTTCCACCCCTCTCCGTCACCCATCAGCCATCCGCTCATTCTTTTTGGGTCCTCGGTGAACACACACCACTTCCCCCCGCTGCTAGTGCACACCGAACAGCAGTCCAGAGCCTTTTCCGTTTCTCTCCCTGTTTTTCTTATATCTGGGCCCTGCTCTTCCTCCGCCGTCTTCGTTCTCTCTCCAGTTTACTGATCCATACTCCTAGCCCTTCATCATGCCTATCTCCAAGATCCACGCCCGCTCCGTCTACGACTCCCGCGGTAACCCTACCGTTGAGGTTGACGTTGTCACCGAGACTGGTCTTCACCGTGCTATTGTCCCCTCCGGTGCTTCCACTGGTTAGTGGTCCGCCCATTCTTTCCATCCGAAATGCTGACAATCGGGTCCAGGCCAGCACGAGGCTCACGAGCTCCGCGATGGTGACAAGACCATGTGGGGTGGCAAGGGTAAGTCTAGTACATACTTCACCGTACAGCCAATAGTATAGCTAACACCAATCTCCTGATTAGGTGTCCTGAAGGCCGTCAAGAACGTCAACGAGAACATTGCCCCTGCTGTCATCAAGGAGAACCTCGATGTTAAGGACCAGTCCAAGGTTGATGAGTTCCTCAACAAGCTTGATGGAACTGCCAACAAGTCCAACCTCGGCGCCAACGCCATCCTCGGTGTCAGTTTGGCCATTGCCAAGGCCGGTGCTGCTGAGAAGGGCATCCCTCTCTACGCTCACATCTCCGACCTTGCCGGTACCAAGAAACCCTACGTTCTTCCCGTTCCCTTCCAAAACGTCCTGAACGGTGGTTCCCACGCCGGTGGCCGCCTGGCTTTCCAGGAATTCATGATCGTCCCCAAGTAAGTTGCTACTGCCGTGCAGGCCATAACTCATTCGACTGACCTTGTGAAGCACTGCCACCTCCTTCTCTGAGGGTCTCCGCCAGGGTGCTGAGGTCTACCAGAAGCTCAAGGCCCTCGCCAAGAAGAAGTACGGCCAGTCCGCTGGCAACGTCGGTGACGAGGGTGGTGTCGCCCCCGATATTCAGACTGCTGAGGAGGCTCTCGACCTGATCACCGAGTCTATCGAGCAGGCCGGTTACACTGGCAAGATCAGCATTGCCATGGATGTTGCCTCCAGCGAGTTCTACAAGACTGACGCCAAGAAGTACGACCTTGACTTCAAGAACCCTGACAGCGACCCCTCCAAGTGGCTCACCTACGAGCAGCTGGCCGACCTCTACAAGTCTCTTGCCAGCAAGTACCCCATTGTCAGCATCGAGGACCCCTTTGCCGAGGATGACTGGGAGGCCTGGAGCTACTTCTACAAGACCTCTGACTTCCAGATTGTTGGGTACGTACTATTCTTTAGGACGCCATCTACCAGCTTGCCCGAGGCTAATTGAAATCTTTATAGTGATGACCTGACCGTCACCAACCCCCTGCGTATCAAGAAGGCCATCGAGCTCAAGTCTTGCAACGCTCTCCTTCTCAAGGTTAACCAGATCGGTACCCTTACCGAGTCCATCCAGGCTGCCAAGGACTCCTACGCCGACGGCTGGGGTGTCATGGTGTCCCACCGCTCCGGTGAGACTGAGGATGTCACCATTGCCGACATCGCTGTCGGTCTGCGCTCTGGCCAGATCAAGACCGGTGCTCCTGCCCGTTCCGAGCGTCTGGCTAAGCTGAACCAGATCCTCCGTATCGAGGAGGAGCTCGGTGACAACGCCGTCTACGCCGGTGACAAGTTCCGCACCGCTGTTAACCTGTAAATGCAGCCATCAACCGTATAATGTCGCCAGTGGGCCCTAGCGATCCCCACTGGCCCTTCCGCGCGGCTGCATATCGCATCGTTGGATGGAAACTAAACGGCGAAAACATCAGAGATGATGAAGATTTATGATGACGAATTGAATAGGCCAGTTAAATGAACTTAGTGGCACATAATGAAAATTTTTTTCACTTCAAGAATGCATCGCTCCATTGTTCCATTGATTGTTCCGAAATAGCCCCCTCGCCCTGAGCCATGGTAAGCCACCCGAGTCGGGCCAGGTCAAGACCGGACCGGCGGCCATAGTAATGACTACGAGGGAAAATATTGGGCATCAGCAATCCCACCCGCACGTGACCGCGCCGCCATGCCCCACGCGATCAGCCACTCGTTCGTTCAAAATCCCTCCTTCAGCAAGTGCCTCGTCGTTCACCCCAGTTCCTCTGCCTGGAACCGACGCTTATCCCCGACTTGCCTACCAGCCACGCAAGACACTTCCCAGCTTGTCATTTTCGCCCAAAACTTGACGACTTTTGCCCGTCATGGCTCCTTCAAAGTGGGGTAAGTCCGACTGGATTTTTGTGCCCTTACCCGCCATAGAACATACATACGTCGCAGGATAACAGGCACGGTCAACAATACTGACAGCTCGGCAGATGAAGAAGAGGAGGAGAGTGTCTCTCCCCCTCCTATTGCCCCCCGCCGCAAGTTCGATGACGAGGAGGAGGAGGAGGACGTGAGTTACTATCCCCCTCCCCTTTTTGCCTTTCATCTTTGGGGGGTTTCCCTCTTTCTGCAGGGACCCCCGAATCCCCTTCTTCTCGCTTCTAGGGCAAAGTAAGGGATATTATCACCAGATGACTGACTAGACTAGGTCCTCGACTCTTGGGATGCTGCCGAAGATTCCGAAGTAGAGCGCGAAAAGGCCGCGAAGGCCGCGGAGGCCAAGGCCAAGGCCGAGGCTGAAGCCGCCGCAAACAAGAAGAGCAAGGCACAGCGGATACAGGAACACAAGGCCACGCGGAAGGCCCAGGCCGATGCCGACTCTGACGAGGACAGCGATGAGGACGAGGCCGAGCGGAGAGCCCGTCTCCGTAAGACAGAGAAGGATTCCGACCTTAAGCACGCCGAGGACCTCTTCGGCGATATCGATATGAACCGCATGCGCAACCGTACCGCCGCCCCCAAGGCCGTTGTCATCAGTGACTCGGCGGACCCGACGCAAGCCATCGATCTGTCAGCCATGCCTCTCTTCAAGCCTGCCACCAAGGATCAGTTCACCCGCGTGACTACAACTCTGATTCCTTTGTTGACCACCCAGTCGAAGAAGCCCCAATTTGCTCTGTGGGCACAGGAGTTCGTTAAGCAGCTCGTCAAGGACCTGCCCAGTGGTGATGTCAAGAAGATCGCCTCCTCCTTGACCACCCTCAGCAATGAGAAGATGAAGGAGGAGCGTGCGGCCGATAAGGGCAACAAGAAGACCAAGGCGGCCAAGACCAAGGTCTCCCTGGTCACCTCTAGAGAGAACAGGATTGAAACCAACTCTTACGATGATGATGGGTTGGATGACGATGACTTCATGTGATCTTGTTAAAACTGGATCTTCACTTACAATATTCCTTTCCCTCCTAGCTTCATTTACTCCTATATCCTTTTACATATCTCGTCTTTGTTAGACCGATTTGGACATGATCTTAACATGTCCGTCAGTTTCTATCTATATCTTCTTGTCTCTTTTCTTTTTTTGGTTGTATATCCGTCATAAATTATCCCTCTTTTCGTCCTAATTCTTCGGTAGCACATATTAATCCACCGCATTTAAAGAGCTTCGTCAAGCGCATGTAAAGGGCTACTAAAGGGCTCCGTTGAGCGCTCCTAAAGGCCTTCATCAAGCGCTACTAAAGGGCTCCGTTTAGAGACTGTCTTGGTTAAAATTGCTCATTTATCATTTTCGGGATAGGTGGTGACGGTGCTGTAGCTACTATCTATAGTGTGCTCCACTATTGTATGAGGAATGCTAGGGGGTGGGGGGGCGCAATGTATCAAATTGCCGGGGTTATGGATATGTAGGCAAAGCGACAAAAGCGATTTGAGATTGGCATCGGACCAGGATCTAGCAGTCAAGACACCAATGAATCAATTCCCGCTAAGCACGGGTTCATCTTGGGATTGAGAGAACTGGCTACTTGGATTTGAGATATTGTGAAGCTTGAGGCTCTTAACACGTACGAGCGAAACAGCAAGAGGAATCGGAAAAAGGGGCGGGGGGTGAATAAGAAATTGAAATAAGACACTGTATCTTGCTGGGGTGTGAATAAAGAGAGAATAAAAGAGAGGTAAATTCCACTCAGCCCCTTTCCTTCGCTCTCCAAATATCAAACTCCGCCGGTCGACCCACAGGATCCCGAACAAGTGGAAGATATGTGCCGGTCCAAACCCCTCACGCAGCTAAAACAGACCTTCATAAGCACTTCCAGGGAGTAGTCACACGCGCGAACTGGCACGTCGAGGATACTACTGTTTTTGATACACAAGAACACTAACCATCCCTCTAGGACTCGGGGGCAGTAGGCTTAGCCTCTTCACCCTTGTCCTCGGGGGCGGCAGCGGCCTCCTCCTCGGGCTTGTCTTCCTTGGGGGCGGCGCCCTCGGCGTCATTGCCATCGGAAGAGGTCCACAGAGTAAGGTTATCGCGGAGGAGTTGCATGATCAAAGTGCTGTCACGGTAGCTCTCCTCAGAAAGCGAGTCCAGCTCCGCAATGGCGTCATCGAAAGCCTGCTTGGCAAGGTGGCAGGCACGATCGGGGGAGTTCAGGATCTCATAGTAAAAGACGGAGAAGTTCAAAGCGAGACCCAGGCGGATGGGGTGGGTGGGAGTAAGGTCAGTCTGGGCGACATCGGTAGCGTTCTGTCACAACTCGTTAGGGAAGATCCATGGATCTAAGAGACAATCCTTTTAAAGAGCGTACCTTGTAGGCCTCGTGAGCGGCGGTGGCAGCGACCTTGCGCTTGTTGCCAGAGGCGAACTCGGCGAGGTAGCGGTGGTAGTCACCCTTCCTATATATCGAACAATCGTCAGCCACTGTACTTTACACGCTCATCCTCATTTAGAGCCAAGACTCACATCTTGTAGTAGAAGACCTTAGACTCGCCAGTCTCGGCCTTGGGGATGAGGGACTCGTCCAGGACATCGAGGACATCCTGGCAGACCCTCTCGAGTTCAGTCTCGATCTTCTGGCGGTAGTCACGGATGATCGAAACGTGCTGCTCAGAGCCCTTGGATTCCTCCTTCTGCTCAATGGAGGAGATGATACGCCACGAGGCACGGCGGGTACCGACCACATTCTTATAGGCAACGGAGAGAAGGTTACGCTCATCGACGGAAAGCTCGCCTCCGATCTGATGCGGGGTTAGTCTGACCCACGGGTAAAAGGGGGTTACGGAAAAGGGGTTATCGTCAGAGGGAGGCAAGGGGTTCATACGTTGGCGACTTCCTGTCAAATAGTTAGCGATTATGCTTTTCCAGTGTCCAGGGGCTGACAAGCGGCTACTGACCTTCATGTACGTGACCATCTCTGTAGGTGGTAGAGATCAGCATGTGAAGCCAATACGGCAGACTAATAAGCAGGCATCTTACCATCGTAGCGCTCAGCCTGCTCGCAGAGCCGGGCAAGGAACGTCTTGCTGGAGAAGGGTAAGATGTCAGTGTTGCTGTCGTCGGTCACTGGTCGAGATGGGTCTGGATCCTTACTTCTCACGCTGCAAGTAAAGGGGGAGAAACAGTTAGCAGAGTCCAGACTGATCGCAACGCAGCAGAGGCACAGCAAGAGGCAACGTAGTAATAGGGATACACGCGGTCAAGCTTTAGACAGCCATGACTGGACAGACGCCAGGAGGAGCCGCCATAGCAGAGAGGGGTCAGGCTGGGGGACAACATACCTCAGAAGTCATACTAGGCAATGTATTGCAGATAAGGGGATTGGGGAAGAAGGTGGGTGATCTGGAAGACGGTGGTGGAGAGAGAATAGAGGTGCAGAATACCGAAGTAGAGCACGAGACCACGGAGAACGGGATGAAAAGAGGATGGGAATCACGAGAGGTTTGGCAGATGTGATCCTCCAGCAACGAGTGATGGACGGTGAAGGTGACGACCAGCCAGCTTTAGCGAGAAGCGGGCGCCTCGCCTGTTTGTGATGTTTGCTCTTGAAGCCTCAGGCAGCATAATGGTGAGTCAGCACGCCGGTCACCTGTTCTTGCTGGTCACTGGACCCTGACGTAATCCAGTAATATCAATTCCTTTATGGTTCTAGTGGAAGGATCATCTTATTTCCTGGGTATCAAGTGAGTACCCAGATAGCGATGCTGCATACGGAATATCGTTCGAGCGAGTAGGTAAATCTGGAAGAAGGAACAGTAGATAAGTCACTAGAACTGGGACTGGACCTGGCAAGTGGCAACCAGGTATAAGGCATGGACGCAAACAAGGAAAATTGAGGGCGGCTAATGATAGCAGTTCATGTGGTAGACAGATCATACTGATTGCCTCGTCAATGGACCACCATGCTCCCGCTCACCTGGACCAACAAGTATATCTCAGATTCTCAGGTCCCCTGCCTCTTTTGAATTGGCGGAGTTGGTCCTGTTCTACCCGTTTTTCTGCACAGCACTCCACAGCACAGCCGGTGAAGATGTTAAACGTCCTGCGTCTCCCCCCCAAACGGGCTTGAGCTATCCTCCGTATCTCCGATGATCGTCTGTCCAGAACCCACGAGACTTAAATGTTGAGAGCCCGACAAATGACAAGTTCGCTGATTATTGTCCGGTGAGAAGGGGCGATTCAACTGCCCTCTTTGGGAGTCTTTGTATGTGATTGAGCTTCTGGCCACGCAATCAAGGACTACTTAACGCGTTTCCCCGAATTACTGGTACACCTAGCGCTGGATTTAGCCGGGGACGAGAGCAGGCTCCAGAGTCCAGAGGAACCAAACTACTACCCTCAATGACAGTGTGGATGGGCCCTCTGCCCTACAGGGCGTCTACACGGTAGAAGGTCCTGACTAAAGAGAAACAGTGGTGTGGATGGCAGGGAAATCGATGGGCTTGTTTAGGACATGCGCTTCGGGCCCGACACCCAGACAAGAGGCAGAAGACAAATCAGATTCCACGACCGAAGAGGGCCTCCACCAGTGTTATGCAGCACTTTCCTGTCCGAGCCTCCGAGGAGAGAGACCCCGCCAAACGAGCCAGGATGACCTGCGAATGATATCGGACCGTCGGACGAGTGGTTTAGTTTGAACCTTGGGGCAACCAGAAGGCATCCTCATTTTCGCGGTGGAGTGTACGGTATCGTTATAACCGAGCGGTGGGTTTTCGGTTGCAGAGTGATGGAGATAACGCTGGGGGAACGAATGGATACGTAGGATTCTTATTAAGTACTATTAAGAAGGCTGTGCTCGTTGAGCGAGGGCGACCCTTCCTCTTTTTGTTTTTTTATTTTTTATTTTTTATTTTTTTTTTATTTTCCTCATTCCTCCCCCCCTTTTTTTTTTCTGGAAAATGATTTTGTTTTGCCAGCCTATTATCTCATAAACTGTAGTTACTACTACTTACATACTTACCTCAGTCGATATTAAATCTACAGATGAGTCCTCGTAGAACTGGGACTCCAGTACGGAGTAGAGACGGCGTGCAGCGCCCGGACTCGAAGCACGGTCATGGTACGGTTCAGCCCTGTCGAACTGGTACCGGCAAATCTGGCGCAGCGACGGGGACCGATGGACCCAGAGTCCCAGACACCGCAAAAGAGAACACGTTGAGTGCCTGACAAAACCACCTCTGGTTCACGGTTCCCGAACCCCAGAGGCAAAATCCCTGGCCCATCATTCGGTCCTGGTATGGTATGGGATATCTATTATTCATTATTTAAAAATCATTCAATTCGCCATCCTGCTTCAACCTACGGCCCCTGTGAATACCGAGTTTCCCCTTCCCCGTGCGTGGTGGACGGTATCTATTGGGATTCCCTTGCAACTGTTCTCTCGCCCGCCGTTTCGTATCTTGTCCACTTCTCTCTCCTACTCTTCTAGATCCTTCCCAGCTGCGGACTAGGGGACTAACCACTGGCTGGCTGATTACAGTACCACTCACTCACTAGGTCCCAAGCTTCCGGCCACTTGGCGTTCATGTCTTGATCTAGGTTATATCCCCGATTCCTTCCTTCTTTTCCTTTCCCCCTTCTTGTTGTTCCCGGTCCTGGCCACCTTTCGCTTTCTCGGGGTCCAACATGGAGCACTCCTACCTCTCTTCCCCAGCTGAAGTGCTGGACCATTTTGGTGTCAAAGAAAGCTCTGGTCTGTCGCAAGGCCAGGTTTCTCAATCAAGACAAAAGCATGGGCCTAATGGTATGTTGAACCCCTTTCGAAGTAAGATTGCAGGCACTGACCCAGCCGTTCGAACGCCCATAGCCCTTGCGGAAGAACCACCGACTCCTCTCTGGCAGCTCGTATTGGAGCAATTCAAAGACCAACTGGTCCTGATCTTGCTGGGCTCGGCTGCCGTATCCTTTGTTTTGGCGCTTTTCGAAGAAGGAGATGACTGGTCTGCTTTCGTTGACCCTGTTGTGGTATGGACCTGGAAGCTTTCCGTTCGGCGTTTTGAGCAGAGACGCTAACGAATGCTGTTACATCATAGATCCTGACCATTCTTATTCTCAATGCCGTGGTTGGTGTCACCCAAGAGAGCAATGCTGAGAAGGCCATTGCTGCTCTCCAGGAATACTCTGCAAATGAAGCGACTGTTGTCCGCGATGGTACTACTCAGCGTGTCAAGGCTGAGGATCTTGTCCCCGGAGATATTGTAAATGTCGCGGTTGGAGACCGTGTTCCAGCTGACTGCAGGTTACTTGCCATCCACAGCAACAGCTTCCGGGTTGATCAAGCGATTCTGACTGGTGAGAGTGAGAGTGTGAGCAAGGACGTCCGTACTGTTCATGACAAGCAGGCCGTCAAGCAGGATCAAACCAACATGCTTTTTTCGGGTACCACAGTTGTCAATGGACACGCAACGGCTATTGTAGTCTTGACCGGTGGATCGACTGCCATTGGTGATATCCACGAGAGCATCACGTCACAGATCTCGGAGCCGACCCCACTGAAACAGAAGCTTGATGATTTTGGAGACATGTTGGCCAAGGTGATCACTGTCATTTGCATTCTGGTGTGGGTCATCAACATCGAGCATTTCAATGATCCATCTCATGGTGGCTGGACTAAGGGAGCTATTTACTATCTCAAGATCGCAGTCTCTTTGGGCGTAGCAGCCATTCCTGAGGGTCTGGCTGTCGTTATCACCACTTGTCTCGCTCTCGGTACCCGCAAGATGGCCCAGAAGAATGCCGTGGTTCGTTCGCTTCCCTCCGTCGAGACTCTGGGTAGTTGCAGCGTGATTTGCTCCGACAAGACGGGAACCTTGACCACCAACCAAATGAGCGCGGAAAAGATCGTGTATCTGAACCAGTCTGGTGATGGTGTAGAGGAGATTAACATTGAAGGCACCACTTTTGCACCCCAAGGCAAACTCTCGCGCGGCGGAAAGGAACTGCAGGATATTGCTGTCTTCTCGGCCACCGTTCGACAGATGGCTGAGGTCATGGCTCGCTGCAACAGCGCAACTCTAGCCCACGATGCAAAGAACAGCTCGTTCTCTTGTATCGGCGAACCTACCGAAGGTGCTCTGCGTGTCTTGGTCGAAAAGATTGGAACTGATGATGCTGCTACTAATGCGAAGTTGTTCCGCCAGCCCGCCTCTCAGCGACTTCACGCTGCAAGTGCGTACTTTGAAGCTCGCCTGCCATTGAAAGCAACGTATGAATTTTCACGTGATCGAAAGAGCATGTCCGTCCTTATCGGCACCGAGAAGGAACAAAGGCTACTCGTCAAGGGCGCTCCAGAGTCTATTTTGGAACGTTGCTCTCACGTTCTCCTGGGGGCTGACGGAAGGCGGGTATCTCTCACTAAGAATCATCTAGACCGGCTGTCTGCTGAGGTTGTGGAATGCGGTAGTCACGGTCTTCGTGTGATGGCTCTGGCTAGTGTGGACAGTGTCGGTAACAACCCTCTCCTTCACAATGCTCAAACATCAAAGGACTACGCTCAGTTGGAACAAAACATGACTCTTATCGGTCTTGTCGCGATGCTTGATCCTCCCCGGGTTGAGGTTGCCGCTTCGATTAAGAAATGTCGCGAGGCTGGTATTCGGGTTATCGTTATCACTGGAGACAATCAAAACACCGCCGAGTCAGTTTGTCGTCAAATTGGTGTCTTCCACGAAGGCGAGGATCTCAAAGGAAAGAGTCTTACTGGAAGGGAGTTCGATGGTCTCTCGAATGAGGAGAAGCTCGAGGCGGCTAAGATCGTGTCTTTGATTTCACGCACTGAGCCTAGTCACAAGTCCAAGCTGGTCGACATACTCCAATCTCAGGGCCATGTGGTCGCCATGACTGGTGATGGTGTAAACGATGCACCGGCCCTGAAGAAGTCGGATATTGGTGTGGCCATGGGAACAGGAACCGACGTTGCTAAGCTGGCCGCTGATATGGTTCTGGCCGACGATAATTTTGCAACCATTACTTTGGCTGTAGAAGAGGGACGTTCGATCTATAGCAACACCCAGCAGTTCATCCGCTACCTTATCTCTTCGAACATTGGTGAGGTCGTATCGATCTTCTTGACCGCCGCCTTGGGCATGCCGGAAGCTTTAATTCCTGTGCAACTTCTCTGGGTCAACCTTGTTACCGATGGTTTGCCTGCCACCGCTCTTTCCTTCAACCCCCCGGACCATGATGTGATGAGACGCGCACCCAGGAAACGCGACGAGCCTCTAGTCGGCGGTTGGCTACTGTTCAGGTACATGGTGATAGGCACATATGTTGGTGTGGCTACTGTTTTCGGCTACGTTTGGTGGTTTGTGTACAACCCCGAGGGCCCTCAGATTTCTTTCTGGCAACTGGTAAGTAGCGATCGCCCTTGAGACTATTGCAGTGGTGCTAATAACCGTGCAGTCTCATTTCCACAAGTGCTCCTCTCAGTTCCCTGAGATTGGTTGCGAGATGTTCTCGAATGACATGTCGCGCTCCGCGTCTACTGTGTCTCTTTCGATTCTGGTTGTTATTGAGATGCTGAACGCCATGAATGCTCTCTCGTCCAGCGAATCTCTCCTTACATTTGCCCTCTGGAACAACCCGATGCTTGTCTTTGCCATCATCCTTTCGATGGCATTGCACTTCGCGATCTTGTATGTCCCGTTCTTGCAAGGTCTGTTCTCGATCTTGCCTTTGGACTGGATGGAGTGGAAGGCCGTGGTGGCCATCAGTGCCCCAGTTGTGTAAGTCAACCTGCCGAGTGCATTCTTTGAACCATTACGTGACTGACCAGACAACTAGGCTCATCGATGAGGTTCTCAAGTGGGCGGAGCGTCGTCTGTACAATAACATCCCAGCACGTTCGACCGTCGAATATCAGAATGGAGTGGTGGGGAAGCCCAAGAGGGCATAGATTTGGGCAATGAAGTGACGATTCGATTTTCAGGAGGGGAGGGGGGGGGGGGATGTTGATGATAGAATATAGATACCGGCCCTCCAACTCTGTTATGTTTGGTTTTCTGCTGTTGGGTGGTTGATCACATGTACGTAGCATGTTGGATGTTCTGATGGTATAAGAACAACGAAGAGACGAATTGTGTCTGTATCCAGTTCCTTGACCCGCCGGGGCTGTAAGTCACGTTGTTCGGTCTCCGTAACCCGCGGACGGAGGAGTCCTGAATCCTTGCGGCCACGAGTCACTCGCGACAGTTAAGCTAACCTCCAGGGTTCAATTTGACATCAGTCGGGGACGGTCCAAGGACCGATTGGTCCGCGACGGCTCCCATGCAGGGTCTTCTATCCCGCTTTTGGGCCCGAAGAGTGGGCAGCAACGATGTCGCATTCCGATGCCTCGGCTCGACTCTATACGAGTTATTTGGTTTTAGCCTGATTGTCACAGGTTCGGAGAAAGGGAGGCAAAAACAGATTGGAATGGAGGCTGAATGGGTAAGTTGAAAAGCCCCCCTAGCGTTTGCACTGTCTGGTTTAGGCCTAGATCTTACAAGGGCCAACACGTCGATGCGGGGAAGGAAGGTCACGAAAGGTGTTGACGGGTCAAGATTGCCACACTTTACGAAGAATGTTCCGCTGACTGGGCTGGTTCCGAATGGTCAAAGATTGCCTGCGCTTCGGATCATCCATAATGATGGATTCTGGACGGTGATGTTTACCACGGAGTGCCGGGATTTGTGGGGGAAAATCCGGGGATGGCTTCCTACTGCCCGCCTTCCTGCCTGGCTGAGGAGGGGTTCCAGTTGTGCTTCGAGGCGTCTAGTCCGGATTGATGCCAAGGAATGTGTTCACATGGCTCGAGGGGATGCCCTCATGGTGGGTATCTGGGCTCTCGCTCTTACCTTTCGAGTCTTTCCGGCTCATTCATTTCCTGCTTGATTGACGTTCTTCTGCCGCAGTGACATTCATCCTCCTCATCTTGTCTCCTTTTCATCCCACAGAATGGGGCTCTTCCTCTTCCTCAAAAAACGGTCTGGGTTCCGGGTTGACAATAGCAGGACTACATCTGCAGCCACGCTGACTCTACGCCAAAGCCTGTGGCCCCTGACCCTGGTTACCATACTCTTCTTTCTATGGGTAATCTATCCGCCAGCAAAGACCCTGGTCCAATCAACTGGCTAAGTCGGATTTTCACAGGGCTTCGCCTACGGCCTGCTAGATACCCTGAACAAGCATTTCCAGAATACTTTGAATATCACTCGGACACGCTCTTCAGGACTTCAAGCAGCCTACTTTGGGTCAGGACTTTGCTAGCTTATCCTGTGTCGCATCTTGAGTATCCGATTGATCGTCGCTAGTGCTTATCCCCTTGCCTCCCTCGGATACGCAAACTACATCCTTCGTCACTTCGGGTACAAAACCGCCTTTATCTTCGGTTTGACTTTGTATGGAATCGGTGCCCTCTGTATGTGGCCTGCAGGCCTGAATCGCTCGTTTGGCGGCTTCTGTGCAGCTACCTTTGTAATCGGCTCGGGCCTTGGATCCCTTGAAACCGCTGCCAATCCATATCTTACTGGTGAGTTAACCATCCGTGTCCATTTCCTAAATGGTGTCAGGACGAAATGCCCTCTAACCAGGAATATACCCTCAGTCTGCGGTCCACCAAAGTATGCCGAGATCCGAATCAACCTTGCCCAGGCATTCAATGGCATTGGTACTTGTGTGGCACCAGCTTTAGCATCGTACGTTTTCTTCACATCTACCGAGGACGATGTCAACGCCCTGAAACGAGTACAATGGGTTTATCTTGCCATTGGCATCTTCGTTTTCATCCTCGCCGGTGTCTTCTTCGTTTCCACCATCCCCGAAGTAACCGATGAAGATATGGCGTTCCAGGTTGCTGAAACGCATGTTGGAGAGCAGGAGAAGCCATTCTGGAAACAATACAAGCTGTTCCATGCCACGTTAGCGCAATTCACTTATACTGGTGCCCAGGGTATGTCATTCGCATTCATCAACCTTCGAACCACTCAACATCCTCACTCACTCCTTCTGCATAGTTGCTATCGCAGGTTATTTCATCAACTACGTTGTTGACACCTGGCCCGGTACGACCAGCGCCACGGGCTCCAAATACCTTGCGGGCGCTCAAGGAGCCTTTGCCGTAGGCCGGTTCCTGGGAGCCATCATCATGAAATTTGTGAAGGCGCGCTGGGTATTCCTGGTTTATCTCTCGTGCACCGTAGCCTTCATCGCTGCGTCCATAACACAACACGAGGGAAATGGCATAGGTAGGCTTCCCCCTTCCCCTTTCTCTCTTTTCGTCAACCATGGTACCAAGACATCGTCAACTCTCCCATTCTTCGAGAATATCACGGCTTACTAACAAGCTTAATTCAACAGCAATGCTCTTCTGCACCCTCTTCTTCGAATCCGTTTGTTTCCCCACCATCGTCGCACTAGGCATCCGCGGCCTTGGTCGTCACTACAAGCGCGGCTCAGGGTTCATTGTTGGAGGCGTCTCCGGCGGTGCCGTGGTGCCTCCGATCCTGGGCCATGTAGCCGATATGCGGAACAGTACGAGGTTCGCAATGATTGTTCCAACCATGTTCATGGTCGTGGCGTGGACGTATGCTATTGCTGTGAACTTTGTGCCTGCATATCTGGATATGGTTGACAAGGTCGGGTCGAGTGATATCGGACTTCAGGAAGATGATGTGACTTCGAAGAATGTCGAAAGTGATGGGAAGGTGTCTCGGGAGCAGCGTTCGAGATAATAGGGAGGGTTGACGGGCTTGTCGACCAGCTATTTAGTAAATCCTTCAACTGCTTGATCGAACATGCTATCTGATTCGCCAGGACATGTGATGATTTTACAGGCTCGGACTAAAGACCAACCGATATACCTCGATGTAGATGGCGGGAAAAGAAGAAGAAAAGACAAAAGCCTAAAGAAATTCGAAAGTCTAGTCTATCGAACAGAATTGGGCATATACAAAACCCGAGGCCGAGAGCGATCCACAACGGACTGCGGATGAATCTAGAATGCATTAGTCACCAGGGATCAATGATTCCTCGTGCCTGACCCAGGAACCAGCCTTGCACGGCACTTCTTCCAACTAAGATCCAGAACATGAGCATGACAACGGCAGCCGTGGGAAGGGGATATCTCTATGAACAAGCAAGGGCACATTAAAAACATTAAGGCAGATGTGAAGGGGTAAATGATAAGTCATTAAATAGGATACACAGAAAGGAATGCAAGGTATGCACGCTCCGATGTCCTGGTAAAAGAAGCGTAGTCTTTCGGGTTCTTCAAGATAAATACGACGAAAGAAAGGAAAGGAGGAATGAAAAGGAAGGAAAACAAGAGGGATGGTATGGTGTACAAAACGCCTTCCAACTCATCATCCCGTCATTATTTTGCGCGACCCATCATGGAAAAGAAAAAGAACAAGAACAAGAACAAGAGAAAATAGAAACAATGTCCAAGGAAATCTAGCTCTTTATAGACGTAAAAGGGGTAGGGGGTATAAATGTAGGAGAAAAGAATGAATCGAACATGCCAACAATGTACTCAGCGAGCCTGTTCTCTATGGCCATTGTTTATTGCCTTTTTGTCTTCCGCTTTCTCAGTTACCCATTCTCAGGGTACGACAACACGAAAACATTTGACATGCCGCATCGAGCCAGCAGGTCTCATTGTTCGTGCTGCACTTCACTAGGATGAATTGGGAGGTGAGTCGAGTTCTGCAGCAGGAGCTAATGTCGGTTTGCGGGTCTGCCCGAGGGAGGAGCCCACCATATGGTCTTCCGAACTCGTGGAGTCGACTGGTGAGCCGGGACCTTCCTCCATGCCTTCGAATGTGTCCACCTCCTCGATATCTTCCTCCTCCATGTCTTCCTCTTCTTCGATAATCTGGCTTTTTCGTGCTCCAGGCCGCGCCACCGCGGGGCCTCCCACACCAGCATCACCATTGGGATACTCTGTGCCCGCTATACTCGACACCATAAGATTGGCAGTGTGGATCATCGGCCCCTTGAAAGCAGATCTTTTACGACGGGCAAAAACAAGACTGGATGAAGGAGAGTAGAGCAGAGGAGCCGGGGCTGCTTCGTTGAACATGTTATTGATCCTTCCATTCCGGTCATCGACGTCACGAAATCCGTTGTGTGTACCACGTACTAGACGAATGTTGCTAGGAAACCGAGCAGAGGCACTTGGTGTTGTGGGGAGGACTTTCACCGACGGATGTGGGGATTTTGAAATTCGACCCGTCGGAGTAGACGCGGATCCAATACTATTCGATGAAACGGACGAGGCTTTAGAATGAGTATGAGTATGATGGATGCTGCGGATGGAGGAAACAGAAGACGAAGTGGACTTGCGACCACGTAAACCTGCGGAAGATCGCCGGTATGAACCTCTTGGAGTGATTGGAGACGGCGATAAAGAATTCCGGTGGTTCTGACTAGTACTCAAGGGACGATGTTGGCGAGGGAATGAATGGCGGTTGTTGGGAAAGGAGGCACTGCTCGGGGCTAGACTGCTAGCGTTGGATGAGCGCTTGATTTGCGTCGGCGTCAACAAGTCGCCTGGGTGCGCAGTAACACCGGATGACGAAGTAGGCTTCTTTCCGGTATCCTGACCCTTTGCAGGACTCAGCTTCTCTGAAAGAAACTTGCGATGTCCTCCTTGTCCGCCAACTGCCTTAGCATGGGGAGACTTGGCTCTCTTTGCGGACTCCACAAACCAGTGTTTCAACGAGGCCAGCTGGCTTATGATCGGATACTGGCGGCGGCCGGGACGGCGCTTGAAGATGCCATTATTATGCTGTGCTAGTTCAGGCTGCGATGCGCTCACATGCAACGTGCTTGGCCGTCGTGCTTGGTCCTTCGGAGGTGGCGGGGGACGCTGTCGGGTAGAGCTGGCAGAGCGAATGGAATCTTTGTCAACAGGGGGCGGGGGTGTACTAGAATCCGGAGACTGCAGGGGAGACGGCTCGGGAAGCATTGGCAGCTCTGGAACGGCAAGTTGAGAGGGAAGGCTTCGCCGATCTCTCCGGCCTCGCTCATGGAGGGGAGCATCTGAGGCGTGTCCCTCTTCATCGACTTCGATGAGGGCGGCCGAGATTTTCTCCAACCGGCTACTTGCTGCACTCAAGCGGCGAATATTCTTGGCCTCCGCTTCGCGCTCACGTCGTTTACGCTCCCTCTTCTGTTCTTTTCGTTGTTCCTTTTCTATCAGTAATGCCCACCATCCAGCGAGCGAATCGCACCGCTGAGAGAGAACACTTTCGACAACCTCGTCGATGTTGACCCCCGCGCTTTTCATGCGTTGCAGCGTGGTTCTCTCTAGAGGCGTCGAAAAAGCGGATGGGCGAGGGATTTTGAGTATCGCCAGTTGTTCCGAGGCATGCTCCGCAAGAAATGGATGGGCGAGGATCTCGTCCAAGCTGGGCCGGATGAGGGGGCGTTTTGACAGCAGAAGATTGATGAGGGCTTTGGCATCATCGGGAAATCTATCGTTGAAAACCGGTTCTTCGGCAAGGATTCGGGCCTTTGTTACTTGATCATCATCCTCGTCGAATGGCAATTCCCCTGCGAGCAAGGCGTACAGAATGATACCCAAGCTCCACACATCCACCTTCTCGCCCGCATATTTTTCACCCTTTAACATTTCGGGTGCGCTATAGCACACTGTCCCACAGAATGTCTGCAAGTAGCTTGCCTTGCCCTCATATTCCCGAGTAAACCCAAAATCACAAAGCTTGACGTTCTCGTGCTTGTCGAGTAGGATGTTCTCTAGCTTTAGGTCCCGATGAACGCATGATTTGCTATGAACATACGCAACGGCCCCCACAAGTTGTGTAAAAATGCTCTTGACCTTGTCTATAGACAACGGACCGTGTCGAAGGAGGTAGTTGTAGAGTTCGTCGCCTTCTTGTGTGTTAATAGTATTCGTCCACATGTGCAGCCGTGTTTCACAACGTACCTGGGCAATACTCGAGTACAAGCCAAACTAGCTTTTCCGTCACAATGACTTCGTAAAGACGGGCAATATGGGGATGAAGGAACTGGCGGTGGTGATGAATCTCGCGTGCCAGATTCCTGTCTTCTTTGCTTGAAGACTTGAGTACGACCTTTGCGCAGTCCAGTTAGACTTGTGGCACGTGAGATTTGGACATTGCGCTTGACGTACCTTGGAGCCATTGGTAAGTTTGTGTGAGGCAAGATATACTTTGCCGAAGGAACCCTTTCCAATCAACCTCCCAAGAGTATAATTTCCTACGGTGCGGAGGTCTTTCGACGAAAACTCCCTGGTAAAAGAACGCTATCAGCATACACCGAAGAGGACGGCGAGATCGGCGGGTGCTTACTCTAGCAATGCATTGTATGATTGGGCAAGCTGTGACGGCGCGCAGAAGTCCGGTCAGTTAAGCAGTCACGCCACATGTAAGGAGTAGGTGCGCCGATTCCGGAAAATATCTCCCAGAGAACATGCAGTGTATATGACTGTGCAGCAGATGGCAGAAGGTAGACCAGGCGCATCATGACACCCTCAATTGGCAACACGAGATAAATCAAGCACACACCTTTTCCTTTTGTTTCTGGGCCTGGACCTCCGCTCTTGTCCTAGGAGGTGGCATGTGTTTAGATTATCTCCGCCTGTCTGGGGGAAGTCCGCGGAGGAGAGATGTGCGCGTCCGTGATTTGTTCTGGATGGTTGTTTTGTGGTATTAAGACGTCTGAGGCGGCCATCCAACGAAGCGAATTATATGAAAGGTGGACCGGAGCCCACAGAGCGCTCTGGTTGTAAGGGGGAGGAATCGGTGTCGAAGGCGATGCGGATGCGGATGAAAAGGAATGAAACGTATCAAGGAGGCAACGACTCGGGACAGCTGTGAGACACGAGTAGATGATGATCGACCGACAAACAAGAGAAGTAATGAGAGGCGGAGAAGCTTGATTGGGGTGTCAGGCACAAGGGAATGTAGGACGGGGTGATTAAATGAGTAGGTGGTAGTAGCTATCTGGTAGCTCGTAGTAGTCGGCAGGTGTGTGGGAAGCTCGGAACCGCAATATCTCGGCGAAGGAACGGAGACAGTAGGGTATCTAGGCAGATAAGGGATGATACACTAAGATGGATAGTAAGTCAAATGCCCATTAGTATGGTTTCAGACAGGTATATGAATTTTTATAACGGCGAACTGCAGGACGAACGGACTCGTGTGATGGAGGACTGAGGGAGGAAGAGGGAAGAGAGAGGAGGGGGGGTTGTGGAAAGGCAAACACATACCAGCCAGACAAACTAAGTCGGTAGATTAGTAGCAGCCAGGGCAGTACTGTTAGGTAGAGGGGCAACCTGGCGGAGATGGAATAAAAACAATTCAGCGGGATGCGATAGGTGTTGGGCAATCAATAGAGCAGCAGCCAAGTCAGCCAGCGAGCAAGCAAGCCTCAGTCTCCAGCCAGCCGACCAGCAAGCAAGCAGGAAGTCGAGGGTAAGGGTGATGGAAGGAACGATGGCAAGAATTTCAATAAGGATAGTCTGGCACCGACGATGGAGTTGGGGACTGACGACAGTCGGCAGGGGCGTGCATGAGCCAGGGGATCAGGCAGAGTCAGGCCAGTCACTCCCTATCTTGGAATAAATGGGGTCCCCCGGGAATTACGAGGAATTAATGAATGAATGAATGAATGAATGAATGTGATGGCGAGGAAGAATGAATGCATGCATGCATGCATGAGAAGGACATTGGTTGCTGTTGCTCCCACTTTCTCACCCCCCCCCCCTTCTCCCCTCATCGAGTCATCCATCCAGCAGAATATTAATACTATACCTACAAGGTAAGTACGTAGTAGGTAGGTAATCCACCGTTTTTGTTTCTATTTTTCTCCAATAGATAGTATTTTCATCGGCCCTCCCCTTCCTGCTTAATTACTCTTAGCCGCCCGCCACTTTTTAGCCGGTGGGAACGTGGGCCGTTTCTGTCATTGCGTTTGGACTCAGCTCCAGTTGCTATGGTTCTTATTACAAGATTTAGATACCAAATCATTCTGATTGCAGGGGATGATTACCGACGCCAAGCTAACCTCCGCTCAATACCCTCAGAGAGAGAAAAAATTAATGCACATAATGGGATCGGACCGATGTCATCGTCCCGGCATTTATTCCCGTTCGAGGCAGAAAGAAGGATTGGTGGATCATCGAGGCAGCCCCTGAATGACTGAATCCCATTCGCTTCCAAGTACTCCGTACTAGCATCGTCATCGCCATCGCCGTCGGTCCGGAGAAAAGAAGACGTGCTCCAGCTCAGCTCGTCGTCCCGAATTACCGACCAAAACCCCTAATTACATAGACCTCGAAATATCTCCCTGATAGGGTCTAGGATTATGACATGCCTCCCTAGTTCCCTCTAGCGGCTGCCCCTTGCCCACGGATGCAGTATGGATATGCCATCCCGTTTCATGAGGCTATCGTTCTTCGTGGGTAAAAAAAAAAAAGAGATCATATGATGACTGCATCACATCACCGACACGCTGGAGATTATCTCGGCTCATCATGGACCATAAGGCTATAACTCGGCCCTTTATATGTATATATCAGGAAGCCAATTTAGCATGGTTGGGGTATATGACAACTCCCATCACACCAAGACTCGACACACCCGAGCTACCCACCGTCCATCCATCGCCCTAAGCCCCTTCCTTCCACCAAGGGAGAGACTGTAAATGTTGCACCGCCCGATGGCTGATACACAGTGCTGGATCAACACTGCTGAGCCCTTCTTCTCCCTGAAACGCGAGTGCGACCATCCCAAAGTAGGAGTGTAGGAGGTCTGCAGTTGCCAGTCAGCCGTAAGTTTCAAGGCAAAGAATCGCGCAATCTTTCTACCAACCTGGTGGCTCGCCTACACCCTTTCCAAACCCGCCGATGATATGCTGTGTTTTTCCGAGGAGATATTGCCGATTTCGAGTGGCATCCACCAAGTCTAGTCTATCCATCATCTACTCGCAAACAACCAGATCAGCACCATCACTCTATCACAACATGCCGTGATCGCTTACATCCAAGGTCGCCAGGTTCCAGAACGAGTAACACGTGTCGGCATACTTGTTACATCGCCCATTAAAGCCTGCGTATCGTAAAGACGCTCCCGTCGGTGGTGGTATAATAGGAAGGTTATCGGGCTCCTCATCTGAGCTGGGCTCCTCGGCGGCCTTCGGCAATCTGTGAACCTCGTCCGCCCCGGGGCTGTTCTCATCATCCGAGTCCTCTGTCCCGCCGAGCTCTGCAGTTTGTCTAGAAACGAGCCAACAAACCAGGGATTCAAATTCTCTCGCACCCGGCGAAAGGACTGATGGCGTTTTCTGATCTTTTGCCAGACGGTTTAGGAAGGATAAAGCGCCCATTGCGCAATATGTATGCCCGGCTGCGAGATATGGTAGGTCAGCTGCCATCCTGTAACAGAGGAATAGGAAATTTCTCGGGCGCAACATACAATGCGCTTCACAAAAGGGCCCCTCTCCCATACCACCATCGTATGCCTGGAAATGCGTCTCAACCACTGTCACGTATCAGAGACAGCATGAAAAGAAATTTGCTTACTTGGCAGGCCTGAACAAATGCCGCCAACTTGTCCACGTTGATATCTTTGATGTCGTCCACATCCTTCCCACCGTTCCCTCTCAGAATATATCGCGTACCTGCTGCAAAGCAGCAAAACCGTAGATCCCCGCCGCCCTCGATCTTCCCTCCTGGACCAAGCACCTCGCCAAAGCTTCCATTACTGCGTTGCATTTGTGGGAGCCATTGTAAACATTCAGTCCGCTTCACCCGTGATAAATCGTCGCCCAGGATGAGCAGGAGCTCTAGTGCAAAAAAGGTCGAAGGTACATTGGCTGGATCCCAGGCTTCGTTCTCTGTCGTCCGATTCTCCGCTCCGAAATCCGTTCCGGTGAATGCTCGAAACCCGCCCGTTGGTATCTGGCAATGGTAGATCCATTCGATGTATCCTTGTCTCTCTTCGGGGGTGGTCTTGCTCAGTAATACGCCTAGCAGGTCCAGACCGGCGACCGTGAAAAAGGCGAGGAGCATGCGATTGGAGTCATTTGAGGTATATAGGCTCGGAAGGAAGGTTTTGAGGCATCGGAGGAAATACTTGATGTGTCGCTCTTTGGTAAAGGTGGCTGCGACGTCGGTCATGATGTCAGTGTCCGCGATAAGAGTGGCCCGTCCAGGATTCTGGCCATATAATCAAGGAGGTTTGTGACAGGCAGAGATGGCGCGGAACGGGAGTGAGCAGTGGCCTCCTCCAAATAAGCTGGCAGGTTGCTTCGCGGGGTGTCGCTAACTCGCTAACTCTTGGGTCTTTCGCATGACGGGCTGCCTTCTCCATCCATCCTTTGGCGGGCGGACTCTATCGGAGGGAGCTAAAGCCCAGCCCCACCGGGCCGCAGGGGAAATCCAGTATTGTTCCGGTTCGTATGGAGTACCTACTTTGTAGGATTCTTTCTTGACAGCATCACACCTCTGCCACCCAGCCATGACACAGTAACTGGCTCTACTAGCTTATTAACCGTCACGACCGCCGAGAGAACGCCCCCAATCCACTATGGCTCTCCTTTCCTCCAAGACCTTGATCCAGGCACATGCCTTGTTTCTCTTTGTGCTGGCTGTGTACCTGACAAGGTCGCCAGAGGTCGTCACTGAGTCGGATGTTGTCTTTATGCTGGGAGAGTTTCTGAATTTGGTATCTTGCTTGCACAGTCTTTCCTAATCCTACACTCTGCTAACCAACCCATCTAACCATTCCAGGATGCGTCTCCGAGTCTTTCCCGTCCTCAATCCCCCTTCGCCCTATGCGGTGTTCTCCTCGTCCTCGACGCCCTTGTCGACCTCGTTCTTGTGTCAAAGGTCCCCCAGATCAACGAAATCATTGCCATGGCCCAGGCTGCCAGAATACAATCCCCTATTCCCGTGGCAGGAGCTATACGCACGAACCCTTTCATGGCGCGCCTCGCCTCGCTCTACTCGGAGATCTGGACCCTACTGTCCGCCTCTCGCTTTTGTATCTTCTTTGCCGTATCTTTCTTTATCTACCAGAGTCAACCAGCCGCCTGGGGCATGGATGCTGCTAGTGTAATGGGTAGCTATGGGTCTGCGGGCGTAGCTACGTCGGGCCTGGATCAGCTGAAAAATAGGGTGGTTTTTACATACGGTTTTATGGAGATGATGTTCTGGCTATGGGTAGGTCTCTATTCACGATTGATCAACAAGAAGGAGTCTTGGCGGTGGTCCTAGATCTACGATCTGCTGACATTCGATAGATCTTCATCACCCTCCGTGAAGAGCGACAGGAAGCAGCTGCCCGATTTGTGGAACACGATCGGTAGAAGCACTGTATATTCGCAGTCATGTATGCATATATAGTGCATATATATTTAGAGGCAATGCAACAAAGACAGCAAGAGGTACCGTGTATTTTCTGGACCCAATCAGAATATTGAACATGGTACGATTAGCCGCCATGTATTTTGGCCCAGCGTGCATGAAGAAAAATTATTCATAGGATGGTGAAGCTGCTATGTAATTCACGATGTAGGAGATTGATCTCCGCCCGCCTACCACTCATAACACCATCAGATAGCCCAGCGTCTGGGGATCCTTAAGCAAGCAAACCGTAGAGGGCTGCACCAACGACTGCAGCAAGGCCAGCATTAGGATCACCCAAGAGCGTACCAGCAGCGCTACTGGCTGTTGCGCTGCTTGCCGCATTCTTATCAGTTGCGGTAGTCGCCTGCGTTTTCACTGACTGTGCGGTTGTTCCCGTTTTGGTAGCACTTTCGGAAGCGGCAGTGTTGGGAGAGTCGAGGTTGGTCCCGTTAGTTGCACTGGAAGAAGTAGTGGCAGAAGCGCCAGTATTTGTTGTACTTTGCCCCGTAGCAGTTGTTGTGCTCCCACTTGTACAGCCGGCGTTCTGGGGAAGGTCAGTTACGCCGGCGCCACTGCAGATCTGCTGTGCAAAAGTGATGGCAGCTGGAAACGGACGACAGTCAGCAAGTTCCAGTGAATCAGGCTTGATGCTACTCATCACTAGGTCCACGACGGAGGGAGTGGCTTTGGGTAAAGAGCAGCTATCATACACTTCTGGTCCTGCTCAGAGCAAGCAGTAGCGACGCAACAGGAAATACTGGTGATGAAAGACGCATTGGAGCAAATGCAGCTGACATCAATGGCACTGCAACTCTTTGGGATAGCACCGGTGGCACAGTCCCTCTGTTGCCAAATCAGTTATATGATGGTGGCAAGGCTCGAGTAGATATATAACATAATTATACAGCGAAAAAGGACTTACCGCACAGGCTGGAAGACTCCCCATACCCTGAGCCGCAACTAAGCTCAGACCAGCTAGGAGAGCCACGGCAAGGTGGTAGGGCTTCATCATGTCTTCGCCGAATGGGGTGTGAGATAGGATATACAGTTGTTTCTGATGGCCGACAAAGAAGAGAAAGAAGAAGCAACTCAGATCGAGAGACTAGGTGGGGTGGAAGGAGGTGAAGGGGAGAAACCGAGGAGGGGAAGAAGAGGAAGAATATGGAGAAGAGAGGAAGGGCAAGGGAATGTGACACACGTGAGTCGGAGAGAGAAGGGACGCTTGGAGTCGAGACACCAGCACCACAAAAGGAAGGCTATTGTTTCCCAAGGGCTCAGGGCTTAGGAGGCCCACGACAATTGCTCCAAACCTTTGTTGGGTACTTAAAACTCCTCACTTTGGGTGATTTGAAGAGCCAAAGTAGTACAGCCTGAGTAGTACCTAGTAGTGAGCTTAAGACAGGGGAAGAGCCCCCAGTCCATCCTACAGCTTGTCAAATTATGTGAGCATGTGGGAGAAGGTAGACTCCATTATGGATGTGGCTGCCTGGCCTATAGAATGCTATCATCTGCAATCATACCTCGAACACCTACTGTGTGTGCCTACAGCGGGTGCGGGAGAGTTCCTGCGGAACAGTAGATAGATAGATGTATTTACCAGGCATGGCGTATGTCTTGCTCCAATGATTACAAGGCCATAGATTGGTCATCCCCTCAACTGACATCACAGAAATTATGAATTGATCAATTATTTGATGGGGGATAACTGACTCATGGGACCAAAGTGAACAACAGGAGAGGAATGTAGTTATGCATGTTGGTGCACCGAAGTAACCGCTGGGAGTTGTACGGGAGGCCAGGCCGGGCCCACCGTGGCCGCTAAGCATCCCGATAGCCCAATAATGGTGAAGAGGTGAAGGAAGAAAATCATGGATCCCCCGCAACTGAGTGATCTTCCAGACTTTCCAGCCAGGGTCGGTGGAGCCTTCCTTCGGCCAACTGCTTCAAATTCAACTTTCAAGGTTCCCCCTCCTTGAGTCCTGTCCCCTCGGTCACTGCCCCTTGCTTCGTAAAATGAATGTCTTTCCCACACGATGCTTATACTCTCGGATGTATGCAGGCATGGGCAGTACTAGGAAAGGGGTTGCTACCGGCAACATGTGAGCCGAGGAAGGTTCAACAATATGGTGGGTTAGATCCGTATTAGCTTTACGGTTTACATCTACGAAGATACTACACTTGGTACTAAATGAGTACTGCTGGTAGTAGTAGTGTTCATATATGTATCACTTTATTGCCCACTCAGATAGATAGGTGGGCACTTGGTACTTAAACTCCCTCCCGTGTCTGATAAATGAGCCAGTCGTACCAGTCGTACCAGTCGCTTGACTGGAGTCGCACCGCCTCATCCGATCGACAGCTGGTGTGAATGTGTTACGATTAAATTTTGGGTCAGGCTGCCCTACTGTTTGATGGTCCTCAGCAATGACATCGAGGGTACACCCCGTACGTCGAATTGCAACCCACTTTCTCTAATTTGACCTCGTAAGTCGTTGATACTCCGCAGCCCTTGCAGAATGGAATGTGTGTTCGGGTCATACTGGTCGCTCTCTGGAAGACAAGAGTCCCCCGCGGAACAATCTCGTCATCTACCTGCTTTGCTCAACCGTGGACGCTTTGCATGAGGCTTCCCCGCACAGTTCTTCTGGGCCTCGATCCTGTCTTTTCGAGGTCTTGGTGGAAGAAATCCAGGTCTTGTAGCCACCATCAACTAACTGGTCTTCTCGTGATCTCTCGCTGGAGATATTCGACTATTCCTTCGGTTCAAGCTGCCTACCCACACTGAAAATGGGGCTTGGCGTGCTAGATACCACGCGCGCTTATGTACCTGGTAAGAGCCTGCCTCGATGCACAAGAATACAGCCTTTTGCAGAACGTCTAGACATAAAAGCTTCTAAATAGGGACCTCGAACATTCTTGAAAGAGACCACTCCAATGATGAACCGGCCGTCTACTCGAACTTAAAATACGATCGATCAGGCTCTGTGCCTATCCTCCTCGTCCCACAGCCTAGCGACGACCCCAATGATCCATTGGTGCGTTAGAAAGTCTCTATGAGATGCTAGGTGACACGATAATTAACAAATCCGAGATATAGAATTGGCCACTTCGGAAGCGCGATGCCACGCTACTTGTCCTTTCTTTTGTGGCAGTGCTTTGCGCAACGACTAGCTCGCTGATGGCTGCCAATACCGTCACCATTGCTCTCTACTACGGGAAAAGCTTCACTTCAGTTGCGCTCCTAACTGGATACCATCTCTGTGGTGTTGGGGTTGCTGGTATTTTGATTGTGCCTACTGCACGAGTCTGGGGAAAACGTCACCTCTTTCTTCTGAGTAATGCCTTAATGGTAGTAAGTTGTGCTTGGGCTGGGGCCAGTAAGCATAACTACCAGAGTCTGCTGTGGGCTCGCATCTTCCAGGGTGTTGCTTTGGCTCCTTTTGAGGCACTGTTAAATGCATGTGTCGGTGACTTATTCTATGTCCATGTAGGTGGCCCCAGTGCCTTGCATAACTTGAAGCTCATGGCCAACAAACGTACAGGAACGGGGCAAGCGGATGGCACTTTCCAATGTTGCACTCTTTGGCGCAGCATTCCTCACTCCAGTTTTGGCAGGCAAGATCACGCATAGCCTTGGTTGGGAGTGGACATTCTACTTAGTGGCCATTTTCACAGCAGCAGCTCTACCTCTTACATTCTTCTTCGTCCCCGAAACGGCTTTCAAACGCGCAGACCATTTGCAATCAGACCTTGAAAATGCCAATGATCATCAAGCCGTGTCTCGCCCAGCCCCCCAAGTACAGCTCAACAATCTCATGGCACTCGAGACAACTTCAGGATCAGGGGATCAAAAACAATATGCGCCATCTGTCAATGATCATCACCGTCCTACGTCCCCAAAAGAGCTGCCTCGAGAGATAGAGACGAAGAAATTGACAAAGGTGCCATATCTCGAAACCCTCAAACCATTCAATGGACGGAAAACCGACGAGAGCTTCTTCAAGCTTCTGCTACGGCCATTTCCTCTGTTCTTCCATCCCGCGATTTTTTGGGTAAGCCCTAAGGATACATCAACACCGGCATAAAGATCTAACCACTATAGGCTTGTTTGATACAAGGCGTAATCATCGGATGGACCGTTTTTATTGGTGTGGTCCTGGCCGCCATTTTCCTCGGCCCTCCGCTGTGGTTCAATGAGGTACAGACCGGGTACCTGTACACAGGTGCCTTCATCGGCTCCATCCTGGGTCTGGTCTTGTCGGGACTTCTCTCCGATTCGATGAACCGCATTATGATCAAACTCAATAGAGGGAAGTACGAACCGGAATTCCGTATACTCCTGGTGATCTTCCAGTTGGTCTTCAGCGGCGCAGGGCTTTACGGGTTTGGGATTATCGCCCAGGATGTCGCACGATACGGATGGCTTGTGACGGACGTGTTTTTCGCACTGGTTATCATAGGAATGGTCATGGGCGCTGTGGCCAGTGCGCTGTATATTATCGATGCACATCGTGAGTATTGATGACGAGTCACGGGAGCTGGATCCCAAAGTATTGATGCTCGACAGGCGAGATCGCGATCGAATCATTCACGTGCATGTTGGTCTTCAAAAACATGTTCAGCTTTGTGCTGACATTTTTTGCCTACGACTGGCTGGTGGCCCATGGGGTCAGGCCAGCCTTCTTGGCCATCTCCAGCATTCAGATGGGGATCTGTGCCTTGAGCATTCCGATGTGTATGTTCCGTCGCTCCTGGTGGCAAGGGATGGGCTAACGTATCGTTAGATATTCTTGGGAAGTGGAATCGCTCTTTCTTCTACCGCTACGATCTACTGAAGATCCTGCATTTGTGGTGAAAGCGAGAGATCTACCGAGGTTAATAATAAATCGCTCGCCTCATCCACATTCACAACCCTTCCCGATGGATTTGGACAAAGTTTAGCGGTCGCGCGAATATATACATATTGAGAAAGCTCCAGCGAATAGATGGGAGACCCAACTGCTGAAGGAAACATACAGTCTCCCTGTGCAGTGTGCCTTGCAAGTACTAGAACCCATGCACCATGAACCAATGGATCGCTCCACCTGTGAAGTGGTAGAGCAATGTAGCATTAGGAAAAGCTCCGAGATCACTCCGTCAGTCATCCAAACGCCACGATTAAGTCATCAACGGTTTGAACAAGCCCCAGTGTCGCGTAAACAAACGAAAAGGAAATAGAGACCAAGGAAAGAAAAGAAAGGGTCGTTAAGTTCATAATCTCATGGCGCCATAGTCCCGTTCAATGTTACAAACGATGCGACATCAATAATTCGACGCAAACACCGTGTCCGAGGCGATGACCGCAATTGTCGCGATCTAGACGGTCAGTCAGTCAACCATTCTTACCACGAAAACTTGGAATGGGTAGCATCCTGGTACTTACCAAAGCCATATCCACTCCAGGGGTCACAATCACATCCAACACCGGGCGATAACCATACCGCGAAGCAGGCATGAGCGCCAGCTTCTCGTTATGCCGAATACTTTCCTTGACCTCGGCAACCTTGCGATCTCCGTCGACGATGTCGAACAAGGCCAACACATTCCCATGCCGTTGTACCTCCAACGTGAGCGTCCTCTCTTCGGGCCGTTTTCCTTCTGCAGCCGCTACATTGTCGAAGGTGATGGTGAAGTTGCCCCAGCCGGCGGCGCTAAAGGAGGAGCGGCGCAGAGCCCCCGTCGCAATCGGGCTGGTGATCTTACTGCCGGGGAGGGTGACAGACCAGTTGTTCTTGAAGGAAGTTTTCCGGTGCAGCTCGAAGAGTGGGAGACCTGAGGCGTCGCGGAACTCGCGACAGGGTCGGTCGCTGAACTTGCGACCGGTAGCGGTGTAGAGGGTGATGCCATCGGCATCTTGGATTTTGTAGGCCACGGCGGACTGTGCGTCGCCTTGAGGTCGCAGAATCAGGAGGGTCTGAGTGTCGGTGATGTGGTCCTTGCGGATGGCGATGGGACGCCCGGGGGATTTGAGGGTTCTACGGATTTTGGACTTGGTGGAGGAGGGGGAGGAGGAGGAGGAGGAGAGAGGAGGGAGGGGGGAGTGTTGTTGCTGGTGGGAGGAAAACCAGAACATGGCGGTGACGGCGGCGGCGGCGGTGGTGATGGTGGTGGCTGGGTGTATAGGGTTGAGTTTGTTTATGTGGAGGAGGAGATAGTAGCTATACAGCTGAAGGGGGATTTATTTATTGGAGATTGGGGGGAGGGGCGGAGAGGAGGGCGGTAGTGATGAGGGCGAAGGAAGGAGGGGTCGCGAACGAGTGAGTGACCGAGAGCAGATAGCTTCTTCAATAATATCTTGGGCTGCGGGGACGTGCATCTTTTTGAGCCTTTGAGGGCAGCTATCATAAAAACCCCCGGGATATAGCAAATCCCCGAGCAAGGCATGATGCACCGCCATGATGACATGACCTGGGTCCGCGCGCAATTTGTCTGGGCGAACGACTAGGTCGACACTAGCCCGCTAGGCGACCATTGGGCTGGACTGGGTCTCCAGATAGGTAGTCTCTGGAGTCTGGATAGCCTGGCCAAGGCCGCACTACGATCCTCTAGCTGTTACACAGGATCCGAGATGTTGAGTGATGTAGGTACTACTGTGTAGACACTGAGGGTTGGGAATGGTGGATTGGTGGAGACCGAGGCTAGGCAGTGAGTGCCTGGGCTGGTGGGAGGTACACCCGGTGTAGATAAGTGACACTGCGTGAAGACAACAACCAGGTAAATAGATACTCCTAGTGTAAGCAAGTACTACTATAGTACTTAAATCCATGGTAGTAAGGCTGAGGTGGGAGTCGATGAATCAGACGAACCAGAGCTGCCAGGCACCAACATCCATGAGAGAGATGTGCAACCGGAAGCTCCGTTCAGTCTTCATGATGACATCAGCCCGGTTGATGTCACTGGTCGTCTACGGTCGTTCTTTCCTCAATGGGCGGTTGCGGCCCTTCCAGTTCCATTCGGCACCCGCATACCTCAGGCTCCCTCGGGTCTTCCATACCACCTCATGAACTCTACCACTCTTTCGACAACATCATCGGCGTCATTAACTTTATCCCCTCCTCGCCCACCTTTTAACGTTTCTTTCCTCTTCCCTCCCCCTTTTCCCTCCGTCTTTTCAATCCCTCTTCCTCTTCCACCTCCTCCTTCCCCAGGAATGCCTCGACTCCTTCCGCCCTGCAGATGATCGTCGGTTTCTTATCATGGCCACCACCCTTGAACAACCCGCGCCCATCGAACGTGCCATCGGGCGGTCCCGGTCAGCCCGCCTGGCGGGTCAAGGTGAGTGATCTGCATTCTGGCTCCTCGGACTCTGGGCCCTGTGCCATGCTAGCCTGTTTCACATCCCTACCCTGCCTTATCATATCTCCATGTTGCTATGATCGATGATTTCATCATTAGGACATGACGAAAATAAAAACTTTCATCGCCGAGAAAAATCGGTAGCTGACCGAATTTATCCCAGCTGCAACTGCGGCGCTCTATGTGACCCATCCGGAGCGAAGGTTGTCCGTTCGCGAGCCCTCCACTGCGGAATCTGAATTAGCCAGTGAGCATCCACTTCCATTGTATTGACTCCCTATTATAGGATAAGTTCCAGGACTGACTCCTCACCTGTGCTCCAGCTTTGAAGGCGACAGGCTCCCGCCCTGGCTTCAGTCATGCGTCCGCAGTGGCTGCGCTCGCCCACGCCCGATCCAGAGGACGGACGACGAAAGGATCGGCCACAGCACAGCATGTGGAGGATAATCGCGCGGTCGAGGTGCCAAGCCTGGAAGGATATAAGGCTGCCGCATACGTTTTTAGGGATCGCCGATCGGTAGCCAGCCACTCCAGGACTTCAGATATCAAGTATGACTCGTCCGGAGTTGGTCAGACGGTGGAGACGCGTTCCGGGACGACGGGTCCAGATAGAACCCATTATGCTGTGACGGGGGCTCTATATGCGAACAGAAAGAGAGCCGATTCCGCACCGTCAGAGGCGCCTCACGCAGGCATGGACACGGACGATGTCCTTGGAGATCTCGACAGTGCCATGGAAGCCAGCAGGATCCAGCACATTGCCAACACCAATGCTCGTCTTTATACAGCCTCCCCGCCCGTCTCTCCCGAGCTGGAGGACCACAAACGGAGGAGCATTCTACAGGCTGCGGCAGTCTCCATGGCGCGTGACATGTATGCGGTCGTCGAGGCCAAGGAACAGGAACAGAAAAGCCTCAGCCACATACGATCTCAGCGAACAGCAACTGGGGCAGAGCCGATGATTCTGCAACAGGCTTTTAGCTTACAGGATGCTGCTGAGAAGCGCGCAGCGGAGAAACTGGCTAGCATGCAGGATGAGACGGCAATTTACCGTGAATACTACGGAATTGAACCACAAACTACGCGCTCTAGCTTGCAGGTCCGCCGACGGAGACTGTCGATCGACACGGATGCTTCTTCGGTTGACGCAGAGCGGTCGAAGGAAATTCGAAACCAGATGTACAGTCTGCGATCGAAGCTGGATGCGGTGGATGAGCGCAGAGAAAAGGACCGCGCTCTCCTGATGGAGGCTGCGAGGAGGAACGTCGATGCGACCATCCAAGACATGGAGATGCGTGTATATGCCGCGACCGGGCGTGCCCCCGCAGCCATGCAAAAGGGAATGGAGGAAACTGCATTGGCCCGCGCAAAGCAGAGACAAGAGACAGATGCGCAGTACCAGTTGGCCGACCGGGTGAATATCAGCTCCGAGAAATACATCGACATGGCAGACGTGGAGGCTCTTGCCCGTTCCAGGCTGCAGCCAACTTTTGACGAGATCACGGACCGTGCGGACATCAAGCGGGCCAGGGAGTTAGAGCAGCGTTTAGATCAGGAAGAGGCCCAGAGAAGGGAGGCCATCCAGCGCGAGCAAGAGGCTGACACCAGGGCGGAAGAGAAACGGCTGAGAGGTGAGTTGCCTTGCTGATATTCATCAAGAAACGGAGCCTCTAATTGGAAGCAAATAGCGGCTCTGAAATCCGAATCCAAGTTGAAAGAGGAAAAAGCCTGGCTCTGGAGCAGGAAGTCGAAGCGCTTTTCCGACATTACTGCCGGCGAAAGATATACCGTAACCGGGGCCGTCGACGGAGCGGCAGACGAGGCAGCCGCTGAGACTGCGCCGCGACAGACGTCTGTAGGAGATATTGGGGCCACGGTTTCAGGTGCTACTGAGGAGACCAGTCCTACCGAGGCTATTTCCAAGTCTGAGTCGAAGCTTAGATCCTGGTTCAAGGGAAGGCTGGGCCGTCGGTCTAGTGGCATCGCAGCGGAAGCCGTGAAGGCAGGCAAGGGCACCCAGGAAGGAGCTGTCCCAGCGGAAACAGGGGCAGCGGCACAACAACCAGAGGAGACCCAGGCGATTGAAGTGGTTGAAGCTGAATCCCAGGATAGCCGGGTATCCCAGCCAGTGCAGAGGTCTGAAGGTGAAGAGGGCCAGACCTGGGACATTGCCCACCCAGCCGACAAGGATCCCGAGGTCCCCGAACTACCGGCTGCACCTGTAGCCCCTGAAATCTCTGGACAAGGTACTGTTGCGGACGACTCTCGAGGAGCGGCGCTTGGATCCCATCCTGTGACGGCCAATGACCTGACAAGGATGTCGGTCGGTGAAGGTCAAGTGGATGAGAGACAAGCCGAGGACCGCGACAGTCAGCAATCACCCGACAGCAAAGAGGAATCCGCGGCAGACAAGCGCAATCGGTTGGTGACGGGGTTCAAGAAGATCGTTTCGAAGAACTCGCAGGAGGCGAAGACGGACGGGATTGGGAGCAATGATATCGCTCGCCGAAGCTCTCAGGCGATCCCCACCCCGGCAGTGGAGACGGAGGAGCGACGGCCAAGCGCCCCTGATCCAGGACTGACTGTTCCTGCAGCCGTGGGGAAGCGAGCGAGCAGCGGGACTGGCCGGGAGTCGCGGTTCTCGGAGAAGCTGTGATTGTGCATTAACTTTATACCTGGATGGGTTTGTGATATTTTCGCGTGCCTGTGATTATGATTGTGATTGTGATTGATATTTTGGGTGATTTTGTGTGTACTTTTACGGCGGGTAGGGGAGACTGGGTACGGAGTAGCGAGTACATAATATAATATGTTTGCTGTTTGTTGTCTGTACTACTACTACGGAGGCCTAGTACTTGTGCACACAGTATGTGTTAAGTTACTCACTCGGGCGCTCCACCGCCATTTGCCGCGCGGCTCCCCAGCGGCGCATCCACGTTTCCTCTGGCTCCGAGATACTATCTATCTAATATCTGTCTATCGACTTGCTCCGTTCCGCATTTCAATTCGTGTCTGGATGGCCCCCTTCCACAGTCATTTCTCTTGGGCCTGCCACTTGCTTTTCTCCTGCCACTAGAGCGTACCTTTCCTCCACTCAAATCCCCCTCAGCCCCATGAGCGATCTCCGCTGATCTTTGCCAGTCCCCTGACTGTTACTTTTACCACTTTACTTTCACTTCCACTCTCTCCATACCCAGCTGTATATAAAGCACCCCCCCCCCCCCCCCTCCGAACCGCTAGATATCTAGATGTCTTCCTCCCACCCGCGCCAATCGAGCGTCGACCTCGATTCCCCCGGGCGTCCCTTTGACAACATCATCAATTTCCGCGATGTCGGCCGCACCATCAACCAGTTAGTTGGGAAGAGGTATGGCTATCGGAATCTTTGGGATGTGTCATTAGTGACTGACACTTTGCACAGGGTGCTGAAAGAGGGCATTCTCTTCCGGAGTGCAAGGGTAAAATCTTCTTCCTCATCTTCTTCTTTCAATGGCTCTCCATCCACCAATGCTTGTAAACGCTGCTGCTAACCACCCCAAAGCTAGACGATGCCTCGGAGCGCGACAAGCGCCGTCTCACGGATGAACTGCATATTGCGACGATCATTGATCTCCGATCTAGGTAAGCCTTTACCTCAAATTCCAAAACTGCCAATATTAATGCATCGTATCAGTACCGAACACCAAATGGCTACCACCAAACGTCTCTCTGAACTTGCAGCTGCATCATCACCATCGTCACCATCATCGTCAACGACCCTCCCTCCCACCACAAACGACATCCACCTCATCGACCTCCCCCACGTCCATCGCTTCCCCGTCAGTCTAACCGGAAAGGCCTTTGAAAGGACTCTTCTCTGGCGTCTGGATTGGTGGAATTTCTTGTACTTCCCCATCCCTTTCTTCCCCTTTCCTCTCCCTTCAAAATAATTCCCCCATACATCTCTTCCCCCCCCTCTTCCCTTCTTAACAAAGATAATGTAAATGTGATGTCTAACCTAAAGAAACAGCAAAGTCCTTGCCCTCGCCGCCTCAGGCTACCGTTCCGACGCCGTCCTCATTGTCGGCCAACAAGTCATGTCCCCCCGGGGTCTCATCGGCTTGGGCATCGACACCCTAGACAGCAGTTTCGGGGAAATGAAAACCATCTTCGACCTGTTCTCCACACCCACCACCCACAACCTCGACGACCAGGATCCTTCTTCTGATGATGATAACATATCCACCCCTTACCCCATCATCATCCACTGCACGCAAGGTAAAGACCGCACGGGCCTGATCATCCTCCTCCTTTTGCTACTCGTGGCAGATGTCGTGTCTATCGAAGCCATGACGTCAGATTACGTTCGGTCCGAGGGTGAACTGGTTATTGAAATGGAGGAGCGCATGAAGGAGGTTAGGCTGTTGGGGCTGTCGGAGGAGTATACCAAGTGTCCGGATGGGTTTACGGGGAGGATTTGTGAGCATCTCGATAGGAGGTATGGTGGCGTCGAGGGGTATTTGGGTCTCATTGGGATTGGGAAGGAGAAGGTGGAGAGGATACGGAGGGTGTTGTTGGCTTGAGTTGAGTTATGACAGGGTTGGGAAGGGAAGGGGAAGGGGGATGCTTGTACAGGTAGATTGTGGGGGCTGTGTGGATAAATCCTAGGACTCTCGATGAATAATGGTAATCATGTTCTTACTTGAACAAAAAAAAAATAAAATAAAATAAGGTGGTACAGTTGGTATTTCAGTTAGGCTGATGGTATAGTTAGTATATAGGTAGAATTATAGATCACAAGAGGGGCAGTAAATGGGTTCTCTCCGAATCCAAACAGATAGGGAATTGTCAACAACATACGATCCAACTAACAGTTATCGTCATCATCAGGTCTCGACACATCTACCAAATCCATTATTCCAGTCGCTGAGAAAGGAACCACCGGGTATCTATCGTTTATTATCGTATCAAACCACTTTGCACCGGTTATGTGCTCCACATAAGAAATCGTTCGCCGCGCACGGGGTATTCACATTCGCTGGCCGCGGTAGTAGTTGGCATTCGGACCGGCCGAGTCCATGGTCACTGGCTCCTCGTACGTCCCATCTGTCCCATTCGTTGTTCCGTTGGCATAGCCATTCATCTGTCCGACCCGGGACATCTTCTCGCCTTGCGGGGCATGTCGGCGGGTGCGCACCGATGGCAACAGGTCGATTACAAAGGAGAGGACATAGAACGTGAAGATGAGCGCAATCACTAACCTAGTCAGTCGGCCAGTCCGGGCTCGGAGAAATCAGCTTCGGCAAAACTCACCCCATTCTAATACCGCCGCCGCGTTCCTGTAGCGACCACCCTTATTGCCCAAGACTCCAAAGGCAATGGCGAGCGCAATCTCGATGATCACAAACGAAAGCTTGATCACGAAACTGGCCAACAGAACCCGATGCTGCGAGCGGTAGAAGATGCCCAGGCGCCAGTATTCACAGCAAATGAGAATGGCGCTGATCAAGTATGCGACCCTGTAGGAGTGTCAGTGGCGGTTTTCTGCGAGTGCGCGACCAATACTAACAAGAACATAACCAAAAAGCCGTCATGCATGTGGGGATGACGGAGGGTATCAAAGATCGACAGCAGGATCAGCCCTAAGGCGCCCGCGATTGAGAAGCAGATCGAAGCGATGGCGCAGGCTTTGTCAAAGGGGCCCTTGTTCGGCACCAATTGACCCGCGTGTCGCAGCCACCGCTCCGACATGAACGAAAGATCGAGAAAAACGACGGTGACGCAGCTGCCTGCAATGAACAGCGGCTTCAGGCCCTGCGCTCCAATATCCGAAATATACCTGAGATATGGCGCATCAGCATCGCAGTCGCATGCAAGAGGTCGCGTGATCACCTACGCGATCGTCTGGCCCAGCTCCATACTGGCATATATCGGCGAGCCTTCTCTCGCCCAAGTCGCCAGCATCGCAATCAGCATGGCTAGACCTTTGTCAGCCACTGAGCCACTGTCGCAAGACTTGGCGCAAAACGGAAGGGGGGTTTTGTTACCGATCCATGTGCACGCTGATACAATGGGGAAGACCCAAAATGATATAATCCACATCTTCGCCAGCTATTTCCGGTACAGCCTTGCGTGGACGAGGAGTATTATAATCCGAGCAAAGCGCAAAAAGACGCGCGCCCAAGCGACCGGGTTATCCAAGTATAGGAGGGCAATAAGTTGATCGGGTGGAACGCGGCGCCGGAAGGGACGGAAGTGGCTTGTCGTTAATCAATCGATCCGAGGGTCAGCAGGGGAGAGCGCGAGAGAGCGCGAAAGAGCCAGCAAGGGCGGAAGCAAGATCAATTGACGGACGACAAGAGGGCAATTGGCAAGGGAGGTGGCAGCAAACGAGTGAGTGACTAAAAGAAAGACAGGTTCGGTGGAGAGGCCGAGTAAGCATTTTAATCACAACCTGTCCAGAACCCAGATGGTGACGACGAAGAGGGCCCCACCGGCCTGGAGCAGCCAGGTAGGTAAAGTAGGTAGGTAGGTAGTATCCATCCAGCTGGATGTTGGAGCAGGCAGACAGAAAAGTAACGCTGGCCTGGTCGATGACCATGACCTCATCGACGTCATCGGCCGTTCATTACATAGTGGTCCTATGTACTATCTAGACAGTATCTAGACAGTACGGTACACGGTATGTACATCGGCGGCAGCATGTTGACGATCCATCCATCCATCCACCGATGGATCTTCAGGAATTACCCCGCAGAACCCGGAGGAAGAGAATCATTATTGTGATGATTTTCCCCCGAAGAATCCATCCAGTTCCATACTATTTATTAACGCCCGTTTTAAGGTTCAGGGAAGCAGCCACCGCAGCCACCGCAGCGCGTCCAACGTTACCTCGCCGGCTATCTGAACCTAATCCCCGTCCCACCCACCTACTATGGTACTGAACCCATGTCCCATCTTTTACGGGCGAGCGCTACGGAGAAACAGAACAGTACCATCATTCAATTCAGTTACCCGCTCTAGACGAACTCCGGTACGGTTTATCGGTGCAGACAATCAACAATGGGGACTCCTCGCAAAAAGCATTCAAACTCAAATCAGAAGCGACTTTGTCCACCCACGAATGAAAAGAAAGCAATATGAAAGGGCACAAATCGTGGCGTTTCAAGGACGATTGCTCCGCTGACGACTCCCTCGTCCGATCGGCACCCGGCGCTCAACCACCTTGGCGCTATCATCGGAACTACTCACTTCCTCCCCCTCTCCGCCACGTGTTCCCCCCGCCGCGAACCCCAATTCCCCTAGAGAAGCAGCCGGACCCCGCCCACTGCTACGTAGGGATTCGTCAAACACGCTGCTGTAGCCAGACGTGTATGGCATCGGGCCGGAGTGCCGGGGATCGGTTGGATACAACGGCGGCGGCGGTTCACGGGGATAAGAGACAGGATACGGGGGCACCCAATGCGGATCATCGGGGAGGGATCGCGTAAAGGCGGGGGGGTTCACAGACCCGGAAGTGCGAGCAAGGGGAACAGAGGCAAGGCGGTCGGGGGAGTAGGCCGGCTGCAGCGGGGTTCGCGACGGTGTTTGCTTCGAGGCACCCCGGGCAGATGGTGAGCGCGCAGAAGTTTGAGCTCCGGCAGAGGCACCCAAAGTTCTCGCCCAGAATGCATATGCAGCGTTGTTGGCCGATAAGGAGGACGGCATGCCATGCTTATTTGGTAACGATGCACTGGATCCGCTACGTTGAGCTCCAATTTTGCTGCTTGGGCTCTCTGGCGGCCTCAAGGGTCGGTTGCTGCCGGGAGACCCCCGGGGGATACTTGCGCGGTATTCGGAATCGGGGGTCCGGTTTGCCTGCACTCGCTTGCGTTCCAATGCCTCTAGCTCCCGGCCCGATAGTCGCACGTTCTTTTGGCCCTGCTTTTGAGCGTGTCGTATCCGTTCCAAAGCCTGGTCCACCAATCGCTCCTCCTTGTCCTTCATGGCCAACTGAACAGCATAAGCCACCGTGCTGTCCATGTCCTCGTACAGGTCATAGTCCACCCCATCGACAGAAGCCACCTCATCCGCATAGTCGTATCCCATCCTCCGTCTGCGCAACCGAGACCCTCCATCCTCGTCCAGACCGGCTGACTGCCTCGCATACAAAGAGCTAACATCCCGCCGGATGTATGCATCCTCCCCCCCGCTGTCAATCTCCTCGATCCGTACCGCACCGTCCACCCACGGATCCGCACGCCTGGTTTGTCTCCCCACTCGTGCCCCTGGTGGTCTTCCCCATCGGGGCATACCGTAAGGAGTTCGCGGCCGACCACCTAGACCGCCTCCTCGGAAAAAGCATTCTCGATTGGTTTATCCACAAAAGCAGCGTGGCCGAAAACGGTCACACCGGTGGCTCCGATCAACCAGAGCACAGTGCTAATGGGCGAGGCCCAGAATCCCAGAGGCACCGCGACGATCAGCAGTCCGGTATACAGCTGGGAGGTGTTAAATCGAGCAAAGCCCAGTTCCAAGTCGTGACCCTGCAGCTTCCCAATTCCGTAGAGACCACCGGTGACTAGGATGATGACAAAGAGCAGAAGTGGGTTGGTCAGCAAGCTGTAGATGCTGAGCATCACAAAGACGGCGGCATAGTTGCTAGAGAAGTAGGACAGGTTGTAGTTCACGCGGCTCTGGACCTCGCCGAAGTTGGCGGGCTTCGACACGCGCTTGATGTCCAAGAACTCGGAAACCGGTCGCAGATTGGCAAAGCGCGTGCCGAAGGATTGGGAGCGGACACTGTTGAAGCGATCACCGAATCGCGAGGTAATCGCGTCAATGGGAATCTGGAGAGGCATGGCGATGATAGTTTTGGGGTTGGGAGATAAGGTAGAAATGAGACGCCAGAGGATGTTAATTGGGAGTAAGTGATAGGATGGCAATGGTGATGATGATAATGATGATGATTATGAAAGGCAGATAGATGTAGCTGTCAATCTGTAGAGAGAAAAGGGGGGAAGGACCGAAGGACCGGGGGGAATGTTTGTCGACGAGAGAGATTGGAACCGGCTTAGCTGGCCCCAAAGGAAAAAAGAGGTGTTGGCAGCCTAAGCCTCGCCCGTAGCGGCTTTTGGAGGGTCGCCCGGCGGTCCAGGCGGAAAGCACAGACCGAAGCAGTTAGTGCCTTCCAAGGAGTACGAAAGTAAGAAGATGTCCCCGAAGAATGGATGGGACCGTTCTTATAGAACAGGAACAGGAACAGGAACAGGAACAGGAACAGGGACAATAAAAACGAGGAGTGAGGCTGAAAAAAAAAAAGAAAAAAGAAAAAGAAACCAAGGGGAATCAAGACACGCGTGGATCAACACCTGAGTCACTGCTCCGGTTTCATGGACCTTCGAACCAAATCAAGATACAAAGTGGGTGAGGGCCACTAAGAATAGAAAGCAGGGCAGCATAGAGTGGAGAGCGTTTCCTCGGGCTGGGTGCGGCAGAGAAGACGGAGAATGAGATGGATTGGTTCTTCTCACAATAATGAGGGAGACTGCATCAATGCCATCTCAATCACACCCCGGATCATCATCTAGTCCTCGTCAAGCCCATGACGGCTTTTCTGCTGACGATAAGTCGATACGGGTCCCAGGGGAAGTAAGCACCTAGACGGACGGTATAAGACGTGTACTGGAGGGGACTGCCTCGAATTTAAACCCGGCCCTCTCCCCCTCCTCCCAGCCCTCGTCTGAGTTGGATAGACGCTTCTGCAAACATTAGGTATCAATCACCTCTTCCTACCTGCACCTTCTCCCTCACCTTGCTTTGGGGTAGGTCCCGGTGTCCATCATTGGTCCACGTCGTGCGTCTGCAGACTCCACCGGGCCCGTACCGTAAGGCCCGTATGATCTGTATGGTCTGTATTATTATTGCTGCGTCCATGGCTTTACCCCGGCCCGGACGGTGAGCCCGGATTTGTCCATTCTGAACTTAGTCCTGTACTGGAGGCGTAATGCCTTTTTGCCTGATGACAGATCATTCCCTCGCGGTTTTATCGCCTGAGGATTCCACCTATCGGTTTGGACAAGAACAACTTACCAACAATCACCATGAAAAGCTGCATATAGCCCATTCGCACAATTGTTCTCCACTGCCCCTCTTTGCATTCTTTTTCTCTATTGCTTCTTGGGACTGGCGGCTTGACCGCTCCCATATTCTACGATGAGGCCAATTGCACTTCGTTTGCTTGTACTAGCAGCCTTGATTGTTTTGGCCGCGGCCTGGAGCAAAGAAGGTCGGTTTTTTTTTCTTCTCCTTTCTTCCTCTTCTTCTTCTTCTTCCTTGAATCGCAAACTAACCTTCATCTTCCTTCAGATTACGAGATTTTTCGTCTTAATGACGAAGTCACTGCTGCAGAAGGTGCCAATGTGACATTCTACGGTACGCCCCCCTTAAAAAGCTATATCCAATTTCCCGCCACTGATTGTCTCCTATGACTAGATTTCCTGGGCGTCAAACCCAGTGCCAACCAAGACGAACTGAGCAAGGCCTATCGCCAGAAGTCGAGACTTTTACACCCCGATAAAGTAAAGCGGACCTTCATCGCCAACAGTTCCAAGGACAAGTCCCGATCCAAATCCTCCCAGGCCAGTGTCCATGTCAACAAGGGTCGTTCGCAGCGGGAAATTGCCGCCGCTGTCAAGGAGGCCCACGAGCGCTCTGCCCGTCTGAATACCGTAGCCAATATCCTCCGCGGCCCCGCTCGCGAGCGCTACGACCATTTCCTGAAGAACGGATTCCCCAAGTGGAAGGGAACTGGATACTACTATTCACGTTTCCGTCCTGGCTTGGGATCTGTTCTTGCCGGATTGTTCTTGGTCTTCGGTGGTGGCGCGCACTATGCTGCCCTGGTTCTTAGCTGGAAGCGTCAGCGTGAGTTCGTTGATCGGTACATTCGTCAAGCTCGGAGAGCTGCCTGGGGCGATGAATCGGGTGTCCGGGGTATCCCTGGCCTTGACAGCGCCCCGGACCCTGCTTCTGCCCCATCCCCGGCCCCGGAACCAGAAGCGGCCGCCATGCCAATGAACCGTCGCCAAAAGCGTATGATGGACAGAGAGAACCGCAAGGAAGGTAAGAAAGGTGGCCGGGCGACTTCACGTAACTCGGGAACCGTCACGCCTACGTTCGAGTCTGTCGAGCCCACCGGGGAGAGGAAGCGGGTAATTGCAGAGAACGGAAAGGTGTTGATTGTTGATTCGGTCGGTAACGTGTTCCTGGAGGAGGAGATGGAAGGAGAGCGCCAGGAATTCTTGCTTGACATTGAAGAGATTCAGCGTCCCACAATCCGTGACACGATGGTGTTTCGTCTCCCGGGTTGGTTCTACCACAAGACAATTGGCAAGTTTCTCGGTCCTTCGCACACGGCGGACAGTGGTGCTGAGGCGGAGGAGGAATTGTCCGACATGGTGGAGCAATCAGCTGAAGGCATCAGCAGCTCTGCAGTGCCTTCTAAGACTGGCTCCTCCAAAAGACGCGGAAAGCGGTCACAAAGATCGTCAAACAAGTGATGTAGAGGGGAAGCCAACTTCGCTTTGTATGCGCCATCCGCTTTGGTTAGTTGCTGTCCTTGGGGTCTACGAATGAGTTCTACGAGGGCAAGTGTATAAATAGTGTTTGGTGTCAAAAGTTCATTTCGATAGGCCATGACAAGCGTTTCGTTGGCAGTAGTGTCTGAATACTTCCCAAACAATTGGATATAAGCTTGATATATCTCAAAACTTGTATCTGAAACATGGCTTTTCTGAGCAACCTGCAAGCAAACGAATGTATGAACTAAGAAAAGCCATCAGGTCAAGTTTGCATCGTATCGTCATAATATCGTGATCGTGAGCGTCGTCCATTTTTCGGGCTCTTCCACACTAATCTCCCGCTCAAACTGGTGAGTGAGAAAATAGATCCATATCCAGGCGATAGGCCTCCTGAGCCGAAGAAGACGAGATCGAGGGTTTCAACGGCTACATCATCATTTTCGCAATGTTCATGAGTCCCTTGATGTTGTCTGACATGCTATTGGGGCTAGACTTCGGAGAATTTCCACCAAAGATGCTTTTTGGGAGGCGGATGCCAACCATTGCGAGTAATTTCTGCAAGACACCACTCGTGAGGAGCGGTATAACAACTAGGATGAGAACCTTCACGGGATTACGACGGGCGTAGTCGTAGATGTCACGGAGCAAGCGTCTGATGTAGCGGACCACCCGCTGCACGAAGCCTGATCGGGGCCGTGCGCGTCGCGACGATGAGGATGAGAGTACTGATGGACTGGTCCGTCCTGCGCGACTACCACCATTCATACTCAAGAGCGAGGGGGTAGAGTGGCGAGGATGTTGGGATGAATAAGTGGATCGTCTGGAGGGGGAGGAGCGTCGGCGGACATGTGTGTGGGAAGACGAGGATGAGGATTTTCCGTCAAACCAACCCATCTTGACTTGGCTTTCACTATTATGGGCAAATTTGGATGCTCAGCGGCTGATGGTATGCAAATGGATAACTTTGCAGAGACGGATATCTGAAGGCGTGAAGGTATCAATGACCCCTCTGAATGTATTGTGTGCACGTAAAAGGCACTTGCGCTATTGTGGAGTCGTAGCGTGCTACAAATGCACACAATTCGAGATCCAGCCTCCTTGCCGTAGTGGCCAGCTCCACAGCTGGATTCCAGTGCGGGTATCGAATAAGTGACAAGCTCAAGGCCTTTGTGCAATATCCAATTGACGGCTAAATCCAGCCAGATCGAAGATTGAAAGATTGTAGTCGGTGATAGGAACTGGGGGAGGGGAGTGAATTCAATTGGAAGCATACAGAAGTAGCAAGATGAGCTGCGCGAGAAGGTTGAAATGAAGGGGGAGGGGATGAGGTGAGACCCATCTGGCCAGGAGGCAAAGCTGAACACCATCACTAATACATGGTGCTTAGCGTGTTCTTAGCACCTGCAGCGTACGTACGACGCTCCCCAAGTGGCTGGTTCCGGCATCCTTAACGTTTGAGCCATCCCCGTTATTGGTGCTCAGGCTCAGGGGCTTCCCGCCTCTGGTGTTAGTAAGAACTAAGTACTAACGTATTTCACGGGTCGACCGACCGCACGGGTCATCCGACCGCCGCCCCGCTTTTCGACCACGCTCTACAACTTGAAGCCATTCGCAACAACGCAAAATTCATTATTTTTAATTTTCTTGGTGTTGATAACGTATAGAACATTGAGCTCTTGTATGGCCCTGAATATGACAGAAAGAACACGTTGGTGGAGCTCATCTTGGCGTGTCTAAAGTTGAAGGTGCAGGACCTGTAGAGGGTCCTACCTCTGCATTTAAATGAGTATTTCTCATTGCTACAAGGTCTATACCCTCTTGTATCGTAAGGCCGCCTGTAGGAGTCATCTGTCGCTTAGAATGTGCCTTCTTCTTCTTCTCTTTTTCATTTGCAGCGCGGAGTTCATGGTTTTCAAGTGCTAGTTGCGCACAGTTGTATAGAGAGATCTGGGCGCCTTTAATAATTTGCTGCAGGGCATGTTTTGAAGGCGTAGAGGGACTCCGCGATCCTCTTTTTAAAAGCTTTTTAAGCGACTCTGCCTGTCTCTGCAATTGCTTGACTGTATATGGCGTTGCAAGCGCGGAGGAGGTCGCAGACTGCCCCCCGCGGCTTGGGGGGGGGGGGGGTGTCGGCGTACGCAATATAATATTAAGCTTCTCAAGGACTCTTTCAGGGCAAAATGGGTGTATTCCGGCTGCAGCGAAGCCGCTTTGAATATTCTGAGGCTTAAAGACCTCCCGGTGAGCGGTGGGATACTTAGATAAGAAGTCAAGCTTGTCAATATGATTATATGAAAGTCGCATTCTTGACTCAACAAGGCGGCCATACGCCCGCTTCAGTGGTCCAAAACAGCCAACATCAAGAGGTTGTAGAAGGTGAGATGAGTGAGCAGGCATGCAGACGGGAATAACTTCATTATCCTTGCAGAGCTTGTCGAATTCAGGCGTTAAATGACTCCCATGGCCGTCAAGAATAAGGAGTCTATATCGGCCAACTTTTCAAGTATTTGTAGCAGGTAAGAAGACCTCTTTGAGCCACTGCAGGCCAATGTTATCATTTATCCATCCGTTTGCTGATAATTTAATACGCCAGTCACGTGGGAGGTTGTATTTGCCGAACCATCCTTCTATATAGACTTTTCCCTTGAAAATTATGGTGGAGGGAATATTCCACCCTATTGAATTGATACACTCGATTGTTGTCATCCATTCGCGTTGGCCTGGCTGTATAAGATGAGGTTTACCAGGCATGTTGGCTCTCGTCATGACCTTTGTAGTTGTAATTATTCCTATTGCAAAGCCTGTTTTGTCAAAGTTGAAGATATCCTTGTCTAATATTCCAAACTCCGCCCGTATGTCTTGTAGGGTTGTAAACCAGTCTTGTAGAAGCTTTGGATCCTCGCATTTGGCTCTCTCATAAGCGTACTTTCTGGTGAATTGACAGCTGATCTCTTCACGGCGTTGTATAAAGGTGGTAACCCAGTTCTCGCCAACAGGGTCGAAGGAGGAGGGGTCTGCGGTTCGTAGGATTATATTTGCCATTTCTTGTACTTGAGCAGGTTGTGGAGCAACTCCACGCTGATCACGCGATAGAATCCACTGTATTAGAGTATCCTCTTGAATTTCAGAGAGCTTAAGGTTATGGTTGCGGCGTTCTAATTGAAATTGAATTCCCCGTACGCGGTCGCGGAGGGTTCCGTATGAGACATTGTAGGCGCGTGCCGTTGGACGAATTTTGCGTTTTTTATCATCTTTTAAATATTTAATTGCAAGTTGGATCCGACCCTCTTGCTCAATTACTTCTTGACGATTTTTCTTTCGATTTGGAGGCATGGTGGTTGGTTGAATAGAGAGGTGCCGAACACGCGATGACTTTTTGACGCGGCGGTCGGTCGACCCGTGAAATACGTTACCTAGGTAAAGTCGGGAAGTTCTTGTTTCTTTTTGAGTCAGGCGAGAAAGTAGAAAATCCCATGCTCGTTGTTGCCTGAGGCATCAACATTCCATCGACGTCATGTTCCCCGCGCCCAGTCATGATCTGGACTTCCTCATCTGACTCTCAAACATCACCACCCTCTGATACAGCCCCCGAATAACATTGCCATGACAAGTAAGTGTACATCAGTATATCTTACAACTCTGCCGGCCGAGCTGACTGTTTGTGAGCAGGACAATGGGATTATTGTAAGCCATTACCTAGTCTAAGATAGAGTAGGGGTATTTGTCTGACTGTATGGAAACTATAGACAAGGTTCTAGGGATATCTCCCAGCGCGACGCAGCAAGAGATTCGCAATGCATACAAAAGGTGAGTCCCTTGTCACCACCTCCAAAGTTCAGGCTCTGAACCGTGCAGGGAATCCTTGAAATCCCATCCGGACAGAGTTCCTGTCGACTCGCCGGACCGGCCAGCCCGGACGCGCAAGTTTCAAGAAATTAGTGATGCCTACTACACGCTGTCAGATGCCTCACGTCGGCGAGAGTATGACGCGACACGGATGGCGGGCGGCGTGGAAGAGGAAGCAGAGGAAATACCTCGTGGAGGGGCCGGAGGATTTCCCTGGTCGGCTTTCGGCTTTGACACAGATGACAGTGAGCACCGTGCATCCGAGCAGTTTGGGTCTGTGTTTGAGGAGATGCTGCGCGAAGAAGGTCTTGCTAGCGAAGACACGGATGCCAATGGTCAGACTCAATCACATCCAACATCTCGGTTCTGGTCCGTGGTGGGTGGGATCAGCGGTGGCGCCCTCGGTTTTATCGTAGCAAATGCTCCAGGGGCATTGGCTGGTGCAGTCGCTGGTAACCGGCTTGGAGCGGTTCGGGACGCTAAAGGCAAGAGCGTTTACGATGTCTTCCTCCAGCTTCCCCGGAGCGATCGTGCACGGTTATTGAGCGAATTAGCGGCCAAGGTATTTCAAACCACATTGGGCCGCTGAGATCTCGCACAGTAGTAGTACTAGTAGCTTATGTGAAGGGGTTTAAGTTGGTACTGCTAGTAGGTGGCGTTGTTGCTCTACCCAATAGGGTTGATAGCTTTGTAGCTCGCATTATTCGTCTTCTAATCGAGAGATACTCTATATACTGTTTCTATTCCGGGATTTTAATCATTATTTAGACGGCATACAGCACACTGGAAAACACTAGATACCACGTTCCCTCTCAGCATCCGGCTTATCTCACTCACTTATCGATAAGCGGTTTCAACCCCACGTGGATCATCCACGTCCGGACCGGAATGGAGTTAGAGACTGACCGCCTTGTGCCAGGCCTCGGTGCCTCGCAGCCCGAAATGGTTAAGCCGTATTATATGTCTGGAACCCCCCGCCGTCGTTCCAGCTCACCGCATGCGGTCGTGACACGTTCGCCCCTGAAAAGATACATACTTAGCCCATTGCCCCTCAATTGATCTCGGCTTTGACTCTAGAGTCTCTCTCCCCTGGCCCGTTCCTTAACCTTCTCCATCTCCATATCAATCATGGCCACCGAAGCAGCGGGTGTGTATCCTGCCCTGCAGGACCGCCCCTTGAAGGGCACAATCGTTCTCTTTGATGTCGACAAGACATTAACGCCTGCAAGAGCAGTAAGTCATCATCATGGTTCCAATGATATATCCCAGTTACTCCAGATTCAATAAAGACATATATTGACCTGGCCTTGTCCTGTCAATGCAGAATGTCACGCCAGAGATGCTCAGTCTGCTCTCCCAGCTGCGCCACAAGTGCGCCATTGGATTTGTTAGTTGTCTCCGTTCCAGTAAGACAGCGCGCGGTCTCACATTGCCCAGGTCGGTGGCTCGAATCTTCCCAAGCAGCAAGAACAACTTGGCACACCCTCGACGAATGTCACCTCCCTTTTCGATTTCTGCTTTGCCGAAAATGGTTTGATCGCTTTCCGTTTGGGCAAGCCTCTTGTTAGCAACAGTTTCATTCAATGGCTGGGAGAAGACAAATACCAGAAGTTGGTCAACTTTTGCCTCCTACACATTGCGAAGCTGGAGCTTCCCAAGAAACGCGGTACCTTCGTTGAATTCCGTAATGGCATGATCAATGTCAGCCCTATCGGCAGAAATGCCAGCACCGAGGAAAGGAAGGAGTTTGAGGCGTATGTATACGCACCATGGCTTGGCCACATACATCCCATGAACCAACTGACTGATAATATTGGCAGTTATGACACCATTCATAACATCCGCAGGGATCTTGTGAATGCGCTCAAGAAGGAATTCCCCGACTATGGTCTTAGGTATGTAGAGTGATACGGGCTGCTGGGGCGGCGCGCAGATCATTGACATTAACAACAATCATGAACAGTTATTCGATTGGCGGTGAAATCTCGTTCGACGTTTTCCCGACTGGATGGGACAAGACCTACTGCTTACAGCATGTTGAGGCCGAGAAGGACATCACAGGTATAGAGTACAAGACGATCCACTTCTTTGGAGACAAGACATTCCCTGGAGGCAATGACTACGAAATCTACAGTGACCCCAGGACGATCGGCCATTCAGTCGAGGATCCTGATGACACCATGAGACAGCTGAGAGAGCTCTTCCAGCTATAGAGGTACAACCCAAAGGCATCATGCCATGATCGCGTCCATGGAAGACCTGACTGGATATAGCGGTTAGATTTAACCATTGGTCCACAGGGGCTGGTTATCCGTGAATAAGGAAACGCAAGAGACTGCATGTTGCTTCCTCTGGGCATTGTTAATATTTCTCCTGCTGGAATTTTCCCCTCTTGTCAATCTATGCCGCTATAAGATGTTGGTCACGAAAACACTAGAGACTCGATATCTAGAAGGATGATTCCCATCCCTTAATTTCTGCGTGTGGAAGTTACCCGGATCCAGTTAACACTCCGCGGAACGGGAAATGGGAGAGCTACCTGTCTAGTAGTGCTCCGTACGGAGTGAGTACCTATGACCTGTTGCAAATCAATACGGCCGGCCCAGTAGATCAATCGGATCTGACTCCCTTTCGGATGGGCCTATAATACAAGTCTCCTGCTACTGTATGGATGCCGGTCATCATATAAGGCAGTTCGTATAGACAAGAACCAACCCACCAAAAAGGTTTGGACTAGGTACTCCGTATGTACTTCGTATAGGACGCCGATCACATGCGCGGTGGCGGCAGAGGGTGTTAGTCATCGATCGATCTGTTTCCGCGGGAAACGATACAACATCACCCAACATCTGCTTGATCAACTTAAGCCTATCTCGCGACCTCGTGTTGGCGACCCATCCCTTAACCTCCATTGCCCGGACCACATCAGTTATCTTCGAGAACTATGGCATCGCAGAAATCCGTAACGGAGGTGCCCCGTTCCATCCTCCCCCGTCTTACCTGGAACGGCTCCTCTGCCCGCACCACCGTCACTCCTCCCCAGACCACCGCCCTTCCAGCAAAACGCCAACAAAAGCAGCATCCTGGACGGAGCTGGATCCCTGCCGGACGGCAACTGCACACATTGACCTTTTCACCCTCCTCCCCGTTCGGATTTCTCGCAGTATCCCGAGAAGTTGGCACGTCATCATCGATCGCAAGACGGTTTCCCTTAGCGGGCAAAGCGACCAGTCGACCAACCGCGGAGCCCCTCGGGAACCCTATCCGACACAACGGTGTCTATGTGGCTACTTTCAACCCTGCTCGGAGGGCTTTCCATGCGTCTGCCCCGCATCAACGGGACCACCACTTTGATACACTGAAATTTGTTCAACGTTTGAAGGATGAAGGGTTCAGCGAAGAGCAGGCCGTTGCCATGATGAGGGTCCTGAACGACGTCATCCAAGAGTCGATCCAGAATCTGACTCGGACCATGGTGCTTCGGGAAGGTTAGTCGTTCCTCGCTGTGCTACATTCCAAGGATTTGGCTCCTTATACCATGCCTACAGATACGGAAAGATCAGCCTACACCCAGAAAGTTGACTTCGCCAAATTGCGCTCCGAGCTACTCAACGCAGACTCTACTGAAGCACAGCTGACTCGCTCGTCGCATGAAAAGATCGCTGCAGACCTCGCCAAGCTCAATTCGCGCCTACGCGATGAGATCGGGCGCACGCAAGCGTCGGTTCGTCTTGATCTGAATCTTGAGAAAGGCCGTATCCGGGAGGAAGCCAATGGCCAAGAAATGAGAATAAAGGAGACCGAAACAAGGATTGAGCAGGAGGTGGCGGGGTTGAGGGAGCGCGTGGAGGCCGTCAAGTTCTCCACGTTACAATGGCTCATGTAAGTGGTGTCCTACTCGCCGCTAAGACCAATGCTGACCGATCTTCCTAGGGGTGTTTGCACCGGTACTGCCGCACTGATTCTTGGTGCCTGGCGTCTTTTCATGTGAACCGTTATCTTCGGAGATTTTTTTTTTTTGCCGGAACAGGGATGAAAGCCTCTTGTCTCTTCGAGATAGACCTACCTATTGTATATTAACACTCACTTTGTCTCCTGACCCACCTGGATATGATGAGATTGGCCCGGGCTAGCGCCATTCCGTTTTTCTTTTTCTTTTTCTTCTTCTTTTGTCTTATTAGCGATTTGTGTGGCTTCAGTCATTTCTGGGTTTGCTATCTGGGGGGTGGACTAGACGCATTTGGAGGGTGGAACTAGCCCGTGGCCAGTGAAGAGGGACTATTATGATGTCGGCATAAATGAATCCTAGCAAGAAAGGGCATGACTACCTACTACCGACCCGCGTATTTTTCGGTCCGCCGCCTGTCCACTCAGGGACAATTTCCTAGAGAAGGGGAATCTGCGACTAAATCGATCTCGGCGATAAGAAAAATGAAGGATTGGATCGGCGAGAGTCGTCAGGCGCCATCGGTCATACCATGGACCTACTAGATACCTACCTAGTACGATACATACGGAGTACTGGTGCTCCGTAGTATAGTAGTCGTGCTATGGTACCCGCCATACGCCGGAGTGGTCCGTCGGGGTAAAAAGAGGGGGAGGACACCACGGAGTATTATCTACTATCAGTTCGACCATGTAGGAGTCAGTTCAAATCCGGCCATGATTGGCCGGCGTGCGCCTCGCCTCCTGCAAATGCCAGGTACTAACGGGCTTCTAATTATGATCGCTCCGTCGCATCCGCGCTGCTCCAATGGCATCCGTATCATATCTGTGGCACTGTGCAGCTTATCATCGGCTCACGGCAAGGGCCAGGGGCAATGCACCCTGGCTTTCCTTGATGGATGGCCGGCGATAACGCTTGAGCCTTGAATCAAGCTAGAACAGACTCTTCAAGCGGGATTGGCGGTCAGTTACCCCCATAGCACTATGCGTGAATGATACCATCAATCTCGTCACCAATCAATCCCACCGGCTGATCCATCCATGATTATCAGACTGAGTCGCACGCTGTCGGCAGAAGGCAGGCTAAAAAGGACCATGCCCACGGAGGACGTCCGTTTCGGCAACTCATGGCCATAGTGAACCCAGCTAGTCACTACTAACGTAGCATGCACCACCGATTGGAAATGGCCCCCCAGTTTATTTCTACATCGTACAAATACCCTCCTCGGCCCCGGGAGGGAGCATCGACATCGGCCGTTATATGCATCCTCTACAGGCATCAGTACCATTTAGTGCGTTCATTTTATGCATCGGTGCTTCCTCGAGAGCTTATAGCACTTAATCTCGACGCCCACTTGCATTTCCTGCCATAGCTCCTCAGGAAGAAACAGGTCGCGACATCGACTGAGAAGCTTTGTCCTACCTCGTCCCTAGGTCGAGAGAAACCCCATCCTAGGAGAGCAGACGAGCTGAAAGGATCCATCGAACTACAACACATCCCATAGAAGTAGCCGCAGCCATGTTGGCCTCCCTTTACGCCGCCTTCTGCCTGGGCTCTCTGCTATTCTCCCCAGCGCGGGCCCTCTTGGAGGTCTTCGAGGTTTATCAACCGGTCTCTATAACCCATGGCAGCGCTGGGTGTAATACAGAGGTTCTATTGATGGACCATGTGTTCGGCTATAGCTACGGGGAACCATATGTCGGTAAGGGGAAGCTGTTCCTGGGTAATCCAGTAGGATACTGATGTGAAACAGGGATCTACGAGCCACCAAACTGTACATTTGACACTGTTCGCATCAACTTCACTGTCACCTCCAAAGGCACGCAGTATGACCGTTTGGCTCTCATGTACCTTGGGGACACAGAGGTGTTCCGTACATCAACAGCGGAGCCATCAACCAATGGAATCATCTGGACTTATATCAAAGACATGTCACAGTTCAACGTGTTGTGGAAAGAGAAGCAAAAATTGATCTTCGACCTTGGAAATATCATCACTGACGTCTATACCGGGTCCTATAATGCCACGCTGACGGCATATTTCTCGTATGAGGGCAATGTCAAGACTCCTGATGTCATTCTTCCTATTTCTGCACGCAAATCAGGGCAGAATGCATCAAGCGATTTTGAGCTTCCAACAGATAATGCTACCGTGCTATATCAGTTTCCCCCGACAACCTCCCGTGCCGTTGTCTCTATTTCCGCATGTGGGCAGTCAACGGAAGAGTTCTGGTGGTCCAATGTCCTCTCCGCTGATGAGTACTCCTTTGATAACACTATTGGTGAGCTCTATGGATTCTCTCCTTTCCGTGAAATCCAGCTCTATATCGATGGCATCCTTGCCGGAGTAGACTGGCCGTTTCCCATCATTTTCACCGGCGGTGTCGCACCCGGCTTCTGGCGGCCCATTGTGGGGATTGACGCCTTTGACCTACGGCAGCCTGAGATAGATATCTCTCCCTTCCTCCCTTTGCTTACGGATAACCGCTCTCACTCGTTCGAAATCAGGGTCACAGGATTGAATGTTTCAGATGATGGAACAGTTACTTTTTCTAACACTGTTGGCTCCTACTGGGTGGTCACCGGCACCATATTCCTGTACCTAGATGATTCTGTGTCGCAATCAGTTACAAACTCGACGAACGGCCAAGCACCCGAGGTAATTGCACCAGCGCCAACTTTTGAGGTCACCCGGAATCTGGCCCAGAGTCGAAACGGGACGAACGAAACTCTATCTTACTCAGTCTTGGCCGAGAGAACACTTACCGTGCAGTCTTCTGAGTACTCATGGAGTCAGAATCTGTCGTACTCCAACTATGGTTCCTTGAACCAGCAAGGACTGAGCCAGAAGAACAACCAACAAACCTTCGGCCAAAACTCGATTTCACAGCTTACGGGGACCAAGACCACCGATGAGATTACGTTCGAATATCCCTTAATTTGTAACACGACATACGGACTGGAGGACGGGCTTTCCATTAGCGCTTTAATACGCAGAGGTCTGGACATCGAATCGACAGGTGGTCTCGGGGTTTCAACTTATACCTTCACCTCTGGGGCTTTGAATCTGCACACTGAGCAATGGGGTACGGCATATTATTATGAGTCATCGGATGATGAGGGCTCGGTCTCGACCGGTGAAACAACCGATGTCTTCCAAAGCAATGCTGGTGGAGTCCCATACTATCGCAGCGTCCGTGCGGTGAATGGCACCGTTGTATCCGACACAGACAGCTAGGTACGTACCTGGCACTTGCAATACTCGGTCAGGTATGCAGAGGTTGGAAGATTTGATCGGACTCGGAGGCGCCAAGTCTCAGGTACTAGTGGGATTGGAAATGGGATTGTAAATACAGTAACAGGGCTTATTATTTCGTTCTCTCAGACCTGCGTAGGCGAGAATTCTTACAGCCTCGGGCATCACTTCATGGTCGCGGGCGGAATAGCTCATCTCTGGCTGGTGATTGGACATGGACATCCTATCAACACGTGAGCCCTCTGATAAGATCCTCGTATCGATCTGACGCCCTGTATTGCCCGACTTCCATCACTCTCATATCGTGGCAATCAGAGGCGTCATAGACAGGAAGGTTCAGGATGGCCGTGGTGAAGGCAGAATTGTCTTATCCCGGTACTAATCATTAATTTGGTTCCAGGCGGATTGCCTCAAAGCCACTGCTAATTTCTCCATCCCAGGCAACGTTCCAGAATCATTAGCCACTGCCTTCGTCAGGCCTGGGCAGCCTGGGTCCTTTGATCATCCTAGCAAACGCCGCAAGCTGGCCTGGGCGCTTCAAAGCCTTAGACAACTAAACGGGCTGTCGGACTCACAAATTCCATTGGGTTATATACCGCTCGCACGTTTCCATTTGCACTTAGTATGTATTTTCTTATACTAACAGGAGCCGGCCTGACCCGGAGGCTCTTCCCACCAATGTAGCTGATGCCGGACAGAGCTTTGCGTCTGCTCCATATGAACATAGTAGCCCCACGGAACTGCTGCACACTGTACCTGTCACCCTTGAAGCTACTAGAGTTACTCGTGCCCAGGCTGGTACGGTCCAGAATGGACTTGCGCATGGGACCTACAACCTAGCAATTGTGACGCTTTCGGAGCGGGAAGTCGTCTTCACAGATGAGGTTTTTGATCCTGAAGCTGTTGAGCTTGGTAGTCATCTCTCACTTGCCACAAGCCTTCCTTCTGCCGACTGCTTTCACAGGAACGTCCCTTCTGTTTGTTACCAGGCTACTCTCCACCGTTTGCCTGATAGAAAAACATTTCATTTGGAAACAGTCGTCCTGTGGAAAGATTCAATCCATATCCCGGCGATCAACAAACTACCCGCTAGTTCATCAACAGTGTTCTCTAAGTATATTCTGCGAGAAGCAGATGATGATGTGGTACCCACGCAACTGCATAAGCATCGCAGGGAAGTAGGTGCCACGGGTTGGTCACCGCGTGACTTCTACGACAATGTCTACGTACCTCCAGACACCCCCGCGTCATCGGCAGAAATAAAATGTGGCCTTTTGGAATGCCAGCTTTTTCCCTTCCAAAGGAGAGCAGTCCGGTGGCTTCTGCAAAGAGAAGGCGTGGAGCTCCAACCAGATGGGCGGATTGTCCCCAGGAAGCAGGCTGTCAGTGGGAGCTTGCCACCATCCTTCATTCGAATCACCGATGCAGACGGGAGAATGTGCTTCGCAAGCCATCTGTTTATGACTGTGACTACCGACATCTCGAATTGGAATGCCGTGGAGAATACTCTCAAAGGCGGGGTATTGGCCGAGGAGATGGGTCTGGGTAAAACCGTTGAAATGATCAGTTTGATCTGCCTTCATCGCCGCTCGGTATCTTCAGATCGTCTAGATCAACACGGACGCGTCAAAAGCTTGAGGCCGTCAGGTGCGACCTTGATCATAACACCTCCAGCGATTCTTGAGCAGTGGAGACAGGAGATCGAATTGCATGCGCCGGGGCTGCGTGTATTTCACTATGAAGGTATCCAGCGTCATCAGAAAATACCAGATGCTGAACTGGTTGAGTTGATATCTGATCATGATGTTGTACTCACTACTTACAATGTCCTTGCCCGCGAGGTTCACTATTCTGGCGATGCGCCAAAGCGGAACCTACGACATGAGAAACGGTTTGAACCAAGAAGAACGCCGCTTGTTCAAATATCCTGGTGGCGGGTCTGCCTAGATGAAGCTCAAATGATCGAGAGTGGTGTTAGCAATGCTGCGAGAGTCGCTCGCTTGATTCCACGCCAAATGGCTTGGGCCGTGACTGGGACGCCTCTTCGTAAAGATATCGCAGACCTTCTTGGCCTCTTTCTCTTCCTTCATTATGAGCCCTACTGTGGTTTCATCTGGAATAGACTGTGCCTTTCATTCCGGCCAATTTTAGCAGGTATTGTTCATGGAATCGCTCTTCGTCATAGCAAAGATCATGTTCGTGGCGAACTTCGTTTACCTCCGCAGAAGAGAGTGATTATAACGGTCCCCTTCACGGCAGTTGAAGAACAACATTATGGACAATTGTACGAGCAGATGTGTGAAGATTGTGACCTTGATCTATCAGGAGCACCCCTGAGTGATGAATGGAACCCCAATGACCCGTCAGTGATCGAAAAGATGCGAAGTTGGCTGGTCAGACTTCGTCAATCCTGTCTTCATCCCGCGGGAAACAGCCGCCGGGGCTTAGGCATCGGCAACAATGGACCACTGCGGTCGGTAAATGAGGTGCTCGAAGTTATGATTGACCAGAACGACGTGCTCATACATGCAGAAGAGCGCTCGCTTCTCATGTCTCAGCTCCGGCGGGGACAGTTACTGGAGAATGCGATGCACAAGGATGAAGCGCTTGACCTTTGGAAAGTATCCTTGGAGCGAGCGAGCGCAGTTGTTCAAGAATGCCGGGATCGGCTGCAGGTAGAGCGCATGAAGAGTCAGGTCACCTTTGCAAATGATAATCAGGATTCTGTGTCAGTAGTCTTGACAAGCGACAACGAGGGCGACGAGGCAGAAACGAACGCACGCATCGGTACGCACCGCCAGAGATTGCGCATGGCTCTCGAGATTCAACATATTTGTATCTTTTTCACCGGAAACGCGTACTATCAGATCAAGTCGGACCCGAAGCTCACCGCACCTGACTCCGAACAGTATAAATCCCTTGAGAAACAGGAGGAGGAGGCGTATGCAACAGCGAAGGCCATCCGGAAGGAAATGCTGGTTGATATCTCCCGAAAAGTCACCCGTTCCATGAAAGACATAAAGGAGAAGTCCCAGAAGAGACAGTTTGTGACCATTCCCAATATGGAGCCCCAGATATATAGCACGGGCTTAGAGGGTCGTCGTGTTCTCGAGAAGTTCGAAGACTTCTGCGAAGCCATGAACCGGCATGCTACACAGTACGAGAGCTGGCGCCAAACTATGATAAAATTCCTCACTCAATCACTTATCGATCAAGAGGAAGAATCGGAACTCGAAGGTAACGAATACGAGAAATCTACCAAACATCAAGACGAAATGTACGTCTATATGGAAGCGTTGCGCGCCATGTTCGCTGACCGTCACGATTGCTTGACTGGACAAAAGAACGTCCTCATTGCTCATGAAGTTAAAGGAGGGATTATCCAAGCACATAAAGGGGAAGGCCCATCTCCAACCCTTTTCTTGGAAGTTATGAATTTACGCAGTAATATGAAGCCTGACCCGCAACTCGGCTCACTTCGTGGGATTATCAGCGAGCTTCGTAGCCTGACTATCTCCCTTGAATGGCAATCAAACGAAGGAAGTTCTCGAGCGCGTGCGGAGCTTGAAATCATCAATTTGGTGCTGAGAAATGCAAGTCAGATGTCCATTGAGCAATCCAAAGCTGTTTCCGGATTGGAGAGGGAGGTTGAGATGTTTCGAGATACGATGAATAACCGCCTCGAGTATTATCGTCAGCTACAGCAAATTTCTGATACCGTTGCGCCGTACGATGAAGAGAGTGTTGGCAAGCCCTTGGATGAGGTTCTTTTTACCTCAAAACTCGGGAAGGAAAGCGTTGTTGATGGGAAAATCTCTGCCTTGCGGGCAAAACGTCGGTATCTCATCCATCTTCGAGATGAGTCTGGCTCAGATGATTCGTCCAGAATTTGTGTCATTTGCCAGTCTGGGTTTGAAGTTGGTGAGTATCAACGTTGGAAAATCGTGCCAGGTCGTCCAGAAGCTAGCCTTACTAACTCCGAGTAGGGGTTCTGACGGTCTGTGGCCACAAGTATTGCAAAGATTGCTTACGGCTGTGGTGGCATCAACATCGCACATGTCCCACCTGCAAAAAGCATCTGAAAGCCAATGATTTCCATCAAATCACATACAAGCCGCAGGAACTTGTCGTGCAGGAAGAGAAAGCGCCGACCCGACTAGAGCTGGAACGCTCTTCAAGTAATTCTATATATGCTGGCATCAGCTCCAGCACGTTGAAAGAAATCAAAAACATTGACCTGGATACCTCCTTCGGTACAAAAATCGATACACTGGCACGTCATATCTTGTGGCTTCGGGAGCATGATCCGGGGGCGAAGTCTGTGGTGTTCTCCCAGTATAAGAACTTCCTCGAAATCCTCGCCAATGCATTGTCCCGGTTCAAAATCGGGTACAGCAGTGTTGATGGTAGGGATGGCATACGAAATTTTAAATGTGATCCAGCAGTAAGCCCTCTCCCCTCCGAACCAGAACACCAACCATTTACTAATGTCTGCTATCACTACACAGGTAGAATGTTTCCTCTTGCACGCCAAAGCGCATTCCTCGGGCCTGAATTTGGTGAATGCAACCCACGTCTTTCTCTGTGAGCCTCTTATCAACACTGCAATCGAGCTTCAGGCTATCGCACGTGTACACCGTATTGGCCAGCATCGGCCAACCACTGTTTGGATGTATCTCGTTTCCGACACGGTTGAGCAGTCGATCTACGACCTCTCCGTGTCGCGTCGTCTAGCCCACATCGTGCAGAAAGAGCAAGGACAGGAGGCACCGTCTGCCAAGCCTTCTGATGATGGTGCCGATATCCAGTATCTCAGCGAGATAGCAATCGATTCGGCCAATTCCTTGGAACTGCAAGATGCAGCACTTTCAAAGCTAATGGCAGGCGGTGCATCCGGCGGTGAGCTGGTGAAGAAGGATGATTTGTGGCAATGCCTTTTTGGCAATACGAGCCACAATAAGCCAGCCAATAGCCATTTGATCAATGCTGAAGGTGAAATTGCAAGGTTTCTGAGGGGCGAAGCAGCTGAACAGAGGAGAGCGCCACCCGCTCACCCATAACGTATCATGAATCTCACCTTGGTCATATATCACATGAAGTCAATATGACTCCTGTCAGTTCTTCAAGATTTATCTAGTACGTATATATTATATATCTATTTTCGTATTCGTTTCTACGTTCTGGTTTATAATAAGTGGGGAAATACATCCATATTGAATATTCCAAAGCGGCCGGTTACCAGTTTAGATACATACGGTAACTACCTGAACCCCGTATGCTGACTAATAGGAATCTTTCCCCAATCGGGGTGTTATCGTGGCCTCGGGTTTGGCGGCGGTGACGTTGGAACGTCTGCCTTGAGCCATGGCGTGAGACCCTCCCTCACTTAAAATTCCTCTGCATACCCCGGGAGCTTTTCTATACTCATATATCCACTTCCATACCAATGTGGGATGTGAATTAATTCCTTTGACTTTCCAGTTTACCTTCATCATGGCTACAGAGGCTACGCCAGCAAGCTCCGAAGCTCGCGAGTTGAGCTTGATATCCAAGGTTGAGCTTAGGATTGCCCTGGCGGACACCGATGCCAAACTTGAGCCCCTTCTCAATACCTACCTGGCACCATTATTGCTCAAGTTGGGTTCTGAAAATCTTGCTGTTCGCAATAAAGTAATTGCAGTGTGCCAGCATGTCAACACTAGAGTCCAAGCCCCGTCCATTAAGCTGCCCGTGGCGGCTTTGCTCAAGCAGTTCAAAGAGCAGAAGTCCCAGCTTATCCGACATTTCGATCTGATATATATCCAACAAAGTATTGATCGTCTGGGCTCAGACGCAAGAGTCGAGGTCCTGCTTCCCCTGCTCCAGGGCATTTCCGAGATCGGAACATTTGGCAACCAAGCTGCCGTGGTATTTAATCTTGTCCTGCGGCTCCTACCCTTGCTCAAGTTACCGCCCAAGGATAGCGACGATGATGTGCATTTGAAGTCTCGATTAGGTTTGTCCGACCGAGACACAAGGTTTCTGTCGGCATGGTTCGAGAAATTGCTGCTTCTGTTCCCCGCAGATAAGAGTTCGCCGACCTGCCCCGGGTTGTCTCCTGCAGATTACATATTCTTGAACAAGGGTGCACCTGTAAACGAGACATGGAACCCATCTTCACAGGGTGGCCTGAATTTGACTGAGACAAAAGTCAAAGCCCTGAGATTTCTCGCGAGTGGAGCTTTCAGTCACACAGAGCGGTTCTTACCTGCTCTAATTGCTTCTGCAGATGCGAATTCTCGCCTTTCCGATATTGGGGAAGAGCTTCTCAAGAGATTCGTCCCCGACTTGGAGGCGCCAGATGTTGTACAGCAGCTCTATGGCTTGTACTTTGGAGCTGCAACGCCTGACGGTGCACCGCCGGCGCGACCTGCTCTGCAGACCAGAATTCTGACCTTTCTCGGGAAATCAATTAGAGCAATAGGGGATAGATGGAGAGTTATCCGGGTGATCGAAGAAGGCCTTTTGTCAGATGCTGCAAGGTCTTTCAAGGGATTGCAGGCCCCAAAATTGAGAACACAAATATTCAACTTTACCACCTGGGTCGTTAGAATGGGTTCTCCATCTGATCTTGAAGAAATGGCACCTAAGCTTATAACAGGCTTACGGGACTTCATCCAGTCTCAAGGATGGCCGAGCCCCGGGGCTAGCGGGCAGAAGCTTCCATCTACGGACCTGAGTCTACGGGGTCTTGCATACGAAAGTATCGGTATTATGGTTCCCAAGGCGAACTTTGCGGTGTATGATGGGCAGGAAAGCCTCTCTGGCTTCGAACTTATTCAATGGCTATTCACTTCATTAAACTCCGATGACTCGAGCTCTCAGATCTTTGTGAGTATTGAACAGGCCTTAGGAAGTATCCTCAACTCCTCGATAGATAGTTGGGACAACGATTTCCACGATCAATTGCGGCCTTTCCTCGTTCGGCAGATGAACAATTACCCGGGAGGAGAGGATTTAATGACCGGGTTCAATGTTGTTCGCGGTCCCCAGTACGCTGCCGTACGTTTTGCGAACAGGTTTTTACCATACAATGATGTTGTTGCACGCTGGATTGACCTCATGGCAATTGCAAGCGGGTCAGAAAACCGTCAGGAAGTAACGGAAGAAGGGAGAAAAGGCCTGCATCCATTTTGGCACCGGCTTCTGCGTCCTTCTTACGACAGACAGCCGGCTACTTTGGCATCTAGGGACTCTACATGGCATGATTTCCCAAAGTTTTCGGAACTCTCTCGTTTTCTACTTGGCTCGGCAACCTCAAATGGAGTGTCAGGTTTGTCTGCCTCGGAAATTATATCGGGATCCTACAGGAATGCTTTTGCTTCCACGGTTTCGTTCATTCGGAGTGTATTGCTCTGGGAGTCACTTTCCGCTTCTGATACCGGTATTGAAATAGACCAAGACTGGGACACGAAGCTTGATGTGATGCTTACATCCGATGAGCAAGCACGATCGTCCTTGAAACGGTACATTCGAATTGCCGATAAAGAAGCCATTGTTCTCTTTCTAAACAGTGCTTTGGCTGGCCTCGCCCGTGAGAGCCGGGAGGGCCTGCAACAATGCGGAGTGCATTTTGTCAATATTTGCTCTTTGGCCTCAAATGAAATTGTCGAGTCGGTCGTTCCACAGACGCTGGTGCTGAGAACTTCGTTGAAGAGCAACGACCAAGATATTCAGACTATGGCCGCACGTGCAATTGGAATTCTAGCATCCCATCCTTCCCTTCCTGAGAACGACCTCATGACACTGATCGCAGAGTGCTTGGATCGCATAGCGTCATGGAACTCCGCAATCGGGGAAGTTGCACTGCAGGTTCGAGGGGCAGTGTTGGCACTGTCGTATATGTTGAGCAGGCTTGCTTTCCGCAACATGACAATCAAAGTGGCTAATGCACATGTGGATCAGTTTGTCCATACTATTTGTGAAATGCTCGAAAGCGCGCGCGATTCACTTCTTCGGCGTTCTGCACAGGTAGCAATTGGGCAGCTCAGTCTCTCTGGAATCTTGTCATATTCTATGCTTTCGGATGTTAAATGGAAACCGATCCGAGAAGCCCTGGTACGGGATGCGAAGGCCGAAAGCGAAACGGCTATAATATCATTGGGACATCTATCCCTCACTTTCCCCGAGTATGGCTCTGATGATTCACATTTCAGTGCCCTCACAGGTGCCCTCTATGCTCTACATGAGATTCGCAGCCCTGAAATACATTTCACCGTCGGCGAAGCACTGAGCAATGCTGCAGCGGGCTGGAATTCTAAATCATTGGGCCCCGAATTTGATGTGGATGAAGAGTCTCCTGTTTCGAAGGTACCGGAATCCGTGGTTGCTGATGTGGCCGACACGATAATAGCAAATTGCGGTGCACCGAAACCGTCCCTCAAAAGGGCATCTGCTATTTGGCTGCTGAGTCTGATCAAAAATTGTGGCCATTTACACCCAATGCAAGCACGCCTGCGTAAATGTCAGAGCTCATTCAGCAACTTGCTTGTTGACCGGGATGAGGTGGTCCAGGAGACCGGTGCACAGGGATTGAGTATTGTATACAGCATGGGTGACCAAGGACTGAAGGATGATTTGGTACGCGACCTAGTCAACTCATTCACCGAGAACAGTTCAACCCTCGCAGGTGGCAAGGTTAGCCAAAACACCGAGTTGTTCGAGCCTGGGGCCCTCCCAACTGGGGGCGGTTCCTCAGTCAATACCTACAAAGACATAATGAACCTTGCATCCGAAGCCGGTGACCCAACCCTTGTGTATCGCTTCATGTCTTTGGCTTCGAACAATGCCATTTGGACGAGCCGGGCCGCATTTAGCAAGATGGGCATCAGCAGTATCTTTTCTGACTCTAGTGTCGACGGTTATCTGGCGAAGAATCCCAAGATCTATCCCAAGCTATTCCGCTACCGGTTCGACCCGAATCCCAATGTCCAGCGGTCGATGAATACCATTTGGCGGTCCTTGGTCAAAAATCCTATGGAAGTGATCGAGGTTCATTTTGATGAGATCATGAATGACTTGTTGAAGAGCATGTTGGCCGGTCGGGAATGGAGAGTTAGGCAGGCAAGTTGTACTGCAATCGCGGACCTGCTTCAGGGACGCCAACCCGAGAAATACGCCACGTACATGGACGAAATCTTTACCAAAGCCTTTAAGCTCTTGGATGATATCAAGGAGACCGTCCGAGTGTCAGCATTGAAGCTTTGCCAGACCATCACCAACGCTATCATTCGCACGCTGGAGACAAGTGACACGGACACCAAGCGGGCCGATACTATGCTTCGAAGTGCCATCCCATTTCTGTTGAGTGACAAGGGCATGGAATCCGGAGTTGAAGAGGTCCAAGGATTTGCCATTGGGGCTTTGATCCAAATGATCAGGAAAAGCCCTGGTAGTCCACTGCGACAATTCATACCCCGCATAATGGAGCAGTTTCTAAATTCCCTGAGTTCCCTGGAACCTCAAGCGGTCAACTATGTTCACCTCAACGCCGATAAGTATGGACTGACAGGCCAGGAAATCGACAAGATGAGACTGTCTAGCATTCGCACCTCTCCTATGATGGAGGTCATTGAAAGATACCTCGTCGATATGTTGGATGAGCAGAGCATGAAGGAATTCGCGGCCCAGCTTGAAGGCGTGTTGCGCTCGGCTGTTGGGCTTCCATCGAAGGTCGGCTGTAGCCGTGTTTTGGTTCTCCTGAGTATGCGATCCATGCTTTTCCGTCCTTATGCAGATCGTTTCATACAGCTCCTCGGGAAATACGTGGTCGATCGCAACGACACTGTCAGTGCATCGTACTGTACATCCATAGGCTACCTCCTTCGTTTGGCCTCGGATGGCCGAGTCCTGAAAACAATCGAACACGCCAAAGAGCTATACTTGACCGCCGAGGACACCAACCAGCGGGCCATTTCGGCAGAAATCTTACAAGCTGCTTCGAAGTTATCCAACGACCGGTTCATGGCATTTGCTACGACTGTGCTACCGTTCATCTTCGTATCGAAGAGTGACTTGGACGAGCATGTTAGAGAGGTGTTTGAGAAGACATGGCAAGATAATGTTGGTGGCAACCGCACAGTATCCCTCTACATCAGGGAAATCACGGACCTTGTCTCCAACAATTTAGATTCAGCTCGTTGGGCTATCAAGCATACGGCAGCTCTGGGGCTTGCAAAGGCTATCATGTCGCTGGACTCTGAGATTGATCTCCCAACTAGTGAGTATATATGGCCTGTACTGGAGAAAGCTTTGGCCGGAAAAACGTGGGACGGCAAAGAGGTTGTCCTAGAAGCCTTCACGAAATTTTCAAGCCAGGCGAAGAGATTGTGGCAAGAGAAACCAACGTTCAGTGAGACAATGAAGGTATGCCTTTCTCTCCCCCGTCTCTCGCTTCAATAGGCGGAATCCTGATCGCCGTTTCAACCTTCAAGACTATTGCCATCAGGGAAGCGAAGCGGAATAATCCCACATATCGCCCGCATGCGCTTATTGCTCTCGGGGGAGTGTCTCAAGCACGCAAAGACCTAGAGCTCCTGCCAGATGCCATGAGCATTGTCACCCGAGTGCTAGATGAGGCCGAAGACCAAGGGGAACCGATGGATGTAGATTCAGGAAAGGGCCAAAAACCCAAGTAAGTTTCCTATCCGTGTCTTGTGTTCAATCGGCCTATTTTTCCTTGATTGCTTCTCCTATTGGGATTACTTTGATTGGTCGTGGCTGTTGGACCTGGGCGCAGAAGGAAGTATAGGGGCTGTTCCTCTGGATTCAGGGACGATGTACGGCAGGTGCTGATGATTCTGCAGACAGACCCTGGATGACACGTTGGCGGCTTGTGTGACATGCCTTTTACAATGCCTCAGTCCTACATCGCATACTTCGGCAAAGAGTGGGTTCTCTTGCAGTCAGCCGATTTCCGATCATAGACGTGCTAACGAAGGACCAGCCATCCACGGACATCTGGAAACGTCGAGGCCGGTGTTGCACAGGGCGGTGGGCCATGGGGGTAGAAACGTGCAGGTTACGCTGTACCGACAGCTGCGCGCACTATTTGACCAAATCGGGACGTGGGCATCGGAACGGAGTGGCGAATCCGATCTACGCGGGCCCCAGGAACCCTTGGCGGCGCTAGCCGGTGAGATGTTCTCCCAGGAGATAGACCTCTCCGTCGAAGCCATTCGCAATGAGCGTGCCCAGGCAGTAGTCGCCTATGTCGAGCTCTGCGGGCAGGCTGGCCTTCCGATCGACGAGGCACTCCAGCTCTCGCTGAAGAGCTGGCGGGAAGACGAGAGGTCGGGACCAGTACGACAGATCCTAGATCGGGCACTCGTCAAGCTGCGATGACTCCTGTGACATGGATTCATATGCGGGGAAGAATGTCTCAGGTCGGAAAATTGATCATGGGACGACTAGCGTCGGTACGGCATGGATCCGAAGCATGCATGTAGCCAACTCGCCATGTATGTGCTCAGCTCCAGTCGGTATGAGGTAGTACGGTATTGTCAGGAACTGTCCGTCCCAATCAGGGCTCTTGCACTAGAAAGGGGGTGGATCCATGGTGCCAGCATCGGGGGGGGGGGGTTTTCAGACGGTGCCTTGGGCAGGAATACCTAAGTAGATAGGCACATAAAGTGCATGGCACCCAACTTTAACTTGCCTCTGTAGCGTGATGCAGGCCTGCGCCTGACCAATCACCCCAAAACCAAGCCACCACCGGCCGGAGAAGAAGATGCCCGTCCCATGGAAGATTTGAAAAACTGGAGGAAGGGGTGGGAGGCGGTGACCGTCTTGTTTGCTTTGGACAGACATAAGTGGTGAGGAAGCGGCGCTTCATGCGGACATCCCGAGGATCTAGATTGGCCCAGGCGAGTCTGGCAGAAGGACCAGACTAGTGCGGATTAGCGCCCTGGTATTGGTACGGATCAAACCGGTATCTGCGACTTTATCTCCGGTGGCCGTCAACTGAACATACGTCGTACGGCTCTGGTAAGTACCAAATCGGTACGTCTCCCATACGGCGGCGCCACGCATGGCGCAAGTCTGGTCCGGGCCGGCATTTAAAGCCGTCCACCCATCCGACGGATCAGCCAGGGGAACCTGAGCAATTATTATGTAAGACTGCTTTAAGGTTGTTGTGGTTTGCGTTCACTCGTTCAGCTCTGTACTGTCTAGTCTCTACACAGTACTAGTGGTAGTAGACTATCACCAGTCCAGTCCAGTCACCCACCCAGCGACTGGTTCGGCCCCGAGAATATAACGTGAAGTGGCCGAGAACGGGCTTGATTTCTCAAACCCTGGCCGGACATGGCCCCCATATTGGTTGTCTCGAGTCTCAATGTGGATGCATGGTCCGATACCAAAACCCGACCACTCCAGTGACCACTGACCACTGACCAGATGAGACAGATCATGACTCGTCCCCCCTCCCCGTATACCGGCGTGGCCGAACTCACCTGACGCCCCAAATTCAGCCTGAACCGTGGGCCCTGGTCTATATTCAGGTCGCTACTATAGCCTCAAAGTGTTCGTCGACGAACCTATCAATCGTGATAAGTGCGAACAGATCAGAAACCAACGACAACTGTGATGGAGCAGATCATGCTCCACTGGGGTCTCCTGCCTGATTGGGTGCCACCAAGGGGGTGGATCAGAGTTGGAGGGTTGAGAGGGGAAGGGGGAAAATAGCATTCTTGCCATTCTCAGTGCCAGCTTCATGCCTCTCTCGCCCCAGAGCTTTATTTTTAATCTTCCTTTTTTTTTTTTTTTTTTTTCTTTGGTTTCGCTCCCCTCTGCCACATGGTTGGCATCTGCACTCCATGGTCTAGGTCGAAATGGGTTCACTGGGGCTAGAAACTCTCGCCCAGGTAAGGGCTAAGAGCCTACGTACCTATCTAGTACGTACGGTAAGAGACCTTCTTGATCACACAACCAAACATGCCATGGCGTCAGGTCCGCAGCTTAGTAGTAGGTCGAACTTGGGCGCAGCCTCCTTATTCGCCTGCTCCCCCTTCGCCGTCCACCCTGTCCAATTCCATCGGAGCCGCCACTGTGGACAGGGCTGGCTGATGATCCCAGAACGCTTGGGTTCTGCATCAGCTCCTCTGTACCTTATCCTATCTTTCCTTTCTCCCATTGCTCTTCTCGCCGTTTCGACAGTCTCCAGTCTATCTTTCGTTCCAATCTTCTCCTTCTCCTTCTCTTCTTTTTCCCCCCCTCTGTTTTATTTATTTTTATCTTTTTAGACTTTTTCGCCTCTGATTTTTCTAGTCTCTATCATTCGTCCCACCTATAGATATCTAGTCCCTTTTCAGGATGCATAGACGATGCTTCCGATTCTGTTTATCTTCCTCCGTGATCCCCGACTCCATGGCCTCTAGTCTTTCGACCATGGTCGGTTGCCTTTGTCTATAGTGATCACATTGACTTCTTCTCTCTTCTGCCCTTCTTCTCTTCAGTTTCTTTCCTGGTCTGCATTCATTCCGGAGATAGTTGTGAAAGCACATAGTATGGGTGCCTGTTCTGCTGTCACCATCCAGGCACCTTTGGTTAATGCAACCTCCAAAGCAACCACCTCCATGGCCGCTGTCAGCATTTCGATGACAAACCGGTCTATGCGGTCCTCGAGGAAGCCGCCTTTGCGACTGCCTATAATTGCCCCCAAGAATAGTCTCATGGGCCCCAGCCCTGGCTTTGATGTTCCGACCACCAAAAAGGTTACGATCCGTCAGCACCGGCTCCGCTTCCCACCCCGGTCCCGAACTGGTTGCTGGTATGTCCGTTGGCGGGGAGAATATCTTCATTGCCCGTCCTGGGGTTGTCTCTGATGTCATATTACCTTCTTAGGACATGCAGAGTGAGCCCAATCTTTCCGTGCCGAAAGCAGTTGTCCCCGAAGCGTCGTACGGTCTCGTGCTAACTTGTTTGCTTTCCTCGGAAGTAGAGCCGCAAGGGTGAGTGGCTTAGTGGCTCCCTGGGAGAGCTTTTCCGTTCTGCCTACTCCAATGCGATTGTATACTGATCCTCGTGGTAGTCAAGTGCGACGAAGTCCGCCCTCAGTGTAATGTACTTACTTTTTAACCGACGCCCATCGTGGACTCTGCTGGGTTCTAGGCTAACCTTCGCTGGTCTAGCAATGCGCTCGTCTTGGCCATGTGTGTGACTACCGGCCTCGATTGTGCTTCCGAGATGATACCCGTCGGGTCAGAGAGCGTATGCTGGATGTGAGGACGGTGGGCAATGTGGTCTGGGACCGTAAGAAGCCTCGGTATCCCGTATCCGTTTAATTCACCTCTAATGGGCTCGGACTCTCCTGTACAGCGAAATTGAGGACAAGCAACACCCCCCCGGCGACTGGTGATCTACTTCCGCCTTTTGCGGCCCTCACCTCAGATGAGGAGCGGGAGCGAAAGGCACAGGCATCGATTCCCGGCACTTACCATGTGGTTGCCATCCCTGAGAGCTTCTCTCAGCTCCCTGAGTATATGGGTGAGACGTCGGAAGTAAATGCGGGAATCAGTGCCACCCTGGAAATGGGCAATGGCGACCATTCCCAGGTGGGAGATGGTAATTCGGCCTACGGGCCAAATGTCGTCGTATTGAAGAGTTTCAGATCCGCGCGAAGACATTTCTATCCCGACCGAAGAAGCACGCCTCAGTCCCCGATTCCGACCAGGGGAGTTTCTCGTTATCTGCGCCTTCGGTTTCGGAGCTGATCCCAGACTATCCAGGCGACAGCATGCCGCATATGCAGGAAGGCCTCGACCTGCTGCTCCTTGACCACTTTCGCAATTTTGTGTGTCTGCAGCTGATTCCAAAAGATGGGGTGTTTAACATCCATGGTTTGGATGCGGCCGTCTTCGAACGTGAAGCGTCGAGTTTCCCTCCCGTATGTGATCCTTTCAAGCATGCCATGTCGTGCGTCGAAACTAATTACTAGGCTAATAGCTTTACCATGCAATGATGGCTCTATCCGTGCTCAGTCTGGTTCGCCAAGGGGTTGGTCAACACATCGATGCTTCCTATTACTATAATCAGGTTGCCTCCTCCCACGGTAGCGTCTGCGGTAATGAAGATTTCTTGTCAGATGCAGTCTACCTGACTCATTTTCTCCTGCTCATCTACGAGGTTGGATTTCCCCGTGAGCTCCTTTCGGCACATTCTTATACAATGGGGGCTAACTTTGAATTATCTAGGTTGTGGCAGCCAAACCCGGTAGTTCAAATCGTTGGTCGCACCATGTCTCCCGGCTGCTCCATTTGATTTTGCTCAGGCAATCAATACCAAGGGCGGAACGATTCCCTGGCATAGCTTGGTGGGTTTGCCACATGGATCTATACTCGCTAATGGGCGGCGCAGGCACTGGGGAATTTGTCCGCGCCGTCCTTGACAACCAGCTGCTACTGGAACTACAGTCCCTCTGCTACCTTGTTGGGCCCGACGGCTCGCCTTTGATATACGCCGATGGCAGCTTACCCATGATCATGCGCTTATACTATGACACGTTTGTCCTAGCCATCCGGATCGGACTTCTTGCCGTCGAAACTCGAGGGGCCAAAGGACCATATTTCAATAATTCGAGCTCACAGCAACAGGGACTCAAGGAACTACGCGAATTGCTCGTTCGACTATGGGGCCATGAGGAGATTGGATATCTGTTCCAGAACCAAGCCAGTCTTCCACTGCGATCACAAAATTTGTTGCAACAAGTGAGCCCGTCTCCTCTATCTCCCCCTTCTTCCACCCCCTTGACCAGTTGATGCTAACGACTAAGCTATCCAGCTTGCTATCTTGTTCCACACCTGCCTGCTTTTCTCCTTCACCAGCCTTTGGTCGGGACAGCGGTCGGAACCCGGGGCTGCCCCTGACGAGGAAGTCCACCACCACGCCGCGCAAATTCTACAAATCGTATCGGCGATGATCGAAAAGGGCAGCGGAGGGGACCGGCGATTTACAGCGTTCCCGATTTTCCTGGCAGGCGCTGTGGCCCCGTCGAGCGGGCTGAAGATGATGGCGTTGGAGCTACTGTCGAACCTGGAGGACCACGAGATTGGGTACAACGCGGCGACCACGTGTCAGATGTTACAGGTGTTTTTTGAGCAGCAGATCCAACATTCCCGGCGAGGGGGGCATGCGCTCGAGATCGAATGGGTGGAGGTGCTAGCTGAGCACGGGCTGCAGCTAGTCAACTACGGATGATGGGTCTTGGGGGGATCAAATTTTGAGAAGTCGGGGAGGAGTTGAGTCGGAGTCGGGCGTTTTTGCGATTGTTTTCAGGAAGGCGGAAATAGATGGCTCGTACATGCCAGTGCCTTCGAGCTTTTATAGTCTCACGACATGAAAGACCCTGGCGATCAACCAGGCAAGGCTGATCGATTCAATATCCCTACCTATCTATCTTCCATACTACACAGCCGATCAGATCATCAGGTATTAATTAAGGTACCGCGGCGGGCCGATCCCGATGTCGGGGGGGAACTGGCAGGGTCCACCGGCGCTGAAGGAAGGATGCAATCTGCAACCTGCAACCTGCAACCGGCAACCGGCAACCGGCCAGCTGCCAGGCACCGACAGGACTTAGAAAGTAAGTACTAGGGACTGGAACATCGCGACAATCGTCCTTCCTGCAGCCCGTCCAAGAGATAGCCGGCCATGCTGGACGGCCATTCGCCGAGGGGAGCCCCTCTGGCGCCCGAGGGGCCCTGGCGCTGGGCCAATGATGCGCCGGCCACTTAACCCCCCCGGCGGCTAACTGGAGGGCGAGCAGCAACTGTGTGAGTCCAATGCCTCTCTCTCTCTTTTTTTCCCCCTTCTCCTCCTGCTGCTCTTTTTCTCGACATAGTCTTCTCCTTCCTTGGTCGTCGTGCCTGCGGCTTCTTGTTGCTTTGGGAGGGCCGGAGCATGATAGACAGCCGTCTACAGTCGATCCCAGCTAGTGAGAGTCCCTCCCCCGCATCTCCATGACCTGCTGCTTCTTCCTTTCCCCTCCCCGCCTCGCATTCATTCTTGGTTGGGAATTCTGTTCACTCGGAGTAGCTGACTCGATTTGCTCTTCAGCCACTTATCATCTCGTCTCTTCATTCCCGATTCAGTCACCCTCCTTAACTCTAGGGCCGCAACCCGGGCTCATCGTGCAGAATGAATCCCGGTGGAAGCCGTCAGGGCCAGCGCTCCCAGGAGGAGCTTTTCCTGAATACCACCTCGGGGCAGCTGCAGGCCGACTCACCCATCATTGAGCCATTGCGGATTGGCAAGCGAGACACGCCTTCCCCGGCTTCGTCGCACAGCGCCCCTCTGCCCTACCCCGACGATAGACAGAGGCCTCAGCAAATCCGTAGCTCAGGATCCAGTGGCTCCAGTCCAGTCCCTCAAGGCGGAGTCCCCGGGGACTCTCCCACAATTCCCAGTAGTATGTCGGCGGGTTCCGGCGTATCTCATCACTCGGACTATATGGCATCTCTGCGACTGCGTGAGCCCAAGCAAGCCACCCTAGCTGAACGACGCGGAAACGTTCCGAAGCCATTGCCCGAATCTCCAGCAGGGGACTCCCCGGACAGAGAAGGGCTGTTTTCCCGGTTCCATCAACGCCTGCCGGCGCTCGCAGCTCCTGCAACAGGTGCCCAGTCCCAACCCACCGGATACCCTGACCACCGCCAGCAGTATTTCCCGCCTCCTCAAGCCTTCGCCAGACTAGCAGCTGCACAGAATCTACAGCCACAGAATGGCGCAATTAATCGGATAAGTTCGACGGCGTCGAACTCGACCACTCGTGCTCAGCGCGGCTCTCCACCACCACCAGAAACGCCGGTGGTCGAGCCAGGGCAGCATGCGACGTCCGACATCGAAGCGCGGTATGCGGCCTCGGGGATTGCAGGCACTTCGACGTTAGCAGGCCTGCAGGTTCAGAGTGCGGCTGCTCAAAGAAGAGCCGAACAGTATGCCGGTCAGCAGCCCAGAAATCAACAGCCGGCACCTCCAGTCCCAAGGCCCTGGACACCGACGGAGCAGCCGGGGACCCAACCACATGGGCCCCCCACGGTCTACCAAGGCGCCGGGGTTGTGTCTGAGGAAAACCCTCCGGCAAGCCCTCTGCCTACAGGGGTTTCCCCACAGACACAGTCAGCCCCCCAGCTCGGCAGGATTCCCCCAAACGCACTTGAGCAGGACTTGGAAAGAATGCGCATAAGCTCCTCGCCTCCTCCAGCATATTCGAGTGTCCCAGGACCCGTTCTATCACAAGGCTATCCGAATGAGAAACAGCGTGTTCCAGCATCGACTGGCCAGTCCTCCTCGATGGGGCATCCGGCGACCGCCAGTCCGACGAATGGTGCTACAGAGACGAATGGCGCCGCAGTGACCAGTGTCCCATTCGTATCGGCTCATGATCACCCCGCATTCGCAAACGAACCAAAGCAGCAGCAGCAGCAGGCGCAGAAACAGTCCCCGTCGCTGCAGCCGCAGCCGCAGCCGCAACCGCAACCGCAACCGCAACCGCAACAGCAGCCACAGGAGTCGAGACACTCCCCCCAAAATGCTATTCAAACTCCGCTTCAAAATGAGAATCATCCAATCTTGCAACAGACTATCGTTAGCGCGCTACCAACCTCATCGGCGCTTGCACCATCCTCACCTCCGCCACTGCCGGAGGGCTGGATTGCTCATCTTGACCCGAACTCAGGCCAATACTACTATATCCATCTACCCACTCAGTCCACTCAGTGGGAGTTCCCTAAGGGGCCCACGCCTTTGAACCTGAACGAGACTCCGCTATCCCCGGTATGCAGCGTGTATAGCAGCCATCCTCTGGCGTCGCCCTCCTTATCGACGTTCGCCAAGCCCTTGACGTCCCCTGGTCTTCCCTTGACACCGGGATTTGAGAGCCTGCAGTCGCCAATCGTGACAGGGTTCACTGGCCCCCCGCCGGTCAGTGGAATTGACATGTATAAAGTGGCACCGACGAACGGAGTCTACTTTGGCCCGTATCTCCGCTACGCCAACATGGATGTGGAGCGTGGTATCTGGCTAGGCTCCATTCTCTTGGTGACCGATGCTGCCCAGCCTCCCACCATCCACCTTCATCAAAGCATCGATCTGTCTCCGAATCCGCGCCAGCTGAAAGCCGTGCCCATCGCTGTTCATCAGCGGTGGACGTTCTATAAGTACGAAATTGATCTACGAATGGAGGAGACTGGCCCTGCCAAATGGACTTACGCCATTACCTCACACCTTGGTTGCACGCGCTACGAGTTTCTGGTTGCTGGACGATACGAAACCGGCTGGCGCTTCATCACCACTTCAGGAAACGATTTTTCGCTGAATGTGAACGCGAACGAGCGATCCCGCCTGGGGGGGGTCGGGTTCATGTGGAAAGATATCATGCACAAACATCTTGAAATCGGAGGGTTTCATGTCCAGCTGGGCCTGGGAGGTCAAATCTACGCGGATCGGATGTGGAAGGAGGTTCCATGCCTCAAACAGTGGCTGGCGATGAGTGGAAAGGAAATCCGGAAAAAGACGCCCTGGACCACCGCCCACGAAGAGGACGTGTCTCATGCGTACTTCCATTACTATACGAGTCATTTCGATCAGCCGTATCTGAGAGAATCCTTTGCTCAGATCCCCTATGTTTGCCAGATTGACGATCATGATATGTAAGTCGGCGCCTTCCCACTGGAGTGCAAATATTAACGCATGCAGTTTCGATGGCTTCGGCTCATATCCGGAGCATATGCAGTTTTCAAACATGTTCAAGAACATCGGACGCGTGGGGACGGAGATGTACCTGCTTTTCCAGCACCATACCACGCTGGACTTACTCCGCAATTCTCGGACCGACCTCGATCTGTTCACCATCACCGGGACTGGTTGGCATTTTGTCAAATACCTGGGGCCCGCCGTGGTTGCCGTCGGCCTGGACTGTCGCTCGGAGCGCAATCCGCACCAGGTCGTAGCTGGGCCAACCTATCAAGGCATATTCCCCAAGATTGCAATGTTGCCTCCAACCGTCCAGCATTGTTTGTGGATGCTTTCGGTACCCATCATCTACCCGCGATTAGAGACGGCAGAGCACATTGCGCACACCGTTGCGACGGGAAAGAGGGCCGTCACAGGGGCATACAATGTACTCGGGAAAGTCACGAGCTCCGTGGCTGGCGTTGTTGGGGCCAAAGACATGGTAGGGTCTGGATTCGATTCGGTCAAGCGTGCTGTAGGCAAAACCGGCCTCATGGGCGGAATCCTTAGCCCGTTTGGCGAGCTTGACCTCCTGGATGAGCTCCGGGATCAATGGACTCATGAATCCAAGGTATGTCGACCTCATGGGCATCTCTGGACCCCACCAAGACTTAACCACCTGTACAGGACCTTGAGCGGACCTACCTCATCCGTACCCTTCAGGGTATTGCGCATCAAAAGTCGCTGCGTATGACGTTCCTCTCTGGCGCCGTCAATGCCTGTGGTGCTGGGCTGGTGCATGATCCATCGTTTCCATCCAACCACAAAACCATGTATCAACTCATCTCGTCCCCGGTGGTGAACAATCCTCCCCCATCATATGTCATCAAACTTCTCCACAGCAGCAACAAGCCTCTGTATGTTCCTGCGAATGGCCAACGCTCGGCGCCTTCAAAACCAACCGACACCAAGGAGGACATGCTGGAACTTTTCCAGTCCGATGTGACAGGACAGCCCCGTGAGCACCGGAAGCTGATGGGCCGTCGAAACTATGTGGCCATTGTTGCCTATGATCCGGATGTCGTGAACACGATGTATGGCCACACGATTGCATCCCAGGGAAGTGGGAAGTTGAACCTTGCCGTCGACTTCATGGTACAAGGCGATGGGACCTTTGGCACGGTGGTAAAGTATGGGCCTGTGATTGTTCCTAGCTTGGATCCGGGAAAGTGAATGGCAAGGACGGATGCTTGAGTGCCATTTTGGAATATGTTATGAATTTTGATGGGACTTTTTTTAGGGCAGTTTTTCTTTCTTTTTCTCTTTTTTCCCATGTTTCTTTCTTCTTGTTTTTCTTTGTTTCTTACTTCTTCCTTCTCTCTGTCATTCAACATGTTCGTCTTATCCCAACCATTCATGTACAAGCGCGTCGATATACCTATCAATTTGTTTCTTAGTTCTCTACATGTCACTGCTATTATGCAACAATATCCTACTGATCTCGCATCCATCTTATATCCAACCCTTCCTACTCCCTACAACTTCAATAGGTCTAAATCCGACTATCCAATCGAGCATAGACTATTGCACATTCTCTAATCGGGTATTGAAGCGCTACAGTTCAGACATCGGTCTAACCCCTACACTGCTTCCTTGCTGGCGGTACTTAATTACAACATTATATAGTCTAAAGGGAGTGACGAGGAAAGGGAATGAATACTGAAATCCCAGAGGAAATACACATGACATATCTACCTAGCATTGTCAGCTATCACCTAACAGGAACATGGGTTGTCTTAAACAAATCAATAAAAGTTACTCCATTTGGTGGTGAATTACCTTTCCTTTCGACCCTTTTTTTGGGCGGGATATAACTACCATGCATGAGAGGATGTAGAGGAAGGGAAGACTTACAGGGGTTTCACTTGTACTTATGTTTATTCTTTTATGTATGCAGGGAATCCGAACATAGAAAGTTCTTTGTTATTAGGTTTTGGTTTCAGGGCCATAGTTACTTAATAGATACTTATGGAGTTGGTGGTGGGGTGGGGTGCGTTCACTCCTGAGTGGGCTCCGTAACCCCGCAGGTCATGCATGATATGTTATTCTGACTGGTTTGCAGATGGCTTGCAGATGGTTTGGGGCCCTTGCGCTCTCTGGTATGTACTCATAGGCTGGCCATCTGGTTGAGCGGAGGTGGGATTAGGACAAGTAGATTGCATGGTGTATTTCGTTGATTATCGCTTCCCTAAGCTAGACCTGCATTGCTCCATGTACAAGGTGAAAGCAGATTAAAGGATCTCAATCCATCTAGGAGGCCCAACGCCTACGGTTGCCTGCAATGACTGCCACACACCCCTATATGACGCACATGATACTTCTGAGATGCGAAGAGCACCTGCCACTCGGATCGGATAGATCTACCACCCCTTACCCGTTTGGTCTCCACCAGGGATGCAAAGCCCAACCCGCCAGAAGTAGTCTCGATGGGAGAAGAAGAGCTCCCACAGCCGGTATTTAGTAGGGATGAGATGCCATGGTAGGCCAAACAAGCCCCTGTGCTGGGCATCCGCATCCTGTATGTGCAGAGGCTGTTGATGTCCGCTCGACAGGGCCTGTTGCTTGGTAGGATTAGCGCAAGTCCGATCAGCGTGAGTCCGATCAGCGCGTGCTTTCGCATGCGTGGCCAGAGAGACTGTTTCATAGAGAGCGATAGCTAAGGCCCTTTCCCCTTCCGCTCCAGATATGCATCGTTCATCGTTTGGGCCCTCACAGAAATGAACATCGTCCACGGACGGTGGAAGATCTTCTTTGGAGATGAAAATTTCCCCCGCATGCATCACATACCCCCATTCCTCCATCGGCAGAAGGGGTATAGGATCACGAGCATGCGTGACTCTGCGAAACTGCCATTTTTGACCCGAGACGTCCCCCGCTGCGCCCTCCAGCCGAAACAACCTGGTGAGAAACTCGGCAAAGCCCTTATTTCCAACCTTCGGTTCCCCAAACGTTGTCACCGTAGGTTCCCAGCCGCGCAGCTGCATCTCGATCCCAGCCAGCGCAGCAACTGCCCCACCCAGCGAGTGGCCGACTAGAACCAGCTCGTAGTCAGTGTATTGCTCCCTTGCTGCCGCGACATGGTCGAGGATAATCGAACGCGTGTTCAGCCAGGAAGTCATGAACCCCGCATGAACAGTACAATTGTGGCATCGCGGTCCTTCGCCACCATTCTCGGTTCCTGTTTTGTATGGCACATAAGTTTGTGGGTAGGCTGACAGATCAACAATGGTGTTTGCGATGGAGTAGGTACCGCGGAAGGCAACGATGATGCGGTTAGGGGACGGCGGGTGGGAGAGTGCGATGTAGCCACAGGAATCCGAAAGGAATGGGCCAGTATTCCATGTCTACTAGGAGCGTTAATAGAATTGGGTTACGTGCTTTTAGCGGGTCAACCTACGGTTAATAGTTCAAACCCCCTGAGGTCCCCACAGTGACTCAGGCATTCAAAGGGCTTTTGAAGCCCCGTGCTGCCAACACAATAAGAGACATCAACCACGCGCGCAAGCTCTTCCAGTGAGTCATATAGCCCCTGGGGAACAGGACGTAGGATTTGAATAGGAAGTATCCGGTCCGCTTCATGACGAACGAATGCACGAACCGGGAAGATAAGGGAGAAGCAGGTGAGGATGAAGGGGGACAGAAAGCAAGCTGCATAGAAAGCTATCATAGCGCTGAGATCCTTTTCATTGTCTTTGACAGTATCTGTTGCGGTGCAGCAACTGACGGAGTCGCTGTTGGAGAGTCAAGAGCAAGTGCCTCGTGACATCGAGAAATCCGGGGAACCCCTGACCGCCCCATGATGTGGAGTCATGCACGTAGCCTTGCGTATCATTACGGTAAGAAGCAGGGTAGATCTTACAAATTCTGGACTCATTTGGTTTATACATCGTAGTGACTTCAATCTATGTACACGAAGCTATTTCCCAAGCTCCACATCCCGGTGACCCAGCACTGGGTCCGACGCATTCAGTTCACTGCGGCCTCCACGGTAACTGGGGCGCAAGCCAGTAACTAAATCTACTGTCTAAATAGTCCAAATAACCACACGGCCATCAACTCCACTCGCTGTCATGGGTATATTAGCGCAGCCCATAGGTGCAAAACAAAGGGATTTCTCTTACTGCTAAATTGACACACAACACCATTGGCCTCTTCGTAGACCCTAACCGTGCTAATGGTATTTTGGTGCGTGGTCTTAAGTTGGGTATCGGCTTGGGTTTGTCCTTTGAGATCCATTTGGCGAAACATGTGAAGAGCAGACTCTTCGCGAGCACTCCCAGCACCTGGTCCTTCCTTGCTCTCGATGGTCCCGGTGAGCTGCCATCCACTCTCATTACCACGAAGACGGTACGGTTCGCAATCCTGATCGTGGTTGTTAGCTGAATGCCGTATATCCGAGCTTCCGCTGGAGCAAATCTAGTGGGACTTACGTGGCCTGCAGCAATGATCTCATTTTCACCGTTCCAGATCAGGCTGTTGAATGGTAGAAGGCGAGTAGCGATATTCAACATCGCCCGAGGGGGCTGGTCAGGCGCACTCGGGTATACGACAGTGACGCTGCTGTCATGACCAGTAAAGGCAAGCGCGTCCCCACTTGGAGAGAAGGATAATCCCTGGATCCAACCCGCTGAATCATTCAGGTATTCGCCACAGATTGTGTTAAATGGCAGGCGTTCACCCCAGGCGCTCGGCTCAGGACGTGTATCGACGCCCTTGATGAAGCTAGAGAGGACCCGGGCGTGAGAATCAGTCGAGCCCGCAGCCAGGAGGACAGAGTTTGGATGCCAGGCAAGAGTAGTAATAGTGCTCCGGATGGGCTTCTTCAGGTGCTTCGAGATCCACCAGTCATTCTCTTCCTCAAAGTAGCATACCGCAATCACGCGGGCACCGGATCCAACAGCAAATTTCTGCTCAGATGGTGACCACCGCACGAAAGTAGCCGCCCTATTAATCCGGAGAAGAACAAGCGTCGGTTTCCACCCCGAGGCAGTCCGTTCCCAAACGTAGGCGTTGCGATCTGTTTCCGTGTCCACTTAGACAGGGGTGCTGCAGGACAAAAGGAGGAAGGCAAACTTACCCTGCGAACAGGTGACGATACGGCCACTATTGGGGGCAATATCTACCCCAGTCACCGTCTTCTCATGACCCTTAAGCTCATCGGTCAAAGAGAACTTGTTGTCTGACTTCTGATAGAGCTCCACGTTGCTATCCCGGGCAACTGCAAGGGTTGACTTGTCAGATGAGAAAGAGTGATCGGCAATTGGGTTATGGAAGAGGTGATGAGCATCGGGGGTAGCCATGATAATCTAGACGACAGGAGTAGCTCTCCACTGCCGTGTCAACTAGACGAAAGGTATGAGGTAGAAAGGAATGGGAAAGGGGGAGGGGAAATGTGGGTAGTATACAGCTAGGCCCCGACGATGACGCGGGCGGCTATGGGCTCCGATTAGATAATATATCACATGACCCATGCGCTCAATCCAGGTTCAACTTCAGGTTGTAGTCCGAGATGATTATCACTAGCTGTGCAGACTTCGAGCTTCGCTTACCATTGGCTTCCTTTCTTGGGCCGGGACATACCTTTCGATCTTTCGTACTTTGCCCTGTCCGGGTAGTCCTGTATCTAATTCCCAGTTCTTCGTCGCCGATCTGCAATAATGGCCACCAGAGTAATTCCAGCGCGCGGTGGTACTACCGGCCTGCCAAACCAAACGTTAGTTTCAAATCCTGATTGTCCTGTCTAGTTTGGCACATCGACTCACCTTATTTTTAGTTTATATTGTACCAACCTACCGGATAAGTTACGGAAACATGACCTTCGACTCTCCCTCTACATGCTTTTCTCGACCTACGGCACCGTTTTGGATGTCGTCGCCTTAAAAACCGAAAAAATGCGTGGTCAAGCTCATATTGTTTTCAAAGATGTCCAGGCCAGTACGCAGGCTATGCGGGCTCTTCAGGGGTTTGAGTTCTTTGGTAAACAAATGGTATGTTCTGTGCACGGTGCAATGTGGTTGTTACTCGCTCGTTGACTCGGGAATGTAGAATATTGTTTATGCAAGAGGCACATCGGATGTTATTGCCCGGCTCCGCGGGACATACAATATACCAACTACAACTGCTACTGGGCAAACCGCGGGAGCATCCACAGAGCTCCAGAAATCGATATTCAGCGGCCCCCCAGGATCAGTGGCATTGCCATCAAAACCCAGCAGGGAAGTCAACGGAGAAGCTCAGGCCGGCCATGGTATCAAGAGACCACGTGAGGAGGAAAGCGATGAAGAGGGAGCCCCGATGGACGAGGATAGTGATGTGCCAATGGAAGCTTCATCAGATGAAGACTAATTGCTTCTTTTCCGTACTGGACATAGGTTTGCCAGGCCGGGCGGGATCCCAAGAGGAAAGGGAGAACGGTGAATCGTTTTGAACCGAATCACATGATGCCTTGGAATATCTCCATGCCCTCCGTTGTGAAGAGTTCCTTTGGCAGCTGAAGACCGAGACGATTACCCACCAACCCAAGCCAGATAATGAGATAAGCCTCCGGGGTGAGGCAACGCTTTCCTGCAATATGCCTCATAGCATCCGTTGTATGGCATGGATGGACGAAAAACGTTGGAGTTCCGCAGTCTGGATGATACTACGAGGCATAAGCTCCAGCTTGGGCTAGGGTTGTGAGATCTTGCACATACGCCGAAACTAATACCACCCATGATGCCAACGCTTTCGAGTTCCTTTCTGTACTGGTCTGGTACCAGGTATTGGTAGACCACGTCGATCCCCAGCGGCCCCGGATGGCTGTCCTGCCGTAACTGGAAATACAACACAGGGACTTGATACGTGGGGGAGAGAAGAACATCATAAATTACCTGTAAACAGATGCTGGGCTCGGGCGCACGGATGAGAGCTTCCTGTCATATGTTAGACGATACCTATAGAATCAAGTGCAATGGAAAGGGTTCCAGTTTCACGGACGGGGTCTTCTTCTGATGCCTCCCCCTGCAGTACTTCATTCGTCTCCGAGTCCGGTATAGGCTCGTCGCTACTAGTATGGAGGGTGCTCACTTGACCAACCTCCCTTGAAATGCTCAAAATCGGCCCCGTTGTCTAATGAATTAGCTAGGATTGGGTCGGGGGATTAAGAATGAAAAAAGAAAGGAAATAAGGACGAATTAGGCCGTCATCAAGACCAATGATAAGATACAAGTCGTAGCAACCAAGGACTCCCACCTGGACGGCTTTCGACAAGCGGAAGGGAAAAGAAAATTCGAACAACATGGAGCAGCGAGGCAACTACATACCCGTTGATCGAGTCGGATCGACGACCATTCCACCTTCGTATCGCCCGCCACGTGAACTCGATCTAAAAAGGCGTGACAGGCGGTTTCAAATTCCTCGGCAGTGAGCAAAGGAAAAACCGATAAGGTCGGTTGGCTCGAGGGAGAAGACGCCATGCGACAGGTAAAGACGCGGTGTAATCCGACCACTGGAGCTGCAGAAGCGTCTGCGTTACAGACGACTTATCCTGTACGCCCCCAAGCACACCGATCCGGTTCGTAGTGTATGTCAACTGACTAACCCACAAGCCGTTCTCGGGTAAGGTAAGACCGTAAGAGGCACACTCTTGCTTGCTTGCAGTAACTGTAAGAGTACCTAGGTTAGGTACTAGTAACTAGCTGCGGACGGGAATCCTACTCCGTCCTAGTATCTAGTAGCTAGGGCATCGGACGACCCGTCCAGGAAGGAACCGAAACCGGAAAGGGGAAAGCCTCCAGCCGAAAAAGCCTTCTGACTGACTTCCAAGTCCGAAGTTTTGAAGGACTCGACCCGGAGATGGACAAGCCCGGACTCGAGGCAACCTACCTAAATCTCGGGTAATGGAGGCATAAGGCAATGGCACATCTATCGAAGTCTCCTTGTCAGAATGTCAGGATTAACAATCTGAACCATCTCTTCCGAAAGATGGACTGTGCGGGAAGATGCTGATGCTGACAGGGGAGTCCTACTAAACACCACAATCATGCTACCTAGGACCTACTAACGGGGTATATCTAGTAACTACCTACATCATAACATCAGACTGACAGATAGATGGGTATTCGGCGGAGGACAAAGCGGGGCGGTGGGAACTAGGAAAGAAATACTCACTAAAACGATATACATATCTAATCCGTCCTCACTAAATACTAGTTCAATAGGATTGGTGTGGCTAAGTACATATACGAAGAGTACAGGAGATGACTTGTACCTACAGTTCTACATAGTACTAGTAGTACCTAGGGCGGATGATGGATCGGCAATTGTGACTGGATCGGGGTTCTAGTCGAATCGAGTAAGTGGTCGGTAAACTGAAGAAGAAGCACCTGACAGAAAAAGCGAGGTTTTCCTGGTACTCCGTACTCCGTACGGAGCCATAGTCTGATCATGAAGAAGAGGAGGATTAGGTACCGGCCATCTTCATTTCCTCCGTAACATCCTGACTACTCTCACTGACCAAGGTACGGAAGGAGCGACTAGTCACCTAGTTCTGGTTGCGGCCAACCCAGCACCAATCAAGGCGCCATCCCCGTCAAGCTTTCTCCCCCTGGAGGGATCCACAGCTGGAGCTAAAACAAACGATGGTCCTGACGATCCATATTCGATCCCAATGGTTTGAACTAAGCACCGGTTAGTACTATCTATCCTCTTCAGTCCTCAATCTTTTCCGACTCCGAGAGTCCCATACCTTCACAAGATACAAGTACTAGGGGATACCTAGCACTAACTGCAGGCAGGCAGGCACATAGACACACTCACACCTTATCCTTTTTTTTTATCCGAATAATATTCATTAATGAATGATGATGATGATGATGATAATAATAATAATAATAATAATAATAATAATAGAAGATTAAATTTACCTTGGCCATCATGCAGTCATTTTTTCCTTCCTTTCATTTCCATTTCTTGCGTGTTTCTGGCTGCATTGCCTCTGCAATCCTTGACTTGTCCGCATTCAGGGATGGCGTTGTGTCTGATGGAACACCCTCTGCCCAGTGGCTACGCCGTCCAGCTGTCTTTGTCCACGGCTCCATCTTCCATCCTCCATCCGACATCCAAGGTACCCAAGGTCCAACCCCCAAAGAAAGGTAGGTGCCTTGGCTGGCTGGTTTACCGGTGGCTGTTCTGGCCCTGGCACCCACTCACACAATGATCTTGTCATAAGCTGGTTCCCATCCCGACCGTCTGCAACCCGTCGATCCATCGTTTCGCTCCCAGTTCCGTTGTCCGTGGGAGCTACAGTTACCTGTGGATAACGCATTCGTCATTGTTGTGTCTTTCGTGCATCCTCAACCATGGCAGCCCAGTCTACCTCCACTCCACTTCGTTATCTTATTTCCCTTACTTACCCCAGCTGCAATTCTTAATCTACTTTACTTTTCCATTCAGTCTATCCCAGTCAACCCCGTGTTTTCCTAGGCAGATCAGCGATCGGGGCTCCTTGTATTCCTTTTTTTTTCCCCTTCTTGTACCTTCTTTGTTCTGCTCACCCATAACGCTCCCCCCCCCCACCCACCTCCTGGTTTCGTTTCCTACCGACTGCTGTCATCTCAAGAATTCGGGTCTGCCTATAATTGTCTGTTCTTGCGAATCAGGGGAGGCAAAAGTCGCTAGTTGCACCTGGCTCGTTCCACCCGTGCCTTTCTTTTGTTATTATATTTTATTATTCCGCCTTTCTTTCTGGGTCTCGATTCCCTCTCGTCATCTATGTAGTCGCCTTTACTTTTGCTTTTGCCCCATCTTCTCAAATTATCAGAAAGATCTTCTGGTTGCCGTGCACCAAATTAAGCGTCACTATTTATCGCCTCGGGCGAAGTCTCGAAACAGCACTGCCTGGATTTTCATGCCTTTTTTGCTGCGGGTCTAATTGGTCTTTCAAAACCACCCGAGGTAGATAGAGATCGTCACGTCGAGACGTTTCTCGGCCTACCTCACGGGCAGGCGCCTGACGCTTTTAACTTGGTTGGTAACAAAATCTTTTCCTGGGATTGACCACTGTTATGGCACTACCGGATTAAGACCTGAGAGAAACTATACGTCAGCCACTGGGCGCTATCATAGAACTGTCTGGCGTTGCAGACTGTCCATGAGGCCAGAAAAGGTATCAGGTTCTTCTTACACCTTTACCGGTTCCATTTGTGAAAGGAAGCCATGGGAGGTTTCCTTTCGGTGCAAAGCAAAGAAAAGCGCCGTCGCTCAAATCGGCTGTCGAAACCGCCACCAAACAAAGCTGCACTAGGATCAGCCAGCTCCCGCGCATCCCATCAAGCTTCCAGTTCCAACTCTCCTACATGTCCTCAGGCTGCTGCTTGGCAAAACCCTTGGACCGGGACTTCTATTCCCGTCAGCGCCCCCGAGTCCGACACAGGCGGAAGGAGATCACAGTCTCTTCCATCTGTCTCCTATCAACCTGGGGCACCATGGCCGTCTGTCAGCAAGACCAGGAAATGTCAGTCGATGGTCAAAGCACCAGATGATCTTGGTCTGCACACGTACGTTCGTACTGCTAGCATGTCAGACCCTATGGGCGGGCAAGCCTCCCGCCGTTCTTCCAGGCAACGCGGCTTCCAGACAACAACAACCCAAAATGGTCCAGAGCCTTCAATAGCTCGACAACCAAGCAGATCGTATTCTACACACTCACCACCCCAAAGAGCTCAAAGTACTATGCATCATAGCACAATTGAAGAAGCAACATCGTCAAATACGCTTTTCATGGTAGACAGCCAAGGATTTTCTTTGATCCGTCGACGGTCTCTGCTAACGAGACCCGGAGTCGCAACAAGGAGGTCAACAAGAGATACTGCCCGACGACTGTCTTCGCCAGTCGATCAAGAGACCAACGCCTCAATCAACTACCGGAACGGAACATACATACCATCACGGCTGCTATTATCTGATTGCGAAGATGGTACCCGTGGGCCTTCTGGTCCACTTCCTCAGTTACGTCCACCAACGCCCAATGATTTCGAGTACACCCATCTAGGGGCGCTCAAGTTAGGATCATTACGGGTCGTGAATGGTTCTACATCTCCGTGCCCTAGCGACAGGATTCGGTTGAACCGTCCCAACAGCCCAATCATCGAGGCCAATGACTTAGGCACACATGGTCTAGAGCCAAAACAGCCCATTGAGGGAGGTCGGCATCATGCACACCGAGCCCCAATCCATCTGGATTGTGAATCCCTATTAGCTCATGGAAGTGTGCCAGGTCCGTCACAGGATGCTGGCCTCACTAGAAGTAGCGGGCATGATGAACCGAAGAACTCTGACGGTGGCTCACTAATGAACAAGGACTATCCTATGGGCCTTCATGAAAATAGAGCCTGTGGGTCAATGCTACAAATTTCAGCTATTTCTGATATCGGAAAGCATGAAGATTACCCTGAAAGTCCTTTTTCATTTGAGAAATCTCCGACCATATCAAGCGCGTGCCGACTCCGTGGGAGCGAAATAGAAGACGAGGGAATATGTGTCCCTGACGAGGAGAAAATGTTTGTTCCCCAGCTGGATTGTGCCTTTCGAGACTACGAGCACAGGGAACTCCAACATCCACACAAAAAGGTTGACAGCGGTTACAGTTCCGCAGCTTCTGTCCGTTCCACTCGAAAATCCACAGATTCTCACTCATCCGCACGTCAATCCGGAGGACCCCGCAGGTTCACATTTGGTGGTAGCCCCAGAGATCTCGAGACTTGGGATGTCAAAACCAGCTCAAATTCTGAAGACCACCTTCCTTTGTACCGCCGTTCAAGCCTTCATGATCCTATAGCAGGGCCCAACGTTGAAATCTGTGGCTGGTCGACCCATGGAACTTCAATGTGTCATGACTCCCAACGGATACCCATGAAAGAGCGCCTAAGGAGCTCATCATTCACAGCTTCGCATGAATCTAGGCATGCAATGTCTTTGTCTCAGTACTGTCATCAACTGAGAAGCCTGGATACTTCCTCGACGGGCATCTCGGTTGTTACTACAGATGCTGTACCTCATTCGTTCCCGAAAATCTGCGCAATGAAACAACCCATGGAAACAACGAAAGAATATGATGCGCAGGCTAGCAGCAGTTCGATGGGCACTGCTCGGTTACCAAAGCCAAACCTCGATGTATTTGGCATGTCAGTCCCAGAAAGCGCGGGGGATGTGGGCTCAGGGAGACCCGCATTTGGTCCACCGCGAGGAAGGGCTAGAAGTCGGAGCATCGAGTGTCAACAGAAGAGGTTGACAAAGCATGCCAAACGTCCAAATCTTTACATGGCAGCTTCGCCATTTATCTTTCATTGACGCGCACTTGTCTTTCTCTTTTCTTTTTCTTTGATTCTAAGATCCCGTGGATTAATTTGTTGCTACATCACCATTACTTTGTTAATGCCGCTTTTCTGATAGTCCTATGCTTTGGTGTTGGGATACCACTTTGAACTTGATGGGCGGATATCTTGTTTACATCGTCATCTTTATTACCCTTACCCTACAAATACCCATTTGGTAGCCTGGATGATTGTTCATGTTTCGTTTCTATATACCATTTTGGACCGGCGCTGCGATGTCACGGAGTTTTCTTTTGTCTTGGGTTATCTTTTGGCATTTGATTCGCCAAGTTCAGTCCTGCTGTCCTTCTGTATATGTATATATATATAGGATTGGCCAAGGGAAACGAAAGGTTTTATACTCATTTCATTCATCCCCGCTTGTGAGCGTCATGTACCGTACGAACAGTTCGTCGATGCTAAGAGAAATATAGGCGGCGTGCTACTATACAGTGTATAATGGAAATCAAAATCAGGTAGCGGTGAGGCACTTTTGTTTCGTGAATTGGGTGAGGGATGGATGGCGGTATCAGTCCACGGTGTCTTCCTTGGACCCCTCTAGCGAAGTCAGGCAGGCATGGAATGGAGCGCAATCTACTTCAAGGACGCCCAACGGAGCAGACCACTTGGCAGAGACGGGATGTCAAAAGCATAAGCAGATGAGGATGTTACACATCCGGTGGACATATCAAACCAGGCCTCCGTCCCAAGGATGTGGCGGTGATCTTCCGCCTGACAGAAAGCAGCCACTCACTATACGAGGACTAACCGTCTCATGATACAGAGTATACACAGTACAGAGTAGACCGTTCGGTTTACCTTCTCTAGCTAGATCGTGGTTCTTGCATGAGCAGTAGACCCGCAGTCGCAATTGATACCCACAGTTCATTCCGCATGCATAATATTGAAGCCTATGCACATGTGCTGGTGAACGCAAGGGATCACCTTTGGTCTTGTATCTTGATGTCATACATATACCACGACACGTACACTAGTGGCTCGACGATCGGATACCACCTACGCCTCGTGAGTTGGTTCGCTTTCGCCGGACCATTGCGCAATCTGTTTGCAAGCGGGAGGACAGGCATAAACCCAAACAATAGCGGGAGATTGAACTAGACGTGTCATCGAGAGTCTAAAGGGTAGGTAGTCCTAGGCCTATCTATCTATCTATCCCTTGGTGTCACTACTACCTTGTATTCTACGAGCATATATGCAAGATTAGTTATTCAACATCCATCATCTCATGAGGACTTTATAATACAGATCTGACAAGAAAGGGGAAAAAGGAATCGAACAATCAACCCATGTACTCCCGACCGTGAACCCCACCGAATTAAGAGACATTCATGTCATTAGTGAACTGACAGAAGACCGCGAATCCGCGACAGTCATAGATAAGCTCGACTGGAAAATATCGAAAGGCGGAGATAGATAGGTAAAACCCGAGTGTGAATGAATCATAGTCTGATCATACGCTGCTTTACTCGAGGCGGATCTTCTTGACTTGAGGAGCAGGCTCCTTGGGGACCAGTAGAGACAATATGCCGTTTGTCAAATTGGCCTTGACTGCATCCTGATGCACTCTCGTGGGGAAGTTGAACGTTCGGTAATACTCGCCAGTCTGGCGCTCGGAAAGCCAGTACTTGCAAGTCGGCTCGGGTTGCTTCTGTCCGACCCGCTGCGCGGAACGGTTGTCTGAGGAGCCAGCCGGTTCCTTCTCTTCAATTTCATCCTCGTCTTCGACTGTTGGTTGGTGTAACTTTGTGGCTGAAGTTGGAGCCGTCGTCCGAGGAGACGGCACGTCGTTCTTAACACGACCTTTGATGACAAGGGTGTGTGGATCGGCGAATTCGATCTCTATGTTGCTTGGCTCGACTCCCGGCAACTCACCATCAAGGTGATATACATCGTTCACCTCGTAAACGTCAAATTTCGGGGTGAAGGAGCGGACCGGTGTGGTTTTTCTGCTCTTGGGGCGACTGGAACGGTGCACATCGTAGTCATCCAAAAGTTGGAACAATGGCGCAAAGTCACCAGTGAATCGAGGGAAAAAAGCCATTGTTTGATGCTTTCAAGAATGATGAGCGTGGGGGTAGTTCAATTGATTCTGAAAAAGACAGGAATATTGTTGTGGTTTGTATGCTTGATGGGAATAGCAACGATTGAGCTCACGTTGAGAATGTGGATTTCAGAGTATATACGGGGGGATTGAGCTGGTTACAATCCATCATTTTATTTCCCAGGTTGTGGACATCTAGAATGCGCCATTATCCATGTTTATCCGTCATCCAGAAGCAAACCGAGCATTCTGGTGGATGCTAGGTAGGATAGCGATGGTGCTGGAGGACCCCAGATGCCTCTGGAGCTTTCGATTGTCGGCACTGATAAGATAAGCGGCTACGCGAACCCGCGCGAACCTTCTATGATCACATGATAATCGAACTTTCTTCCCAGCTAATGAACCTCAGAGCTAGTTCAAGAGACCGCAGGATCATGTTGCATCTCATTTCCCCGGCATTCACCTACATCCGAACGAGAGATAGTGGTTTGAGGTTCTAAGCTTGCTTGGTGGGAACAGGACTTCGCGATCACCGAATGTTGCGGATACCCGGGGATGAGTACATCTCGAGCTGCCTCTGCCCTTTCCGTAGTAAATACTCTACCGCACTGAAGTCTTTTTTGCTAACAGAGGCATGCTTCCGAAATTCCGCTCTGTTTGATTTTAGTATACAAGACCGCGACCATGGCCAGGACAGGACATTGTTGAGTCAAAATGTCATCCGCGAGAGCTATCTTCCATCTCAACCAGGAGACGCACCTAGCATATCCTCTAAAATTCTCCCTCATCTCCTGATCACAGCACGACGGAGTAGCGTAATGAGTCAGTCGGTGACCATTGGTTTACACAGAACAATAATTCGACTGTGTTAGGAGGAGCTCACGATAGGTTTCTTCCGGGTCTCCCTCAAGCATTTCCGGTAGAGAGACAGCACCTCCCTTTGGAGGCCTGATAGTCGAGCCATTGGTGCCGTGCAGAGGTATCTGATTTGAAGTGCAAATGTTGATTATGCTGCATCACCAGGTTGAAGAGTTGCACATCGGAAGTGCAAAACATGCCTACTAGCTTGGTCGCCCCGGAGGTTGCCGATCCGCTTACCCCATACGGAGTAGCCAAGCTTCCATCCCCTTCCGGCCGAGAATGCTGGAGCCGAGGCAAGAACGAGCCCAACTGTTATCTATCTATCATACAAATTAACTCGATAGACAGTTGAACTGGAACAGGTCCATATTTTCGCCTCTATCTCGGTAAATAGTTTGTCAGATCCCAGAGCCTGACTACGGTCATAATCCTCACTATATTCTCATTGTATATACTACCCACGGATACTGGCCTGCTCTACATACCCTACATTACCTCTGATTATATGGCTACTAGTACCTTTTCTGTGAGTCCACATCCCAACGGATTTAATCTGTAGAACTGGTCGCATCTTCAGAGGACTTGCTTATTCATTTTCTCACAGCGTCTCGTTCGCTTTCTAGCCAAGGACGGCCACACTTATTACGGAGACGCCATTTTGTCGACGGGCGTTTCCGACATTGCTCAGGCTACCAAGGCACGGGTCATCCAGGGTGACATATTCGGACAATATCATGTCACAGACAAAGTGGCCGAGATCAAATTACTGTTGGCACCACTCGCGAGGAAAGACATCGGGGCCGTGCGTTGTTTGGGACTGAACTACGAACAACACGCTAAAGAATCAAATCTACCTTTACCGAAGTTTCCTGTTCTTTTCTACAAACCCGTCACATCTATCACGGGTCCGATTGACGACATTCCGGTTTCTCGCATGGCTCAACGAGGCGAAGGTCTGGACTACGAATGCGAATTGGTTGCTGTGATTGGCAAAGAAGCCAAAGATGTGTCCGAGAGTGAAGCCCTGGATTACGTCCTTGGTTATGCCGTAGGAAATGATGTCTCTCACCGTGAATGGCAACTAAAACTCGGCGGAGGTCAATGGGGGCTGGGTAAAGGCTTCGACGGATGGGCACCATTCGGGCCAGGTATTGTGTCTTCGAAGATGATTCATGATCCGAACAGCTTGCACATCTCGACAAAACTGAACGGCCAGACGGTTCAGTCTTCGTCAACTAAGGATATGATTTTCAATGTAGCCAAAACAGTGTCATTCTTGTCTCAAGGCACCACCTTGTTGCCCGGCGACGTGATCTTCACGGGGACGTAAGTTAACTTCTATCGGCCTTTGTCTTACAACGCTGAATTTGCCCCTAGGCCTCAAGGTGTTGGCATGGGTCGAAAACCTGCACTCTGGCTGAAAGATGGCGATTTGATTGAGGTCTCCCTCGAGGGTGTCGGTTCATGTGTGAATCGCGTTGTGTTCGACAAGCCCTCTTCCAAGCTTTGAATGAGTAGCTACTAGACAGTATATATTACAGAGTCTACTGGGTGTGGGAATGAATCCCTAGGAATCCACCGCACATTGTGGCATTTCAACCAACTATCCTGAGGAGTTTGTTCATCTTGGTCTTGATATACAAAGACTTACAAATAAGTAGCGGTGTCGGCAAACATGATTTCTTGGATTTGTTCTATTAGTTAAGTAGCACAGTCATGGTTCCAATGCCAAATCCTAGTTAACCTGAGCCCCATATCCCTTGATGGCTTCTGCGAATGCCCAGCTCTGAGATTCAACCTGCTGGTCCTCCTGGATTTCAATTCCCGCCTCAGTAAATACAGCCAATGAATACTTGTCCAGACTCCGCGCATCCCGATACCAGAGAACCTTGATACACTCCCTTAACGCCGCCACGGCCTCATCCTTGCTGATCGACTCGAGGGGTGTTTCTTCTGGGAAGAGCCGACGAAGGATCGGGATGGCAAGATGGGCACCAAATCCGGTTGCCAGATGCGGAGCCGAGAATGTTGTTCCTAGCAGATCTGCGGAGCTAAGGAATGGTTTCTTATCATCATCAAACCCGGCCACCAGGATGTGGTTCCAGAGGGGGTTGAATTCAGAACGACGTTTGTAGAGGACTTTGGACAAATAGGTGTGGAGGTTTTTGGCGTTCAACGTGTTGCCGTTGGTAGAGTAGTTCTCTCTGATATCGATGGACTCCAATAGACGGTCGATATACTGCATGTCCGAAACATCACCACTGAATCCGATTATGGCAGAATCGCCAAACTTGCGAAGACGTTTCACATCGGTGAAACGGGCAAGAGACCCATAAGATGCTATAATGAGGATAGACTGCATTAGAAAAGAGTGAAATATTTCCCTAACATGGGGGCGGAGTTCTACCTAAGTTGTCGGCAGCAATGGCAACTCCACCGTTAAACTTGACTGCCACTACCGACGTTCCAGTCACAGCAGGTGACTGAGTGTGGGTCTTCGGGCCAGTAGTCTGAAGATATGATGGGTTGTATGCTCCGTAAACATCATCCCTGGGCTTTCAATGACATGTTAGCGACATGATGGAACCATTGCAATGATGCCCTTACGCGACCCCAAGCTTCGGGAAAGTGATTCATGATGGGCGAATGGCACGATTTGGATATTTGTGGAGATCTAAATTATCACCGAGATGTGTCGGGAGATGGGAGTTTGATGTGCAAGGTTTTATAAATGATGCTTGCGAGGGGAATAGTAGCTCGTGATGATAGGGTCGGTAGGCAGTAGAGCTGACGGAGCTCATGTTACGTGAGCAATGCTATCACTCCCGCCGCGCCTATCGGAGGCCGACACACGCGCTTAGCGAGAAGTTGATTCTGCCTTAGAAGAAGGGAAACACCGTGTCTCCTACATCTCTTATATATCATTACCCGACCTCACATCTATCCGCTAGACGCGCTAGGAAGGGGAAATAATAGGAATTGCGTCCTGCCTACCTAACTAGTAGTTATTATCTTTCCCATCAAGTTTACGAGCACCCTACCGGTATTAACTCACCCTTCCCCCCGATACTTCATATATAGCTAGGGACGGGGAATCTATCACCAGCCTGGTTTCCCGTCCTAACGCAGAGATCTCTCATCGCGGGCCTCGTGGCTGGAGGAGGCTCTTTCCTGGCTTCCCAAGCATCGTGGGCTTGGCCATACAGCCCTGGCTTTAAATTGACGCCAATCCCTACAATCCGGAGAAACATTAAATATATTACCTCTGTTTCGTTCTTGAGCTAGAAACGGAGCCTGTACGAGTGGACTCTCTCGGCGTGGCAGCCACGAAATTGATAGCATCTCTCTGTCCTGCCAGTTTTCTTTCTTCAGCCTTATTTTGAATTTCCCGCTGTGCCTTTAACAGTTCGTCCTTGAATCCCCAACTTGGCAAATCATTTGCGTTCCATACCTCAGGCGGTAGCGAGGCATGATACTGCGCTTGATCATCAATTCCTGCATGATCCATCATCTTATTCAGTAAACTCGGGTTTTTGAGGGATGTCGATCCAGCTAGCTTGTCGTTGAAATGCATGCCTTGCTTTTTCAAAGAGAGAAAGTGAGCAAATTTGGCATTTGCTGCGGGATTAGGAGACCCAGATGGAGATAGTGGTATGTCTAGATTTGGAATCGGAGGAAGTGTTAGATCATGGATCAATGTACGGTTTGCTGAAAGGTTCTGTGACGCTTCGGTTGGGTGATGGTGTGGATCTTGCTCATGCGTCGGCCCAAGAACAGGTCTGTATGATTCTGTGACGGGTGTCTTTTCTGGTAGGGTGTTTTCATCGACAGTTCCTACTTTGAAACAGTAATTAGGGTTCAGGATATTCAAGTGCATAGACAAGTCCTCCAATCACCTGTATCTTTAATCACCTGCAACGGTTGACTGTGCTGGCTGTCGCCTTTCTGCTTGTTTGGTATTAGTTGACGCCGAGATTATGCCGCAGTGCTTCTTTTACCTTCGGTTGGATGGATGGTGATTTATTCTCCACTTCATCATCACTGCTGCTATCATAGGCTGCTAGACCAAGCATAATCACTAGGCGTCAGTCCTTGATGCGTCACCGGTTTTATGTAAGCTAGTCCAGCTTCGAGGTGCAGTGTAGTCGATTTAGTACAGCAGTACACAACTATGATATCAGCTGTTGTAGAAAGAAGGGCGTTTTTGAGGGGGGAAAGAGGAGAAAGTGGTGTTGGACTCAAAGCTGATTTGTCAAACAATCTGCTTTCACATACATTATCCTGGAGGGATGACATTTGTGTCCGCGGCAATAGCTCCTAAACCATGACGGAAGCTGGGGTGTGATTATATAATCAGAAGGCAGCTACAACACCGCGTCAGATGGTCAGTAACAGCTCAGCTAGATGCCCTTTTACTATTCAGCTTCACAACCCCATACTAAAGAACACCTTAGGCTACAACAGCAACTCTCAGTTGTTCAACTCCCGGTAACCCTCTTCAAATCTTGATCTTAGTTTCCTCCGCCTCAATCGAAGTCTACGAAGAATGACAGCCCTTTCCGGCCAACCTCTTAGCGAGGCCATCGGATACTCCTTCTCAAATGCGAACAGTGCTCCCCACAGAGAACATTCTTTCTATCCGTATGCGCTACTCATCTCCGCTAAAGTCTACACAAGAAAGCTAACTTAATTCAACAGCTACACCGATAACGGTGGTTCTACCCTGGGCATTACAGGCTCCGATTTCGCAATCCTTGCTGGAGATACTCGTTCCGTTGCAGGCTACAACATCAACTCCCGCTACGTCCCAAAGGTGTTCAAAATTGGCGGTGACGATGAGACTGGCGATGGCGCTCACATCGTCTTGTCAGTTGTGGGTTTCGCAGCAGATGGTCAGGCCCTTAAGGAGCGACTAGAAGCAGTGGTGAAGATGTACAAATACCAACACGGAAAACCCATGTCTGTCAGAGCATGTGCCCAACGCTTGTCGACAATTCTTTACCAGAAACGCTTCTTCCCCTATTACGTGCATGCTATCCTAGCAGGCTTGGACGAGGAGGGCAAAGGCGCTTTGTACAGCTACGATCCGGTAGGCTCGTACGAGCGAGAGCAATGCAGGGCTGCGGGATCTGCAGCAAGCCTGATCATGCCGTTTTTGGATAACCAGGTCAATTTCAAAAACCAATATATCCCCGGGAGCGGAGAAGGGCATGCTCTAGAGCCCAAGAAAGCGGAGCCGCAGCCAAGAGAGACCGTTGAACAGCTGGTGCGAGATGCGTTTACTAGCGCCGTCGAAAGACATATCGAGGTTGGAGATGGCTTGCAGATGATGGTCATTACCAGGAGTGGAGTAGAGGAGATTTATTATCCCTTGAAGAAAGACTAGGCATATCAGAGCCGAGGCTCGTCAATGTCTCGACAGTCTTGTTTAATGCCATACTCCACTTGAGATCATTTCCCGAACATAAATAGATACAATCTCCAGTGGAGTGTTGCTTTCCTCAATTCTGTGTCGTCATATCAATTATATTCTATTCAAATCATATGCCACCTTAGTCCTTAACGCCGATACCGTGTCATAAAATAAGGATAATGGGACGGAGAAAGATGCAAAGGCAGAGAGGGAAAACCGCAAATCATGCTCTCCATAAAACTGACGATCAAAAACGCTCCTTCATGCGTGAAGCCACTTTACGAAGGTTGCCATACACCTTGCCCTGTCGAGGGGTTAGCCGCTGATGGTTCGTCCAAATTAAAAAGTAAAATGGATGGACGCGGGTTTACTGACCGGTGGGCTGCCCATAATTAAGCTCACAATGGCCTGTTGGGCACAATCAACATTCTTTACGGCGCCAAGCAGATGGATTTTTTGGTCTGCGATAACAATTCTTGTCCGCGTGGCGTTCTCTATCGCGAACTTCGTTCGCCCATCTTTACCTGCGCAACGACCGATAGCACGGCTGAGATGCTCTCCTGTGAGTGCTTTGATATCCCGAATCTCAAAGGAACGGATGTAGAGGTCATCCAATCTCAGAAGTGCGATGGCATCGTCGACATCAAATCCGAGGGTAAAAGCCTTGACGAAATCTTCACCCTTCTGTAGGGCTTCCGTATCAGTTGTGAATCGTGACGTACGTAATTCCACAGCTCGATTCTTGATGTTCATCCTAACTTGGAGTTTGAGGTGCTCAACAAGAGGAGGATAAATGCGTGCCCAACTAGCCTTCAACGGGGTCATTCGATGTGGTGGAACAGGAACCTTCCTACTTTCAACTCGATATACCCGGTTGGTGTCCTTTGCTGGTGTAAAAATGGGTCGACCCTCCTCGTCAATGCGCATGTCGCCATCCTGGGTAGGCTCAAATGAAGGTGCAAGTCCCGACGAGACCTGCTCCGCTGATGTTTGAGCATCAATAAGAATTTCTGCATCTTGCCCTAGAAGATGTTTAGTATGACCATCCGGTCGGAACCCGCAAAGCGCTGGCGGGCACTGACCTAGCATAGGAGGTGCAACAGGTGTTTCTATCATTGCAACCTCGGCAGGCTGCCGTAAAGCTGTGGGTGCAGGCATCTTGCTGTAAACCTGAATCAGAATCCTTCACCGTTTGGGCAGTAAACTGGATGTGAAGTCCGTTATCGCAGATTTTAAACTCTATGAAAAAGATGTGTGGTGTATGGTGTGAATTTGTGAATTTTTGATGCAAACAGTACAAACAGGACCCGCTCCAGTCAAGGCGGGATGATTTCATGGAAATTTATTCGAGGTCCGCTGTCTAGATAACATTTCGTGCTTCTGTCCGGCAATTGAGACGCATGCACTTGTCATCCCAGCTGTACCTCCAGTACCCGGCTCTGGGTTGCAGCTTTTCGATAAAGACTGGGGAAGTTCTAGCCCTTTGCCTGCCTTAGCGGACTGTCCAGCATGTGACGGTAATCATGTCTGGCAATCTCGGGCGCAGGTTGTATACCACCTTCTGGGGAACAACGGAATCACTACTTGGACACAGACTGCAAGCAAGACGCGTCTCATCCTTACCAGGTACGCCTAATACAAAAATACCGGCACTTCGCTTTCTCAACATTCGGACCGTGAAAGGGTTTAATTCATTTTCACAAGAAACATCCCGTGTTACGAGACGATCTACTTCCGGGGGCTTTCTTGTACTTGGCGCCTTTTCCATTCACAATACAAGGATAGCGTGCGCCATTCCTCTAGAGAATACCATACCGCATAAGGTCTCCACAATTGATAGAAATTCTGTGGGCAAGGTCTCATGGCGCGTGCTGAAACGTGGGTTTCATACGGGCCAAGATGACCGGGGAAAGACCGAGCTACGGAAGGATACTCTAGATCTTCATGATAGGCGCCATGCCCCGGACCATCTCACCAAGAATACTGGGACTGCTGTCCATAATAATAAAGACCAGGGTCCGGACCAGCAGCTGCATGAGGTGTATCCAAAGTCCCAATCAAATCGCCATCTAATAGGTCGATTGCCGCACATGCCACAATTGCACCGGCCCACAAAAGAAGAACTGTTGGCTGCAGCAACTGGATTCTGGTCACGGCTTAAGGTCCGATTCAAGTGGTTCTCTATAAGAAGCGCTAGGCCATTTAATCTCGACGAGATAACCGCTCTTTTTTCCTGGGTGCTTTTGGGACATGTGGTTTGGGTAGTCTTGGGTACCACCACCTTTTTCTCATTGCTTATTATCGCAATAAATACCGTGTTTGCTCAAGGTATGTTCGACATGAGTTTTTACCGGCGTTGATTCAATGCTAAGTTCTACAGAAACCTTGGCTGGCTGGATAGGCAACTATCTCACCAAATCATCCGGGGTAAAGGTTGTATTTGAATCCGCGATTGTTCCGAAATGGGGAGATGGCGTAATTACCTTCAAGAATGTCTTTGTCTCGAGGCGGCCAGGACAAGGAACGGGACATGTAAGTAAGGGCTCGTCGAAAACTGCTGCTGCCGTTGCTGCCGCTGCCGCTCGCGGTGATCAATCTACTCCTGAAATGCCCGACCAGCGGTACCTGTCCGACGAGGAGGACACCAACTACACGCAGTTCGATGTCTCGATCGAAACTGTCAATGTCACATTATCATTCACGAAATGGATCAACGGTAAAGGGCTGCTCCGTGATGTCGAGGTTCGTGGCATTCGAGGGGTAGTCGACCGCCGATATGTTCATTGGTCGGACGACGATCTGGATCCCAAGTCATATCGACACGAGCACAACCCCGGGGATTTTGAGATCGATTCTTTCAAGATGAGCGACGTGCTGGTAACCGTATACCAGCCAGATAACTTCAGGCCCTTCCCTGTTAGTATCTTCTCTTGCGATTTGCCTCAACTGAGAAAGCAATGGCTATTTTATGACTTCATGTCTGCCAATATGATGTCGGGATCATTTGATAACTCATTGTTTACAATTCATCCTCGACAAACCCATAGCTTCACCGGTGCGCAGTTGGATAATGGGGCGGAGGACGATGGTAAACCGAGTCCATGGAAAAAACATAACAGGATCCGCGTCGATGGTCTAAATATTGATCATTTGAATCGCGGAGTTCAAGGCCCATTTTCCTGGATCCACGAAGGCACGGTCGACATTGTTGCCGATATCATGTTCCCAGCGGAGAATGATGAAAGTCTTGCGAAGGTTATGGCCGACTTCTATGACCGGTTAGAGGCGACGGTCTCGTCCACACGGGATCTTGACTCAACTCCATCTAAAGTGTCTATGTCTGATGAGGCCGCTTCTGAAGATGACAGACGATTCCTAGTTACAGACCTACGCCTCCACTTGAACAATGCCAGGGCCATTGTTCCTCTATTCACGCGTGATCTTTCATATATCAACAACGCACTTATCCGGCCCATTGTCGCCTACATCAATTCAAGGCGCACCTTCATTCCTGTGAATTGCCGTCTTGTCAAACGAGTCGGAGATTTCGATGGCAGCTGGACCACTTTCGATAGCGGTTTGATGGACGACCTTTCGGCGGCAGTAAGTATAGTATCCTGTCCACAAGACCTCTGGCACTAACATTGGATAGGTATATGACGCCTTCGCCCGAGATGTGGTTGATGAGCAGGCTCGGAAGCGACGTTTCAAGAAAGTCGGCTTCTGGTCACTTCAATTGGCTGCCCAGGCCATCTTCATGGGTATGGCCGGAAATATAGCATAGCATTGTATTTTAACAAACGGTACTCTGGGAGTTCAAGCTGGATTATTGGTTTACAGGGATAAAGGCGTTGGAGAGGGAAAAGCGTTCTGATATGTGCCCCGACACTCGCCCTTTTTTCTTCCCCACCCGCTCGGAAAATGCATTAGAAATGGTGTTCTGGCGACCTTATGTCTTATTCTATGACTCTCTTCTCATCAGATGTGGTGTTCACCCTGGAACACATTTTGTTCAGCTTTTTCGTCCTTAAGCGAGTGGCCATTGGTTGGGAACACAGCAGGTTCAAAGATTACGAAGCCCCTGAAGACCCTTAGGTATGGGCTTTAAATGCATGAAAATTAGCGGCATCCGTTTTTCTGCACCTAGATATCTACCTTCAGAGCTATCTACTAGCCTAGTACTGCCTAGTAGGTGGTAGGTTCTTATGTCACTGGGCGAATATAGCCCAATCATTTTTCGAAACAAACCATACCCCTTTTGACCAGGCATGTGTGAATGCAGCAGGTCTGCACGGATGCAAACTTGGAATTTCAAGGCATGGAGTTGAGGCCTGGGTTGTCTCTTCATCATTGTAAAGTGTTTCCTTCCTCTTTCCTCCCCTAGCCGCTCCAAGGTTTCTGGATCTCGCCCCATATTACATTTTCTTCTTCAGAGACACGGCGGAATCCTTCCTGCTTATGCTCTGTCCCCTCCCCCTTTTTCTCCCCTGGCCCCTTCCCCACTCAGCTTGATTCTCGCGACTTGTCTTATGAGGGACACCGCAACCACCAGACTTTTCCAATGTTCTCCTCTCAACCAGCCAGCATCCCTAGCTGATTACAGATGCCATCAGCGGGAGGGTGTCCCTACGACAAATGATCGCAGGAGGTACAGATGTTTGTGGTTCCGTCCAAGAACCGTTGCTCTGGCCCCTGGACCGCAGGTGCTGAAACCCCCCAGCCGAACCGCCCGAGTCTAGCGTCGAATCATTGTCTGGTTCCGCGTTTGCCTCCCATGCATGGAGTGAGCTCCAACTCCTAAACAAGCCATGTCGCAGCCTCGGCGGCAAGGTAGCGATAATACCAGCGTCAACCAGCTACCTGCACCCCTTCCTATTCCGCCTGCATCCAAGCACCCAGTTTTGACTCACCCGCCACTGTCAAGCGATTTAATTCCTCGCGATTACCTAGGCCCCCGACCTGACGGACAGGCCTTACGTTCTGGGGCCATTGCTCCCCCCCGCAAGTCTATGCTATCGCCCCTACATACGAACGTGCACCTTCCATCACCCCGACAAGTCAGCGCCAGCCCATCCCAAATTCCGCTCTCTCCGCGATCATTTGGTAATTCTTCCCCGTGTCAGAACAACTCTACGATAAGCCATCTAGCACATGCGACTACTTCGACCCCTCCAGCTGATACTCATTCACGAGCATCCAGCGGATCGGAAGCAGTTGTGAGGGACCCTTGGGATAATCTCAAGCAGTATGATATGAATCCGAAAATGAGTGATAACCAGACGCAACAAGTCCCAGATCCTGCAGACTCCAATGAGTCCAGGATATCTTCTCCTATCTCGCCATCCAACTCCTTCCAATCGACGCCCGGGAATCGTCCGGGTCAGCGTATGATGCCTCGCACCTCCTCAATTGATTCGGCAATCTCATCGCTTTCGTCTGCTTCACAAACTCACAAGTCTTCGTTCGACGCCAATGCGCTTAGCCAGGCCGATATTGGAAACCTGATCGCCACTGCAGGATCGGCCGAGGCTGTGATTATACATCTTCTAAAGGAAAAGCATAATGCGGCATCTCAGAATTCACAGCTCTGGAGGTTGGTTGATAAGCAGAGAACACTTATTCTTGGGCTGAACAAAGATCTCGAGCGCGCATTAAAGGAAAAGGAACGCTACAGGAAGAAAGTGAAGGAATTACAGAGCTCTCCACCACCTTTGCCATCAACTGACGAATCAAAACTACGATTGCGAAACACTGAAAGCAGTGGCACTCTGACCAGCCATGGACCTAGCCGGAAAACCCAACCGCATAATCGAGGACTGCCTTCGAACAGCAAAGACTCGGCCAGTCAGGGACGTGATTTCACACAATTGCACTCTACCATTGCCGAAAGGCAAGACTCGGCTTCTCTACAAGGCCTCGGTGTCGGCGAGTTACCTCTTGGGCTAGACAGAGAACACCCAACAACCCCCATCATGTATCATGATCGGCAAGCCGAAGCACAAGAGAATCAGGCATTGGTTTATTCCCGACAAGAACTGTCCACCGCAAGTCCAACCTCCTCAACGGGTTTCAGGTCTCCTGTGGATGGCTTTGGGCCGAGCCAGGATAAAGAGCAGGAAGTGCTTACTCCGACGCGCAAACCCCCCCTACACCATTAAATCTTACCCAAAAAGATCTTGCAACACCAGAACCTGATGTTTTTGACTCTGACTCTGAATATGAGGATATCTTAGCTGCGGATGAGTTTCCAGTGGAACGCGGGAGGAGAAGGACAAGAGATGACGATGATCGAGAACGTGAGGCGGCCCTCACCAGAGAAAAAGAGGTACTGCAAAATCCCGGAAGTCAGGGAAGCACTGTACATAATGTGGCGGCTGTGGAATCACCTTCAGACCCGCGGCAGGCACTACCGTCATTTGACTATTCCGAATCCCCCGTGTCCAGTCCTCGTATGAGACATGCAGGACCATTCGGCGGCCTCCCTGTTATCAGTATCCCAAAGAGTCCCGGGTTGCCAGTCAGCCCGAGGCCCGAAGACCGTCCGCTAGGCTCTCCTTTGCCACGCCTACCTAGGGAAGCCCCCGGTTTCTTACCTATGTCATCAGAAAGTAACCTTTCTGGGCTGGCTCTCTCACCCCGTCTTGGCCACTATCAGGCTCCGTTCTCCATGAGTACTGCCTCTACGACGGCAGCCAACGGTGCTACATATGCTTCTATGCCCGTTGATGCTCACAATCGTCCTATACCGTCAATTGATGCGACTGTTAGGGTAGACACCCCACATGAATCAGTCGTGAAGAATAACGGTATATATCACGGTTTAGTTTCGGATGAGTTTCCGAATCTACTGCTACCCCCCAACGCCCTTCCTTCCATATATGTGAAGGTCTCGTCATCACGACTTCGGCCATCTAGAAACAGTTACATGGCTTCCAGGCCATCGGAGGATGAACCAGTGTTCACGTTAGGCGTTTTTTCAAGGTCCGACAATACAGAGCTTTGGCGGACCGAAAAGGTTGTCGCAACTCTTCCCCAGCTCGATCAACAGATACGGCTTCTATCGACTTTCGGGGGAAGGTTGCCTGATCGGTCTATATTCAGCGGTAATTCTCCCGCCAAAGTTGACACACGACGTGCTGCATTGAATGCATACTTTGAGGCTCTCCTTGACACCCCGATGGATGACAAGGCGGCGTTGGTCATATGCCAATTTCTATCATCAGATGCTATTGAACCTCGAGACGATGAGATGAGTTTACTGAAAGGAAACCATCAAACTGGAGCTGAAATCCTACGTGGTCCGAATGGAAAACCCAGGAAGGAGGGTTATTTAACGAAAAGGGGAAAGAATTTTGGCGGCTGGAAAGCACGATATTTCGTCTTACACGGTCCTGGGCTGAAATATTACGAGTCTCCCGGTGGCCCTCATCTTGGGACGATTAAACTCTATAACGCCCAAATTGGGAAGCAGTCGCAGAGTGCAAGCGGTCGGACTAGCTCACCTTCTCGCAGTGAAGAGGACTCAGACAATCAATACCGTCATGCGTTCCTCATTTTAGAGCCCAAACGCAAGGACTCTTCGGCTCTTGTTCGCCATGTCTTGTGCGCTGAGAGTGATGAAGATAGGGATGCTTGGGTTGACGCACTTCTGGAATATGTCGACGGCCAGTCAGAGATTGATGGCATTAATAATAGCTCCTCAAAGTCTTCGTCGTCAACAGCAGGGAAGCAGCATGCTAACGCCGTTGCCAAACCCAAATTATTTCCTAATAATGGAAACAAGAAGGCAGAAAAAGGGACCGACAATTCAGACATAGAAGGCTCTGATACGGTCCAAGGATTCAGTTATGATGATGCTGTTCCGGCTGAGCCACCCGTCCTGGGACCATCATCCGAACAACAGATCCCCAAATCCCCTGTTCTCTCCACCGGGCCTTCGGTGGATTCTGGAGATTCCGGCCAAGACCATGGTCAGTTCTCATCAAGATTCATCTCCGGACCCACCAACGGAACAGTAATCCAAGATGCAGGGGCCTGGGGTAACAAAGCAGCTACGAGCGTTAAGGAGAAGAAACGCAGTATTTGGGGGTTTCGTACAAGGTCATCGTTCGATCTTGCTTCTCAGCTCCAGGCTAGCCACGATTTCTCAACATCCCACGGTAACAACAATGCGGAGAAACGAGAAATTGTGAGGCCAGTTTTTGGCTTACCATTGGCCGAGGCTGTACAGTTTTGCGCGCCACAGGGAGTCAACGTCGATCTCCCAGCGGTTGTTTATCGTTGCATAGAATACCTCAAAGCTAAGGGAGCAGAGTCGGAAGAGGGTATTTTCCGGTTAAGCGGCTCGAATCTTATTGTTAAAGCACTCAAGGAGCGGTTTAATACGGAAGGTGATGTGGACTTCCTCGCTGATGACCAGTATCACGATGTGCATGCTGTCGCCTCCCTTTTCAAACAGTACCTTCGCGAGCTGCCCACAACCGTCCTGACTCGTGAACTTCACTTGGATTTCTTGCGTGTACTTGGTAAGTCTGTGATTCACGGCATATTCTCGATGCTCTATTAATGTCTTCCCTGCAGAGCTTCATGAAAAGCAAAAGAAGATTGCCGCATTTAATTTTCTTGTCCATCGACTTCCGAAGCCAAATATGACATTGCTGCGGGCATTGGTCCAGTTCTTGATAGTTATTGTAAACAACTCCGATGTCAACAAAATGACCATCAGAAATGTTGGTATCGTCTTTGCTCCTACATTGAACATCCCAGCACCCGTCTTTTCAATGTTTCTCACCGACTTCGATGACATATTCGATGGGACGCCAAATATCAGTGCTGAGCAGTCAGAGTCGAACGTCAACAATCCTACTTCCCCTGAAGATTTACGCTATCCCCATCGGCAGATTGCCTCGGATATGCCCACCCCGGGTTATAGTCAAGCGATATTCAGCGAACATATGGGCTCTGTGGAAGACGCCTATCTTCAGAACAGTATAAGCTCGATGTCGAAGCAGCCAAGCTATGAGCGGTTTGCTGGTAGCGGGCCAGAGGAATATAGCCTTGGCCACGCAAATTCACCATCCTTGAATAGGATGTTGACACCGAACATCGATAGTTCTCGCTCGGCAAAGGCGAAAAGGAGAGAAAGTTCTCTCCTATTCATGGAGGTCAACCATCAGGACTTCTCTGCTTCGATTGATGGTGGAAATGGTAGGCCGCCCAAAATAACTCGCTAGTAACTAGCATCCGCTGATATCTGAAAGTTTGAACACCCTCACGCGTCATCAATCGGAACAGTTGTGTTGATGGCGTATAATAAGATCACGTGATTCAGTGATCTCCTACATCAATGTTCTTTTTCCTCTTTAGCCCAATTTCTTGCCTTTGCTATTTCTTCTATTCCAAGCCCAGTCCCCCTTCCTTTTTTCTCTGCCGAGGTTCATTTGTTATCCTCAATCTTTCCGCAGTATGGATCCACTTCTACGACTGAGCTCGACGATCAAACGAATGTGAAACGACGACATTGTACTTCCGCTACAATCAACCAAGAGCCACGGGGACTCTTAATACTACTAATCATAATCGGGAGCCTCCTTTATTTTCCACCCAGTTTCCTGTCTTTCTTTGCCCGTTACCGTGCAGAGTCAGCACAGAATACTTCTCTCTGCTGCTGATAATGCGGGTTGTACACATTATGAACCTTCCTAAAGGAGGCATGTCCGAGAAACAATATACCCCCACCCTTATGATTTCGCCCTTTGGTCTTTGGCCTACGCTTATGCCACGTTCAAGAACAGCAGGTCCTTATTGGTTTGCTCATAGTCTCCAGCCTATATAGCTATCTAAATATGAGAATTAGTTCAAACAAGCAACTGCCACTGGATTATGGAAAGATATCAATGTTTCACAGGCGGACGTGTACACGTCACGAATTCACAAGAACAGAGGTATCCAGATGATAGTATTAGAAAGGGTTGGAGAAGAAAGAACCTTGATCCTAGAAACCCTTTTCCCGTTCGCCCTTCCAGAAACCCATCAACTCCCCGTTTTCTTTGACCCAGTCCCGCAAGCCATCTACCAAAGCCTTCGCCATTCCCTTATTTTTTAATTTTCCATCAGATGATAGAGAGCTGCGGGAGAACCTTGAGGTAGGCACGCGGTCGCCGGTGGCATACTCGGAACCCATACTGGGCAAAATATTATCTCCCGCACTGAGGCTAACGAAGAGCGCAAATGGAACCAGCCAGACGCACAGTCCAAAGTAAGACGCGACTTCCGTGAACGTTGGCATGTCCTCAATATTGACTTGATACGGCTGGCGCCAGCTTGTGGCGCTGCGCGACGAAGGCAATGGGCGCGAGAAGTGGCGGAACCAAAGACAATGATTCAAGCCAACAAGGACGCATGACAGAACGAAGAGCGGGTCGGACAATTTGACAATGGGGAATCGGCGAAGATTGCTGGCATACACGATGTGGGAGCCTATGCTGAGAGCAGATAACGAGAAAGGGAATCGGTCAAATACGGTGAGAAGGACCTGCACAGCGATGATGCTGTATATCAGCCGGTACAACAGCCGACGGGCGAGGACTGTATGTTCCTCCACAAGCTCCGAAAGATAGTAAAGGCCAGAAGCTAGAAGCAGGTCAGTCTCCAGAGCATGTAATTTCGTAAATCGCATGTGATCGGGGTGTTCTTTTCCGATGAGGGCAGGGGGGATAAAAAAATGGGGGAGACAACGCCGTCGTCGTCATCGTCGTCATTGCGCCTCGCGCATGGCGGGCATTTCATATCGTACCTATCGCTAAGGTAAGGAAAGCGAACCCTACGATGACCCCCAAGTACCCTACCAACGGCAGGATCCACATATTTGCAAAGATAAAGGGCGCGGTGACCGGTTTAGTTCGGGGAGGAAGGAGAGTGCACTGGCGTAGCAACAGAGCACCGAATACTTAGCTGGCAGGATGCAGCAGCAATAGCATGCAAGCGGACACTGGAGCCGAACGTGACAGTCTTTGATACCTCAGGCATCCAGAAAGTGGTGCCAACTGCCAAGCCCCCGCGGGCTAGTACTCCGCCCGGCGAAAGAACTCCCCCCGCCCCCCAAAAAAAGAGGATTTTTCCTCTCTCGCGAGTCTCAACATCACTTTTTTCCCTAGCCCCTCGAACTTGTGTGGGATTCGTTGCAAACATGTCGCGTCCCGAAGATGTCTTGTAGGTGGCCTTCATATACTCGCACTGGATAAATTCACCAAAATCTACTAACACAGTGCTACACAATCTAAGGCCTCCGGATCTATTCTACGATGACAATGAGTCTCGGAAGTATACCACTTCATCGCGTATCCGTAACATCCAGTCCGATATGACCCATCGGGCCCTTGATCTTCTAGACCTTCGGTCACCGTCACTCATTCTTGATGTTGGCTGCGGCTCTGGTCTTTCTGGCGAGATCCTTTCTCAGGTGTCTCCGGAACATGGCGGTCCGCACACTTGGTTCGGCATGGATATTTCGCCCAGTATGCTCGACGTCGCCCTTCAACGCGATGTCGACGGCGACCTTTTTCTTGCTGATATCGGGCAAGGGATACCCTTCCGTCCCGGAACTTTTGACGCAGCCATCAGCATTAGTGCTATCCAGTGGCTCTGTAATGCGGAGTCGAGTGATGTTAGTCCGGAAGGTCGTCTCCGTCGCTTCTTTGAGGGTTTATATGCTAGTCTTCGGCGTGGAGGTCGCGCAGTCTGTCAATTTTATCCCAAGAATGATGCTCAGCGGAGCATGATTAGCGGAGCTGCCATGAAGGCTGGCTTTGGAGCAGGTATACTTGAAGATGATCCGGGTACAAAGAACAGCAAATTATACCTGGTTCTCACAGTCGGAGGCGGTGGGTTACAAGGCGACATCACTGGTATTGTGAATGGTCTGAACGATGTGGATGTCTTGGACGCCCGGAAGAGGGCCATGGAGCATGGGAAGCAGCCATCGTCCAGGAAGGGTGACAAGGCCTGGATTCTGCACAAAAAGGAACAGATGACACGGAAGGGCAAGGTCGTCAAAGCAAATTCGAAATATACTGGCAGAAAACGACGTCCCGCTTTTTGATTTCATTGTGCAACGGGATCACAGTTCCGGCCAAATTGCTCACCTAATACAGACCACGGTATTGTGGAGCAGATCTTCCACTGTCGGTCAGTCGGCACTGAAGAAGAGCTCTTAATGTTCCGGCTCCGTTGGAGAAACGGAGGGCTCAGCAGCAAGTTCTCGGCCATCTTTCTTGCATTTGCATAGTGCTTTAATCTCTCTCCTTTGGGTTGTCTTCTTTGCCCGTTCTTGGCTTCTGGTCGAGTTGTTCGCTGGCTATAATCCTAGGAGAAACTAACGCCTCACCAATGATCGGGGCGGAGGGAGCCCGTACATATAAACCACCGGATAAGACGGTAAATCTCCCCCTACGTCATTGAAACAAGGACCCACGGCCGCTAGGTGAGCCAGGATGACGCAGAGGCACGCTTCTATTTCCAACGATAGTGTATATAGTTTTACACATCCTAGCCCACATCTTTGTGTAACGCCGCGAGTCGTTGCGTAAGACACTATTGGTATTGTTCCAGATGAAAGGGGGTACAAGATATAGAGACCGTTGAGGATGGCCAGACATAGTCTACAAGCAAAGAGAGAAAAGAAAACAGTTAACTGGCCTATACAAGCTCTCATCATCATAAATGTAGCAGGTACCAAAGGTAGCGTGGGGGGTTGATTGTCAGGTGAGTCAAGAATCACAGAGCAGCCTCCATCTTGTCAAGGACGGCTCTGGTAAATTCATGAGTGGTGGCCTGTCCACCCATATCCCGGGTCCTCATATTACTATGAGATTCCCGCATTAGCAACAGCTCTAGATAAGACTTGGGCCCAAAAGAAAAGATGTGCATTACTCACCCTTCACCGATCACATCATAAACAGCCTTCGAGATGCGGTTCGCGTGGTCGTCCAGTCCCAGGTGGCGCAGGAGCATGGATCCGGATAGGATCATAGCGCTGGGGTTCGCCTGGTCCTTGCCTTTGATGTCAAGCCCAACATGACGGCAACCAGGCTCAAACACTGCAACATCACGTCCCATGTTGCAGCCAGGGACAACGCCGGGACCACCGACAAGGGCAGAGCCGATGTTAGAGAGGATACCTCCATACAGGTTGGGCATGACCATAACGTCGAACTGCTGGGGCCGCGAAACAGCTTGCATGGAAGCGTTGTCGACGATCATATCGTTGACCTCCAAAGTCGGGTAGTTCTCCGCAACCTTATGGAAGGTGCTGCGGAAAAGGCCGTCGGCAAGCTTCATGATGTTGGCCTTGTGGATGCAAGTAACCTTCTTGCGGTTGTTGGCAAGAGCAAAGCCAAAGGCAAACTTAGCAATGCGCTCAGACTTGGCACGAGTGATGATCTTCAATGACTCCACAACACCTTGCACGGACTGGTGTTCGAGGCCAGAGTATTCGCCCTCTGTGTTCTCACGGATAATGCAAAGATCAACATTTTCGTGGCGGGTCTTGTATCCCGGAATGTTCTTGATGAGAACAATCGAGGCAAAGATATCGAGCTCCTGACGAAGAGCAACGTTGAAGGACTGGTGGCCGGAGCGCTCAACGGGGGTGAAGAGAATACCCTTGAGACCCAACTTGTTACGCCGCAGGGAGGCAATGGATTCCTTGAAGAGCTCCTCCGAGTGTTTGTTACCGGTGTCCACACCGCTAACATCTACCTGCTCCCACTCAATGGGGACATTGTCGGCCTTGAAGATGGTCTTGACCGATTCAGCAACCTCGGCACCAATTCCGTCACCTTTATGGAGTCAATGCCATGGACGCATCAGCGATATGCCAAAACTGGGAGGGGAGACGCGTATAGGTACCGGGAATCAGAGTGACGGTGTATTTGCCACCATACTTGGTGGGCTTAAAGATATCCGACTGCACGCTAGCAAATGCTTGCACATAGAGTCAATAAACAGAGGATCTCGAGGAGGGTGCTGAAAGGTTGACGCACATCTTGCCGGGATGGAGGAACGGACGAAGGAAGTCGGGGCCGCAACGCGACGGAGGAAAGACTGCCAAGAATAGTCGCGTTAATAGACGGATAGGCAATGATAAAAAATTAAGAACAAAGACACTAGCGTCTACGATCAATCATGACGGAGAAGGCAAGAGGGAAATCAAAGGAGCCTCCCAGAGGCTTTCCGGATCCAGCCGGGCGAAAGGATGTAGCAAGCGGCGGTGGGAACGAAGTAAGGGAAGGGAAATCGAGCGAAATGGGGTCGGACAAAGGAATTGATCGGTAAGAAAGCAAGGACTCGTCCACTCACCTGCGCAGGTTGCGCCGTCCTCAAAGAGAACATTTTGAAGGGCAATGAGGTAGGGAAAGAAAGAGAGATAGGATGAAAGGACTGGGGACGAGGGGGGGGGAGGGGAGAGGGGATCCAAAACCTTGCGGACGGGGGAGCAAAAGAGTGAGGAGGGAAGACGAAGACGGACCCGGACACGGCGAGAAAAGAAAGAAAGCCAGCGATGCGTGCACGAGACACCGGAAAAAACGGCGGATCCTCTCGGCATCCACTCAAGCGGTCGGGCAACCAACTACAGTACTACACACACGCGGGCCGATCTTATCTCCCGCCCTCATCCACCACCACTCCTCTCTCCTCTACGCTACGGAGTACCTTCCTTACACTCTCCGCCACCCCTTGTAGGTCTCCGGGGGTAAATTCTTGCCCAGAGAGACAAAAGGAACTCCTCAAAAGATGGTTGTTTCCGCAACCCCCCGGTCCTCGTCAACTCACCCGATGTGCGGTACCAAGAGCGGACGCTTTGTTCTGTATATAAGGACTCTGACCCTTCACAGTCGTGATTTACCATGACCATCCAAGCCAATGCTCTAATTGCATCTACAAACAAAATCTTCCAGATTTTTGAACTTTACTTCTCTTGACTACAAAAATGATGCCCGTCTCTCTTGTCCTTGCCGCCCAGGCTGCCACTACTGTCCAGGCTGCTGCCATGCAGAGGTGGTGCAATCTGCTCGGCCAGCCATGCAACATGATCAAACGGGCTGTCGAGGCTGGCAGCGAAGTCAAGCGCTCCGCCGATGCTTTTGCAGAGGCTATGGCAGCTATCGATGAGGAGGATTTCCAGTAGACTGATCCACTGGTCCAACTGGTTCGCGCCGGCCCTTCCTCGCTCGTTGCTAGTCTTCCCAAGACTTTAACGTCTAAGGTCGGCTTCTATTATTCTTCTCTTCACTTTCGTCATCTATTCGTTCAACATTGGTATACCACAACTTTGGAGGGCTTGGCTCAAAAAAAAAAAAAATCAAAAACTATCATACCACAATCGGGCGGAAATCAAGACCCGCAAAACAGGTGCTGGGTTCTATCAAGTCACTCTTTCTAGCAATATATTTATCGCATCGACTCTCTTGGTCGTTGGCAACTACGTCTTCGTGCTCTACCTTCTGATTCATCCCGGTATGATGTTCATGGCGGTTTCCCTTGAAAGGTCCAAGTGAAAACATCAGGGGCCAGGTCATGGAGATATCGGGGGAAGGCGGGGAGTGGGTGGGGGTGAATGAGGGAGTCGTTGGGTAAGAGGGGAACACAGTCATGCCATGTCTTGAGTGCTGTCTGTAAACTTGAGAGCTTATCTATATTGCCTCTATTTATATCTTATATAGTTATTACAGGAATCCGCGATTATGTTCTCTCATTTACACCAGTTGGCTTACAGCCAGCGGGCCTCAAAAGATCAGTCCTTTCTTTATGTATATGTCCTCCAATGCATTTGGTTCACCAATCTAGAAAATGACCACTACGAAACCAAGACACGGATACTGTTGAGATACGTAGAGAATATCCGAACATGCCATAGGATTGGCCTGTGGCGAGGTATTATTACCACCTGAATGAGCACTACCTACTCTGACACCCTGAAATGAGTCCCATATGGCACTTCCTAATCGGCCTGGCGATGATGCAGTAGGCCGCAATGGGAATGGCGGTTCATCTCATCAAATAACCCATATTGATACTCCATTAGTCCTGGCTGTGTAGATTCCCACCATCTTCGACCCTGAGCATAGTAGATGGGGTCACTTGCAAGCTTGTACGGTGAGCCTGTTGTCGGCTCAGCCACGATATGTGTGGGCTGAGATGCAGAGAGCCCATTGCTTCGCTGGGGCATCGTCTCATATCCAGTGACCATATATGGCTCGGCATACTGGTGCACATCATCTTCACTCTCACTTCTCACAGGTACATCGCACATCTCACGATCACCAGATCTAGTCGTCCAACCAAATGGAGTTGAGACTATTGCCACAGTGCTAGCTACATCCGCGGTTCCCAGATCTGACTGGTTCCTTCCGACGACGCTGCTAGTGGTTGCATAACTGTGTTCCGAGGAAATCTGCCAGATCTGGATGAGACGTGATTGTTGTTCTGGCATCGCGTGTTCAAAAAGTTCCATTTGTTTGGGCGAAAGTGTCGAAGGGTCGACGTTGTGTTGCCTGAGTGTCTCGCTGATGGCACCGTTGGTGCCTTCTGTTGAAGGACGTGTAGCATTTTCACGAACTAAATGCGCTGAATGGTGATAATGTTGTGAGATGCTATACATTTCTGGGGAGGCAATAGGAGGGTGCTGCACTCCCTGATCTTCTTCGGGTGGGAATGGCACTCCTATGCTCATCCGCTTTTCGAAAAGCGCCGCGAGGTCGTCTTGTAACTCCAGGTCGCTTTCAGAAGCCGACAAACCGCACTACACGGTTTTCTGGTCAATGAACTGGTGAAGATATAAAACCAGATATATGAAGCATCTACCTGACTACAATAGGGATTCTGGATGAAAGCAGCAAGTGCATTGGAGATATCTGTAACTTGCCCACAACAGGGGCAGCTATGCAATATGGACGAGGACATATTGTGTTTTGGGATTCTTGAAATGGCAAAATGATTGGGAGGAGGGGGGGTGAACAAATGATGTACGTTCAATCTTTCTCAGTACTAGGAAGCGAAAGAGGTAGCGAAATAGTAAATTCTAAGCAGCCCAAGGTTCTGAAACCAGCGATTCAGGGACAGAATCTCCAGCCTTCCGATAAAATAAGAAATGTAATCAAACAAGATATGCAAAGGGGGTTGATGCTCCATGGGGAGCAGAATTAAATACATCAAGCACGCGGGTGGGGGAAGGTATGTCAGAAGTCAACCCATACATCGTCGATGCCCGAAACACTAACACGGTTGGGCACTTGTAGAAGAGCAGCGATAAATCGATGCACCGTGCAGGCCTGGCCTTTCTCTCCTTAGATAGTAGGGTAGGAGCTACTACTAAGTACTAGTAATGGATAAAAGTGACATATGGCCAGCGAACCGCCGGTCTCTATCTCGATGCTAGAAGTGTCTACGTCATATGGGTTTCCCATCCAGAGCCGCCCGTGCATAAGCAAGTACGTACTTACTTGCAGTGTATCGTTTGGTGCTCAGGTGTCACTAAGATATTCGCATATATGGGCAGCATGTGTTGATGATCAGTGGTAATCTAAGTATTTAGTTACTGTGGTGACAGATGTGTAAACTCAACCCCTCTCCGTACCAGCTCGGTATACCCCGTTGTCCGTATGAGTGGGGTCAAAAAGGACGAGAAGCCGCGCAGTCACCTGATATTGACTCTGCCCGTAAAAGCAGCATGGAGCTAGTACCCATCGAGGAGGACATGATGTACTCGGCACTAACTGCTAGTGGGCTGGCTGCCCGGGCTAGGCATTGCTGGGTAACTACTAACTACGCGTACTCTAGCTACCTACCTTACCCTACTACCTCGTTGCCCTGTATTCAAGCTTCGAGAGTTTCCAGCTTCTCCATCCCCTCAACTTTACCAGGTCCTCCTGTTTCCTGACTATACCCCTCTTGAATCCCAAGCCTGTACCAAGCAACCCTTAGCAGCCATGGTTGGTTTGAGCCGTGCTCCCGAGCTGACGTTCCTCCCTAACTGATTGATCTTCTCTCTATCTAGACTTCCATCGGGACTGGGTATGATCTCTCCAACTCAGTATTTTCCCCGGACGGTCGCAACTTCCAGGTATTCATTCTGTCTCCCGCGAAATGGATAGCAAACGCGGGCTGTTGACTATCCTCACTAGGTAGAATATGCCGTCAAGGCAGTCGAAAATGGAGGAACGGCAATTGGCATTAGATGCAAAGATGGTGTGGTGCTGGCGGTGGAAAAGATCATTACTAGCAAACTTCTGAAGCCTGGCGCCAATAAGAGAATAGCCACTGTTGATCGTCATGTTGGCATTGTAAGGCTTCAGTCTGGATTGACATGGATAAACCTTTGCACTGCCCAGGAGTCCGTCATACTAATACGTTGTTGCTTTTACTTTAGGCTTCAGCCGGACTGGTGCCAGACGGGCGGCATTTTGTTTCCCGGGCTCGCGACGAGGCTTCATCGTGGAGAGGTGTCTACAAGGGGCCAATCCCGATCTCCGCGCTGTCTAATCGCCTTGGAAGCTATGTACAAGCCTACACGCTCTATTCCAGTGTACGGCCTTTTGGGGTGACTGCTATTGTCGGAGGCTGGGACTCCGAAGCTGAACTTGCCGTCGACGGCCAGGTCGGAAGTGGACCCAAGTCGGGCTCTGGTGGTAAGGTCGAGGGGGCCAAAACTGGAGGCCCGGGTCTATATATGATTGAGCCAAGTGGCCTGTATTGGGTAGGAAAGCGTGCTTGGTCTTTGTGCTTCTTCGATGCTGACGTTGTGGAAGGGCTATTATGGCGCTGCCACCGGGAAAGGACGACAGGCGGCTAAGGCTGAGCTTGAGAAACTTGACCTGAGCTCCGGCACACTTAGTCTCGTTGATGGTGTGAAAGAGGCGGCTCGGATTATCTATGTTGCCCATGAAGACAGTAAGGACAAGGAATTTGAGCTAGAAATGACCTGGATTAGTTCATTAGACGGTCCAACAAAAGGAAGACATGAGGAGGTGCCCAAAGATCTCCTTGAGGAGGCAGAACGGGCGGCAAAACGGGCACTGGAGGGAGAGGACGAGGAAGAGGATGCAACAAAGGGCAATTCGAATGAGACTGAACGGATGGAAGAGTGAATATGTTGAGTTTACGCCGACACCGGAGATCCGGTTCGGAAACAATTCTTCTAGCCACGTTGGCCTTCTCATGCGGATCCCTTGTTCTGACAATCAGTAAATGAATGTATGCTACAACGCATTTACTCTTTAATCACCACTTCCGCTTCTCAACCTTTGACGCGTGCAATTGCCTAACCTTACTTGGGCAGCCGGTCGACAAACAAATCAATAAGTAACAACTTGCCCAGGAAATGAGTTTATCATCTCGCCGAAGGGCCACTAGACAACCCTACCCTCGGCCCATTCTCTCCTTTTTGCTCCGAGTTCCACCGCAGCATTTCCCCAGTCCTCCCCATGGTTGTGCATCCCCTTCTTGCCCATTCCAGCCCTTTCCAGGCCTTGCTCTTCAGTCAGAACAGTTAGCAGGCCAAATATAACGGGCACTCCAGTGTCAAGCTGAACACGCATCAATCCGTGAGATACGGATTCGGCGATGTATTCAAAATGCATAGTCTCCCCCTTGATTAGTACGCCCACCGCGATGATGGCATCGAAAGGCTTGGGTGCATCGGACGATGACGACTGCATAGGCACTTTCGTAAGGTCGGCTGTAGAGGAAGACAGCAAATCAGTGGCACTGATGCCCTGGGCTGAGGCTGGGCTCTTGGCGGCTTCAATTTGGGAAGCCGCATATATCCTAGCGACGCACATGGCTAAAATGAGCATCAAGAAGTTATGTAAAAAGTAAAAAAGCAAGAAGCAGATGGCAATACACTCACCGCTGCACGGCAAATGGTAGCTCATAACTCCCTGGAACTGTGTGCACTGTTATATTATTCTCAGCAACCCCAGCTGATAGGAGGCTCCGCTTAGCCCCGTCCACGAGGGGACCAATTATTGCCATGTTCCACCTCGCATGGACAATCGCAATTCGCAGCCCAGAACCTAGAAAAATCAGCGCCGAGAAACCCAGAGGTCAAATACAGTACGTGTTTGAAAGGAGCCCTTACCATCATGCGTCTGAGCAGCGCCAGGACCTTTCAGGGAAGCCATCACGTCTAGTGCTCTAGGATTTCGAATTATGAAAAGTATCGGAGGGATTGTCAAAATGACCAGGACAGATGTTAGGACAATATAGTATATGAAGCAGCAACGACATGCAACATGAGTTGGAGTCCCGGCGCAGAGTGGGGAACCAAACTCTACCCCGCTGGGGCTTGGATGAGGGCCTCTTGAACACCAGCACTTACCTATCCACTGATGTAATTTAGTCAGTCCTTTGAGAGCCACATGCTAGATATTACCAAAAAGTGACTCAGAGCTCAGAGAGATCGTTCGATCATTACTACTACTAAAAAGGTGCAAATCCATGTTACTAAATAAAAAAGTGGGGATAAAGAGTTGGTACAGAACGGAATGGCTGGGCCCATCTAGAAGACAAATACAGGCAGGAGGTTGGAGGCAAATCAAAGGAAACAGGGAAAGGCACATAGAGAACTACAAAGTCTGTGGCATCTACATGCATGGCATCATTAAGCAATATAAAGATCATATGGATTAACTGAAAATTAAAAGCCTCGTGCCCACGAATCTATCCTTTTTCCGCATATCCTCTTCAAGCAGTCGTCCTCTATTCAACAGTGACTGACTTCGCAAGGTTACGAGGGAAATCAACATTGAGGCCCTCTCCAACGGCGAGCCAGTAGGAGATCAGCTGCAGTGGGATAACGTTCAAAAGACCTTGGAGGCAATCCACTGTCTTGGGGACTTCGATCTTCTCTGTTTGAGCAGTGGAGAATTCCGGGTCATCATAATTGCAGATCACGATAGGACGGCCTCCTCGAGCAATTACTGTCAGGCAGTTAGAGGCTGAGTCTGGAAAACGAGGGTAAATGGTTGTCTAACCTTGTTGATAAGCATTCAATGACTTGGAGAAAATGTTATCCCTGGTAAGGATCATGATGATAGGCAGATTCTCGTCAACAAGAGCAAGGACACCATGTTTCAATTCACCTGACATGACGGCCTCGCAATGGAGGTAGGAGATCTCCTTGATCTTGAGCGCTCCTATAAGGCATGTTAGCACCCAGGAACCGCTTTCAGTGTGATGATCTAGCTAACCTTCAAGGGCCGTAGGAAACTGGCCTCCTCTGCCTAGCAAAAGCAAACTCTTCTGGTTCTTGAAGAATTTCGCACACATCTGCTTAATGGGCTCATTGAGCTTCAGGATCTCTTTGAATTGTTCCGATACTTTGGCCAAGCCCTCCATGATCTCCTCGCGTCTCTTTTGCTTCGAAGCTCGGTCCTCGCTAAGAGAGAGGGCGAACATGACCATGGCTACAAATTGCGATGTGTATGCCTTCGTAGAAGCGACACCAATCTCTGGTCCAGCGTTGATGTGCACACCGCAGTGAGTCAAAAGAGAGATAGAGGAACCAACAACATTAACAATACCGACAGTCAAGGCACCACGCTCAAGGCAATAACGCAGGGCCATTAGGGAATCAGCGGTCTCTCCCGACTGAGAAACAAAGACGCATGTATCGTCACGGAACACGGGCGCCTGTCTGTCCAGAAAGTCCGAAGCAAGCTCGACTGAGATAGGTATCTCGGTGAGCTCTTCAAAAACACCACGCACAGCCATGCATGAATGGTAGCTGGTTCCACAGGCCACGAAAATAATTCTTCTGCACCGACGGATGGTGGAGATATATTGTCGGAGACCGCCCAGTGTTACTTGTTTGTTTGCAACATCCAATCGGCCTCTCATGGTGTTAACCACGGATTCAGGCTGTTCGAAGATTTCCTTCTGCATGAAGTGATCAAACTTTCCTTTCATGATTTCCTGTAGTTCGAGTTCGATGGTCTGGATGGCACGAACATTAGATGTGCCATCATCTTTCGTCAACCGATGAATGTTCAGTTGTCCCTCGTGTATATGAGCAATATCATCATCCTCAAGGTAAAGGACTTTTTTGGTATGCTCAACGATCGCAGAAGGGTCCGAGGACAAGAAGAACTCAGCAGGCTGGGGAACGCCATCATCGGAGAGGAAAGCACGAGACTGCGACCGGTGCAAGAGCGACTTATCAGGAGGCGCAAGCAGCCCAGTGGTAGACTTCTTAATGGCAACATTTTGAGAGGCCTGTTCCGCTGGAAGGGGCCCATCTTCAGAGTATTCCACGTCGACGAAGTCTACCTTCATTTTTCTTGAAGTTCGCACGCCAACTACAAGCGGGGAGCCTTTGCGGGCCGCGATCACTTCATGGGGATAGTGCACAGACTTAATGAGCAGGCCGAAGGCGCCCTCAAGCTCCTTAATAACAGCCTTGGCCAACACTGTAAAGTCGATGTCTGGCTGCTGGTCATATAGATACTTTGTAAGCTTGGCAATGCATTCGGTGTCTGTCTCAGTCTCGAAGCGGAACCCTTTGCTCTCCAGCAAGGCCTTCAATTCTTTGTAGTTGGTAATGATGCCATTATGGACAACAGCAAATTCCCAGTTGGGATCAGATCTAGACAATGAAGTTTCTTAGTCTCAGTCGGTCTAGGATATCATGGGCCGTTCAAACGTGGAACAAACCACTGGTTGCAGCAAACCTACCTGTGTGGATGACAGTTCCGGCGAGACGGAGTTCCATGAGTAGCCCAACGGGTGTGAGCAATGCCAGCATGGGATTCAAAGGTCTTTGTGAAATTGGGCTTTTGGTCTTCGATGAGCTCCTTCAACTTGGCAACCTTGCCAACTTCTTTGAAGGCACAGACTTCATTTTTCTTGTCACCATCGACAGCGAGACCGGCAGAGTCATAGCCACGGTATTCAAGTCTCGAGAGCCCTACGCATCGTTAGAATACAGTAAACCATGCTGTGATAAGTTGTGAAGTCTGGCATACGGGGAACCCACCGTTGAGTATGGTATCGAGGATGAATCTGCGATCCCTTTCGACAAGGTAGTTGATGTAACCGAAGATGCCACTGGAGGTTTCAAGTTAGGCACGAGGTCGCCAAGTGTCTAAGAGATGGTCATACATACCACATGGTTGTTATTTCAATTGACGGAGGTTGAAGCGGGTATTCAAGGATAGGAAGGGTAGAGGGGTATAGAGCCAATGCCACAAAAAGACACTCTGGCTAGATAATCAAGACAAGGTCACCTAGGTAGGACAATGTTAACCTAAACATCAATAAGAAAGCGTTGAGGGAAGGTATTTGATTTACTATTAGCGTAGATTGGGCAGAGCGAGTCACAAATTTGTAGGTATGAGGGGGTCAGAGGAAGGGATAAGAAGAAAACCGGAGAGGCTGAGGTAGGTGGTTAACTTGGATCAACAAACACTTGGGAAGGTTGAAAGGAGGGGGAGCTGTTATGTTTTATGTGGTGAGATCGACCCACCTTGGCACACAGACCAGGGAAGCTGCTATAGGCACTCCCACAGCCATTCATCAAATGAGGTAGCAGCCAATAAGCCCACCCTGCGCCTCACACAGTCTATTATGGTATGTTTCACCCGTGACTCGACTGAGGTCAAGGTCATCCCCATCCAAAGGTAGCGATAGAAAATATCGAACTAGTCTGTACTACGGCGGTAGTAAGATACTCACCCCCCACCTGCATTGTCGAAATAACAACACTCCACTTTTAACTATTATTAGTCAAGTTAGGCAAATTCTTTGCCTGACGCCATGGATCTGGTTCCATTGACTGGTGTGAGCCTGTGACGGAGGGGAAAACTTCTAAACATAGTATTACGGAGTACGGAGAAGTTTTCTAATAATAGTTTAAGTGCTCGGTAGTAGATTGATACTAGTACCAGATAGTAGGTAGTTAAGTTACTCTGTACGGAGTACCGATGCTGATACTCTGCTTTTACAGGCACGTCGCCCTATTAGATGAAGGCAGGCGCAGTTTGTGGGGGATGTTCCCGCCCATATCATGGGATATAGAATCTTGCAGCTGCAGGTTCCATGTCTTGCTCGTGGTCTCTATGTACAGCCTGGTTCATTTAACTGTGTATCGATTTGGCTGGAGCTGCTGGTATTTCCAATTAGGACCCTTGAAAATCTACCAAATGAGGGGTTAAAAGGGGGGGGAGATGGTCGTGGGTATGGAGATAGAGAAATTTAAGAAGCCACCGTGCTTTATTTTTTGATGGTATCTACTTCGTCTGACCCGTGGAAAATTAAAACAGAAACTTGGTTGAGGCTGTCCCCTTTCCTACTGGTCATGTATCCGATAAAATTCCCCACCGTAGTCGAACGGATAGTATCTCTATTCCCAGGTTAACGATTCAGTATAAATTTTCCAAACATGCACTACGATTTACATGTTGGAGTAACTACTTACTGTTTTTTATATTGGATACCAGTGAAACAGTTGGGCCGCGGCAGCATACCTAGCATAGAAGTTAAGGCATGCAGATGAACACCGCCGACCTGGTGGCAAAGACAAAGAAGCAACTTGTAGAAAGCGAAAATTCTACCTATATAATACCCCACATGTTTTCTGATCCATGTTTAGATTCCAGAAAGCAAGGAGTACATAAACTACCAAAACACAGTTTCCAAGCTTATGGGCTTGTTCCCCATTTATGATGCTTTGGTCAATATATGACTCTCTACTTTGCATTTCTCCAATCCAATTACTGCCTACATGGTATCCTCGGCAACTATGACTACGCCCCTAATATGGAGTAGCCTACTCCGTATATTGTTATATGATACATATTATGGCCCCACAGCTACCACCACTACTGCTACCAGGTATACCTTAGAGAGGCCTTGGAGGCTGGGGTTTCTAATTTTGCACCTGATTTACCGATGCATTGGCAAGTTCTTGTTGGATCATTGGATGCCTACGGAGTATATATTTATGAAATATATACTCCATAAGTACGATGTGCCTGATGTATATATAAAATATTAGAGATAAGTATAAATGACGCATAGGCAGGAGATATTGTTGACATACATAGACTGACTAGCACCTAGCTATGGTTTTTAGTCGACTTGGTAAGTCGTGAGATGCCTAGAGATATGACCATGCCCTTATTTTGTATAGAATATCTCATGTCAATGTCACAATAGTTGAATCCTTGCGTGAGAAATTCCATTCCTCGGAGTACTAGGTGCAGCATGCAGTAAAAGGTTGGTAGCAGATATACCTATAGGCCGGTCTAGATAGGAAATCAATTTTTCGTACTACAGCATCAAGAAACCCCTTACTCGGATACATGGCCCTTTGTCTCTACCTACACGGATGTATTGCTGGGTTGAACAGTGTCTATGAGCAGGCATGTGACAATTTTATCTGTACATACTCATCTTCTAGCCTTGTCTTCTTGGTGGCGTTGGGTATATAATTCCTGTAACCATTAAAGCAAAACATGGATTAGATCGCCCGCATGCATTGGTGTGCTACACCCAAGTCAGGAAAAATAGACTATCAAACTCCGCATCTTATTGGCTACAATGATAAATTATAATATGCCTTTTCTACCCCGTACTACGTTTGGAGCAGCCGAAAGGGCCTCGAAAGAAAAGCTGATAAAGTTCGAAGTTCCAGCATCTGCCACCCCTTTCCTGAGACATGCTGGAGCGCTTTGTTCTAAAGTCCCAAGAATCTATCAATACCTCGAATTATGACAATCCTCACTGCGGTGTACTTCACCTAACCCTAGTACTTGCGAATAATATAGTTACCTTGCTACCTAACACCAAAGCCGGAGCTTCCCTACTTCCTGTAGTACTATACAGAAGCCCAACCCCAAGACAAAGGCTGCACGGACATCGTCTTACCTTGCGGTAGATTTAGATTTCTTTCGTGCGTATTGCTCAATGGAACGGGTTCGGGGAGAGCCATAAAAGAGAACACCTGATTTTCGTTGCCAGTAAGTCAATGTCAGTATATTTTATATAGGATCAGAGAATATTGATAGAATCGGGTCAGATATCTAAAGATCATCGCTAGCACAGGAATAAGGGGGTCCCATGCAACGTTCGTTCAAGGCCGAAGATAAGCTAGATAGCCATATCCTCAAGCGTAGACAGCAGCGGACCACGAATGACAAAGTATGGTATGGTAGGCGGCTTCTCTACTCCGTGCCCCTATGAAAGTAAAAGAAACAGGTATATTCAGTGTCCTAACTCGGAAACCACCTGCACAATAACAGCATTCTGGGGGCTCTACTATACTTTCTGGTCTTTGCGTCTAATTTCTTTTGTCTTCCTAATTCAACTCTTTCTCTAGCCGACCGCGGTGCTGATCAAACCATCTAGTGTAATCTTATGGATTGTTATGTTTCCCCGCTACTCTACAACCGGTGTTCTTACCATGAATCGCTTTCTGTGCGCGTTTTTCCTGTCGCGTTGGTAGGGGTTGACCAGAACGGGGTAAACCAGATTGTTTAGTCCCTCCGTGCAGCCTCCCTGATCTTCTTTTCTTCCCTTCTTTTCTTGATTATCTTTCTCCCATCCCAAGAGTTTCAATCCCGCCCCTCCTATTCTCCCACCTTCTTTCTTTAATTTTCGCCCAAGCCTTCTCTCGATCCTACCCGCCCTGTCCAGAATTCATTGGTTCGACTTCTCTCGTTACCGCCTTGAGTTCAGGGTATTTCCTGCCAATATATTTGCGCACAGGGTGGAAGACGACTGTTAAGGATGCTACCTAGTGGCTGCAGCTGTTGTGGTCTTGGCTTGTAGCCGCCTCTCATTATGTCGCGCTCATCAGCTGGATTTGCAGACTTCTTTCCAACCGCACCGTCCGTCCTCCAGAAAAAGCGCAAGTCCACCCGGGAGCGGCATCGCTCTGGGGCCCATACGGATCGAGAGAATAGCGATGAAGGGCCTACACTTCTCTCAGAGCCTAAAGCGATCCATGATTCGACACCAAGGCTTTATGCGGAGGATGGGAAGATAGCGTCTGCTGTCAATGGCGATGGTCCCTCAAGTTCTGCAAGCGTGAGCGTCTCGGCTTCCCGCTCATCGACCCATAATCAAAGCACGGCATATGGCAATGAAGCACACCTGGATACGCTTACACCGCTCACTAATGCAGAATCGTCGCCTACCCAGAAGCTAAGTCCATCCCACGCAAGGGCGATAAATGGGATTAATGAGAGTTCGCGTATTTCCAAGACCGAGGAAATCAAGCCTGCCATGACCCCTCTACAAACCCCGCCGACGCCGCGGTCGCAGAGTCGCCCTGCTGGAAATGTGAGGGGTTGGAAGTTGACGTATGATCCTGATTCTGAGAAACGAATGTCCTCAAAAGAAAAGCGAAGAAAAGCGCGTTACGCGGACATTGTCTCAAATGGACAAGACGATCGACCGGCAGACCCTCGTCTCAAAATTCCTAATTATTCGCGTGGTGCTGGTTGCAAGCAGAAGACAAAGTATCGACCGGCTCCTTACTCATTGAAACACTGGGGATACGACGCTTCGACAACCATTGGTCCTGGACCCCCGGTACAGATAGTAGTCACTGGGTTTGATCCTTTGACTCCAATTGCTCCAATCAACGCATTGTTCTCAAGCTTCGGAGACATTGCTGAAATCAACAACCGCACTGATCCAATAACCGGTAGATTCCTTGGTGTATGTTCTGTCAAATACAAAGATAGTGCGTCGTTCAGAGGAGGCGGACCTGTTCTTGCGGCCAGCGCGGCCAGGCGAGCCTATTATGAATGCAAAAAAGAGCAGCGCATTGGAACGCGCAGGATCAGGGTTGAGCTAGACCGTGATGGCATCGTCTCGGAGAAGATAGTCATAAGGACAATTGACTCTCAGAGGATGGGAGACAAGAATAATTTCCTAGTCGCAGAAGAGCTCAAGGCAGACATTCCGACAAAGAACAATGAGCCTCCTCCAACGGCCCCCAAAGGCCCTTCAGGAAGGTCCTTGTTACGTCCTGCGGCTACCGTCCCCGAAGGACCAAGGGCAAGCTTCTTGAGGCCTGCTGCGCCATCACTGGTTGAAGAAATCCCTATATTGAGTCAGATCAAACGCGACCCGTATATTTTCATCGCACACTGCTATGTACCGGTGCTCAGTACTACCGTTCCGCACCTAAAGAAAAGACTCAAATTGTTCGATTGGAAAGACATCCGTTGCGATAAAACTGGGTATTACATTGTTTTCGAGAATTCGAGACGCGGCGAGGAGGAAACTGAGCGGTGCTACAAGATGTGCCACATGAAACCCCTATTCACGTACATCATGAACATGGAAAGCCAGCCCTATGGAAATCCTAACTACGAGCGGAGTCCGAGTCCCCAACGATTGCAGGCCGAACAGCGAGAGCGAGCCGAAAAGAATAGGCTGAAAAGGGAAGCAGAATTGGATGTTGAGGAAGAGAAGCGACAACGTGCCATTGATCTGGACCCATGCAAAGAGGTGATGGCAATAATCATCCGGGATTTGAGGGATAAACTGCTTGAAGATGTGAAGTCTCGAATCGCTGCGCCGGCTTTGTATGACTACCTGGATCCAGATAGACATGCGACAAAGAGGAAGAAACTGGGCATCCCTGACCCGGAGGGGGCCAAAAGGCCTATGTTCCGGATTGATGTTGACAGCTCAGCTGGCACGCCGGATTCGCGCTCCGACCTGTCAACCGGTCGAAATCCTCTGAGTTCGTCTGGCCTCAACATACTTGCTCTTCCACGAATTAGAAAGGCCCACCGGCTGGATCGCACAAATACTGCCTTTTTGGATGAGAGACGGAAACAACCTCTAAGAAGAAAAGAGGTCAGGCCACTTTACCATCGACTCCAGCAACTACACGATGTGGACGATTCAGACGATGAGCAGAGGACACCCTTTACAAGGGACACCGAAGATTTGGATAGTCGTGCCCCAAGTCGATTGAGTTCTGAGACCTCTGATTCAGAAGAAGACGTGGATACGTTCACTTCTGAAACACTGGATTTATCTGTTGCAGGAAGGCAGATCGATAGCGATAGGTCTCGTGACATAGAAAATTCGAAGAACGATATATCTCCTGGTTCACCCAATGAGGCTCAACAGCATGTCACCCGCGATCTCTCCCCCTTATCCCGCAAAAGGAAACGGGATGATGAGAGAGCCAGGGCGCGGAAGAGGCAAAAAGAGGATGTTGGATTCTTCGATGGGGACGATGCGGGGCCAGAGGAGAATCAGGTCGTGAGACGCTCGTCACCTGGGCCAGGATCCATCCTGGACGACGTCTCAGCGGCGGATGACCCCTCTGTAACCATCACAGATCCTGCAGGCTCTCAATGCCATATACTGGTAGACGGGCAGAAAGATGACGCAGTGGCTCTTATGCGCTCATGGAGCTCTAATGTTGAATTTGAAGGCATTGGCAAGGATCATCGCCATCTAATATCCTCCGTTGGGAATTTTGAGCATGGTAAGCAGCGGGATGGACCTAGAACGGAGATTGAGTGGCGAGTGTCAAATGACGAGCCTCGTTCAACGGTCGAGGATGATGAATCAATTGTGCTAGATCTCGATGGTTGGCAAAATTTGATAAAGGACGAGGAGGACCTGTGCTTTCTCCGTGATGTCCTGGGCGAGGTCTCGAGGTCTAATGTCGGGAACCTTTCGGCTTGGGCCTGGAGACAGAAGGAAATTAAGGCACTCAATCGCCCGGAAGAGTCTGGACCAGTACATGAGGAGACTAGCATTCCCGGCTACTACGTCTCAAATATCACCGGTGCAGCGAGGACCGAAGGAAGAAAGCGAATCTTGGAGTCAGAAAAATCGAAATATTTACCACATCGAATTAAAGTCCAAAGGGCTCGTGAGGAACGAGAAGCCAGGGCAAAGAGTGATCCACACGCTGTTGCTGCTGAAGCGGCAAGGATTGCTGCAGCAAAAACAATATCCAAGTCCACTTCCCGATCAACAAGGGTCAATAATCGCCGTCTTATTGCCGATATCAATGCTCAGAAACAGGCTCTTCCCACCCCGAGTGGCGATGGTGATGTTCTCCGGTTCAATCAGTTGAAAAAGCGGAAGAAACCAGTTCGCTTCGCCCGGTCAGCTATCCATAATTGGGGCCTGTATGCAGAGGAGAACATATCTGCGAATGATATGATCATCGAATACGTGGGAGAGAAGGTGCGGCAACAGGTTGCAGACATGCGAGAAAGGCGTTATTTGAAGAGCGGAATTGGTAGCAGTTACCTTTTTCGTATCGACGAGAACACCGTTATAGACGCCACAAAGCGCGGCGGAATTGCCAGGTTTATCAACCATAGTTGTACGCCGAATTGCACTGCCAAAATAATTAAAGTCGATGGCAGCAAGCGGATCGTCATATATGCTTTACGTGACATTGAAAGGGGTAAGTGGACCAAGCAAAAATATCTTTCGGGTCAGGTTGAAGCTGTGCTAACATACTGCATGAATAGACGAAGAACTGACCTATGACTACAAATTTGAGAGGGAGTGGGATAGTGATGATAGGATTCCATGCCTTTGTGGTTCGACTGGGTGTAAAGGGTTCCTCAACTAAGGCGCTTAAGACATGATGAATCCAAACCAAAGAGCTTCCTTTCCGTTACTCTTTTCTTTCTTTCACTTCTGTCTCTATATCAATTCTTCCACTCAACTTGCTCTTGGTCTTGGTCTGCAGTTTCTTCTTATCGATAGATGCATTAGTCGGGCGGCGTTCATTTGGAAACGGTTGGGGAGAAGATGGCTTGCATCAGGCTGGTAGAATTGTATTTATGACAACGAGGTGTGTATCTCACGATAGGGTTTTCCAACCCAATGACACCCACGACCAACGGGCCTCAAAATAAATCGTGTCCTTGATTACGCGTCATATGGCGTCAGCGGTTTTTGGCCCGGTTGTGACAAAATTAGATGCAGAGCTGGATGCCAGGGAAGATGTGACTAGATCAAGACGGCATTTCCGGACTGAGTGAACGAGGTCACCTGATTCATGTCTTTTTGATAATCTCAAACTAAGCTTTATTAGCAAGCGTTCATATATGCAATGGAGGGGATCATCAAACCCAGGTGACTAGGGAGGAGGAAATTCGCAATTCCTTCCTTGATCATGTACTCATGACCACAATTCCCGCAACACAGTCTTCCTTCGACAACCTGAGTCTCCAACAATAAACGGTGAAGGTCCTTTAGCAATTGTTCATCTTTGAGCGCATCTCCTTCCGGCTTGTTATCAGGGATTTTAGGAAAACCGAGCTGATTAAGGTCAGACAGCCTACACAACATATAACAATATTGGTGTCAGATTCTTAAAAGCACACCTCATTGGCCATCACCCGCAGCCCTTCCCAGTCAATCCTAGGGACGATGTTCAATATGAATTCTGGCTGGAATTCAAGTTCTTGTAGTTCTAGTTCAGCATCTCGAAAATGTAGTGGATATGATGCCGGCGCTGCCTTGCAACTCTTCACAGCACAGGCCAAGAAGTTGACAGTAATTAGCTTCATTTTCGGGTTCAAATGACACTCCAGGAATAAAGTGGGAGACAGGATTTGCAATGAGCGAGTGCTTGGGGTACGCTGAGTGGGAAGAAGTTAGTGCCTTACGTTATCGGGAATTTTAACATGCTGGGCTGCCGCTGCAGCGCAGTAGTGGGTGTATAAAAGAGGGTAATTGCTGTTTGGACCGACTGCACGTAATCTAAATGGACTGCACATACAACCCTATTTTATAAATAGGATTATTATATGATTGTCTCTTGCTACTAAATCTAAATAGTAAACCAATAGCTATTTTATTTTACTACAAGCCCCTAATGCTACACAAGCCTCAAGCCCGTGAGCCTGTAAGTCTTTGATCTCTCCAAGTCTTTAAGCTTCTAAGAAGATAAGATCCCTAAGATCCCTAAAACTACAATATCTTTACTACTAAAATATCTTAAGTTTAAGTTTCTAAGGTTATAATCTAGAAATCTTCTTGTTACAGTGTAATCTTATCATCTTGCTAGTGTGACGGGCTAAGAAGCCCTGAACTATTCAAGATAATGGGTTAATAAGTAAAAGTTAAATTCACTGAAGAGATGTTAATCTGTTTATAAGTAAACTAGTTTTTTTTATAATTAATCTTTCTTAAAAACTTCCCGTACAGTATTGAGAAATTTTTATATTTTGTAAATTATTTTTCTATAATTTAAGAAAGTTTTTTAAGTTTTTTTCTTTTTATTTAATAGTTATTAGAGGTATGTAGGAAGACGTGGAACAATATAAAATAGCCTTAGAGATTAGGCTAAGTCTTATATTATAAGTTTATAGAATGCAAATAATGCGTACACACAGATATAGAACTGATTACTAGTCTTTTAAAGTTTTTGATAACTAGTATGATAGATGTTTTATTAAGTTATCTAACTCTATAGATTCTTTAATCAGACAACTTATTTTCTAATAAGTTCTATGATCTTAATATACTGAGAAAATATATTATTTATTATAAGATTATTTAAGATATTTAATATCTTTTTTTAAATAAATATCTTGCCCTGAGATAGTAAGAGATAAATTATAATAATACTTATATGATTTATATAGTATCAATATTTTTTAATTAAAAAATTCTTATTAAAATAATTATAAATTAATATTAAATACTTTTTCTATATTTATTATTAATTATATTAAACTTTCTATTTATATAATTGTCAAACCCTAGGATCGCTTCCCTGTCCCGGTTAGCTTAGCTTCACTGGTATACGTACCGTCGAACTGAATCGAGGACGTGTCAGGCTGATGACTATCTAGGAACAACTGGTCTTGGACAAGAAAAGAGAAGTAAGGCTGAATAGTGCCATGTAGCTATCCGTAAGTAAGTGCGGACGAGTGTTTATTGTTAAGCTCCCAAGCATATGGTTACTTAAAGACAGTAGATTGAGCATGAAGAACAGAACTAACTAAGTATATAAAAGAGTGTCTTTATATATCCTATCCTTTGTATATTAAGTTATATATCTTCCTGTATATTATATACTATATACCATATATCTGTTTATATACTATCTTATATACCCATGATCACGTGATGCGTAGCTGTTCCAGGTGTCGGTTACTCAAGCCAAGATTCTACTCAATAGGAGTTGCTGATTGTCCGGGCGTTGCCTTGGCGGTGCTTCTGCCTGACAAGTCTGTCTTACTAGTAGCTTAACTAGCAGGGGTCCGTAACACCACTTCCCCTCCGTCAAGGTTTCTTGTCCTCAAGAAACATAAAGGTGCGTATTCCCCCCATGGGTTTATCTGGGTCCTTCAGTTTCTTTTTCTCTTAAGATGGGTCATCACGCCAAAACGTAATAAATATACTGATAATAAATATTTGACTGATAGGATTGAAAGTTCCGGTCATCCTGTCAATACTCTGTATGACTTTTGTTTTACTCAAGACAAGGTTTATATTATGAGTTTAACTACTTAAAACAAGAAATGTTCGGCCTGTGCTCTGCGCGATTGTAAGTATAAAAAACAATTCCACAATAACTTTAAGTAGGATAGGTTAAAGCGTGATAAAGAGAAGGTTACAGCCAATCTTAAAGTGGCCTAAAAGTAGTTTATGCAGTACTCTGAAAAGATGAATCAAGTAATAATAAAGGTTCTCTACTTATAAAAGCATCAGCAATTTCTAAAAGATTATGGTGGTCGGATATTAGATCACGACTCTGAGATGTTGGAGTGTTTGGATAAGGAGGATTCTTTAAGCACTGAGGATCTCTGAAACCTGGAATGTCTAGCTAATAAATACAATGTTGCTCAACTTGCTGCTATGTCAGATAATCTTAGTCTAATTTAGTTAGTTAGGTCTCCTTCTTTCTAGGCAAACTTTGATCTGTTTACTAGTGATATTACTCCATAAGCCAGTAATAATTTATCAAATTCTTTATAGATTTCCATGTATTCTCTGAGATATTATATTCTTTTTATTTTATTAAGTAATATAATTTGCCGCTAATCTTCTTGTAGTCCAGGATCTTTTTAACTTTATATTTTTATTTAGTGTTGTTATTAATCTCCACATTCTCTGTAATTCTAGCGTTCTTTAATACAGGTTTTAATAATAAGATATAAAATACTGGATAAATTTTACTCATCAATTTTAGTAGTCTTAACTTATAATTGACTGGTCCTTTCTTTTCTTTAATAATAAATAGTCCTAGTTTATAATAGTCGAGTTTCTGGCTTGGTCATTTTATCTTAATATTTTTATAGAGTAAAAATATTTTCTTTCCTCTTTTTAGATCAGGTTTCTTTTTATATTAGTAATTATAGTAGATCTTGCTTTATAAGTTTATAAATTCAATATCTCGGGATAACTGGGTATGCATATTTCCTGTAAATATAATAATATTTTTAACTTTATCAGTAACTGGTTACTTTCCTAATAGTGTTTCCAGAAATCTGGGATGATAATCATAATTAGTATAAAACAGTAAGACTGATTATTAAATAATTAGTATTATTATATAAGAATTGTGTTATAAGTAACAGGTTTATCTAATTATCTTATTAATAATTAATATAATGTTTCAGATATTGTTTAATTATCTGGTTAACCCTTTTCATGCGTCCATTCATCTGTGGGTGATAAGTCATTATTATTTATTCTTTAATTCTTATAAGATCTACAAGTAATCTCTAGAACTTTAAAATAAACAGCTTGTCTTTATCTAATATAATATACTTTAACATCCTGTAATTTATAATAATATTTTCTAGAATTAGTTCTACCATTTATATTATTATTATTATTATTTTGCTCAGTATAAGATAAATATATTTAATAAGATGATTAATAATGACTGTAATAATATTATAAATTTCTAATTTAGATAGCGGATTAATAAAGTTAATTATTATCTTTTCTTATAATCATTATAGTATCTTCTATACTTATATTTATTTATAGGGTTAGTATCTCGCGGGCTTGTTTTTAATATATATCTTATATTATTTAATATAATCATATACTTTTTATCTAAGGTTTGGAATATAATAATTTCTAGTAATTAGTTTCATAGTTTTCTCAACTTTTAAATAGTCGGATGATTTATTATAATGTCTAATCATAATCTTTATTCTTATAATAGTAAATATAAAGATCAGTCCATGGAAGTCAGTCTATCTTTATTAATAATAATCTTGTCTGGTAAGTCTTTGCTTATTTTCTAAAGTATTTTATCTTCTTTAATAATGTTAGTTAATTATTTAGTTAGATTACTGCCTATTTCCAACATTACTGCTAGATTAGCTTTATAATAGCTGATTAACCTATCTCTATTTTGCTTCAGAATAGCTAGTTTAATAGTCTTTTCTCTTATTTTATAGTCTAATCTATAACTTAATATATCTATATATCTATTTTCTATTCTTTTGCAGTGTATAATGCGGAAATCATATTATAATAAAACTTCAGCCTATCTTACCTGTCTTGATTATTATAAAATATGTTAAGTTCTTATAGTCTATTTTTATAATAACAGTATGTTTTACTTCTTTAAGATAGACCTTTTAATGCTTAAATACTACCATAATAGCTAGCAATTTCTTGTTATAGATGTTATAGTTGAGTTCTATCTGAACTAACTTCCTTGAGTAAAATATAATTAGTCTGGGTATTCCATCTTCTCCTGGTTATATTATATATATTTTAATAGTATAGTTTAATATATCAGTCTTAATAATAATTTTCTTTTCCGGGTCGTACTGCACGAGTACTAGTAATATAGTAAGTTAATATTTAATATTCTTAAACACGTGTTATTGCGGTTTCTCTTAATTGTATTCTTGTAATTTCTTTATAAGTTTAAACAGTGGTATTATATAGATAGTATATTTATCTATAAATTATAAATAGTAATTAACTAATCTGATAAACTGCTATAATTCTTCTAGATTCTTGGGTTAAGGCTAGTCTTATATAGCTTATACTTTAGCTTGCTCAGTATAGACTTTCTTTATAAATATCCAGTATTCTAAAAACTCTGTTTCCTGTATATAGAATTCATACTTTTTTAATTTATATTATAGTTAATATAGACATAGTTTGTACAGAATAAGTCTCATATACTTAACATGTTCTTCTTCTGTCTTTAAGAAGATTAAGATATTGTCTAGATAAGTAATCATGAATTTGTTAAAATGTTTTCCTAATATCTTGTTAACATATTGCTGAAATAATACTGGTATATTAGTAAGCTTAAATAGTATAATCAAGTACTTAAAGTATCCATACTTTATTCTGAATATGGTTTTCTATTCTTTATCTTCTATAATATATATATGATAATATACATCCGTGATATCAAGCTTAATAAACCATTT